TCAACATAGCTTTGCTACAAGAGATATCAACAATTTGATTACAACTCCAAAGCATTGAAAACTCGAAATAAAGTTCTTTTCTTTTATACAAACTATAAAGTAAACTTGTCGTAACACTATATGCTTAATCTTTTGAAAAAGAATATTTTTAGACGGCTACATTCTCGATAGATGCCTCGTCTTGCTACAAAATTTAATATTTTTTGGTTAGAAAAAGTAGATTCAGATGATGTGCCTGTTAAGTGATGACTCAAACCAGGTGCTCAACCGTCATCATTCATTTGTACATTATGTAAAACTTAAAATTTATACATAAACATTTGTTGAAATTATGTTAAATGTTTTAATAAAACCTAATTATTCCGAATACTAATAAGCTCCAATTTGCGTAGGACTCTCTTTTTCGAGAAAATAGAAATCCTCCTATATTCCTCCTTTTTTAGAAAATAGCATTAACATACCAGTAGTCGGTGTATCGAAAATATTCACAATGAACTCATGAATAATATTGATCTCCAATATTCGTGCGGTCAACCGGATGGATAAAAAGTCAATCTAACTGAATATATATCTACCATTTTCTCTAATCTATACAATATTTTTCAAGGGGAAAACGGCGGACTTTTGAACTTGAAGTTACTTTCAGCTATTTGAAGTCGCTTACTTTGAAGTACTTTTCAACTTCAAATTTTCCTGAAATTACTTGAGGTTATTTTAAGCTACTTGTTCCTACTTTGGGCTACTTGGGTGGTACTTTGAGCTACTTCATGTAGTCTGTTTTGAAGCATTTTGGCGCACTTTTCTACTTCAAGTGTGCCGTTCACCCTTGATATTTTTACTGAACTAGGATATCTTTTATATTTTCATAGAATCTAAAAGTAATTATAGGTATATAAAAGTTGAAATCACGATTATGTTCAATTTTTGATTATAGCATTGGCTACTATTGATATTCTTCTTGAATGCCATATCGTCAAAACCCATGCATCGTTTAACCAGCTTCTGAATCGATATAATCTGTAAATCATTGATTATCAAGATGATTCTCTTACGTGAAGAAGGGAATTCCTGCAAGTGATGAATCGCTTTCGAGTCAGAGCGATCTAGATCATGTAAACTCAGATTGGTTATCAATAGATTGATAAGCAATCTTTCTGTTGTACTATTGTTGCGGAAATAATTTATTTTAACAAAAACTTGGTAAAAAAAAATAAGTTTTCTTCTTGAGAAACACTGGTTAAACAGCTTTTGCAAATTTCAATCTGCATTTTTTGTACAGAGATAACTATACAATTATACAATTCTAAAAATCAAGTTTATAAAACTGGAAGTATGCCTGGAAAACATATTTGTTAGTTTGACAAGTTTTACCATCATCTTTTCTCGTACAAAAAAAAAACACTCGCTGGTAGTGTTAAGTTAGTAGAAAAAATGTTTATAATCATATTATTCTCTATATAATTCTGTTCAGGAAGCAAAACTAAATTGTTGCGTTACAATAAATACTAATTGTTGGAATCAATTAGCACAATTGTTTTTCCTCACAAACGTATTCTTCTTTACTATTCAGGGTTGTGATTATTTCTAATTGAGATTGTACAAATATTTTTTTAAATGTCCACATAAAATCTTAGTATTTCATACACTTATTGGATGTAGTAAAAACTGTATCAGTTATGATAGAATATCAACTTTGCGTCTATGTCTATTTAGTGAGGCTTAATACACTCTTTGTAAGTACATTCGAGTAGGGAATTAGATAAGCGTTTGTGTTTTGATTGATCGCTGTCATGCAATTTATGCTAAGTTTAGGAGTTCGCTCTCTTGAATTGTATGGTGTTGTCTTTATCTTTCAAAACTAAATACTCTGACAAACTAGAAATATTTTCAAGAAATTTATATATTTCTTTTACACCGTAAGATTGAGAAGTCAAATACATTGAAAAATAGTCAAATGTTTAACGTTATATATTTCGTTTAATAAAAATGGAATTGAGTTAAACCCTGCAGAAAAAATTCTGAATCAGATAAGAAAAAATGCACAACGAACGAAAATTAGTAATCTTTTATAGTTATATATTAGCAAAACAATAAAGTAAAGATCAAGACCTTGTACTATGAGTTATTCTCTGTAAGATTGATTTCTGTCTATGATTTGAGGCAAAATTTGAAAATCATTCATTCTAGCGCTCTTAAAGGAAACAGAGACATAGACTTTTTTAAATGACGTAAAGAAGCTGTATTCTTGCAGCATTACTCTAGTAGCATGAACTGTTTTCATACTGCTCGTAACTCATTAGTGTGTACATGATGCACATTGTTCCAAAGCAAAAGTGATTAATTAATCAAGAGAGTTTCTTCGTTATTCAATATATTTTTATGCTTATTTCTGCTTGTCTTAGCTAAAACGATTCATTTAATGTACATTTCTTACAAAATAAATGATGTTTTTCGAATACGCAATAAAATAGACAGTAGAAAACACCGTTATGATCATATTCAATGACGATCTAGGTTGTTGAAATTTTATAAGCGAGTTTGATCTATCGAATGTATGCCATGAAAACAAAACAGAAATATAGCAAGCAAAAATAGCTTGTAATCTTGTATTGCGCACTTTCATTGAGCATCTTATTTGAAATATTTACTCACCGAGAAAAACAAAGAAAAGTTCAAGTAGAACTTTTTCTTTGATACGTAACTTACGTTGATCGTCAACCCCAATAGTTATTATTAATTTAATAGCAAATACTTGAAAATTCTGCTTTCAAATTCTATTATTGTTTCCTTTTCCCTCATTATCTATACGAAATCCAACATTTTAAGTCCAAGAAATGGACAACATGAAGCCATTTTTGACAGCATGTGAAAAAAAACTCGTTTGACTTCATCTTTGTATGGCAACATAAACGTCAATTTTCTTCATCATCAAATCAATTGAGAATTATTATAATACAGTAGAAAAAAGAATTAGATGAGCTAAGAAACTTTTTTTCTTATTAACAATGACAGACGTAACGATTGAAGAAGAATATTGAATCTATGTGACCGATGAATAAAAAACCATCAATCCTTTCTTTCTATTATTATTTTAGATTCTTTTTTTATCGTGTAACTTTATTGTAATAAATTTGCTCCTTTTCTTAGCAGATCGAATGTGTAAAAATCGATTTTTGTCAGCCAACAATGACCTGAAAATGGCATCCGATGGCAGTCAACAAACAGAACTGTAGCTATAGTACTTGTCTTCTCTTCTTCTTCTTTTTTTCTTCTTCATCGTCTCTTCTTGTTCTGCTGTCACCCGTTACATGCACGTATTCATATGTCACTGTCGTTGCTCTCGTCCGTCGACGACCATTACATACAAATATACACGCGCGAGAAAGCGAGCAACCACTCAATACTACTAACTACTACTACCACAATTCATTGCGTTATGCATGTATGTATATGTTTGATCAATCGGTCAGTCTTTTTTATTAGTTAATGATTGCTGCACCAAAGAGTATTTTAACATCATTGTCATTATTATCGTTACAGAACGAGAGCTATTTATTTGTTGTTTTTTTCTTCACCATTCCCTTCTCTCTACATATATGTTAGAGAAAAATATTGTATGTCAAAGAAAGAACAGCATACATTTTGCCTCATCGACACAGGCAGATATAGGAACATTGGTATAGAAGGGTGCCAGCAGAAATTATATCAGTAATCATCATTTTTCTCCAGCTTACTCTTCCTTTTGATGGCTGGTGGCCCTCATCCATAGTCCTTCTTTTCCTCTTTCTCTTCTCTTTCTTGCCATATGTGTGCTCGTTGTTGTTGTCGACAAAAATCGGTGACACTACACTATGTATCCTGCGAACAGGAGAAATCGACATAAACACACGCGACTCGTTCGCTTGCGAATTGAGCTGTGTAGCCTACAAACATATAGAAATCTGTTTCTTTCTTCATCGTCTCATACTCATTTGTGTTCTCTTTCTTCTTGCGTTCTTATGTGTGATGGGGGTGGTGTATGCATATTAATATATGAAAATAGATCTACCGCGTCGCGCCGGTGCCCGAGACCCCTTTCTCTTATTCTTCTCTCCACACTCTCTCCTTTCCTGCTCACTGCTCGCACGATTTGTTCTTCTTATCTATCTGTCTGTGGGTTCGCGAGCATATAGCGACTTTTCCTTTCCTTCGGGCGACACTCCACTATACCATAAGCATAGCTTGTGTGTATGTGTGCTTATAGATTTTTTTCTTCCCATTCCTGTACTCCTCCTTGGTCAAACAAGCAACGACGAAAGAAAGAACGAACAAACGACGGCGCCGAGAGAAAAGAGAACGGGAGAAGAGAGAAGTTGAACTATAACTATTCAACGACGATATATATATATATATATATATTGAAATCTTTCATCGACGACGAACGACGACGAGGCAAACTACAGCAGCAACATATACACACATGATCATGGTGATGGTGGCGATAGGCGAAAAAGTGCGTCTTCTCCTCCTCAACGGCTGCTATTGCTGCTGCGGCGGACTGAATAAGAAAAAGAAGAGACGCACCAAGAAAGAAGAAGCAAAAGAAAGAAAAGAAAAGAAGAAGCAACAGCAACAAACGTTCATTGACTGACTGACTGATCGATTGAACGCGACACACATACAACACCAGATATACCCAACACAGCAGTGCAGTGGTGGTGGTTTGGCCACCGTCACTGTCAGTGATCATTATTGTTTGGTCTCTTTCTCTCTTTGACTCTTACATTTTTCTCCTTATTATTGTTATACATATTTAATATAAATTTGACAATCTATGTATATACAGGTAGGTACATAATTTTCTTCTACTCATGTGTCAAAATTCCACTACCGGAATAAGAACGCTAAAAGAAACAGAAAGAAACAAAAAAAAAAAGAAAAGAAAAAATATATATCACAAGAGAAAAAAACAGAGTAGTTTGACATCTGTGTCAAGTTCTGTTATTTTTTTTTTCAGAAACATGGCGGCACCTCCACAACAGCAAACAACACCTAGTGATCATCATTATTTCGAATGGGCAACAACTAAACAACAAAAACTTGTTGAACAATCATTGAAAGTTGTACCTATTGCTGTCAATCAACAACAAATATCGGCGAATAATACAAACGCAAACAATACTGCAAACATGGTGCACAATCATCCACATCTTCATAATCATCCATTGATGACTCATACTCATCGACGTCACTATTATCAACATTTCGAAGAAAAACGTTCACTGGAAGATAGTAAACAAAAACAGAACAAAACAACAAGTGGCATAGTTCCATCTACGATGGCTAATTCACCAAGTCTATCACCTTCATCAACAAATTGTACTAGTAGTGGGCATGTGAGGAAAAGACAAAAAACAAATACCAATGGAATTAGCTCGACATCATCAACATCATCACTGAACACAAGCGATGATCATACTCAATCACAAGTAAGTTCAATTTTTAATAAACAAAGATAGGTACATATTTTATTTACATTGCTCATAAATGATGTAAATATATTTTTTTGCATGTAAAAATTGCGCTGTGAATTTTACATGTTCATTTTTGGGAATGATTTTTAACTCTGTCTAAACAGTTATCTCAATGAAATTTTAATTTGAGTGGAAAGATATTTAAAACCAAAAAGATAAAAAATAGTTTCATAGTTTTTATTTTATTTTTATCTTTAGACGTGTTATCCATTTCAAGCTGAATTAACTCAAAAAATCGATATCGAATGTGGTGGTGGCGGTAGTAATGGCAGTGGCCAAAAAGCTCATACACCAACACATCATTTCACATTGAGTACAGTGATCAATGTCAGTGTGAATGGTCAAACATCTCAACAACAAAAACCACTCGATATACTTCCTTCTCCATCATCCTCATCTTTGTCACAGCAACAGTGTCCACTACCTTCCAATGATCAACAAGAGTTCCTTGTTCATCCATGTTCATCCTCTTCTCCGTCTATTCTATCTACATCATCGCCTTCAACAGCGTCACCTTCTACAACAATCAATTCAACCAATCTTAATAATAATAATACTACTATTAACAACAACAACAACAGTTCGAATAATTCGAATAATCCTATTTCAAATTTAATTACTTCAACATCTCCATCAACAAATTTATTATCACAATCACCATCAATACTTCCTTCGCCATCTTCTGCGATTTCATTCATACCATTTTCCGAATTGAACTTTTTATCATATATTAAAGATCTTGATTTAACAACATTTGATTCATTTGCTTTACCAACATGTCCCAATCCTCAAGATTATTTAACATTTGATGGTTTAATTACATTTTTAAATTCATTAAACACAGGATGTCTTGTGTCAGATAATAATAATAATAATAATAATTTATCGATACAAAAAACGATAGAATACAATAAGAGATATCAACAACAAATGATTCCTAGATCAGATTCGTTGTCATTGAGACAAACACCTTATTTACCAAATACAACTCAACAGTATTCTGATACATACCGAATGCAACAACAACAACAAGTGTACAATTATTCAACTCGACCAACGCATTTTGAACAACCTAATCGTTATTATCCTAATCGATATCCATCGATGATATCTCCTTACTCTTCTTATCCATCTTATTCATATCCATCACATAATCAAGTAAGCTGAAACGAATTATTAAAATTCTTAATTTTGTTTTTACAGGTTTTTGTGAAATGTATTCATATTTTTTTCTTATTCTATTTTAGCAATATCAAATGTCTCAACATTATAATTATGCATCACCAACCAATTCTTCTGTGAATGTATCATCAATACCACAACAAAATTCATCTTCAATGATAATGACAGGCACATGTACATCCGCGTCGTCCATGATACCATCAATGAATCTAACACAAAGTAACCATCCTTCATCATCTAATTATGGATCAGTCCCATCATCATCATCATCATCTTATGATCCACTTTCATCACATGTTACTCATTCACCGTCAAATCCAACAACTGGAACAGGAAATGTCTATTCTCCGTCATACTATAGACAGTCATCTGTACCATCCTATCCGACTTCGATACCACCACCACCACCACCACAACAACAACAACAATCGCAACAGCAGCAATTGACGCGACAAATATCATCAAATTTTCCAATGACATCAGTTAATCCTTCAAATCCAACAACATCAAATGTTAATTCTTCATCATCATCGCCCGTTCCTCCTTTCAGATAATAAATCACTACACTTATTTTTTTCTCTATTTCGCCCGTGTCGGATCTCACATCTATCTCTGTATGCATGTCGCTTCTCGCAATAAGATGCAATCGCTACATACACACAAAGATCTACCTGAATCTTTCTCTGTCGTCTATACAACTCTTATATACATATTAAGCCCGGTGCTTTCTCAATTCTATCTATTTTTGTTTTGCTTTGTCTCTCTTATTGTCATAAACATTGTACAAAATGACTTCTTTCATTCAGCTGAAAAGAAAATCAGCGCGTGAGCGTGTGCATGTGTGTTCGTAAATGTGTCATTTTTTTCCTAATTGTCGTTATTGTTTCTGTTCTTTTTTCTCCTTTCTTTTCTTTATTGATTTCTTTCGTTTTCTTCGATTAATTCGAATTTGTTAGATTTGTATTCACAATTGTGCAGCTTTCATTTCTCTAAAAAAGCAAAATAAGATAATGAAAAGATTTCAAATCGTCACGACAATGTTGTCGTGCACATCAAATGATTTCTTTTTCTATTTAAATCTGTCTGGTCCACTGTAAGATTGATCAATTAACAGTAGTGACTTTTTATATACAAACCATCAATTTAGACTCTGATCAATATCATACCTTTTGGTATATCTAGTGAGTAATAGTATATTCAAGTATCCAATTACTCTTAATGTTCTCTTGTCCCAGTTCTTATACGAAGGATTCAGGGCATAATGATTATTTGTATCGCCTAGTGATATGCTACTTAAATAGATATGACCGTTAAAAGAGAAGTTATCATCATAGAATATTTTGTTTGTACATCTAAAGAATCTTGGATATATTAAATGTCTTTCAAAAATTTTATTAATAAAAAGATTTCAATAACTTGAATTAGCTATGCCGAACATTTGATAGTTCTTGTGGGCGACTACCGGATTTAATTTACAATTGATGATTCTAAGATTAAAAAATGAATGTAGATTTCTACGCTCTCATCAAATTTTTGAATATTGGTGAAGAATATACTATAAATCAGCCATGTCATAAGTAGTTTTCACTACTATTAACTGTTATGTTGATGTGTTTGAGAATGGGAAAAGATATGAATAAAAACTTTGTACCAACATTACCGCTCAATGAAGATTTAATAACTTCCAATGAAGATTAATATTATGCAGCGTTTATTTTCTCTATATGGAAATGTTACTTTCAATTTTGAGCAATATCAACGAATTATCTTCATAGTAATAATTTGACCGTCTGTAGTCTGACTGATGCTAGAATTAAATATCTGACTTTTTATTTTTAGACAGTATTGCGACCAGTAGAGTATGATATTATCTAATATTCTAAGTTTCAAATCAAATAACTCATAAATTGCCAATTAAAAATTGTTGCTACTATTGATTTTAAATAGGATAGATATAATGACGACTCTATGAACAATTAAGTATGAAGTATATGTGTATTGACAAAATCAAAAAGTAGAACTTCACCTCCATGATAGATCTAATGAAGTGTATCATATTTTGAGGCAATTTTTTTGTTGCAATACAATATCTCAAGCCAAGAAACAACATACTTTTTTTAATCAAAACATACAGAATATAGTGCAGTTTATTCAACCTATCTGTGAGGAAAAGTTTACCGAGTCAAAATTCTTTTTTTTTCGATTTCTTTTTTCTATGTAGTCCCCGCTGGATCAAAGATTAAGTAAGAAATATAAAATACATTGCACAGAAATATAGAGACAAAGCCATTTATAATTTGTTTAATTCTATTAAAGTGTATGTACGTGATTAATATTACCTCGAAAACCAAGTATTAGTTTACTTGACTTACTCGTTACAAAACACGCTAGAAATAACTTCATCGAAATGTTCAATGATTAAAATCACAAGAAAAATTAGCATCTTAAGTATATAACAGAGTAACATTGATGAATAAAATTCATTTATTAAAAGCTAAGAAATATTTAACGGCTAATATTAGATATGTCAAGAGAAGTTATTTTTAAATATTTAACGAAGTTATATCGAGTTAGTAGAACAATACAAGCGACCTTTAAGCTCATATTGTTGTCTTAGAATAAAACAGTAATGTTAAATAGAAACTACGTAATAAAATTATCACGCAAATGTAACAACTGGTCCATGTCGGTCGATCTGCGCAGAAAATAGTGATACATTTGGAATGTTCTCCTGATTTATCAGATTTCGACAGGTTTGCGCATCGTCTGGTGTTTTAGCAACAGCAGCAAGGAATCCACCACCACCAGCACCTGCTAATGTTACACCTAGAATAGACAGAATAGAGAAAATAATAATACAAACAATTGTAAATTCAAGCTACCATATATGTATGGTGTTAGAAGATCGATTAATCGACGACATGTGTCCGGTTCAGAACCTGGCGCAACACGTAATTTTTGTTGCCAATATATTGACATACATTCACCCAATTTCAACAAATTTCCTAAATAATTCTATTCAATAGAAATATTCTTTTAACAAAACTATAAACCTTGTTCAACAGCTTCAGCTGCTTGTATAGCATTTTCTTCAAGTTCATCAAATAGTTGACTTATTACACCTGAATACCAATTGCGTAAAACTGATTGTAAAAGATTTCGTGCTAAACGTGTTTGACCTGTATAAACAAGTATTAATCGTTCATCAAAACTATCCCAAAATATTGCATTATTATTGTCTTTAACATTAAGTTGACGCCAAGCAACTTCAAGTGGTAATTGAGCATTTGATGTTCCTAGTTTAAATGCTGGCAATAAGCCTCCAATTTGATCTTGCCAACCACCACCTGTTGTCATCATTTGTTCAACAACCAAAACACCATCTAGATTTCAATTTTTCTTTCAGTTTTATTTAGAAAGATACTAAAACAAATTGACGACCCGGAAAAATACTTACGAATAATCATACTATCTGTAACATTGGCAATACCAATAAGATGCCATAATGCAAGTAAAATTGCCCCAGCTAAAATTGAACTTGTTCCAAGACCTGAACCAACAGGCACATTAGACCAAACTTCTAGTATTAAACTATAACCAAATAATTTTTTTTTTAATTGTTCAACTAATGTCATAGCTTGTGTTGTATCTAAATCAATAATACGCGTAAAAATACAACATGTTTTTAATAATGCACAAGGACGCTGTGGTTGATCATAATCTGCGAATTGTGTCAATGAATGTAATTCATATATTTTATCATCTTTTTTATGTTCACCTTTGAGAATAAATGTAACCAATGGTGTTGATGTTGATTCAACAAGACTTGCACGAGCACCAATAGGTCTCTGTCCATTTATTGTAATAGCAACATTCAATACACTGCCACCATGTTCGTAACAAATCGGTGGTGTATCAGTCCATCCACCCGATAAATCAAGACGAACAGGACATTCGACTATAACTTGTCGATATTTTGGTTGTGATAAATTTAATATATCACTATCATTAACTAAACATTTAGATCGACATGTTAAGACACCTTGTTTAATCAATGTTTGTGTTGCACCTAAAATTTATGTAAAGATCTGTTGTTAGAACAATTCCTATGAAATTCAAATATGAAGATTGATTGATTGGCTGATTGATACGAACTTATTTTTCTTAATGAGAGAGTTTAACAGCAATTTTTTGTGGTGCATCAGTCTTAATTATAGGGTCAGATCGTGATGAAAAATGAAAAATTTTTCTCAGTTTTTTTGTACTTGAACGTTTCTTTATGAAATTCAATTTGAAATGTAATAAAATTCTTACCATCATAGTGCCGGGCAGCTCGTATTAAAAGATCAGGTCTATCAATCCATAATTGTCTTTGTTTAATTAAATGTTGAATACTCAAAACATATTTTCCTTCTTCAAACATTAACAAGGCATATTTCCATTCACGATTAAGATAGGGCCCAGAACGAAGACCAACACGATCTCCACCAGCCATTTCAGCTAGGGTATTAGCAATAGCCGAAAACAGACAAGATAATATTTGTAATTTATTATAATTAGTTAAACATGCACGATCAAATGTATCAAGCATATCTTTAGAATGTCCATCAATAATTGTTTGTTTTAATAATTCTAAGTATGAATCATTTGTTCTTTGTTTGCTACCATGGAGAAATATTAAATTCAAAATTTTTTGTTGAGCTATTCTATGAAATAAATTTTCACGGTATACTATTTCTTTATAATGATCAGCACGAGTTAATATATCAGTCAGTGATAAACGCCATGAAGATTTCCATCGTTGTCGTAATTCATTTGTTGGATTAAAAAACCAAAGTAAATCTTCCTTCAATGATGACATACTATCAAAATGTAATACTGGATAAAGATGAGCATTTGCTAATGTTCTTTTCTCAGAATCATTCTAAAATAATTTATATATATATATATTTATATACATTATGTATCATTAACTATTAGATAGAAATTTAGATTTTTTTTCTTCTTACCTGTAAATCTGGCCATAAATCCCAAACATCAATACCAGTTTGCTCTTTGAATTTATCCCATGACATATTTAATATAGTAAAATTGTCATTAGTAAATAAACAATCAACATTATCATGAATACCAATTATTGTGTAGACATCTAGTCGATTATTTGATGTTTCATTTGTTTTTTGTAATGATAAAATAATACGTTGAATAATAACATCACATGGAAGTGTTAAATGAAGATCCTAAAAATAACACAAATCACTTATGAGTCAATTTAAAAAAATCCTAATATCTTTACTTCCTTTGAGAAATCAACTGATTTAATACAACAATTATCTCCCAATGTAACACGATTACCAACAATTGAATTATGTATTGTTACATTTTTACCTAGATGGCATTCATCATTAATAATACTATTTATAATTGATAAATTTTGGGATTTTATTTGGGTTTTATCAATAATTGAATGTTGAATTGGTAACCATTGAATATCATCACGTTGCGAATGAATATTATTATCATTCAAGTAAGGCCATCGTGAATCAATATATTGAAAATGGCAACTATGTGGAAGAATCCCTAAGTAATTCAATCCAAAAAAAGAATAAATATTTTAACAGAAAAAGGTATTTTTACCACATGTAAATTTTGTTCTTCCATTTAAATGATTCCATAGAAAAGTTTTTGATTGCATTGTTAAATCATTTGTCTGACTTCGATGATGTGATGATAAATATTGATTAAATGTAACATCAATGCAGGCAGCCAAAAGAAAATCAAAATATAGTGATAACTTGAAAAAAAAGCAGAGAAAAATTAGAGTCGAATAAAAAATAGCAAAAAAAAACTGAATTATTATTTATGAATTTTTACTTGATTGGGCTGTGATCCACTATCGATACCTTCATAAGTACAACCATCAAGCGGCGGTGTAGCATGAAAATCTTAATAGAGAGAAAAACAATTGAATGTATGTGTCGAATTATGATTGATTATCTTACTGATTAATTTTTCAGCAAAATTAACTGAAAAATAAACAATACTGCAGATCTAAATATGATAGAAAGAATCTATGATTAGTGAAAAAGATTCAATAGCTTGCAATGGAAATTGCAATGGCGAAGATATGATTGAAAGGTTTCTTTTCTAGTATAACATATTACAAACTGAGACAAAAAATACTATAGTTAACAATAGAGATTTCGATAGGTTTCTTGAATAAATTTTGAGTAGGGCGTTTCATGCTTTGCTCAAAAGGAGTATAAATCCACAACAGTTTGTGAAAGTTTTTCAAGTATTTTATTATTTTCTTCGTTCTTTTTTTGTATAGATCAACGGTATGTGTAGAATTATGTTTTAAGTCATACTCGAAGTGTTTCTATTTTTATTTTTATTATTTCAAAACATAAATTCAATAAAAATATTTCTTTATTTTCTTTTACTATTTTTAAGTTGGTCAAAATATTTTCTCACTGTCTCTCTCTCTCTCTCTATCCATGTTCTACTTACAGTTGGCACTTTTTGGTTATCGTTTGAATATTTATTCAATTCTTGAATTGATGCCCGATATAAAATATTTCTAACATTATTCTAAACAATAAAATGTAGGTAGAAATAAACACAGATTTCTTCTCCATTTTTATACTGTTTCTTTATCAACTATGTAAACACCATGTTCAGTTGCATATTGAACGTCTTCTAACGTTGCCAATGCATGAATGTCACTGCCGAATGGAATCTGAATACCTTGAAATGTAAGAGATAGAAACTATCAAAATCGATATATACAATATATATAAATCTGTTAAAACATACCATTTTTTGGTAATGTCACAAATGCATCCGTGCTGCTAACCCAAACACCATAGGGCAAGTGACTTGAAGCAATCTAAATATTTTGATTATTATTTACTAGGCTAAAATATAATAAAAAAAGTCATACGAAATTATTAAAATCGTATAAAAGTAAGTCTAAATTAGTTAAAAGCCATGGGTGATTCGGTCCAAAACGAGCAGGTAATGTTGCTAATGAACGATGACATGCATCGTATGGAAAAATTCGACCCTTTAATTATAGAAAATGTAAATGATATTTTAATTTTCTTGTTGATGAACAATTAAACTTTACTGTATGAAGAATCAATATATGTGCGGAATGTAAGACATTTGTATTGATAAGCTAAAAGAAAATAAATATTTCTTGTATTTCTAGAGAACAAAAATTTTTTAACTAACAGAATAGCCAGCTTTAGCACTTAGAAACTCCGTAGCAACTAAGAGCGCATTTAATGTTGCTCCACCACTACCAAGTTTGTCTTGTGGATCATTAACAGTCAGTATCACAGTGGATTTATCGATTAATCCATAACGTTGACGTTGTCGAAGAACTGCAACACGACAATATCATCTATTAGCATGTTCATATATTGAAGTATACAGACCAATATCAAATGCATAAACACTTTCTTGATCTGGTGCTGTAACCACAATAACTGTCCAGTTTACATATCGAGCGTTATCACTTAACGTCAATCGTATCTAAGTAATTAATAGATGTTAAATCCAACAGACATTCAAGAACAATAAACACGCAAACCTGATCTCCAACAATCAAACTTTCAACAGACATCTGAAAGAAGCAATAGAATATATTGAATATTTACTTTATATTGTAAATGCTGACATAGTATTCAACATATAGTATATAATGCACTCGATAAAAGAAAGCAACATAATTCCATAAATCATTAACAGTTTTTAAAGAGTAACTTTGATGTCTACTATTCAGATGTGTTTTACTATTTATTTATTCATGTATTTATTTTAAAGATGAATGCATATGATAAATCATCTTTGACATTCAAATAGAATATAGATTTCAATAAATATCATATTGTTCATATTCGTTCTTTTTTCTTGTACAGTTCTTAAAAGTAATATTTACTTGATGTTGTTTTTCTTTAATACAAACATACTTCAAAATCTCAACAGTTTAATTTGTGTTTGTTTTTATTTTTTCAAAAGTAACACTCAAAATAGTAGAAACAGTCGTAAGTTTAATCTAAGCAAATCTCAATGAAATTTATTTTCGTACGTAACATCAAGTAAAATCTATTTTTTTCATAAAAATTTGTTTTTACTTAAACTTCATATGAAAAATGATAGAGACTAAAAAAAACTTCATTTGTGTAATTCAACTAGATAAGATCATGTTACCAAATGTTATCTTATAAGATAAGAAAGAAAAAACTATGTTAGAGCAAACGTATATGTCAATTAGTTCGTCACTTATTTGTATTTTATAGTTGTTTGATTTATAGTAACAGACTCTTAAAAATATTTAACTAACTAATTATATTTTAGCATTCTATTTAGTGCAAGAAAATTATTTTTATTCTTCTCTAACAAGCATAATTCTCATCTGATTCTTCTGTATACAAACAAAACGTATGTCCACAGAAAAGATCCTCATGTAGCATCGAATAGTACTGGATAGAAAAATTTTTGTTCAATAGTTTTTCAATTGTGAAATTAATTGAGAAAAAAATCAATTGCATAGAAAGTTAGTTCGTCTTGTTTAGTTATATTAAGTTTGAATCAAATGCATCCGATTCAATCTCATTAATAGTGAATACTACAAAGCATTAATTTTAAAATCGATATATATATTCATACGTGAATTTAGAATTATATATTAATCAAAACTACGATCTATATTGTAAATTTAGAGATGCATTGTTTTAAAATTTATATTTATGATCTAAAGCAATTCTTTCTATGACCATAGTCACCCAATCATTCAATCAGTCTATTTGAAATTTTCAATAAATTGAACATTGGTAGAAAGTGGACACACCGATTTTAAAGTTTTCAACATAAAGAAATTCATTGCTTTTTATAGATTTTTTTCTAAAAAGAAAGGCATATAGCTGCTAAACCTACATTATTAAAAATCGAAATTATGATAAGTATGCTACAATAATTCAACGCTACTAAAAAAATCTTTTTCACTCTCACTCTCTCTCTTGCGCGCGCTGTCTTTCTATGTCATTCATTGAAGTTCATAGAATAGACTATTCAAAATAAAAAAACAAGAGGACATCTTGTGTTTATAACACTTATAATATCTAAACTATGCATAAAATCAAAGAGAGAGAGAGAGAGAGAGAGAGAGAGCGCGAAAGAAAGACAGAGAAAGAACCGGATAAACAGAAATAGAAAAAGAGAACAAGATGTTTCACCGAACTAGATGAATACATCAGATAATAGTAATTTCGTGAGATCAACAATGGCACGTTCAACTTTATCAGAAAGAACGAAAACAAACTCGGCACACCTCTTTTAGAAACAAACACAAGAAATTAGTATTAGAATAAAAAAAGACAAATGAAAGTGCAAAATCGGCCTCGATCACATCAAGGTTTCCGTCTTCTTTTTGCTAACCACTAAACAGGTAAACATACACACCGTGATTTGATCCGACTTGACTAGCTCATCACATGTTTGACGTATACAAAGAAAGAAAAGAAAATAAGCCAAAGGGAAAAAGACAAAATATTGATTGTATCGAAAACAGACATAAGATGAACCGAAAGAGAAAACAATCATGGAAAGAAAACAGAAAATAAACTGATAGACTGTTCTTGTTGTTTTATCAAAAAAAACAAAATTCTATTTTTTTTCAGTGTTTTTTATAACAGGAACAGTTGTAAGACACAAGTATAATATTATTGATTTGTATTATTATGGTACTTGCCGTTTTCACTATAATCACCGCGAAGTCTTTTACAAACTAAAAGAAAATTAATTTCGTATTTGATAAATATATATATTATTTTATTTTTATTTTCCTCTTACTAGGCGATGGTAACGTTTCAATATCAATATCTGAATCATCGTCGTCTGTCGACCGACGAATCGATGAATTCGTGTTATTGGATAGCACTGGTGTTGACGATGAAGATGATGAAGATGGGGGTGTTAAATCGACGGAATGTTGTCGAGCAATAGGTAGAAGTGGGCCGAAAGCACTGGGTGATTGGTTTGAAGTGACTAGTAAAGTTGTTGTCGATGATGGTGACGGTGTTGAATATGATCGAATCGGAGACAGTGTGTTTAATCCATTTGGTAGTACGTGAATCGTCGATGAGTACATTGATGGCATTGGTGGCGGTGGTGGTGGTGGTGGGTGTGATTGTGATAGTATTGGGCCATAATCAAAACGGTGTTGATAAAATTCTGCAAGAAATGGAAGAGCAGCAACCGGATGAAAACTTCCCATCGAACCAACAAATCGTTGCATTTGTTGAGAAAAAGCGTTTGGTTCACGCATTTGTGATAAATGTTTTGAACAAAAACCATGCCGTTGGGATTCTTTCTGACATTGATCGATACCACATAAACGACGCCATTGTTTTCCATTAAATTTTTTACGTATTCCTGTATTACTGAAGAATAGAGAGAAAGACATGGAGATTAATTTAACAAATTAGTTTTAGTTTTACCCCATTGTAAAAATATCTCCTTTTTTTATTCCTTGTAATTTATTAGCTGCTTGTTCTTGTTTTTGTAATTCTCTTTCGACTTCTTCATCATCTTCATCTTTCTGTTCAATGGGTGGCGTTGGAAATGCTGTTTGTTGCTGTTCATCATTATTATTATTATTATTATTATTATTTGCTGGTAATTCAACTGATATTGGTCGAAACATAGTTGTCATTGATGTATTTTCACGATAAAGACGTAATTCCTCATGCCATGGTTCAATTAATAAACGAATATTTTGTCTTGTAAACCAAACATCTTCTTTACCATTTTCATCTTGATGAATTTCATCATCATTATGATTAGTATTATTGTGAGAATTATTTAAATCAATTGAAAATTCTAAACGTGTTGGATGTTTAGCTTGTATACGGCCACATTGAAATTGATTCAATTTATTAGTTTTAATTTGTCGAACACATACTTGTGTATTAACAACAAGTTCTTGACATGCCGGAATATTATCAATTATAATTGATGGTAGGTGATTACAAATCGGCCGTGCTAGATCAACTTGTACTGTTGATGATTGTTGATCACGAAGTGATATTGTGACAAGATGAGAATCAATTATATCAAGAATTGTACCCATATGATATATGTTTAAATTCTGATTGTCAAGCACTAATACACTTTGATGACGCCATTGACTTGCCTCAAGTGAAAATGGCGTTACTGATAATGGTGAAGGCGTTGATGAACAACTTCGTTGTTGCCAACGTTTTTTTGGTGGTGATACTTCGTCGCACGCCATTTAGTGTACGTCTAAAATGAAATTCACAAAAAAAAATAAATACTTTCCTACTCAAACTACAAGACATGTAGTATTTTTTATTTTTATTATTCTTTTTCTTTGCAATTTAAATGGATAAAAAAAAATGGGTGTGGGTATGTGCATGGAATTTGATGATGAAAACAGTTTTTTAATGACGTACACCGAACAGAAGGGCTGTTTTTGTTATTTTTCGGGTGTTGTTTTTTTCTTCACTTACTATTGCTTCTGTAATATTGTACGCAAAGGAATTTTTCAGCTGTTTTTTTATCAATGGAACGTGAGTGATTCAACAAGTATTCATCGGCTTTAGTATGTTGGGAAAAAAGCTAACCCATCTGTATGTTGAAATTCAGAAAGAAAAAAGAAAAAAATATCTTATGAAGTGTCTACAAAAATAGGTTGAATGTATACTGGTAAATAAAAAACGAAGAGAAATTTAAGAAAAAAACAGATACGTCTATTCGAATATAACAGAAAGAAAAAGAAAATGAGAGCAAGTAACTGCATTCATCAGCTGACGTTACTTGTTTTCCTTTTTCTCTCTATCTCGATTCATCTATGCAAATGCATTATTATTACTATTATTATTATTATTATTATTGCTGCTGTTGTTGTCTAAAAAGGAGTTGTACTTTGTTTGTCTGTGATGCTCAACTATGGACACATATACGCATTTTGCACTACGAACGTACGATGTAACAGTCGTACAGTGAAAGCAACACATGTTTGTATCGTTTCATCTGACATACATTCTTGTATAGAAAACAGATGTTACTATGTGCATAAAACCGTTTCTCTTCCTACTTACTTGAGTGACAATGAATTGAAGAAAGAGACAGGCGGAAAAGAAAACAAAATTGACAGCAATATTGAGAAAAATGACTATTTTTCAACATTTTTTTCCTTTTGTCAACGCGAATGAAACCTTTTCAAAAAAGAAAAGGAAAAGGAAAAGGAAAAGGAAAAGGAAAAAACGAAAACATTCATCCATATAGAACATAGTATATTATTCATCTCTTCAGTTTACGAGCATACAAATAAAATTACAATACGAACATGTGTGTACGTGAAGGAGAAATCCACATAAATTGAGAATAAAAGTATATATTCTACAATCTATCGTGTCGTTTTTTATTTTTTTATTTTTCATCAGAAAATACAGGTTAAAGTCATTTTGAAACGTTGAAAAAGGTGCAAAAATTACTAATAATATTCTTATCATAATTGCACGTGTATTAAGCTACCATCAAACAGCAATAAACATACGTAAAGTAATCAGGTGACAGTATTTATGTAGAAGAAAATACTGTATGAAATAGATTAATATAACCTAAGTTCCTTACCACTAAATTCATTGCTCTCAATCAAAGAAAACGTTCACCCAGGAAAAGAAAAAGAAAAGAAGGAAAGCAAATAACCGCAAGGAATATTCCATCAATTTATCTAAAAAACACTTTAAAAATGACTATGAAGCTCAATAATAAAGCGTAGTAGTAAAGATACGCCTATTTATAGAGTACAGGCGCCGGATGACGAAACCAGACGAAAGAAAACAGCAAAAAAAACAAGCGAGAGAAAACGACTGCGGTAACGTATATATGTCTTTCTCCTTTTCAGTTTCTCTCGCTTTTTTCTCTTTCACGCACTCTCAGTATGATCAACTCTCGGGGTGTTTTTTCATGTTTTTCTCTCTGTCGTCGATGCTTTTTCCTTTTTGCCACATCTTCTTTGCCTTCTATCTTTCTTCTTTGACATAAACACATAGACACAATCTGAGTTCGTGGACAAACTGCAAGTTGCGCAAGGGTATGCGTATGTTATATAGCGACTCGATTCTTTGATTCACACATACACACGTAGTTGCGTACGTACGCACTGTTAGCGATTACGTTCTTTTTTTCGAATTTCTTTCCTTTCTACATCGCTTTTCTTTCTTGTTGTCGATCCCATGTTTTTGTTAATAGCAGAGTGATGTGTACGTGACAGAGCAATGCTACATATCATTGCACGATTAAAATCATGTTTTTTTTTCTTGCTGTCAAAGTGTAATATATGTTTGTCTATGTGTGTGTGTATATATAGGAAGCCTCATATATAAAAGAGTTACCTTTAACAATGAGTAATTCATCATAGTATTCATGTGATGAAATTTACATTGATATGTATATAGAATTTTCTATTTTCGTTTACCATTTTTGACTAATCAGAAAAAAAATATTCATCTAAAAAAGGTTTATTGAAATAAAACAAAACAGAAAAAAGAACAATTGAAATTAATAGTGTGTTTAGTTATTTTTATTTGTTGCAAAATAATTCAATTAATTCATTTCGATACTGTATATTTTCAATTTGACTCAATTCATTCTCAATAGAATCATTCCAATGATTGGATTTTGTTAAATCAAACTAAAACAAAAAAATTCAAAACAACAAAAATAAACATTTGTTTTTCAGTAATCGAAAATTAGCATACTCGACTAATAATTTTATATAAAAATCCATATAATGAATGATTGATTGATTCTGGAAGAAATAAAATATCTTCTTTTGATTGACAATGGTCAAGATCAAGAATATGTTTGCATGATAAAAAAAATATATTTTCTACAAATAAAAATAAAAATAAAAAAAGGTTGCAGAAAGTTTTCGTTTACCCGTCGATAAATTGTTAACACCTTCAAAATTTATTTTTAAGGCTTTCATTCGGGCTGGATGTAATAGTAACACATTTGAAGTACCTAAACATAATCAAGCATATGATAACAAAAAAAAAACAAGAGACAACAAAAACAAATTCAGTGAAATTTATGAATAGCAATCACATAGAGTGTACAAAGCCACAATCAAGACAATTGTTATATAGATGTATGAAATACTTACGCATTATTAAAAAGAAGATGCTTAAAAAAACAATAACATATATATATAAATATGAAGATATAAATTAGATATCTTTTATACAACTAAAAAATTAAGAAAAGAAAAAGAAACAATACCTGAAATTTGACATTGACCAAACATTCCAACAACTTGATTTGATTGGAATTGATCAAATAAGGACCATAATTTATCAAAAGATTTCATAAAGATTATATTTGAATTTAAATATACAACACGATCAACATTTAATATTGTCTAAAAATAGTTTTCTTTATTATTATTAACTAATAATTATAAATTCATAAATATCCTCTCTTTTTAATTATACACAATAGTTTAGACTTCTAATCTTCCTTTTCTATTTACAACATTATCAGTAAAATAAGAACGTATTTGTTCATATGAAATTTAATAATGAACAAAACTTCCTGATTTTACAACGGTATATTTCTCGTTGAAAAACATGCCATTTGTTTATGCAGTAAATTCCTACTTTGCTTTTTCTCCTGGAGTTATCAAGGAAACATATTTTACAATTCAAAATCCAGTCAACATACTGATAATTGCAATGGATGTTTTATCGTAGTGTTGTAATATGTAATTGTATAGTGCATCAGCTTCATCTAAATGTAAATTATTTAATTATAGATTTTTGTTTCTTCTGTTCGTCAATATTTTTACCTGTTTCGAAAAATAGTTTTGCGCATCGCTATCCGTTACAATAACATGTAAATGCATTTGATCAGTTTTATTTGAGGAAAATAATGAAAGTGATTTAAGAAGAACGTAGGACTGTTCAATAAATTTCCAATCATTACTAAATATTAATGCAATATGAAAGAGATTTTTCGATGAATAATTTAATGATGATATTTCTTTTGATAAATGCTTGGTAAATAATTCTTGAGTTTTACCACAGTTAGTTAATGAATATTTTTTTAAATTACTTTGTATGTTCGCTAATAATGAAGATTTAATATTTGAATTAAAGTTCCAATTGAGAATAACTTCATAGATAGATTTAAATTCTTGATATTTATCATTATGAAATGCACTACGACAACCATGAATTATTTTAATACCATCTAATTTAGCCACTTGACAATTATTTTCATACATACAATGATCCGGTCGATAATTCCAATTACAACTGAATTCATAGATTTGCTCTAGAATAAAAAATACAAAGACAAAATAGCACTGAGATGTGTTTCCTTCAAATCGCAATAAATCTACCTGGATAGTAATTAAAATAAATATTTAATAAACATTGATCGCCCCAAGTAATATTCAAATGAAATTCATCAAAAATGTTCATTATCTTTGAAACCATATTCACCTGGCGCATACGGGTTAAATTCATTAACATGACACCAGAATTCAGTCCTATTTAAATCAAATGTAAGATTATATCAGTAGTTAAATATTAAGAAATGAAGATTCGTACATGAAAATTAATGATAACATTACATTCTAGTTGTCATAAAAAGATTATTTTTTTTCTTATAACTAGATCCTTCTATGAGTTTTTTTGTTTTCAATGCTTTTATAGTTTAACTTTATTGATTAATATGTCGTCGATGATTAGATGAGAATTTATTTAAATAAACATTTTTCAAACGAATGTTTTAGATTGTTTAATGATACAAGAAATATAGAATAATTGTCAGAACGTTATTTTTTACGAGAAGCAAACGAACAGATGATATAATCATTGACTCCCTGTGAATTTTTGTTTTTGAGGGAAAAAATCTTTTTATATCAATCAGTATCACAGGAAAAGATAAGAATGCTATCAATTGCTTTCAGCCAACATTGTCTATAAGAGTGCAAAAGGTCGTAGAAATTTTCTTTATGCCGGAAACTTCTGGGTAAAAAAAGCCCACGCCATTGGCGGTTCCTTATCGGCAAAGCTTATGTACGCTGAGTTGTTCTTAGTTTTGAAGAGGGATTTCTTTTTATAAAGAACTAAAATAAAACTAGACTATCAAACCATCATGTAGAAATACACAAGAAATAATGTGTTAATAAGTTATTTAATGATCACGTTATTGTTTATTATTTTTGCTTATTTTTAATATTTGCATGTGACTGGATTGTTGTAAAAAATTCCCATCAAAGATCATATTTTACAAAATCAAGACACTATGAATATCTGTTTTTTATGACACAAAAAGAAAAGAAATGTAACAATATGTTTCTATTTTTAATATTACTAGCTAACCTATTGTTTAGCCTACCCATTGCTCCATAATAAGGATGTCGTGCAAATCGATTATACCATCCCATAGATGGATCTTCGTGTTCTGGTGTCAATGCAGCCAATTGCGTTGAATTAAATTTTCGAAAAAAGCGCCATAAACTTCTGACATTACTTAAAAATAGTATGTCCGTATCAATATAAATGACTGAATCAATATTTGTCAATATATCCTTAAACAAGATAAAAACAATAGCAGTTTGAACGATTGATCTTACATATTCAACTAACCGGAATGAATAAACGCTGAGTACAGCATGGTTTAAATAATTTTCTCCATCGTTCATCATTTCCACGTGTAAATTGAATTGAATAAAATTCGATTTGAAATTTCAATTTATATTCAATAGGCCATTCGGTATTAATCTTTAATTTATAACGATATAAATTAGAACAAAAATTCAAATAAAATATGTTACTTTTTCATTAAATTGCTCTCTTAAATGATCTTCAGTAAAAATATGAAAAATAATTGGTGATGGTGTAAAAATTAATGATGATTTCAATGCGTTCAATGCTTCTTCAAGTCTAGCGAAAACAAAAATAAAATTGATGAAAATAAAACAGGCAATGTTGCTTTGATTGATTCTATACCTATCACCACAGACGACTAAAGTTAAATGTATCGGTTTAAGTGCATATATTTCCGTATTTAAAACAATTAATAAAGTAAAATAATTGAAATTCATCTACGAACAAATAATATTCATATTTCTTTTCTTTTTGTTAATCTTGTTGCATCAAAACACAAAAGTAAAATCTCTAGAAAACACTGATACACAAAAATTAAAAAGAAAATAGCCATTCGAAAGATAAAAAAACAAGGTTAATACGCAAAAATTACAAAGAAAATAGTCATTCGAAAGACAAAAAAACAAGGTTAATACACAAAATACCAAAAAGAACAATATACACCAGTAGTCAAAAGTTTACTCGCGACAGCATCTTTAATGTCTATATTTATTAGAGATCTAATGATTTGTTATGCATACTATATGCCAATAAATGTAGACCAACAATAAGATCTCACTGAATAGTAACTTCGAATACTAAGAAACCTATTGACGGGTGCCGTCTATTAAAGTTTTAAGTATAAGTCTCTATCGAAATACAAGATTTGTTTTTGATATGTTTACATAGACTTCAGATTTGACTCCATTATGTTTTGTCACTACGAAAGAAAACTTATTAGAGAAATTATGAATGTGGCTGAACAAAGATGTTTAACTGAAAGAAAAGTCTATGTAAACATTAGCGTTCAGTTCACCGAATTAGTAGTACTCATAAGTAAGAGTTTCTAGAGAGTAATATATATTTATATAGTTTTTCTTCATATAGGTGACTACAGGAAAATGTATAAAGACGCTATTAATCGAATTGAGATCATGTTTTTGAACTAAATTCTTGACAAATAATATATATATATATATATATATATATGTAAATTTTAAGATTTCTAATACTTATAATACGCAAGATTCGGTAAGGTAAAGACTGTTATTCATTACTGTTGATATATAAATAACTTTCTCCCATTCTCTCATAAGATTTAATGATTCTTTTGGAATTTTTTTCTTAGTAAAATGGAAGAAAAAGATAAAAGCACACGCACACGCACACACACACATTTATATATTTATAAATATATACTAATGACTTTTGCATTTTAAATGACTAGGAAGATGAAAAATCAAAAGCAATCATTTCTAAAACTGATATGGAAAAGTAGGGCAATGAACACAGTGGTTCATTATTAAATGTTTCACAATGAGCTGTACGACCTTCACACAATGACGAATCAATACACAAACCATCAGCATTACTAAAAATGAAATTATATATATATATATATATATATCGTTGTTTATTTTTAATTTTTAATTTTATACCCTCCACCAATAACTAGTTTTTCATTATTAACAAATAAGAATAGTTCTCTTGTAACTTTGGATTGACGATTATCATTTTCTTGTTGTTGTCCAACCCAAGGAAATTTTATTTTCTTTGGTAAAAGTGTAAATAAATATGATTCACCAAATCCAAAAAATGTTTTAGTATGACGATCAGACCAAAGACCTGCACAAAATGCACCGAAGATCTATTGAGACAAAATAAAAGAAGAATAAGAATAATCATTGGCTGTACTTATTAAGGAAAATGATCTTTTCTTGTTCTGTTTTCGAATTCCGGACAAGTATTAAAAAAAAGAAGCAAAGCAGTTTTTCACGTTAATATTCTCAAAATTTATCTAACTTCTGTTTCACAACAAAAAAGAAACAACTGAAGAAATATTAACCTCGCCAGTAGTTGTTTTAATAACTAATATCGAATATTCAAGTTCATCGATTTTTTCTAATAAAGTTTGTAAGCGAAATCCATGTTCTTGAGTAGTAAACACTAGGATAGGTTGAGAAAGACTAAGACGTGCTGGTAACCAATTCCATAGGGCAAAAAACTAAAATGAAACAAAATAATAAGATTTCTTTTATGGTTTCATTCCACATAATTTAATAAATACTTGTTGATGATCGAGTATAGATGTGCTGGGTATTCTTGTAAGATGTTGAGGAGTGAAAAATATAGAATGACGCGGACTAATACTTCCATTATTTTGATTCGAATTATTATTATTATTACTGTTATTATTATTGTTATTATTATTAGAATTACTATTCAGTTGATTGTTATCATCGGTTCGAGGATTAAAGCGAGTTGTATGTAATAGTTTTTCTTCTTGATCAATCAATTGTTCTATTGTACTTCTTTTTAAGTTTCGAATATGAAATGCAGCCTAAAAGAGAAAAAAAGTCTTATTCTTCTTTGTCAATAATAATAATAATAAAAATAGCAATTTATTCACACACTCGCTCCTTGTTCATGTATTGCAAATTTTTAGATATTCAAATTACTTACATTTAATAAATTTTCAATGGATATAGGAATTTGTTTACAAAAATCAGCTATATTTTGAATATTTCCATTTGATTCATGCTTAATCGCTAGATAAACGTAATAAAAAAACAAAAACAAATTATTATGCGTTCAATAGTGAATTCAATAAGAAAAAAAGCTGCTAATATCCCAAAATAAAATAATATTTTGTTGATCATCCCCTTTCTTCTATTAAAAAAAAAGAATAGTTAAAATAATATGGTTAGTATTCATGCATTTCCTAAAACGCCTATCTGTTAGTACCACATAGCTTATATTAATACATTATGATGAGTAGTAGACTGTGAACTTCTTTTCAAAAAATAAATAAATAAATAGATAAAAACTAGCATGAATTCATGGTGTGCCAATATGGAAAATAAAAGCGAATATTTACACAAACAATTGTACGAATGAGGTTCTACAAAATGACATGATAGAATTAAAAATAAAAACGATCACTTAATGTTTTTGTTTAATCTTTTTCCTGATAATTGTTTTTTTTAAACATACTTTTAATATATAAATGAACCAATGTTAAACTAATACGATATAACATTTTTGGACCTTCAAGAAAGAAACAATCGATAATTTTCGCCTATATAAAAAAATAATCATTAGAAAGATAAAAAAGTTTAAAATTTAAATTTCATACAAGATAAGATAATGGTAGATAACGAAATATCCACCAAAACCATTCTTGATAAAATACTTTTGTATTTGTATAACGTAATTCAATTGCATCAGCCGTTGATTTCTATAGTAACAAAATTTTATTTTTCTATTTTAATGCTGAATTAACTTACATAATACATTTTTAATAGTCTTTTAAATACATTACAATTAGCTTCCCACTGTAAACGTGTTTCACCGCATAACCAATGTTTAATTAGTAAACGATTTACTAAATATAATACTTCATTTTCAGTAAAATAATGTAAAAGTAAAGATGACAATGGTTCTAATGCTGGACAATAAGTTAAATCAGGATGATGTAAAGCAAATGTGAATAAAATCCGTTGCAATAATAAACATCCTGTAGATTCAGTCAAATGATAAAAGCATAAATTAGTCGTGTCGACAAAGTTTGGCCACTGATTTAATTTTGTTGATAATGATTGTAAACTACTATCAATCGTTACTGCTGACGCTGATATAGGTATTTGTGATGCATGATGAATATTATGGGATTGTTTCGAAGTACTAACTCGATTTAATGTTAATATATTCATCCATAATTGTCTACGGATAGGATGATCAATGGGCCATATTGTTAAACGTATTATTGATTTAAGACGATTAAAATCATCATCGGATACAGAATGAGACGAGATATTTTTGGATGGATCAATTGAATTTAAAAAATGGTTACTGGTATTATTTGAGGAAAGAAGATCGATAAGATCTTTATGTTTGGAATTATATTGCTGCTGATATTGTTGTTGTTGATGATGAGATTGTTGTTTTTGTAATTGAGTTATCGTATCGCCAGCAATAACAACATTGTTGAATGGGTGGCTATTGCCATCCGCCATTCAAACATCTAGCTCGGTTCAAATGAGCCTAAAATAGATAAGAAAAAGGATAGACAGATTCAGGAGTCTAATACAAATAACAGCCATGTCGTTCTCTTCTTTTTCTTTTTTTCTCCTTAGTCTTTTTTTTCTGCTTTCCCGTTTTTGTTTATCAGATAAGTGTGACAAAAACTTGCATTTCTTTCGCTCCCTCGTCCTCTCTCTCTCACGCACACACACACGCATACACTCTCTTCTTCTCTCTTATCTTTGGTTGTCGAAAGTCAAGTAGTTGAGTAAGAAAGCTGATCGATCGACACAAGAGAAAATGCAAAGAAAAACGTTTTTGATGACGCATAGTACATGAGCTTTCATTGAGTTTTTCTTTCTTTCTAGTTGTTTTTTATTCCTCTATCTATTGTTAAATATTCGGATGTTGCTATGTCGAGTGAATCAATTTGTTCATGCATACTGCTTTTCACATCGTTTAACAATCATGGTATCCGTATATAGTTGTAAGTTTCATCCTATGTCTCAAGGACAAAAGTAATACTTCGATATTTTCTCATCTTAGATAAGGCAAAAATAAGAAGAAAAAATAGAAAACTTAAAAGAACGAGAACAGCAACAAGACGGATGAGAAAAGGAAAGTATATATTAATATATCTAGATGGAGGAGCACCATCACCACATGAGAGACGCGAAGAACGAACCAGAGAATGCAATTACTACCTTCTTTTCTTTCTAGCTTTTTTTTTGTGCTGGTGTTTCTTTCTCTTGACTTTCAAATCATACAATAGATGGCAGTAAAGCCTCTTTATTTAAGAACTAAGATCAATTCTATATGACATAATTAATCTATATCGCATATCAATAACATGATTTACCACTGATTTGTTTTAAAAAAGTAATCTGGTGTTCTAAGTTGTTGACAACGCATTGATTTAGTGAACAGCTATGATGAAACATAATACTATTAAATAATCAACGAATAATATCTGAAATAAGGAAAAGAAAAAACAAACAAGATAAGCACTGCTTTGTTTTCATAAACAAAAATCGGATTAAACTTATTTAGTTTTTTCTTTCAATTAAAAACAAAAATTTATCACGATAATGAAATGCTGAAAATACGAACAGTTCCATCATTAGAACAACCAGCTAGTTGATAGGATGATGACGATGATGATGATGGCCGAAAACATAATTGATTCACAGTTAAATGAAAGCCAAGTCTTGAATAGATAAAACAAAATATTCAAATGTAGTTAATTTTCTATCAAGTGATAGATTTTTTTTTCTTTGAATTATTGCTATGTTAATCAATAACGACAAGTTAGAAGCGACTTTCTAAAGAACAATTAAATCCCAATAGATGTTTTTATGACCTTTTTAATTCTTAGAAAAAACGATCTGATTTATTTGAAGTAACATTCATTTATATGTTCCGTCAATACAACCAAAATGTTTCATGAAAAACTTTTTGTTCAAAAACACTAATAGCATTCTTTTTATTTATTTTTGTCAGGAAACAAGCATAGTAGACCGATTTTTCTTCGTCGAATAATTGAAAATTCCCGAGAGAAAAGGTCAGTCTTTGAAAAAGTGAACGAATCGACAATAAATTTGAGAGCGTTTTTTTTTTATCTAGCTGCAGATTTTTTTTAAGTCTAAGAATAACATTTATCTTTAGTATAATAACTTGTATCTTTGATAGGTTCCAAAGATTTCTTTGTTTCTCATGTATATTTTGTCACAGCAAAGAAATTATCTCAACAACATAAAACTGCGTAAATATTTTGTTTTGACTGACTTCACATAAAATGATAACAAATAATTTGTTTTCTGAAAATAAAAATCACAGAACAAGCCTGATATATTTTTAAGTCTATCAGGCATAATTCTAACAAGCAATTTCAATGAGAGCAATAAACAAAGCTATATGATTCCTTATAATAAATAATGATAAACTATTTTTATGTTGTTTTTTTCCCCATCCACTATGATAGCCTCAAATAAATAACTGTTCAACTTTTCTTATTATAATAACTAACTAAAATCGATTGAATAATAATATATCGATAAATTAAATGAAACTTAAAAAGCTATGTTTTTAACTAATTTTCATTAAACATAATTCTAATTTTGATTTATTTAATGCTTAATTTTTTCTTACGGTGGTGCAATTGATGTTATTTGTTGCCAAGATATTTGTTCATTCCAAGTATAGAGAAAAATAGATCCATTATCAAGTCCTGCTACAACAATATACCTAAATTTTGAAAATTTTGAAAATCACGAAATGACTCAAAACTATTTGTCAAACTTGTCATTCTGTATTAAGTGAGATCCAAATGTAACAGCTGTAACCGAATCATTTAGTTTTAAATAGTTTTTTTCACAAGGTTGCTCATTATCATTATCACTTTTTTCTTTGACATGCCATACATGGATTTGTTGATCGCGTGCACCCGTTATAAAATATTTATCATTGTGCGAGAAACTGCAGGTCCAAATTATACGTTTATGATATGGATTATTACTTGATATTCGTTTATGTAAACGAGCTTGAAAGTCTAACTCGTAGAAGGTAAAATAAAATACAAGAAAAACTAGAAGCAAAACCTACCTGATTCATCTACGTCAAATAATGACCAAGATCGGTCACGTGATACCGATAATAAATATCGACCATCATTCGAAAAAACCATTCGAACAACTGTTAATTGATGTACAACAAGACGAACAACAGGTTTCCAAGTATTTGTATTCCATAATATGATAGCTGCATCGTTTTGTTGAGTTGCCTAAAAGAAACACAAATTAAATCGACATATTCAAATTATCAGAAGTAGAATTCGTTATTTCTTTTGTTTGTTTTTGTGTACTCAAAAAATGAGTACACTACTAAAATCGGTCAGTGTGTCCGGCCGGCCGGCTGTCCGTTTATTCGATAACTCTTCACAATTACATTTGATTGAACTGAAATTTTGTGCACAGAATTGTCTCATCAATATCTAGGTCGAGTTCGAAGATGAGAAGGATGCGTCGAGAAATGGCAGGAGTTATCGAAAAAATTGTATTTTTTTATCAGACCATCCCTGAGGGGGAGTACAGGGATTTTTCAAAAAAAACTTTTTTTCTCAGAATTATTCAAAACATATATAAATCGACGCAGTTTTTAACGATAATTGTGAATCTGATATTAGTTTTGAACTAAATCGTAGCTTTCTAACGAAACATCGCCTGGGAAACGTCTCAAAACGCACAAAAACTGCATCCAGAAATCAAATTGCCTAGTTTCTCATGATAATTTTGGTCTTCAGACATTCTAGGATGATTCATATGTCCCATGAACTTTTTGCAGTACACATAACTCTCGGATGAAATCCGAAGTTTCCACATTTTTTTTTTTATTAAAAATGATATCTCAAATTTTTTGACAATTAACTAAAAGATATGTAAGTTTCGTGCCATCTAAGAATCGGCTTAGGTCGACGACAACGAGCAACCGACGCATGATTCAATTATCTTTTTTCATTCATTTCTATTAAAATTTATCATAGAATCTTTTTTAAATAATCAAATTAAATCAAAACTTAATTCAAAATTTTCAGAAGAAAATTGAAAAAAAACAATTTCAAGATATCTTTTAATTAATCAAGTGCATGCATTCATCTGTTTGTTAATATGGGATTTGATAACTCATACCGTTAGAGATATTCGTTTTTGTTCTACTATACTTTTATTATTATTTGTACGCATCAAGAGCGACAAAATTTTAGTGATCTTCTTTATTTTACATAAAAACTCAATTCAGTAGCATAATGAAATATGGAACTTTTTTTATTTAGTTACAGATGCATTCTTCGATGTTTTATTCAGATTACGAGACTAAATCATCTTTTGCAATAAAACGAATCAGAGAAGTTATTTTGATGATCAACATGAAAACTGCAATGGTCAATCTAAATCAAATTAATCTTAGATGAAAAAGAGTACTGTTAGCTCCGTAAAAAGGCATAGCGTTCATCATTTCATCGATACTTCCTATGAGTTCAGTAGTAATTTTCCTACATATTTTTTCATCATCTCCAGTTAAATCTAATTTCACATCGTATTATTGTGTTTCTTCGTTGTATTTAGTTGAATCCTTCTCTTATCATTTCTTTCAACCTCTTGATCTATGAATGGAATTCACAATTTGTAAATGATATATTATACAGTAATACATCATTGAAATTGAAGTTTCGTTGCTTGACAAAACACCTAGTTATATCGATAGAAACTGGTATTCTCTTTCGATTTCCAATGAAAAGCATAACTAATCTCTGATTTGTTTTCAAAATCATAGTCAGAGTAAATGAACAATAGCTATCTACACCTAAATTCAACTATTTTTAGCTTTCTTGAATACAGTTACCTGTATAACAAAAGAATTGTCAAATTATTTAAAAAAAATAAAAATAAAAGGCTCTCTTCATAACCTCTCCATATCTCAGTAAATAACTTACTTTACACGATGAAGCAACGATTGACCCGGACGGATTTGATGCTACAGCAATGATTTCATAACCATGTCCATAAAGCTTTTGGATTTCAGGCCAAAGTGTATTTTGTAAAAGATGTTCTTCAAGTGGTGGCTCTTCAATAAAACGAATATTCTAGTTTTTAATGAAATGTTTTCCTTTTTCTTGTCACTCACCACTCAAAATAGTTGCTTTAAAAAATCCTTCCTTATATAATGCATCAACAGTCATTGGATTTTCTTCGTTGACTATTGTTGTTGTTTGATTTTCATCACTATCAAATATTGCTTTATTTGATAAACCTAATGCTGGTATATTAGCACCTTCAGGTAAAGATTGTGCTCTCTATGTAATGATCAAAACATATATTCATTCAAAACAAAGAGATAAGTAGATATTCTTACGGCAATATCTTCATCAACATTAATTTTTGTTATGCGAGAAAAATTTTCAAGAAAATTTTTTGGTGCATCAAATACACGCAAAATTTTTTCATCAGCACCGGATACAAAACGTTGTTGATTTGAACCAATAAATGCTAAACATTTCATCTCATAGCCATGAATTTGTGGTCGACCAATTTCATGCCATGAAATGATCTAAAAACAAAACTTTTCACATAAAAATAGAGAAGAAGAAAAAACGTCATTTACTTCATCTCGTTTCCACTCAGCATGTAGACGTGTTGTTTGATCTGTTGATACACTTAGTAAGTAGCGACCGCTGTGTTTATCCCAACAACAATCTTCAACTGTATTAAAATGTCCACTATTAATTACTTGTGGAACTAAATTAATTCTATCATCAATCTACACGACCAAAAGAAAAAAACAACATCCTAGTACACACAAGAAACTAAGCATTGCTTTACTTCTTCAATTTTCCATAAATGTAAAGCACCTTCATAACCATGACCAAGTATATATGAACCACATGGACTAAATGTACAGCCATAAAAGCCAAGTGTATTACCTCCTACTTCACCAACACGAGCCTAGTAGAATTAGTATAAAAGGAAAGAGGAGTTCTCTGTTGCTGGTAGAGAAAAAAGAAGCTATAATTTTACCTTATCGATATACATTTTTTGATTATCATCAAAAGTCCATAAAACCATTGATTTATCCATTGATGCTGATAAGATTGTTGTTGCTGCTTTTTTCAAATCTGCAATATTACGACAAAATGTTCTAATGAATTTTTAGTTAAAGCAATCTACCTGTGTTGGGATACCAACAAAGACCATAAATAGCTTCTTCATGTCCTAGTAAAATTGAATAAAGTTCAACATTAATATTAATTGAAGATTCATCTACATATTATAAATAAAAGAAAAAATAATTATTTATTAATCGATTTTTATGAAATCATTTTCTTATACCAGAATTTTTTAGAGCGAATGAACTTCGTTTTAACTTTAATATTGTCTCATCAACATTTGTTTGATTATTATTTTCATCAAATGACAATTGCCAAATACGAATATAATTATCTTGAGAACAAGTTGCAACAAACCATTGTAACGGTGCTGAAAATAATTTCATCACAAAAGATAGTAGATAATAAAAAGAAACAGAAATTTTTTGATTACTTAATTTTTGAATTGCTATTGAACGTATCCAGTCTTCATGTCCACTTAATACAAAAACTTGTTCAATCTGTATCGATAAATGAAATAAATAAAGTTTAAAGAGTATTTTCGTAAAATGTATTTCAACTCACTAACCACGCTGTTTGATACTTGATATATATTAACTGTATTTTTATCGGTTGCAACAAACAATAAGGATACTGAAATAAAATAAATGTTTCTGATTAACTTTTTTGTTTTATAGAAAAAAAAGGAAAGTAAATTCACCATTTTTATGATTATCTAATGGAACGAATTCCAGTGTAATAGCAAAACCATTTTGAAGATCAAGTGTATGAATTAAAGTAGCTAGAAGAAACAACCAAAAAATATAGTTTTCAATTTCATATATATTTTCATACCTATTGTATCAACAATACACCAAACTTTTACTGTGGAATCTGCAGAACCACTAGCTACATAGATATTATCATTAGAAGATTGCTGATATCCAATAAGAGTTGTCACACTATTCTGATGTCCAACAAGTGAAATACATATTCTATACTATTGTAGAAAAACAAAATTACGAGTTCTTTTATTTTCCATACAGATAACAAACTATCAAACGTACATCGTCGTCTATTCCTTTCCATAAGCAGATTGTTTTATCAACAGATGCACTGAGAAAATAATAAAAATCACTAATGGAATCTAAACAACAAGAAATAATTGTGTTCTAAAAAATTAGTTATTAATTTTCATATGAAAGAAACAAACTTCGTTGCTCTTGTCGAATCCATTTCACACAATTTACTCGTGCTTGATGACCAGAAAATGTTTTACGTATTGAAAATGGTGCAGTCTATGGCGAGAAAAAAGATATTATTTTTCAAAATAAGATTACAATTATATATTTCTATCATACATCCGAACACAGAGCTACACTATTTGTTACAGCATAAATAAGTCGTGGTCCATTCTGCCAATCTAGTGAATGTGGACAACAGTTACATGCTGCACTGATATAATCAATGTCGATTTTGATATTAGTAGAAATATTAGCCATAGATATCTACAACAAAGTTGACTAGCATATATATAACAAAATATGAGCAATTTATGTCAATAATTTGATGTCTATTTGGTTGATCTACAAGTTTATACGAATGACTCATCCATCATTTCTTAGACGAATCCATTAATACTTTTCTTAAGAGCATTTTTTTCAGTATAGGGTCAATCAAAAAAATTATTTCGTAGAAAAATCGGCTATATTTCAAAACAGGGTTTTATTATATTTTAGTTTTGACCATTTCTAGTTTCCATTATAGTTTGTTGGTGGCATAAGTAGTGTCATCTATACAAGACATGTTCAAATCTGAAAATAAGATTTTATCATTATAGCCTATTTTAAAATGAAATGAAATACGAGGCTTGAGAAATCGATAACTATAATCTTAATTGAAAAAGATATGCATATAATAATGAAAAAGGAATAAGAAGACAAAATAAAGTGGAAATAAGTAAACTATCAATACTGCGTGCCATTATTTCACAAGTAAAGTTGTTGAAATGATAGAAGTTGGTGAGATTGACTACACAGATCTTTCTTTTATGAGATCGAATAAAAAATAATCAGAAAATGAATTAAAATCGGTTATTCAAGGCAAATATCTATCAATTTGTTCCTGTGCGCTGCACGATGTTTTAATCAAGTTTTGTCAATCATAGGAACGATCATGTAGGAAATAAATCAATGCATATCGGAGATTCAAATAAGTAGGTCATTGAATTTATTTGTCATGATTTAAAGTCAAAAACTTCCGAACAATAGCCTATGAGAATATTGTTCATCACTGATATATTTATCTAGATAGATTGTCGTTTTTAAAAATAAGTTAAACAAAGATTTTGATTAAAACCGATTATTATTGAATCGAAAATTTATGATGACTAGAAATAATCTAAAAGCTAAATATTTTATTGATGTTTCTAATTAATAGCAATTAGAATGATTTAGAAATAAGATATTTTTTATAATCGAGATTAATAATAATCATGGATCGGGTTTGATTTTCTTTGTGATCGGTTTCTAGTCGATTACATAGCTGTAATTTTTAAGCGTCCTGTTTTATAGATTGTGACTTCATTTTTGTCTCATTTTTTTCAACTGAATGCTTGCTATTGTTTTACATAGATGGTTTATTGATTCTATGATTTACACTGTTTCTGAAACTATGCCAATCTTATGTAGCCATCATTAGACTTTTTAAGATAATGAATGAATTGTGATATAGCTTGATCAGTGTTTCGGCTGTCTTGTTTAAGAAAAAGAGTTCAAATAGAAACAAAAAAGAAATGAATGCAATGTGATTGTTATAATCAATTTGACATTTCACAAGCTAAATAATTTAGTCTTATATTAGTGTATTGTGATTCAATAAATTGGTGGTACAGTTTGTGTTTCTATCCAAGCTCGTTGAGATGTTGGCATTTGCCATTGTTCAACCTATTCAAATTATATAAACAATATGAATTAATATGGATTATTCACTTGAACTTACTTGACACCATTTTTTCCATTGATTTAATCGAATTAATAATTCGTTAGCATGTTGGACTTCTTGTCCAATATCAGTAAACATAAGTAGAATAGTGGTTGGTATTTGTGATTGTTGCCTACATAGAAAATAAACTGGGAAAAATCTTTTAATTGAGTAGAATTTCAATCTACGTCGTATAAAATAATCGATTAGCAATGCCACCACCAGCAATATAGTATCGATCACGATCTCTTACAATTTTATGATGATGTTTATCTTGACGTTCTTCTAGTACAATCCAATTCAGGTTATTTGAATCAAGTGTTGTTGATAGATATCGAAATTGTTCTCTAACAAATATAACTTTTGTTTTTCGTCTAGCATTGTGAAAAAACATTCATACCCTGTTAATTGAACATCATTGCGTTCGACTGCATTAAATGCAGTTAAAACAATTATTTCTTTTAATTGTTCATTTTTAAAAAATGTCAAAAGTTCATCAACAAATTCTTGTCGTTTACCCGATACAATATTACCACGTTGTTGAATAACAAGTATTTTTAAATTTGGTTCTTCATAAACTATCATTGATTTTGAAAAAAAGTATTTAGTTTTTAGTATTTTACATCACAAAATTTTCATATTACCTTCAATACCAAATGCCAAATTTTCTCTATTCGTATTTTCGTATGGATCATAAGCAATCACCGGTTCTACACATGTCCAATTAAGTATACGCACACTTTTCATATTTAAAGTATTAATTAAAGTATCTACCGCCAACTGTCCAACATGGCAATGACAAATAGATGGCTAAAAGATAAATCATAATTTCAAAAAACAAAAGTTGATAAGGTAACCAAAAATCATCCTATTCTTACTAGAACTAATGTATATCCATTCCAATTTAGTTTTTCTGTTCCAGTCATTTTTAAGTCTGAAAAGCAGATGCAGTTGAATAATTTTTAAAAAAAGCATAAAATTTGTTGAAAATTTTATTTTAAAGAAAATAAAAAATAGACCATAAATTGGTTCATACTCGTAGAACTATGTTATATGATTGCAAGCGTATCGTTTAAGGAAATACTGAATATCTTAAATAGGGAACACTAAATAATGATAATAATAATACAAGCAATAACTATCAAACAGTATATTCGTATGATAGATCACAAGAAATAAAAACAATATCTATCTGAGGAATGGACATTTTAGTCTATTTTGGGTTTTGTAAATTGTATAAGCGTTTCTGGTGAACGAAACAAGAAAATAATTTTAGCGAAAATTTGTTCTTCAATACGTAAAATATTATGTTCTCGAACCAAATAAATATCACGTAAAAGATGCCAAAAGCGATCAACATTTGGTAATTCGTTAAACATAATTGTTTGGCTTGTTTGCAAGATTGTACGTAACAATCGTGCAACAACAATCACAAATGTTGTATAGAGACCAATAATCCTATTTAAAAATAGAAGAATTATTCGGATTAGCACAAGAAATTTATTATTACATCAATCTTAGTAAAGTTACGGAATAAATGAAAATGTTTACAGCTCGAAAAACATAACGAAAAACAATAGATCACTGATATCTGAACAGAAAAAAAACAAAAAAAAATGACTACTGCGTATTTGTTGTCTCTCGTGTCCAATAGAGTAACACTTGCGGATTACGATAAATATAAATTAAACGATCAAAAAAGTCAGCTTCAATTTCATGTTCCCGAACAGTTCGTAATAAATAAATATCGGTTAAAAAATACCACAGTGCATCAACTTGTGGTAATTCATCAAACATAATTGTCTTCGTTGTACCAAATAATTGACCACGAAGAAAAGATGCAAACACAGAAACAATTGAAATGTAGATACCAACAATACTACAGAGGATTTACATGTGAGAATCTTTTCAAATATTTCAAAAGGGTTAACAATTAGAACAACAAAGTTGTCCAACTAGTAAGAAGAAGAAGAAGAAGAACAAACTACTATAGATATTATACTAAAGAGAAAAATCAGCAAAGAAGTCCTTCATATCAAAAAAAAAGAAAACAAAAAAAAACAATTAATAGAGCATGCGGTGAACATGAATGTGTTAGTTCCATATCGAGCAAAGCTATCAAAAACAACAACAATAACTATTGAAAAACTTACCCATAACGAGTTAGAAATGAAATATTAGCTGGTGAAATTTTATCATTAAAAAAAATCATGGTCATATAATTTCGACTGGGAAGCAGTGAACCTTTGAAAAAATGTTAAATAAATGAAATAGTTCCTTAATACAAATTTTTGAATGAGTCTTTAATATTTTATTTCTAATTGCTGATAGATTTTATCTTTCTACATGAAAATTTTACAAACAACTATCATAATTCTGTTCTGATTTTTTTTCCAGCGAACGCAATTGTCGTGAAACTCCCTGAATTTCTATATATATATATATATTACCTGTTGATCCAGTTGATAGAAAAAAAAGATCCATCTAACAGACTCTTTAAGCTAGTAGGACCTCAGGAAAGCATTGTATTTTTTAAAAGTTAATGGTAAATTATCAATTAGTAAAAACTATTTCCATTTTCAACGTACATGATGCATTAAATCCATTTGCCCTTCGATTTTCAGACATTTCCCACCAAGCGCTTGTACTATTCGGTATTGATCTTGTCTGATAAACGCTCATAGTTATATTAGCATAATAGTCCCATAGAAAAACTAGATCAAATCAAATATCAATACAGAAAACATAATTTCTTTATGAATGAAAATACTTTTTTCAAATGCTTTAATGGAATCTGGTTTTGCTTTTGGTTTCACATGTAAAAATCGTGGCATTAACTGTACAATTGTAAATTCTCTGGACAAGAAAAAATACAAATATTGATCAAACTGCAAAGAAACTAAACCATGAAGTAAAACAAAAGTTTACCTTGTTCGTGTATCAAGAGTTCCATTAAGTATGTCAATCAATGCGTTTCGAGTTTGTCGATCATCTATTGCAATATTAGTTGTTTTTTCACCTGACACAACTGCAGCAATATCTTCTGAATCATCTTGATTTGGTGGATTACGTGTTATTGTGTATGAAAATCGTACAGGCACTGGTGTAGAATTTGATTTTAAACTATTTATGACAATATCTCGTATTGGCTGACTTATTTCCCATAGATCGACACTTGTTGAAAATAAATTTACACAATGAATATCATTCGAATTGTAATCACGTAGAAATGCATAAGCTGTGTCCTAAATACATTTAAAAAGCAAAATTTCTAAAAATTTTAAATGTCAAAGACGATTTACTTCAATAGCTGGTGCAATCTTTGGTAAGTAAAGTGCCGCACGAAAGCTGTTATAATCAGCATTTGTAAATGAAGTTATGTCCCTATCTTGTGCCGTCATTTTATAAATTGGCTGTAAAGAACAAGAACTTAAAATGACAAAAACCAAAATACTTGTAATGTTTTTTCTTACCAAATAACCACCTAATTTTATTTCAACACTAACTTCTGTTGGTGGATTGGGTTCATAAAATGATGAAGTAAATGAAAAAAACAATAATGGAAACCATATCAATAGAATTAATAAAGCTAACAATGAACCACCGATTCCATATTTTGATACTTTTGTCCGAGGTACACCACGCTTGGTTGGATATTTCTTGCAAAAAGGAAAAAAAAAGGAAAAAAATTTTATTCAATATTTTCTCATCTAGTTTTACTTCTTCTGCCCATCTTCCACACTTAAGTAAGTAAACATTTGAATAAATATCTTCTAATTGTAACCAACTTGTTAAGTCAAGTGCTGTATCCGTAAATATCCAATCCATAATTGTACGTAATTCAAGTAAAAACGGTATAAATAAGTAACTGAAAACATTCTTATTATGAATATTTTAGCAAAAAATTTATAGAATAAAATTCTTACATTCGATAGAGTACTTGATTTACATAATTAAAACGTTTCATAAGAAAATTTCCTGCAATACGCTTTGGATAACCTAGTCGTACCTGTACTGATGAATAACCGAAATAAACACATTTGAATAGATACCAAAATTGTGCCGCTACGTTTTCACGAAATTTTCTTTAAAAAAATTGTTTTCAACAATGAAAAAAAAAACAATTTGGATTATTTCATACATTCGAGTTATTCCAGGTAAAACCAAAAATAACCAAACATGTACGGCTATGACTTGAAATAGTTGAAAGAACAATTTGCCGCGTACATTTCGACGTAAATAAAGTGCACGATCAATTATAATTAATACAAATTGAATTAATAATATAACAAGGAAAGCCACAGGAACCTTAAATATATTTACTCATGAAAAAACAAACGATTCACTAAACAAAGGGTTTTTACTTTATTTTCTTTTATTGTTTGTACTACATTTCCACCACTTTGTTCCTAGGAATAAAAAAAAATTAAGTTTAAATAATAGAAAACTCGATGCGTGGAAAATCATTTTCTTTCAAACTTTATAACTATTATAGGAATACTATCCCTACAGTGTCCCGAACGTTTCTTTTCTTAGCGAAATAGTAAAATTGTTTGAATTAAATCATACTGAATGTCTACTAGTCTAAGAGTCAGACTTGCGGTGAATCCAATTGATTTCGTGTAATCATACGAAATGAAGTACTGTGGTGGAAAATATTTCTTGCAAACTAGTTTTGTAATGGTAGATTTTTACATGCAATAGACAACTATGATCACTATAGGTGATTAATTTTTCTGGATACTTTTACTTAATTACAATTAGAGGAAAATCTTTTAAACTAAAATAAAGAAGAAAATTATTTGAAAGTACATACTCCAAATTGACTATAAAAGGCAATAACAATAACCATATTAACAAAATCACAGAAGAACATGGGTGCATAAACGTCACGAACAAATAATGCTTGTTTCAGTTGGCGATAGAATTTCATAATTGATTTCATAAAATATATATTACTGAAAAAAAATAAACATTAAGCTATACAATAAAATACGTATATAGCTACTGAAGAACAACAAAAATAAACTAAGAGAAGATTTAAACATGCTCGACTAACAAGTTTTTCTATGTGTGTTAATATTCATACCTCATGAAGTATATGAATCTGTTGTGTAATTTATATATACATATACATAAATACATAGGTGTAGCTATAATATAAGAATTAATTCTTAAATCACTTACCTTTTTATGCGTGGTTTTTCCAACTGATCATCTGATTGTTGTTGTTTTTGTTGTTCTTCATTACGAGCGGTATGTTCAGTTATAGAATCTAAATATGCAATCAATAGAATTATGATAGTATTTTAATTTTTTCGCCAAACATATATAATCATGATAGAACTGTGCTCTAATTACAACTTTCATATTACAAGTAGTTTACTTTACATAAACGTAACAATGGGAACTATTCTCGGAAAGAAGAGGTTTCTTGTAAAGAATATCGTTAGTTCCATCCAAAACTATGCTGATATTGAGATTTAATTAGCTTAATCATGCATTGAAAGTTTCATATATGACAAATATTTTGCATTGTCAAATAGTAAATGAGAAAGGAGATAGAGTTTTTCTAAATTGTTACTAAAATATGTTTATTTCTTTTTAAAGGCATGTTATCATAAGAAGAAAAAGTTTATTCTCTCTTCAAATTCTGCTTTATGAATGAAAGTCAAAGCATGTTCTCTTGAGTAATATTTTATATCAATATGATTACTTTGAAGTTTTTATGACGTAATATTCTCAAACTTAAAATCTCAGTAAAATAGTCCTAACTAGTGTTCGGTAACTCGAATTAATATGAAACTAAAGAATCGAACCGAAATTTTGAAAAAGATACGAAAAGTTTGATTTCGTAATACTATAAAATAAATATTCTATCAGATATGTCTAAAGCTGTTTTAATTCCGTGGTATCTGTAATTTCATGAAATAACAAGTTAAAGTTTGTCAAAGGGAACTTTATAATTGTTGCATATTTATCATGATTTATTGATTCTAATAGTATGTAATAGTTTAGGAAACAAGCTCTAGTCACTTCTGGAGAATAAAGCAACAAGACATCAAATGATTATCAGTTTTGTTTAATTACACTCAGTAAATTCTATACAAGTGCATGGATACTGTACTAAAAAACAATTCTATCACTTGAAAAGATGTGCTGTTAAAGTTGCATTGTGCGAGCAAAAGAAAATTTTAATTCTTTTACGTACTAATTGGTGTTGTTCGTTCTGATTTCCAAAGTCCGAGTTGCTAGAACGGGAGAAAATGAAAAGAAATAAGAATTTAAATTCTTTTAAAACTTATACTTTTAAAATAGATCGATGAAGAAATAATGATAAAAGTAAAAATAAATCAGCAAATGAAGTAGCACTTTGTTTTCGATCGATTCCAATAATGTTTACTGCTGCTAGTGGACGAACATCTGCTATGTCAGCATTCCATGGATAAAATCGAAATTGAAATATATATTCAACTACGATCATGGCTTCTGTATATGTCAAAATAGTAATCCAAAAATTTCGTGTTGGCCGTGGTGATAAAGTTGCCCAAAGAAATATTGATAATGGTAGTGGGATTGATAAAAGTGCGCCGCTTGTTAAATGATCTATTATCATAGCTGAATAGCATAGAAGTTCAGATCGAGACATTGTTAAATAAAATAGAGAATCGAATAAACGGTAAAGACGTGAATGTTCACTTAATGGAATCGATTGAGATACTTTTCGAAGAGAAATATTCCTATGTAATAATAATAACAAGTAAAAATAAGACTAATCTAAGAAGAAATTTACCGAGATTGTTGACCACCACCACCACCACTACCATCAATCATGTCATTGATGCTAATTACCGAAGTCTAGACAAGAATAAAAAAGAATGAAGATTTTTAGCGAATAATTTTACAATGAAAAATTTACTAGATCAGAACTTGTTTCCATTCGCATTCGTTGTTTTTGAAAAACTTTGTCTTCCACTTTCATTTCAGCTAACTTATTTGAAACTTCGCGATAATCACGAGAATTTCGATTAACAAAATCAATAAAATAGTCAACAATAATCCAAATAATTAAACGAATTTTAAATAAAATCTGTTTTTGTCTTGTTTTCAGTTTTTCTTTTTAAAAAAAAAAGAAATAAAATCATTAAAAACTATACGATAAATCTCAAAAATATAATAGTCTACCTTTGGATTCAACAGATGTTGCCTGTTCAGGTATTGTTGAATCTGGCATTGTTTCCATTGTTGTGGATGAAAGAGGAGGAGGAGGAGATCGTGGTCTTATAATTAGTTCTTGAACATTTGATTCAAGCACAGATGATTTTCGAGGCTCTGTAAGAGAGAAATTAGCATTCATTTGTGTGTTTTTCTTCATTTCAAAAGTAAAATTTACTTTTAAGTGAGTCACCAATACTTTCATCTTCATCAGTTGCTACTAAAACTTGAAAAATCTATTTAGAAAAAAGAAAAGAAAAACATTGATATAATTTTTCTTTCGTTTGAATTTCTTCGATTATGAGTAAACCTGATTTTGAGCAGCATCAGCTTCATTTTGTGCTCCCTCATCGTCATCATCTTCTTTTTTTTCGTCTGATTCATAATCAAACATATAATAATCAGCCGATCGTATAGCTATAATAATTCAATAAAATATTTTATTTAAATTGATTCTAAACAAACCTTCAAAATGTTCAGATGATTCTGTCAGTGTCGAAGGACGTATACTCTCCGATTTATTCAATTTCGATTGTTGTTCTTTAATTCGTTTTAAATTTCGAGTTATTTTCGATACGGTTTGTTCTTCACGTAGACGATCTTCTTCCATTCGTTTCAGTGATATTTGATTAAATAAAGCAGCACCTTGGCTAGCTAATTTAGCTTGAGAACGAAGTTCAGTTACAATATGTTCCCAATAGTAACTACCAAACATTCGTTTTTGCAATAATAAAAATATCATACAAACGCCATCCCTTCAAATAATACAAAATTTATTTTTATTGTACGATTATCAATCTTAAATTGTAGTGATTTGTTTTATTTATACAATAAAATCGATGATGACAGATTTTTTTAATTATGACATTTCGTAGAAAGAAGAGTGTGAGTGAGGATGAGGATAAGGGTAAAGATGATCCCAACACCGACATCCTCAAGATTCAGCTAAACTTTTAAAAATATCTTTTTTTTTATGCTTAAATAGATGTATCTTTGTAAATACTACATTTTGTTTAAAAATAAATAATGTGAAAATAGTGTTAAGAAATAATGATGATCAAAACTATGTTAATTTATTTGGTGATCAAAAGTATTCTCACCCATTAAAGATGTGCAAATATACGAATGATCTATTTATTACTCCTTAATTGTAGAAAATTTTGTATATTACATTGTTATTTCTCTAGAAAAATCTCTCAATCAAAAGCTTTCTTCTGTCTATAGGAATAAAATTGTCATCGAATTAATATATGACATTATCATAATTTTATTTACATAAAAAGACTGGCATCAGCAGCATCTCGATCACATTGTTCATTAGGATCTAGAATTTAAATAGCACAAAACAAAATGAATTTAATGTACCATACGAATAAAATAGAGAACATCTAAACAGACTTACCCTTATAAGATACATAGCAATCACTTGACGGTTTAAAATAAGATTTCAAACATGGTACAAACAAATCCACTACTATGCAAAATGAAGAAGTGCGCGATGTCATCGTGCAAGTTGAAGATGGATAAAGAAGCATGCAAACTACCACCTAGAGAAAACATTCAATATATGACATCAATTTTCTAATTAAACTATTAGATTTAAAAAAGAAGAAGAAACACGCTTGATGAAATAAAATACTGATCCTGAAATGCATCTATACATTCAAGAAGAGTTTGAAAATGAGAAAAAACCTGTTACAGGAGTATTGCTAGGATGGTTGAATCTCTGAATTCCTGATTGTAAACAAGCTATTGCAAAGACTTGTTGTATTAAACATTGACTTGATAGAACACCAATGCAAGCAACAACCTGAAAGTTTTTATCTCTCATTTGCCTAGTATTATTATTTGATAGAAAGAAAAAAGACCATCATCATTCAGATTTCTCCTGGCATACCTGTAAACATGTCTTTAAAAATATTACTGAAAAACAATAGTATATTAAATAGTTCCACCTAAAAACAAAACAAAAATGAAATGCAAGAAAATGTTCAAAATAATCAACATACGATCGTAACATAAAAGCGACACGTTTTGTTAAAAAATCTTGACCATACCAAAGAAAATAAAAGCATGCTATAAGATAACCAAGACCAAGTAGACTAATGCGTGTTGTTCCAGCAAGATAAACAATCGATAAAACAACCCATACGCCATACATAAATACTGCATATTTTATATGATCAAGCCAATGTCGTTTATTTGTTACAAAATCCCATGTTGGATTATTTTTGTACATATCGTCATCGTAAATTATTTCACGATTTGATCCACCAGCATCATTATACACGTGATCCTTTTCGTTTGTTTCATATGCAAATACACGCCATTGTTGACAAGCAAATAGAAATTGAAAGAAATCAGCTACAAATGATTTAACATTTACAGAAGTATTTAATAAATATTAAGTATATATATATATATATATATTACTAATCAACTGGGTTGCCAATGGTGGATCTATATAATCGGGCAGATGAAGCCAATGTCTCAATTGTGGCCAAACTCGTATATTGATATTTGTCCATGGATACTCTTAAAATGATTTGAAAAATTTATTAGACTATTCGAACAAAACTGTAAAATGAATGTCTATCTCAAAAGATGTTCATCTTATGATTATTATGTATGAATATAAGATAATCACTTCTTTTTCAAAGCAAAGGATATCGATAAATTCTCTTCTTCTGCAATTTGTCGTATAATTAGACTGAATTCTAATGATTATTTTGGGTGTTTGAGTCAAAAACATGATGAAAGTAAAAATTTCTTCTATTTAAATCGTGAAAACGAAAACCAACTTGGTTTGTGAAAGCAAAAGCCTTCATCCTGTTCATAATTATGAAAATCAGTGAGATATAAGAAAAGACTAAAATGAAAAATTTCTCAGCTGGGATCAATCGAAAGCTAAGAGTGTTCAATTATGTCGGCATGAGATTATAGTTTTCAGCAAGTTACCATGCAAATCAAAATAGAATGACTTAATGGCTGTTTTCGAATCTAATGGAAAAATAAACTCTGAAATAGTTTTCTCTTGATCAAAATTAAAACTATGCGGTTATGCGCATCTCTAATCCTGAACTGTAGTTCTCTATAATACATCTTTTATTCTTTAAGAATAGAGACATCGATAAGTGTCTTCTAAGTCAGGACGAATACTTTTTTGAAATATGAAAGATTACTTTGAATTCAAATACTGAATAGTTAGATGGACATTCCAAAAAAAAATAATTTAATCACTTACCAAAGCATAGAATCGGTGGTGTTCCAACAGCAATCATGTATTGCAGTGGAAAAGCAATAACTTGAAATAAAATATAAATAGGCCATAATCTTCGCACGGCTCGTCGCCTTGAAATCAAAAATAGGCCAAGCCATATGGCATAAAAAACAGCAACGACGTCAAGACGAACACTGATAACAATTATTGTTGTTATATAGCATATCTAAAGAGAACCGTGATAGATATGTTTAGAAAATGTCTCGAATTAGACATCTTACTTCTAAACCGAATCGATAAAAGAGAAAATTCAAGAAATATTTAAAGAAATTCTTTAAACCTTGATCAGCTTGTTGATAACTAGTAATATCATGTTCGTATGTATCATCATGGACATTTTTTAATGCAAATGGTTCAAATAAAATTGGGAAACGATTTTCAATAAGATGAACATTAAAATGAACTGATAATGTTAAACGACGATGTCTTTGCCGATATCGTACAATTGCATCAAGTGTTAAAACAATTGTTAATATTATATACGTCTAAAAAAGAAAAATCTATCTTTGTTTTTTTTCTGCTTGTGCTTAAGAATTTTATTTCTTTTTACGCCAATGAATTGACCCATATTTGATGTTAATTCAAGACCAAACCATTTTGCTGTGTCATTAGGTATTATATTGGCAGCTGAGCCAAGCGTAACATTTAAATTGAACGTCATATTCGAATCCAATGTCATATTTGAATCAATCTAAATTAATTGTTTAATGATTTAAAAATAAAACGTTGTTCTTTTTGATCATTTTACTTTAGAGCAACTTTTAACAAAAATATTTTTTTCAATTATTTGTTTTTTTGCTATTTCTAACTGATAACACATTGATGCAAGAATATAAATGCCAGTAATAATTAATGTTAATAAATTAATTAATGACCGAAGACGTAATAGTGTTAAACCGATGGTTGTTAAAATAATTAATGATATATTAAATGCACAAACCTAAACAAGAACGAGAATGAATAATAATAATTGTTGCACAAAACAAAGATTTCGACTATATTTCTTTTACTTTGAGTGAAGCAACAAGAACCATCATGAAAAGAACAAGTTTGTATGAATGTAATTCACCGAAACGCCAACTATAATAAATGATTTGCTTATAGAAACGATTGGCTCGAAAATAAAATTTATATAAAGTTTCTAGCCAAGTTTTCGTTTCATTCTTTAGTATCTGTTGACTATGAAGGCTGTTTACATGTTCAGTATTTTCTAAGCATAAAGATTGAAAATGAATAATAATTAAAAACAACAAAGAAAAGAAATTTTACGTTTTGCATAAGCATGAATATCTTTTAATGTGCCATTTGGTATACCTTGAATGTTTTTATCACTAGAAAATTATACGAATAAAACAAAATGGCTTATTCTATCGAAAAACAATGGTGATAGTTTATGCTCTTCGTTAATAACAGACAACTCAAAGAGAAAGAAATATGTTAATTATTACGATGATCATATACATATTATAGTTTACATGTGGAGCGAGGTAGATCATGCGTATTTATGTTCATGGTATGTGAATCTTTCTTGGATGAAAAATTAACGATCAGATACTATAGAATCATATAGAATTTATTAAAAACATAATTTACGGGAAATTGCACACTTGGAGTTTCGCTGTGTTCTCGATCTTCCACAGTTATCAAAAGCCCTTCGGAATTAGGACAATGAGTGCGTTTTATATGCAATTGTAACTTGATTTCGACTTCAAAAGCATTTGCGAGCGGAACATCATTTATACAACTAAAGAATCACTAGAACTCGTGGAACAGTACAACTAAGCAACGGTGATTATCACTGTGAAATCACACCATTGTCATTTGTTCATTAATTTGTGCAACAACAAACAAACTGGATTCAAATTTTATTCAGTTTGTTTGATATAGATACAATTACTTTAAAACTATACTCGACAAGTTTATCGGCTATAGATAGCGATCCAATGACAGTTAAAATTAAGAATAGTCAGCTCTTAAATAAACTTCAACTGTAATCCATGTTAACGTTGATACGATCCAACGTGCGCAGATGAAACTCTCGTGTGTGAAAACGATTTGTCTCGAAAATTGTCTTTTCCTTATTCAACTTCTAATGTTACGCTCATCTTTATGTGAAGCATGTATATTTTGTCTATTTTCTTCTGATTTTCAGCATACTATTAGGCACAAATAAAAGCTTATCAAGTAATATCCACTGAACTTAAATGATAATTTTTAACTTTGTATTTATCTAAAAATGAAGAAATCTGTGTTTCAATCAAGCATAACAGTGGTGCATATGGTATGTTTCTGATGAAAATCAGACAGTAAGACATGCAACAATGAATGATCGTTTCCAAATTCTATCTTATATTAGACGATAAAAAGTTCAGAAAAAATTGATATTATCATAATTTTTTAAGAAATTTCGACAACTGTAGAAAATCGGCCACATTGCCCAATTTCTAGTGCAATTCGAACACTATCCAGATTCTGAATGTTCAATGTTCAGTAAATAATAAAGAATATGCTGAGCATCATTCAACGCATGTGAATCCTTTAGAAACCCATTGCATTGCATAGAAATCATGTTTGTACTATTCAATTTTATCTTTTCTAGAAGATTCATTGATAAATGTTTTGAACATAGTGTATGTGATCTTCATTTCATATTTAAAAAAATAGATACTTCAAGATTCGTTGATCTAAATTAACTTTTTTGTCTTCACTAATAATGTTGACCGATTTTCTTGTATACGACTACAATCTGTTGACTAGAAATTAGCTGATTATTGCTGAGACGGTGTATGTCTTACTCTCTATTTAATACAGCACAGTCATTGTCTCTCCGAAGGATACCAAAAGAAACCGATTTTTCGAAGTTCTACTTCCAATATAACAGGGTAGTTCATTCTGAATGCTTTCGAGTTTTTTTTATTTATCCTATACGATCTTTATTCTTGAATAAATGTTGTAATTCTGCAGCAATTAAATAACAGCGTGGAATCTGTGTATATCATCTACAATATCTTGATGCCATAAATGATACCCATTTTTTTGGACTGAAAAGCAATTAACCTATTCGAAGACTCTCTTGGTAATTATCATAAGTATTCTAGTTTTTCATTCGCATCTATCTTTTCCTTCAAATTATTTAAACTACTAAAAATCAATTTCTCGAACTGTTATCGTAAGAAAAAAAAACAGATCTTTTCTTCATCCTATATAGTCATTCAAAAGAATAACAATGCAAGAAAACTACCTGGGCATCGTAATTAAATCCATCCAACCAGAATGAAAATAATAAAGTTGCATAATATTAACAATAAGAAATGTGCTTGGTGTCAATAATCTAACAGCCAAAACGTCTGATGCAACAGCTTCAAGTCCAATTGATGCAAGGCTTGACGAGAAAAAGAAAACAGTTAGACTATAAAATATCTGTTATTCTTCTTCTTCTTTTTAATTAAACCTTACATTTCTGGACTAAATCGTGCTAATAAAAAATTTTCAACTACTTTAAACTAAAATATAAGAAACAAATTAAATATTATTCAAATTATTCGAGAGCGTCACCTGATAAATATATATTCCAATTAAAATAATCATTGAATAGATGATAATCGTTAAATGAAATGTAGCTGCTGTTCTTCGCCAAAATCCAAATGAAATCTTCAAATAATAATAAAAATTGTTTTTGCATTTTGTATTACTCAATCTGTTTTTACTTGGAATGAAAGAATGAAGAATAAATAAAAAGCCATGTAGATTATTCGATAAATCACAACAGTATTCTGAATGCTAACAAGTAGCAGCATTCCACATGAAAAAAATATCCAATATTTTGTTAAAATATTAATCAGCCATTGTCCTATAATACATATGAAATGCTTTTTTGATTATTTAAAAAAGTTCAAAGATTTTTACCAAGTCGTCGCGGATATGAATCAGGTGATCTACTGAATCGTTGATCTATAAAGAGAAGACAGCATATGAATACTTGTGGATTAAAAAAAATGTTTCTACATAAACAAATAAATTTTTTGAAACCTAAATCAAAAATTTTTCGAATATAGCTAACCTTCAATGGTTGAAACATTAGGATTTTGCCGTTCATTTATATATTGTCGAAGTGTTAACCAAAAAAACATCATATACAATGACTAAGGAGAAATGAAGAATGAAATTTTGATTCCTGTCTTTTTTATTTACATACTTTAGCAAGTAATGGTACGAAGGCTGGATAATAATCATTCGTTTCGATGCCAATTTGTTTCATCGTTTGACGATCATAGGCAAATTCAAATTGATCAAAACTTATGTTGAGACCGCATATATATTGTAATGTTAGCAATATTCCACCATAAAGTGTAAAAAATGGACTCATTCTTAAACACCACTTTCGAGAATTGGGTAATACCCAAAGAAAACATGCCCAAAGAAGAAATACTAATGTTATTAAACTATGAAATGTTATACTCCATACCTAAATAGATTCATTTATAACGATATTAAAATAAATTAATATTCTTTTTGTTTTACCAGCATAGAAATTATCGATAGTAAATAACTTTGTCTTTCTAATACACGAAGTAACGATAATGCAATAAAAACTATTCGTTCTTGCCATGTATGATCACCAGGTTGCTCTAGGCTCCATCGATTTGATGATTTTCGAGGGCTTTGTTCTGACGTATCAGATCTTTCGACAGTTTTAACTAAACTCTATAATATTTACAAGCAGAATTAGTAAATATCATTATGGTAACAATAAATCAAGCTTTGACATTTAGATTAAGGAAATCAAATAATAAATCATAACAAAAAAGTGAATTTCAATGAATTATTAGTACATTGAAATCAAATATTGGGAAAACCTAATACAATAATGATAGAGCATTTAGAGGCTCGGCAGCTACAAAAAGCATAAATACTAAATTTTACGTTTATTTAAAAAGGAACAATACTCACTAACAACTTAGCTGGCTAGAGCTTTTCGCCAAAAATGGACTGATAAAGAAAATGAATGTCCCATTATTGCACAAAAGAAAAGGTTTAATCTATGGAGATTTATTGTAACGCATTATTCGAAGATCTTAATTCATATTGCCCTACAGTTTATATTATATTATTCTGATTTATTTTCTGTTTTATAACTTCTACACGCAGAATAGAATAAACTACATCAATAATTAAATGTTCCCAGATATGTAAAAGATCTTGTGCTAGACAATCATTGTGCTAAATTTTTTCGTGCTGAGTTTCCACCAACCTTTCTTGCTTTATACTTTTTTTTTTGATTCAATACATAGAAGACTACTCATACAGAAGTGTAGAAAAGCATGCAGCCGAATTATATATGAAAACAAAGGCAAACCTGTTTATCGGCACTGCGACGAAAATTCATCTAATTAATTTACATGCAGAATATGACACAAGCAAATGATTGAAACATGAAATAATGATATAATTTTATTCTTAGCCCATTTCTTACCTGTTGTTCCATAGATTGTAGTGTTGTACTGTTCAATCGTATTTTCTGAATAAGAACAAACAAATTGTTTTCTAATAGACAAATGATTCATTTCATTTACTCGTCGAGAAAGGGCTCGATCCGTTTCAAAAACAAGATAGAAATAAAGCAGCATAATAGCACCCGGATTGACATAATCATTCCATGCAAGATTTGTTGCAAGATTTGGTTCATTTTTTGTACAATTAGTTGTTACAATGGCTGTTAAACCTGTGATGCTATTAAAAGAATTCACAAGATAAACGCATGCATATCAATTTTCTCACGCTAGATTTTACTTACTTGCTCCATAATGAAAATGGAGGTATAAATTCTTGAAAAAATGTAAATTGATAGAGATAAAGAGTAAGTAAATGTATGGCCGCATAAATGACTAATAAGGAACGGAATAATACAAATTTTCTACCGAATTTGACAGATAATGACCATGTAAATGCCATAATAATAAAGAAAATGAAATAAACAGAATTGATTATACTTGGATAGACGAATGCAGCACCACCCACAAAAATAAATTGAATAAATAGACGTATACGTCGTATTATTGACAGTACGCGTTGCCAAAATTTCCCCTTATTTGCTCTACTGATACTGTTAGTTTTTGATGGTGATATATTTGTTTCATTTGATATTGCAGATATTTGTAGTTCGGCAGTTTCGCGTCGTTGTAATTTCACTAGTATACGCCGGATAATAATAAAACAAATTGTCGATACAGCGAATATGATGATATCAGGAAAGACCAATCGTATGATTCGAATAACGTCAGCATTATCCAAACTTTAAATTAAAGTAAACAAAAACAAAAATAATTTACACTATGACAATTATCTTTTTGTTCAAACATACCGTTCCAGACCAAAATATCGAAGAATCAGAGTAATCGTCGTACCTAATAATAAAGTTCACAATTAGTTACTGTTATTTTTTACTGATTTCAATAATACATACAACTATTGAGCGTATGACCATAAGGCTTTTTGGCAACAAGAATGGATTGAAAGATTATTTGAGCAATAATAGCGACAAGACTAATTAAAGCAACAATAATGATAAATAAACGATAACGAGCTAAAATATATTTCTCGGGGTTTATAAAAATGAAACATTTATTTATAACTTTACTTCGAATATTTCGTCTGTTTATTGAACCTAGCCATGGAATAGCAAGTAGAAGAAAACCATAGATAAACGAAGCAAAACTGTATCGGAAAACAGTTCCTAAAGATTTTTGAGTTAAATTAATATATTAATAGTAAAAAAACTTTTATTTTTACCGCTGAACAATACAATAGGAAGAAGGATGAATAAAAGGCCAGTTAAGATTGATCCACTCATGAAAGATAAAGACCTAGAGATAGAATTTTTTAAAAAATGAGTCTATAAATAATAATTATACAATCAATTTTTCTTTCTATATTCAAGCGTCATGAATTCTATTTGAATAGAATGTCAAAGGTTCTTATAATTCAAACTTTGATTTAGTATTGCCATGCCGTCGACAACTGCAAATGTTAATGGTAATATCTAATATCGGCAAGAAATTCAGTCACGTCTGCACTAACTATTTATGTGCAATACTTTAACCTTCATTGTTAGTCTTGAATAGTATTTTTCATTTAAGGGAGGGGGGGGGGGGCGTGCCCCCCCAATTTTTGATTCAATAGGCTCATTTTTTTACGTATATCCAAAAATTTGTCTTCTGGCGTCTATAACTCGGACTAGGTACACCCAGATAAAAATAAAAATTGGAGGATATACGTAAAAAAATGAGCCTATTGAATCAAAAAAGTGGGGGTCAAGAACCCCCGCCCCCGTTAACAGTAAAAATACAACAGAAAAAGAGATCATATAGACAAAGGTTTTAACTAATTAATATATTCGAATAATGTCCTCTAAAAAGCCATATCCGTCGTATGATTGCAATAGAAGCATTAATCTAGAGACTCCAAGATCATTGTATATTTCGATATCTATTCTATTTTGTTTCTATTCAATCTGAAACACGTCAGTTTTTGTTTCTATTCAATCTGAAACACGCCAGTTTTTGTTTCTATTCAATCTGAAGCACGCCAGCTCTTGTTTTTAGAGAAAATTTTTTTTCCTGCTACAGAGATTAAAAAGCCTCGATAATACTAATAAAGAAAAAATAGTAATTATTGAAGTGGCCCATGTGACTAATGACAATGGATTTCTGTCATTCATAGAAAATATCTTACTTCTCATCAACTACCATGGATAATGTAGGAATTAACATAGGATCATGAGAGGATATAATCGATATATTTCTTGGAGCTTCTATTATATTATTTCTTGGTAATAGTTGATCAGATTTGGATAGATAGATTTCATCTTGTTTTGCTGGTATTGAATTGTCACGAGTATAATATCGATCCTTATTAGGATCGCTGTCATAGTCATTATTTGTTGTTTGTCTTCGTCTTGGTTGTGGATGTTGAAGTTCAATATCAAATGTATTATTAGATGATAGTCTTCTATTTGTAGAATCAGTTGAGTTTAAATCAGCTTTATTGGAATACATCATTGCAATGATTATAGATGTACAAAAATAGATGGATCGATTTTATTCACTTTACTGATAGTAGTGCCAAAAAATGTGAGTAAAAAATAATGAGTAAAAAACAGAACGATAGCTCCAATGTGTCTTTCTCTTTTTATTAGCAATGATGGAATTGATGATGATCATGTACACACACGAATGTGGGAGTCGAAAAAATTATAGATGAAGAGAAAACTATTTACAAATGACTTATGCTCTTCTTGTCTCCTGTCTACCGATTTCTTTTTCGCACTTAATGAGTGAGGGCGAATAGTTTATAGACATTTGTACATACTAACTACAACAGTATTCTTTTATGTTCTTTACTTTCTGTTTTTCTTTTATGATCCCATTTAACATCATAAATATATAAAATAACACAGCATTTAATATGGTGAAATGATTCAACACTCATGTCAGCCTACTATTTATCTTACCTATCTATGGTAAGATGATTATTTCTGTTGGAATGTTATAAGTGTTCGTGAAAGAATCAATTCTCATCATGAAGCTATGTACGATCAAAGAGAAACATGAGCAAAAAAAGCGACTAATCTACTAAGACCAGTGAGGCATTGAACTTTTTGTATCATTTTCTCTTTGTTTTTATTTATTTATTTAAAATAACATGATAGATTTTATTCTGTTTTCGGATCTTACAACAAAAACAATTTAAGAAAGAGAAATGATGTTTTTTTTTTTCTTATTTTAATGTATCATGTTGTTTTCCATGATCTCAAAATTTCAATAGTTTATTGTTGTTGTTGTTGTTGTCGAGCAAGTTTTTCTGCAACTTGTTTGGCTATTGTGTCCATATTTCTTCGTCCTATTTGTGAAAGTACACGACCACCTGATGCATGTTTTTCGACAAATTTGACTTTTTCTAGTGATTGTATACATTTACGTACAACACTGCGTGAACCACGTTGGAAATGAGATGGACGTACACCTTTACGTTTACGACCACCATAGATACGAGTAAAAGCGCCAACGCCTGTTCGACGTAAATAAAGAAATCGGGCTATTGATGCACATCGTGTATAATACCAATCAGGATCGACGGGTGCCATTTCTTTGTTAATACATAATTTGACAATATCTACACCAATTGCCAGATGGTACTTCAAGTTTGCCGGGTTTTTTTTTGAGATAGTCAGAAAATGGAGCATTANGTACTTCAAGTTTGCCGGTTTTTTTGAGAAATTCAGAAAATGCAGCAGTAAATTGTTGTTGATCAACGTCTTTTACGGAGCCACGATCGATTGAATCCATTTTTATGTTAGTAGTTTTTTTTTGGATTCTGTTAGAAAGATAAGAATCTGAAATTTCCAAGAAGAATTTCACTTATTATTTAATACTTTAAAATTTTTATATTCAATTCAATAGGATGCTATAAAGACAACGACAACTAAAACAAAAAATAAATAAATATGAAACACTTTGATTATGATCCGAATGGTTTGTTCTCCACCTATTCACCATCGATCCTTTCACATACATCAATCCTCTGCAGAAAACTTGAAATATAGCTAGTAATAGAAAAACTATAATGAAAAACATTTATAATCAATAGAAAACCCATTGGAATTTAAATTTAAACATCAAAAACAAATATCAAGAGGATTTCATGAACAAATATTATAGATGTCGTAAGGCGATGTAACGTTGCATGTGCCTGTTATTATCAAATTGTAATACTACATGAGAAAAAATATCAGATTCTTCAAAATTAATATCTTGAATTTCATATAATTTCAGCTGCTTATCACCAAAGTAATGCTAAAAAAATATTATCTACTTGCAATAGTCTAAATAAATCGAGCTTTCTTTACATAACAGTGTCGTGAGTTCTCATTGACAATCATCTATGAACAATAAAAAACAAGCCACAATTGTACTACTATTAAAATCGCAGCGATTCAATGAATTATACAATAAAAAAAAATGCATCAAATCTCACATCATACTGTTCAACATCTTGTTTATTATACTAAATTCACGTTGATATATTTTCACTCTGAAATCGGTATCAATTATTGTTATCGCCATTGAAACTTCATTGTTTGTGATCGTTTCTGTGCAGATGAATCTAGAATTATGACTATACAATTAATACTAGGCATTACTTTAGTTTTACAAAAATCATACTATAGAAAGATTCTTTAGAAATGCCTTATCACCCGAACACTGAAGACAATGAGTAACATTCTAAAAAGTGACTTAAACCTACTCTAGTATTGATTCGTCATTGAATATTCATTCTGCAGAAAATTCTAACTGGCGTGTGCTGAGATGTTTCGGATGTTTTATCACTTGCATTTGTGAAATAGATCATGGTAGCTCTAAAATATTCAGCGAGTGTTTTAGATTTCGTAATCAGAATAATCACAAGCTCATACAGAGGTATTGACTCAACAAGAATAGTCCTCACCACTAAAAACTGAGTTAAAAAACATATATACATGTGATACAATACGCTCCTAGTTCAATATCAGTACAGCAAGTAGAAATAATTAGTAATTTGATGAATAATATGATTCATAATTTAAAGTACGCAATATAAGGTTATATGATGTTTGTTCTCATCCAAATGGCATTAAAAGACTCGACATCTGCATCATGATAAATGCTACGATTGTTGATCATATAAATGAGCTACCACCGACAATTAATTTTAATTGTTAGCTATGTCAATAATACTCAGTTCTAATAGCTATTCAAGTGTTGAACTTCTAAAGCAACAGCAATTCGTGTGAATATGGACGGTACGATACTATGTAGTTTTAGTATCACCCGTAAATATTCACTTCATTTCCATTGATCTGACAAATTCATTTTGTCGTATGAATGTTGTTTATTCTATTGAAGAGTATCTCTCTATGCATTACATTATAGAAAAAAAAACACAATTTGCTTTTTTTTTTACTATTATTGAAAGATTCAATAAGACAATAAGGAAAAGCTTAGTTCCAGAATTTTCTCACTCAAAAAAGAAAACTAACTAAAAGTTAAACCTTGAAAAACGCTTTCAAGATCGATTTCATTGCACTACTATTTTTAGTGCCCTTGTTTAAACAATAAAAATTGATTAATGTAAACTTTAAACATTTTTTGTTTGTCACCTTATTACGTTTTGTTACTAGTGAAATTTGCTCTCTTCGTTCGTCTTTCACTGTATGTCACTATTTCATATGTGTACACTTGACGAATATAAATAGAAGTGGCATATGGTAATGCATGTCGATGCATGATTTCAGACATATTGATCTTGAGGGCTTTCATTCTTTTATTTCAAGATTGAGAAAAGTACATAGCATAACATCTTTACGTTCGCCGTAGTATTATATTTCATTACTGTTCTCACAGTAATTTTATATTTTTAAAAAGCTTTTCACCTTAAATAAACATTTTGGAGAGTAAAAAGACTGGATATTTTTTTTATACGACAACATGACCAAATAGAAACCTTCAGTTTAGTAAGGCCCCTATCGTTCTAACATCGTATTGGTTCATCATTGTCATAGATTATTGGCCGGTTCTGAACAACTTTTACATTAAATGATTCATTGACCTATAAAACATTAAAAAATGTTTTTTTCTCTTTTTCATAAAAGTACGATTAACTACAGATGTATCACGACGATAACGTATGCTCTCTATTTTTTCATTGTGTAACAATTGTCATGTAGACGTTATATATTGACAAATTCTTTAATAATTTTAACAATAATTATTCCATTTTTACTTTGCTGTTTAATGTGACTTACTTTAAATATATGATTAATAGATAGATTCATGTCATTTATTTTTCAGATAAAAATGTCGCTCGATACATTAACTCTTGCAATTATTGGTGGCTTTGGAATTATTTGTGTTTCTATTATTTATCTAATCAAAAATAAAAGTTCATCCGGTAATACTAAACAGAGTAAAAAAAAGAATGTGATAATTTCATTGGCAAATCCTGACACAAAATATAAATTTCCATTAGCGCACAAGGAAAATATTTCCCATGATACACGTCTCTTTCGTTTTCAACTTCCATCAACAAAACATGTGCTTGGTTTACCTGTAGGTCAACATATTTATTTAACATCCCATATCAACGGTGAACTTGTTAAACGACCATATACACCAACAACATCTGATGATAATCAAGGCTATTTTGAGCTTGTGATAAAAGTTTATCCTAATGGTAAAATGACTCAGTATCTTGATAAATTTTCTATTGGCGATGTGATTGATGTTAGTGGCCCATCAGGTAATCTTATTTATACAGATAATGGTTTATTTGATATACGTCCACGCAAACAAGATCCTTTCGTTACTCGACGTATTCATAAGCTTGGTTTAATAGCGGGTGGCACAGGTATAACACCAATGTATCAAATACTGAATGAAATATTGAAAGAACAAACATCCAATGTACCTGGTGAGCGTATCGATATAAAAATTTGGCTTCTATTTGCGAATCAAACTGAAAAAGACATTTTATTACGTGATGAATTAGAACATTTGGCTGCATCGAATTCTGATCGTTTTAAGTTATGGTATACAGTTGACCGTGAAAGCGAAGAATGGAAATATTCAAAAGGTTTTATTAATGAAGATCTATTGCGTGAGCATATGCCACCTCCAGGTGATGATGTTTTAATATGTATTTGTGGTCCACCACCAATGGTTAAATTTGCATGCATACCTAATTTGGAGAAATTAGGTTATGCTGAAAACATACGATTTACATTTTAATGCAATATGCTTAAAAGAGACTTCTGTTCTTTTCATGTTAGCATTTACTATCATCATCATCATCATTAGTTTATCTTTTTTCTAGATTTTTCTTTTGGTTGACATTAAAAGTGAAACAAGATAAAGAATAAAATAAAACACTTTTTTTAATTATTCATAATTTGAACATTTTTTTTTCTAGATCAATATCTCTTTTTTCTCACAATATTTACTGGAAAGATTGATATCAATTACATACGTGTGTGCTATTTATTGTTACATCATATTTTATAGAAAAAAAAATAGTACTAGAATGAAGTGATGACAATTTGCATTGAACATTTATGCATGGATTGTAACATAGTCGACATATAGAGATTTGTTTATGTCCGATTAGACAAGCAAAGGTCGTTCATACGACGTGAACAAAGTCATTATTATATGTGAACATCAGATAGGCCACGTTATTCTCCACATAGTTTGTATGTCAAACATAGAAATAAATAGTTGTCTCTAATCGATACTTGAAATAGATTTAATGTGAATGTATGTCTCTGTACATTCTCTTTCATAGATCGATAAGGTAGATGGGACTGTTCTCTAAGGACGAAGAAGAAAACAAAAAAAAGAAGTGTTGTCTTAATACAGCTTGCTTTGATCTTGCTTGAGCACAGGCTAGATTGTAAACAAATATATATATATATATATATATATGCGCGTAGAGATAGTGTCTTGTTAGATTGACTTATGGCTACAATCGTTGTCTACAGGTAATCAAAAAAAAATAAATATTGATGTTGATAAAAGAAACAGAAAAAAAACCATAGACACAATTAGAAGTAACAATAATGAAGATCGAGACGAAGAAGCATTACGCTTGCGTAGCCATATCCGATTTCAGACAACTTTCTCTTCAACTCGTGTATGTCTGTGTTCTGTGATTAAATAAAAGTTGTAGTGATAGTAGGAGTTGTTTGTTTCTCTTTTTTTTCTTGTTCTTAAGAGTTTAGCTAGACGAATAGTGGGCGATCGAGTAGGTGGCCGAGGTAGATGTTAACCTTTCTTTTTTTCTTCTCTCTCGTCCTTTCTCGCGCTCTCCCTCCTTCTTTCTACCTATACCGGCATGAAAAAAGAAAACGAAGAATACGAGAAGAAAAAAGAGAACTGTACATTTAGAATATATGTTCGAAAGGGTTGCGCTAAAACGAAGGTCAATATTGCCAGCTCAATAGAAGTACTCCCTATATTTGTATACAACCATCAAAGGAGGTCTCAGAATTGAATCGATAAGTAGTCAAACATTATGAAAAGAAAGCAAGAACAGTACTTTCTTACATGTTTGCATCATTGATTCAGCGCTGTTATTTTGTTGTTGTTTATAGACAGCTGAAGGGCTCGTTATCGACGTGAACTACGAAGGATGTGAATTACTGTAATGCGTGATCGACAAACATCGTCTCCTTTCGAATTACTCATATCGTCAACTAAAATGGCCTCTACAACGTGTAATACTGTTATCGGTAAGACAAGAAAAGATTTTATATTGAAGTAGGCAATCAAAAAATCATTTATAATCTTAGAGCTTTTACCCGGTCTTGAATCTTTTTTACGTTCGATGTTAAACAGCACACATCTGGATCAAGATCACCAACAAATTGCTGCCATGTATGTTAGTAAACTTGATCAACTTGGTAAACAAAAAACTCCACAGCAAACATCCACCATTGATGATCAATCATTGTAAATAGTAGATATTTGAAAAGGATACAGAAAATATTGTTTCCTCTTTAAGAATTCATACAGATATTGTATCTGATGCAGAAAGCGACGATTTTACTGATGAAGAAGAAGAAGAACGAAAAAAAGATCTAGAACAACAACAACAACAACAACAACAACAACAACAACTGATAACACCAACTGTTTCAAGGCGTTCATCAGCCAGTGATAATCAATTATATCATGATACGCGACGCAAGTCTAGTAGTGGTAATAGTCAATGGTACATAGATATGCCAAAAAATGCTTATTTAGAAGCCTTACCAACACAATCTTCAAGTAGTAATTAATTTTTATTTAATAAAATAATCAATAAAACTTGCTTTTATTTTCGTTTTTTTAAACGACAATTTAGAGCATGATGCTAGTTTGTCATCAAAAGTGCCAAGTCGGTTATCAATGTCAACACCATCATCCAGTGTCATTGCCGATGGTCTCTTACTTACATATGACGAGAATCATAGTTGGATTTGGCGTTATTATGTTCTTGATGATTTTGATCTTATCTGTTTCCCAGCTGATAAAAAAACATTACCAACAAATCAATTACAGACAGATAATGATTCTTCACCATTATGGGTATCCGATATGACCAATGCAAAAGTTCATACAACAATTATCGATAAAGTGGAATGTTTATGTCTACAAATTGGTCTTGCCGAAGCAATTTATGTACGCCCATCGGACCCAGATCAAATGAATATGTGGCTTAAGGTACTATTTTTGATCTTATATTGGTTGAAATGTTAATTTCAATATTATTTCTCTGAAGGCATTTCGAGAAGCTGCATCAGCACAAAAATCAAAAGATAATTCCAAAAATCGAAGTAATGTGAAAACACTTTCACGTAATGCTCGTCGTATGTTTGCTCAATTTAATCGTAAGAAAGGTCAAATTGTTTCACATTTACTTGATCAAATGGCTAATGTGACAGGTGTCGATGAAAAAACACGAAAACATTGCGAATTACGAGGTAAATTAGTTCTTTAACAAAAAATAGAATAGATCAATTGATTCATTTTATTTTTCTTTCCGTCAATTAGGTTTTCTTGTTGTTTCTCTTGATAATACTACATTTGTTACTAAATATTGTACTATAGTCGATGGAATATTTCGTATACATAAATCACGTTTGAGTGAACAAACTGAGCATGAATTATGTTTAAATCGTTGTAAATTATCATTTCCTGAAGAACGTACACGTGATATACAATTTGCCTTAATCGATGGAGACGTTGAAACAATTTTTATTCGTGGAAATAATATTTATAGTATGGGAAGACTATTAAATACATTAGCTAAATATGTTGAAATCATTGGTAGTTCACAATTTGCTTTTACATCAGGTGGAAGTGAACGATCAACGCCATTAATTAAACATCGGCAATCAACAACTAATTTATCTCAACCACATATCTATTCTGATGTTGATGCTTCCTCATCGATTATAACTATGTCGCAATCAAATGGTACAATATAGAAAATTTTAAGAATCAGTTTAATAAAAATATATGCACTTTTTTGCTTATAGAAATTTATGCTCCATCAAGTGTGAAATCTTTTTCTACTCCACAACATTCAACATCAAATATAAAAGCAACTATCTATCATAATGCATCAAAACTGCACGATAACGATACTGATGATCGACCATTTTTTTTACCAGTGCGTCGACCAACACATGATAGACATATAGTATCAAATCAACAGAATATTATAACTATAAATGAAACCTATGATCGACCAAAACCATTTGATAACGTTGCATTAATGTCAACATCAATCGATCGAAATAACAATCAAGTCTTTGAAGCCCCACAACGAAATGATAAAACTAAAACTGAAGATAAAAATGTGTAAGATTTATTTTATTTTAAGTCGAAATAAAATTTATATTCGTAATCACTTGTAATTTAGTTATTCTAAATCTCGTTCATCGACGAAAAGTTTGTCACATTCTCATCGTGCAAAATCAAAATCATCTCCTTCAACTGATTCTTCATCGCCCTCTGAAAAAACTGCTTTTTGTTTACGTTCATCGAATTCTTCATCGTCGAATCATCGTAATTCTCGACGTCGTCCAAATCCATTGCCACGTCGTTCATCAACACAAACAACACCAACTGATTATGTTAATAAACTTGCTAATTTATTTACGAAAAATTTTTCTACACCATTAACATCAACATCAATATCCAATGAAAATCACATAAGCACGCAAACATATGAAACAATTTCAGCTACATCATCGCCTCGTTTTACTACTGATCATATGACTACTGATAATATTCGTCCTACATTCAAAGGATATGTACGATAATTTTGTGAAAATTAAATTAAATTTGAAAAATTAATTTTTTGTCTTATAGCCAATGCCAAAACGTGTTTATGATATTCCAATAACAATTGAACGTCCGACAAAACGTCTTATCACACCATTCGAACAATATCAACAACCAGGAATACGAAATTCTCGTTCCGTTGAACCAATATCAGTTGTTCAATCAAATAAAAAAAATGATGACGACGACGAAGATGAAGAAGAAGAAGAAACACCTTATGCTCACGGCTATGATAATTTAGCAAAAAATGATGGTATTGGAAAATTCCGTTTTGTCATTCCATTTAATCATAGTCCAACATCGGCTTTTACAACATCAAAATCAACTATGAAACCAATAAATTCTCCAGTAAGTTCAACATCATCAACAATCAGTTCATATTCAACTGTTCGTCAAGCATCATCATCGTCAAATAATAATTCAAATTTGAACAACAACAACAACAGCAATGATAATATTCGATCAACGTTGATGACAGCCGTCTAGAATCATATTTTTTGCTCATTTATCTTTCAAGTATCGAACTTATTTTAACTTTGTAACAGTATCATCATTCACCTATGTTCTTTTCAGTGCTTTTCGTTTTTTATGCAAATCGTTTGTTTTTCTTCTCTCGCTTCATATTTAGTGATAGAGCTTGTGTTTGCACTAGTTCGTTTTCGTGTTTTATGTCTAGCATCAACATTCTGTTATATGTTGATGTAATGTATATTTTGGGAAAGAAAAGAAACTCAGAATGATACATCAGGAAAAAAAGCAACAAATGCAATCTCAGAGATTTTTTTTGTTGTCAGATAGATGAATTAAGTTTGTGAAAAAGATGAAACAATAATTGGAACAGTTGAGACAAAGCTGAATGTCCGGTTATTGTGTGTTTTTTCGCTTTTTTTCCCTTTGATTTCAGGAAAAAATTACAACTTTTTATGTTTTTACTGGAATAGAAATCAAAGTAAACTTTAAAAACATTTATAGATGTTTTTATGTTTGTTTTAGATTAGTCGTTATTTTGATCGTTGGTGGCAATTGAAATGGTAGGTTTTTAGATTTCATAGTTTTTGTTCTATAAAAATAAAATACTATTGAAATAAATCATACAACTGATATACTGTACGCGTACGATTAAAGGTAGCCGATTTGTATCTAATCAGAATTAATCTACATTACATAGATACACTCACAGTCATAGTGCAGTATTTAAAAAACTGTCTCTCTTATACGATAAAAAAATTTACTCTTTAGTTTCTTTTATTAAGACCAACAAAGAAAAATATGAAATCATGTCACACTCTACCAATCAACAAGTGATGTACGATTTACTCAGTACCGTTCTACTTGAAAAATTTGATCCAGTTCGCTAATCATATTCTCAATCGATTTTCTTCATAAAATAATACTGATTTCTAATTCTTAAACATATTTTCAAACACAATTTACTGCTTGATCATATTTGAACTGTTTGTTGTTTTCATCCGTATGCTTTTCTAAGAATTTCTAGTTTACAGAACGATAAGTAATTTTGATTGTCGAGATTTCGTTTATTAATTTATCCGATTCAGGTATAAGATCATACAGGAAAAATTAAATTGATCTATTCGTAGGACATTAGTTACAAAACTATTGTAAACGAACCAGAAAATCAATAGCTATTATCTCTTTCGAAATGATTTTAATCTCGATTGACTATCTTTTCGATCTGTTAAAAGATGTGAAAGTTTTTCGTTTTAACAGTATTAATATTGTTGCTAATCGCATATGGTAGTTATTGTAAATTGATATTTAAGAAAAACTTTTCTAATTTTTCTTTTGTTTAGATTCAATTTATTTTATTGTTCAGTCGACAAGGCAAACTTCGTCTTCAGAAATGGTATACATCACAAACAGAAAAATCAAAGAAAAAAATAACACGTGAACTAGTTGCAACAGTTCTTGCACGCAAACCAAAAATGTCGAGTTTTCTCGAATGGAAAGATCTGAAAGTAGTCTACAAACGGTAAATAAAATTCCTAAGTTTTTCTTTTCTTTTCAAATAAGTAATTTATTATTGATTTTTTGTTTTCAAATAATTCTTACATAGATATGCTAGCCTTTACTTTTGTTGTGCAATTGAACAAGACGATAATGAACTATTAACACTTGAAACAATTCATCGTTATGTTGAATTACTCGATAAATATTTTGGCAGTGTAAGTAAATCTATTTTCGTATTTTTCATTTTTAAAATTATGGAAATAAATAGGTTTGCGAACTTGATATTATATTTAATTTTGAAAAAGCGTATTTCATCTTTGATGAATTTATATTGGGTGGTGAAATTCAAGAAACAAGCAAAAAAAGTGTTCTGAAAGCAATTAATGACCAGGATGTTATTCAAGAGGTAAAATAGGATTTCTTTTAGGAATATTATTTTGTTTTTGAGGATTTTGAGCGGAAAGCTATTCACACACACATACACACACACAGCTACTTATAAAATATAGCAGCAAAATAAACAAGCAACAATTCAATATTTCAATGCTAATCTAAGATCACACTTTGTTATATATAATTCACAGGATGATCAACTACAAGAAATACTTTATGAATACGGATTGCTTTGAAATTGTTTTTATTTGTTATTATGATTCTTTCTTCTTTGTTCTGAGTATAAATTGATAGTAGAGAGGGTGCTTGGTTCGCGTTTTAATTCTCCTTCTTCTTATAATGATCATTGACATGAATGATAAAATGGTGTGCCTATCTCAATGCTTTACAGTTTTTCCTCTCTGTCTGTCTATTTCTAGGAAGAAACGCCACAGGGCTTCTTTGAAGATCATGGTCTTGGATAATGAACTCTACTATTATAACGATAATCATACACTATATGACGCATACACTTTTGCATGTGTTTTAATCCTTTTTCTGTTGTTTCTGCCGTCATAGCTATATTACTAATAGATTATTTCCGTTCATTATTTAGTCAGATCAAGTATTTGCAAAAATTTGCTTTTGTTCTTCTTTTAATCGTTGTCTCTATCAACAGTTGCATTTTTTTCTCTTTTTTGTTAATTTCGTTTCTGTTTTTTTTGTTTCTCACACATACACTTATGAACAAAATAAAAGTACACACGATGCATGAAAATGATATCATTTATGTTTTTGATGTACCTCGATGTATGTGTGTGTGCGAATAAGCTTTCTTGACTTAATTTATTTCTTAGTTTATATAATTTTAATTTATTTCTTTTGTTTTATTTAAATATTTTAGGAAGAACTGGAAGAAAAACGCAGTGTTCTTGAAGATCTTGGTTTGGCTTAAGGCATCAATAATTTTTTTTCTTTTTCTTTTGTTTAACCTTGATATGGATGTATTTGATTTCTTGATCTCATTCCTTTTAACTGTACGTTCCAATTGTATTTGTTTAATTGCTTGATTGTCTTAAAACCGAGAAATGAAAATTATGAAACTTTACTGGTTGTATTTTCAAAATAAACTTTGATTATTTAATTGATTATTTGTTTTTAGTTAAATAAATGATTCGAAGTTTAACAATTAAACGTTTTTATCATTCATTGAGAGTGTTGGGTATTGAAACGAGCTGTGATGATACAGCAGCGGCTGTTGTTGATAGTAACCGAACTATTATAAGTCAAGTATGTCGAAATCAATTCAAATATCATCAACCATGGGGTGGTATCGTGCCAAATATTGCAAAAAATCATCACTATGCAAATTTAGTACCAGTTGTAGCTGAAGTTATGAAAGATATTGAATGGAATGTGAGTCAATTAATACGAAAAATCAATTTCAAAACAAAAATAAACATACATTTAAACTCATTTGATAACTATATACGTAAACGTATATAAAACGCCATGTTTATTTAGTTTTGAAGTCGATCATAGATTGATATGTTCAATAGATTTCATTGAACTCTTATTTAGTCTAGACAATTGCTGCTATTGCTACAAGTATTAAGCCAGGTCTTGTTATATCACTTTGGCAAGGAATAAAATTTACTCGTCAACTACTTGAAAAATACACACATCTATCATTTATTCCCATTCATCATATGGAAGCACATGCACTCACTGTTCGTTTGACACATGAGTAAAGATATAATTCTTTTTCTTTTTACAAATCCATGAATGAATGCATGCTTTTCGTTTGTAGTGTTCCGTTTCCATACATGGTTTTATTGGCTAGTGGAGGTCATTGCATTTTAGCTATTGTAGAAGATATTGACAAATTTTATCGACTTGGTGAAACACAAGATATTGCTCCTGGTGAAGCATTTGATAAAGTCAGTGTGATATGTTTTTCCTCATAGTTGGACGCAATCAAAAGTTGTTTTTTAATATTTAATAGAGTGCACGTGAATTGAAATTACACAAACATCCACTTGTTGAAAATATGGTGGGAGGTGCAGCTATCGGATACTTGGCACGAGAAGGCGATGAAAAACGATATCAATTAATAACATCGAAATATTCAGCTAAAATGAGAGATTGCTCTTTCAGTTTTGGTGGTATGTTATCACGAATCCGACGAGTCATTGCAAAAGGCGGCTTATATTCAGGTATGTATTCTTATATTTCATTAGAACTTTGATAAGACTTCTAATTTTATTATGTTTTCAGAATCATCGAATGTAGATGAACAAAAATTAAAAGATTTCTCTGCATGTATTCAGTCAAGTATTGTTCGGCATATAGAAACACGCGTACATCGAGCAATACTATTCTGCGATGCAGTTCAAAAACCACAATGGAAAAGAAGACTAGTATATGAATAGAGAACAATTTTACATGAAATTTATTTACGAAATCTATTTCAGGTTCTTTCTGGTGGTGTTGCAAGTAATTTATATCTTCGACAATGTATAAATGATCTATGTACTCACTATGGAGTTGAACTTTTTTGTCCACCGGTAGAATTCTGTACTGATAATGGTGTAATGATTGCTTGGTAAGAATTATGGTGCTTATTTTTATACATCCATATCATAGATTGTTTTCAAAGGAATGGCATTGAACGATATAGACAAAATATGAATGTATTTGAAAGAATGTCTGATACTCTTGTTCCTGAAGGTCGAGCACCATTAGGCTCAGATATCAGCGAACAAGTACGCGCATGCAACATCAGTGTACCATTCGAGTGGAAAAGTATTCTTGAAAAGAAAAATATCTTATTGTGATTGAAAATCAAAATAAACAGGAGAAAACAAGTATCATGAAAAATGAGTACTAACAAATATTTTACACTCTCATTTCACTATTTTATTTCTTATTTTGTCAGAAGAGATCGATAACATTGATAAACATAGAATAATTAGCTAAATATAGTATTCGTATTGTATCACAATACAATATTAACTATCATCCATGATGAACTATTCGAATATTTTCAATATCTGATTGAATCATTTTATATCTGTAGTCTAACTAATAAAACGTGTTCTAATATCAACCATGAAAAATACATACAGATGAAAAATAATTCACAGTTCATAACAACACTTTATCGGTTTTAAATGAATAATTATTTAAACTAGACATATTTATTGCATTTTAGTGAATATCATACGTAACTTAACATAAATGAATGTCAGTATTGATTGTAAACTTAAAAAATATAAAAATTCAAAGCCTCGGCGAACAAGAATTGCAGATAAATAACAGATTTGTATTTTGTGAGAGACCAAACTCTTGAATGAATAGGATGGAATTTTATATTACCAGCGAAAAACTCGATCTAAATTAACAAAAAGATAATTTAGATGGTCTTCCAATATTTTGACAAGAAAAGAAACTAACAGTTAAAAGTTTAATTCAACACAAATGACCTATAACTTGAATATGAAATCCGCTATTGAATATATTTTAATCATGCATAAAAAAAAGTCGTCGGCTAGATCGGATGTATATTTGAGAGTTCAAACTACTGAGCCAACTTTATCTGAAAAGTAGATTGCAAAGATTACATCAATAGTTCTTACATCAACATAAACATTTGAATCAATGCATCAAATATACTCCTTATTCACACTTGTAACAATTTCAAATTAATTTCGTCAGATATGAATGTGATGAAGCTTGCCTTCTCTTACATAGACAACCAATGAAAAATATAATCATTTGAGTAGAAATACTCAGCGAGAAGTAAAACGCTCAACATCTAAAGTTCACAGTTCACAAAAGATACAGTACGAATCACAACAAGAGCAAATCAAATAACACCTTGTCGTCATTAAATACTACAAAGAATCCTGAGCTTAAAATTAAAGTTTAAGATGTTTTTTCACTCTTAATGATTCAATTAGAAAAAACTAATTCAATTCTTTTATTCTTATCTCAATAGAAATGATCTTCAAATGAAAAATAAAGCATTTATTTTTGTTATTAGCATATGAATAGTGAAATCAATTTAAATTGTAGCCGAGACATTGTCGTGCACGTTTCTATATTATATTATTATCTATTGTTTGTTTAACACCTTCGTGACAACAACCATTATCAAATAATATTAAATCGATGTATAAATACCTCAAATTAAAAGGCTCAAGTACATGAATTGTACGTGCTCTTCTCGATCGATCTATTCCTTAGAAACAAATCACCAATGAAATTATTACTCAATCGCTTTAATAACTTTCTATTTTCTTTTCTTTTACAGTAGACACGTTAGAACGTAAAATATGATATATCAAACAATGAATTGAAAGGTCATGCTACTCGGAATGAAGTACTTGAATACCAAGATATAGGAACTGGTATACACGCAACACTTTGATACGAATAAATTTTCATAACTGATTAAAAAACATAAATGCATGATACATTAATCTATAAATTTATTACCGCATGAAAAATAAAACAAAATAGTTATTATTTATTAACATAGCCTACTGTGGAAAAGGGTACCTATGAAACATTCAGAAGAACAAGCAGAAATTTTTCATTGATGTTCTTTATCATAACTTGTCTGAACTGAAAAAACATCTGCTTATCATATTTGTACTTATTCCAACTGTCAAATAACAGATAGAGACATTTAGATACATAAATCGGTAGTCTATGATGAAAAAAATGTGTATAAAATTTATATTATTCAATGTGTGTCAAGAAAAATTTGATTCAGTTACAAAAAAACTTGGCATTTATAGTTCAAACGATAAATATTCGTTATTGTTGTTAACCTTTTATTGATGTGAACGTGATAGATCGACAGATGATTGAGCATACAGTTGATATGTGTATATATATATCAACTAGGCTCTTAGCTCTTCGAGAATATAGAAAGGAAGAAGGTATTGCACTAAGGTCACTTGTGTTGTTTTGAAGTTATTAATCTTCGAATTGATTGTATTAGTGATCAATACAAAATAACATGAAAAAATATTGTTGTGTCTTAAAATCGAAACTGAGCATAGATATAATAAAATAAATAAATAAATGTCTGCTTTTAAAAATTTTTTTTCAGAGAAAAAAATCCTTGAATATGAACGAGTTCTTTAATGGTTAACTCACTTTTGATGAACAGAATCTCTTTGCAAGCAAATTCTTACAAATCGAATTCACTATGCAAATCAATTCATTAATGCACACTGAAATACATCAGTAAAATTGTTGATTTATGTTTATGATTGAGAAAATACTATTATGATTTAAAATGAAATGTTGTGCTTTGAATTTTAGTTGTATATATTGATTTTGGTTCTATTGTAAACTAAATTTGACATATAGATTGATTAGACAATAATCTTATTTTCTAGATTTACTATGAAACAAGACGTCCATTCCATGATTTATAAATCTCGTTCATTTGTTAGATAAATATGCGCATCGATTATAGATGAACATGGAACAGATTCTGCTTTATTATATCACATAACCTGGTATCAAGAAAAGGTAATTTATTTTTATAAAAGCACTTGTTATATAATTCGAAAAGTTTTCATAGCTCTTCCGATCAATTAAGAAACTAAATTGCATTCATTCTTCTTTGCTAAAAAACTACGTTGAGAATTTATCTTCATTACAACATTTTTATCCTGCAAGTATTTTAGATAAATTGATGTAAACTATTTGTGTACTAAATGTCTTTAGCAATTTGACGTCACATTGTCAATTGAATTTCAATAACTTTTTCTCTGGTGCAAAAATAAACAATTTTCTTGTCGAAACCTTCCAGGAATATCGTGTATTGTAGACTTATCAATACGGATATCGATTGGTTTCTTCTCATTCGAAATCTTTCAAATTGTCACTGAGATTTTATTTACAATTCGCATGCATATTAAAACGAGATTACTACAACATCAAACAGAAAATATCTATTAACATCTTTAAAATAAAGCTAAAAGTTGAAAATAAAGGATAATGATCAAAAACTAAAACTTCAGATGTAATTTCATTGAACAAACCAAACGTTTCATGAGAATTCTCTCAATGATATTCGAATCATATTAATTTTCAGTATAGATAAGAGCTAATTAATTCAGTTTTTCTTCATTTGAAATACTTTCTTCAATCCTTTTGGCATTACTAATTCATGACCATTATCACTTTCGTGTAACTGTATATCTTGTATTGCACATATAAATAATGTATCAACTGCCATTGAATAAACTGAGAAGAAACATGTGGCAATGATGTATGTACCAACAATAATTAAAAATAATGGCACAAAATAATATCTTAATTCTGGTACATATTTTTCTGCGTGTGCGATACGATGTGTAAAAAAGAAAAAAGCCAGAATACCAATGGCACCTGTAACACATAATTTACCAAGAAATATTAAAAAGTCGCATACTTTATCAATAACAAGTAAACGAAGAGGATTGGAAATAATTAGATGGAACGCTCTTCGTGCCGATGTAAAAAATCCTGTCCCATAAATAGCTGTAATAATGTATGCATTGCGGTTAAGAAATTTTAAAAATTTCTCCAAACAAAACAAACAACAACGACAACAACAAAATACACATCGAGCAATTGATCCAGTTTTATCTTTCACTTTTTCTTCCAAATATTCAAGTAAACCACGAATAAGTTTAACGATTGCTATAAGTAAAGAACCAAATGCTATTGTGCCAAGATGAAACACAAGTGCACGTAAAAGTGATGCGAGTAAAGATGAACATGGAACACCAGATCGTTCTCGATCCCAATAATAACGTGCATAAACACCAGCTAAGATCAATCAAGATTTTATCCGAAAAATAGAATTATCCTTTAAAAGTATACTAACCGAGAACTAATTCACTAAATCCAATAACAAAAGCTGTTAACCAAAATAACATAAAAGCAGAAAAGACTTGCGGAATCCATTGATGTTGATTAACAAAGCTAATAAATGATTTAAAATGAGTACCAGTTCCTAAAAAAACATGAAGTATATTTACTAACAATTTTCAAATTATTATCTTACCATCGAGAATACTATCTAAATCTAGTTGTGGATCATAACCATATTGCCAGAAAACACATGTGCTATTCGAACTACTAATATTATTCAATTTATTTGGATCACATATGTCACCCAATAATATATTAGTTGTATTAGCTACTGTTTCATTATAGGCTATACGGTAAATAGGTTTTCCCGATGTTGACAAATAAACAGCAACAATAGCCCAATAAACAAATACTGCTATTTGTAATAAAAATGGTATAAACGGCCAAAAAAGACTGAACATATTATAGCCCACAGCTTTAGATGCTTCTTTAAGAATAGCTAAAGCTATTCGTAAGCGTTTAAGCAATGCCAAAAGAACTAAAATTGATATAAGAAGAAGAACACCCAATATAATACCAATAATTAGCCATGTTATTGGTAGACTTCGATAATAATTAGCATCAGTAACAAATTTAAATTCAGTCACTATTTGATTATCATTCTTTTTACGAAGTTGATCGAACTCATAAAATGCTAAGCCAGTTGCAATACCTAATGCAAAAATAAATAGAATAATGCCAAGCCAAACAATTGGTTTTGCAAGCCAACGCATTAATACAATCCATAGAAACTAGAATGCTTATTATTGATTAAAACTATAAATAAAAAATGGATCATTCATACAGATACAATCGAAGCCAAAGTTAAAGCAATTAAAATATATTTCCATGATACTGTTAAATCTTCGACAAGAAATGCTCCTATTTGTTTTAAATTCAGTATGTCAATCAAATATTTCACACCCTGAAATTATTCATAGTCAAAGAAATTGTATTCCAGAAAAGGGCATTACCTGTGCAAGACTTGTACCGTTTAATGGTTGTCCATTCGAATCATATACAATCTTGTTTTCACCATTATCATCTGCGGTCTACATAAACAAAAATATTCCTTCTTTTATTATTCTTTTCTCATCAAATGAGTAAGATAAACAAACTTCAATTATACTGTTAGTTAGACTTTGCAATTCTTCTGGAACACATCGACCAAAAAGTGGTTTACTAGCTATAATATAGGGTGCACACTTTCCAGAATCGACTAAATTTTCATTATTCGTTTCAGTTGCATTCACATCGTATTTACATATTCTATTTGCATAATAGTTTCCAAATTTATAGTAAGATGTCTTATTTGGACATTGTTGAACACAAACTTGTGTTGTTGGACAAACAAATGGACGACTTTTTAACATATTAGCTGGAATATTTAGTGCTTTGATACATTTTGTCCAATCAAAAAAATATAAATATGGTCGATCAAGAAATTTGCCTGAACCGCAAAGATTTCCTTGATTATCTGTTGGATGAATAAGTTGTTTTGGATCACCTAGTCATTTCAACTAAATCAGTTCGATATTTAATAGTATAGAATCAATTTAGATACCTTCTTTAAAAGCAAATATACTTAGAATAACAAATAAGATTATGAATACGAGAAAGATGAAACAACAGGGGATATCTACAGCAATATGAAAATGTTTTCAATTATTAAAAAATATCATATTACTAACCTGTGAAAAATCGGTTTCGTTGAAGACCTTGTTGTGGTAGTTCATAACGAACACTTTTGCTTGGCGACACAGATGTCTTCATTTTTTAAGCTACTCTGCGTCTAAAAGTTCAAATACATTTAATATTCAACCAAGACAAACAAAAAAAAAATACTTTTTAACCTATTCATAATCATAAACAATCATTTCTTAAGCTTCATTCTATTGCTTCAAGCTTTGAAATTAATACTCTGTTCTGAGAAGTTAAAAAAAGAAGAAAAAAATAAGGGTTTTACTCATTGAACAAAAGTGATTCAGATGCGAATATCAAAATTGGTCAGAATTTTATGAAAAAAAACATCGTAATAAAATAGTTTGACTGCCGGAAAAATGATTACAGTGTTTGAATAATCACACGAGGAAAAAAAATGAGTGCAGACATTTTTTTATCATCCTCCCAGAATGTGGAAATGTTACGAGACCTTTACATTCAAACACTCGAAATCGACTAGTCGGATGCACAGAGAACGAGTAAAAAAAAGGTACAAAAATGTTTATGAAAAATAAAATAAAATTGTGTAATACGACGAGAAAGATTCACAAGAAGCGCCAACAGTCAGTCTATAGTGAGAATGAGAATAAGAAAAAAGGAAAATAATTTATTTTCTTATTTACTCAAGTTTATTTTATCATTGAACTATAATATTTTCCAAACTCACTGATAGTATATGTACCAAGTTGAGATAATATTGACTCGATTTTCATATATAAATATATTGATCGATCTTTTTCTCATCTACTGATTCTGCACAATCATGATTCATAGAGAAAAGCCTAATGAATGCTGTTCAAACAGTCTTCGTATAACAATGCAGCTGAAGAAACAGACATACAACTATGTTATAGGATTATAACTGTTAGCGATACGCACTAGTACAAGACAAATAGTCTTGATATTGGTCACGACCATGAGAAAGAGAATCATAATCGCTTGCTTTCTGTTTTGTCATTTTTTATTCTGTAAAAAACAGCAGGAGTAAGAATAGATGAATAAGATGGCATGCGATGTGTGCGTCAATCTGTCGAATGCTTATTATTCTTCACCACGTATATTTGTGCAGTATTTATCATACATAACATAGAAAATACCTATCTCTAAGGAGACATCAAATGTGCGACGAGAACAACTTAAGATAGAAGAGAACGAAAAAGAAAAAAACAAAGTACGAATTTACTCAAGGATCTGTTTCGCAGTTGTATAATTGTAACTGAACTTTAATAAATTAATATTGGTCAATAAACATACGGATAAACGCTTTGAATTGTATAGTTAGCAATTAAGGGCAAATAGTGATCATCGTTATTTTCATTTAAAAATCAAGATGTCGCACACGAACAGCATCCATAAAAAGAACAGTTTATATATTGGCTTTTCATAAGTCCAATCACATGCTCCAATAATATATACTTATGATTTATATTTTGAATTATTATTATTCGAACCTTCATCATGTCAATTTTCTTGTACGTATGTGGAGTTCTAGTAGAATGGAAATATTTTCTTCGAAATTCTTCTTTATTATTATTTTTTCGTATACATATTTACCATGATTTATTCAGAAAATCGTTGAAAACAGATTTTTATTTTTGACATTTCAAACATTATATGTTCAACCAGGAAGCCACTACTTTTGAAGTGTATCAAGTAGTTGGATTTTAGGCCAGTGACTTACAGTTATGTTATTTTAAATATAAAAGCATGATGCTAACAATGGCCAGCGAACACAAAATTTATTATGATATCATAATGATCTATATTAAAAGAAATTATTTTAATTAATATTAACTTACGCTTCATAGCTTTATCTTAAAACAAGTCACGACGTTTCGAATCATTTTTAATTGCTTTATTTCAAATTCATACAAAGTAAGAAATAAAAACAGCCGTTATCAAATAGACGTACACCAGAGTAGTTTTATTTTCATAGGGTAATATACTTAACTTCCTCTAACATGAAATTATTGAAAAACAATACTTGTATTTGAGTATGCTAAATATATAATAAGCAGAATTCGTTTTCTTTGTGTTATTTTTCACTATTTTTTATTACAGTTTATGTTGATAAATTTAAATTTAAAACACGTTTCGTTGTTGCAGTTTTCTATTTATTTGTTTTCTTACTCATTTATTCGAACATATACATCATGACTAACGTTCAGCAATTAATTGCTCATAAAACACATGAATACATCATAGGGAGAGTAAACATCGAAAACACCAATCATCTTTGGTATATTTGTTTTACGAGATGCACTGAAACTTTCATGGCAATGATTAGTTCAAAATAGTCTAAGAATTGATGGCGTGGTCTGCGAAAAGTATGAAATAGGTAGCTACAATGAATACTTGATTGACTCTCAAGACTACCTACGAAAGATACCGTTTATATAACAATACCATTAGCGAAATATTCATTAAATATCTAATGCAAGAAATCTGTCATATCATCTGATCCAGAAATTGTTTTTTTTCTATACTATCTCTGAGTTAATGTTGTTGAGTTTGTTTGGTCATCGTAGAAGTAATATTTTTTGTTTAGAAAACAATCATTTTTTTATTAATCATCGTTTCGTTTTTCTGTGAATTAATTTTTTTGTTTATCTTCATGCCCACTAGATAAATATTGTTAAATGATGATAACAGTAAAATAAGGAAGAAGATATTTATCGCTACTATAGTTGTTTTTTTGCTGAATAAGACAGATTAGAAACATGTGGCTTGTGTAGGCTTGTGAAAATCGAGTTTGTTTTTAAACGAAACAATCTACTGTTTTTATTGATTACGTTTCATTGAATCATTAGCATGATCATCAAAGAGACTTGTATAGAACAAATAAACTATAATTTATTAATCGACGTGTTAACTTTTAACTTCCAGTTTTCATAATTTTGTTCCATAATATTTTAGTACATAACAATGGCTATGAAAAATAACATCGATTCCAACGTTGTAACTACGGAAAGAAAATCACCTGATGGTGGTTGGGGATGGGTTATTGTTTTTTCATCGTTCATGATTCATTTCATTATGGATGGGTAAATAAAGATTCTTCTAATTTATTTGAAAATTTTCTCTATGTATTTATAACTAAAACTAAATAGGATTACATATTCGATGGGTGACATATATTTACATCCAATGATGGAAGTGCTTGGACGTAATCGAGGTACAGTTTCATTTATTTTTGGTATGTTACCAGCTATTACACTCGGTTCAGGTCAAGTATTTTAATTTTAGTAGGAAAGTTTTATTCGAATGTTTTGTTGTGTTTTGTAGGACTCTTTGCAACAGTACTTATAAACAGGCATGGATGTCGCAAAATGACCATCATTGGCTCATGTTTAGCTGCTATGGGATTTTTGGCAAGTTCATTTTTTGCTAATATCTGGTTTTATTACTTTGCTATTGGTATTGTTGCAGGTATGTGTATTGAATGTTATTTTTGTTTATTTTCATTTCATTAATCAATATATGCAACTAGGTTTTGGTTTTGGACTTATTTACTTAGCAGCTATTGCTTCAATAAATTTTTATTTCGACAAAAAAATTTCTCGCGCATTGGGAATTGCTGTTTGTGGCTCAGGTTTAGGTACAATGGCATTTCCTTGGATTATGCCATATATCATTAATTATCCTATGTGGTTTGATGTACATGGTGGTCTCTTGAATGAATCAGCTATCATCTTTATGTGTGTAGTTTTTGGAATGTTGATGGTAATCATATCGGATTTTTTCACTAGCCATGCATATGAAATATTGCCTTTGTATATTTAGATTCCCTTACCAAAAGAACCTAGTGAAATAAGACGGGTTGAAAATAAAGCAAAAACTGCAGCTAAGCGGCAAGCAAAAAAACCAATTAAAAATGCCAATATTATGGTTGATACCAACGAACAACATTCTCAATTGCTGACGAACCAAGAGAGGTTTGTAATATGAATTATATTGCTTATAATTTTATGTATATTGATTAGTTCAAACACAGTTTGAATCTTTTTTCGTTTAATAGAGATTTGTTGTATTGATAATTGAATAATCTTTTTAAATGTCTTGATTTCGATGAAAAATTCTATATAGATAAATGATTTCTCTTATGTTTACAGCAGCATACCATCCACAGAGATAAGTGAATTACATTTGGGCCATTCCAAGAAGCAACGACAGCAACCATCCACTGATTATGTATCTGTTCGAGATAGCAAACAAAATAACCTAGCCAATGGATATGATAAAGTTCATAATCATCAAACGATAGTTCCTGACTCGGCCGATGATGAATCTTTTAAAATGACTACTAAAGATCTAGAATTACTTGAAAATGATGATGCTACTGGTGAAGATCATGAAAAAATAATTATAACAAATGACAAAGCTATAGGTCAAGTCACTGCATCAAACGAGGAAAAGACAACTAACAGTTCAAAGCAATCATTTATTCATGAGCTTAGCAATGAAATCGATATTAAGCTTTTAAAAGATCATGCATTTGTTCTATTTATTATATCAAACTTTCTTACTAGCCTTGGTTTTAATATTCCATATAATTTCGCTAATGATCTAGCTATTGATGCAAAAGTTGGAGAACATCGTAGACATTGGATCATTATGTCTATTGGATTTGGTAATTGTATTGGTCGTATTATTATCGGAGTTTTAGGTGATTTTAAACGGGTAAAAAATTCTTTTTCTTTGTCAAACAAAATCTATTGTTCTTAGCTTCTTGTTTTATTAGATAAATCGTTTAAATTTATATAATATAGTATTAATTTTGGCTGGCATAGCTACGATGACTGCACCACTTTGTGGTTCAATTGTTTATTCACATATGGCGTATGCCTTTGTTTTCGGATTTTTTTCTGGGGGTTACGTTGGTTTAACAACAGTCATTGTTAAGGATTTAGTTGGTGAAAACAAAGTATTACCTGCACTCGGAATAATTTATTCATTTCAAGGTTTGGCTACTGCTATTGGTACACCGATTGTGGGTAAGAAGAAAAATTATTCTTGTGCTTAGATATGTTTTCTTATATTATAAAGGAACCATGCGTGATTATCCTTTGAATCCTTTGCAACCATATCTTTGGCCTTATATCATATTTGGCAGTTCAATTATACTAAGCGGCATAATCTTATTTGCTATACCCAAATTGAAACGGCGACAAGAAAGTAATAAAAAAAAGCCCCAAGATTCAAATGAGTATGAATCTTAAATCATAAAAGAGCCTACCTACCCAAGAATAATTATTACAACTCTAAATTATTTTCAATTTTTGTTGTTATCAGTCTGCACGATAGAGAATCTAATATTCAGCCTTACCTTATTCTTTAAAAATAAAAATCAAGATTACATAAAAATAATATGTAGACATCAGACATCTTTATGATACTCTTTTCTTTCTTTAAATTTTATTTTGAGCATGAACTTCGTAGTTTATACTCTCTCTCTTACATTCGCTTTTCCTATAACAAAAACAACAAAACTCTGTTGAGATATTTTTGTTATTCATTCCTTTTTCTCGTTGGGCTCGTTAAGTTTTTTTTCTTTGTTATGGTGGAAAGATAAGAAATGCACCCTTAAAAAAGTCTCATGACATTTACAATAATTTCATTTATTTTATTTTTACCGTTTCATCAAAAACAGAGACATCAAAAGAATTCAAGAGTAGGAAGTAATACTTTGTCAAGTTTTTCATGATAATCATCGTTTCGATTTGAGCCTGCGAATGATTTTTTTTCTTTTTCTATACACCATCACACAGAAGAAGAAAAGGATCTGAGTATGGTGTCTGTTGGCTCACAATGACAACGATTTTATAGAACGAGAAAAACATACATACAATTATTGCATGTGCGTTTCGTTACGTTTTGGGGGGCTTTCTCTTTCGTTTTTTCTTCTATTCTAACTTGTTAACCCTTTCTCGTTTGATTATTCACGTTGGTGGCATAATATTTATTGTCGGCTTCATATATATACGTATTTTAGATATAGCTAAACAGTAATGCTTATACTTGACTATTAAATTTGAAATATTCTTCAAATGCCACCACCACCTCCTGCTCCTCCTCCTCCTCCGCCGCCACCACCACCACCACCACCACCACCATCCTTCTCGGCACCGCCTATGGCAGGTGGCGCCGATCGAAATGGTCTTCTTGGCGCAATTGGTACCTTCAACAAGGGTGGCCTGAAAAAAGCAGTAACTAATGACCGAAGTGCTCCGATTATTGGAGGCTCAGCCAACAACAATAGCAATGCTAGCAATAGGACCAATTCATCGTCTGCTGCACCAGTTTCATCTGGAAATCGAATGAATTCAAATGAAAGACCCAATGCTGTTCCTGGCTCATTTAACATCACTGCGGATCTGCTCAATAGACCCCTAAAACAAACTGGCGCTAGTGGTGGATCAGCATCTTCAGGTCAAAAAAATGTAAAATCACCGATTCCACAATTTGCTTCTCCTAGTGGCTCTCCTACAGTACAATCACAAACTAAACAAGCACCCGTGAAATCATTTCATCCAACAACAACATCTTCGTCGTCATCACCGTCTAGTTCCGTACCTCCTCCTCCTCCTCCTCCACCACCACCACCGCCACCACCACAAGCATTCATATTGCAATCACAACAACCCACTGGTTCAACATCTCAATCAACAACACCTTCATCAGATGGGTTTCGCATTGGGAGTAAGAACAAACTTTTCTAAATAAATAAAAATATGTTATATGCTTCTACTATCTAGATGATCACGGAGCTACAACACGCCATTTCGTTCATCAGTGTCCACCAGGTCAAACAAATCAAGCGCCAAAACTTCCTCCACGACCGCCTCCGCCTCCTCCCCCAACAATGCCATCGTCGCCATTATCTCATGACAACAAAGTGATAAATGGCCAACAACCAGCAAAATTTTCACATTCAACAGGTAGATTACCCAGTTTCTTCATTATTCGATAAGAAAATAGAATTTTTGGTATACCCGTATGTTTCTAGGTTCTCCATCAAATACCACATATACAGCAGTAGCACCATCAACACCGCCGCCGCCGCCACCACCCCCACCTCCTCCTCCTGTAAATCCACCATTCACTTCAGGTAACAATGGTCACGCAACATTTGGAACACCTAATCAAGAAAACGTTTCCAGATTTAACCCGATGATGCATCAAAATGTTTCTAATTCTACGACACCACCTCCACCACCCCCTCCACCTAGAGGTGTGATATCAAATAATCAGGGAGGTACAATACGTCGACCACCACCAGCCGTATCTGACTTCTTAGATAACACTCTTCCTGAACGTCGTCATGATCAGTGGAATACAGCTGCACTTGATTATGATCGTAATTTTGAAAATCGCTTTCGATTTACTCCAATTGAACATCTTCCACCGCCTGGTTTATGGAAATCATTATCATCAACGAAAACATAGATCAAAGCAATTCTTTATTAAAACTAAATATCTAAAAACTTTGTTGAATTCTCGAGAAAAATCAAACTCACATTTATCTTTTGATTTCTTTCTCGAGGTTTCCTTCAAAAAAACATTAAGAGAAAATATACTGATCAGCTTTTTCTTACCATCTTGTATTTATTAATCATTACATTATTTTTTTTTCTGAGCTGGTTTTTTAATTTTGATTTTTTTTCTCTTACTTATTCTAATGTGTACAGAAAAAAAACAACATATGACGAAGAAAATTAAAAAACAAACAATGATACTATTTACATATTCGCCTCATAAATATTGAAAGTCGCGTAAGTATATTAAGTTTTAGTTTGATTTAGTTCGGTTGAAAGAAATTTCTGATTATTCACAAGCTTCAAGTTAAAATTTCATAAGATCTCTCTAAACGATATTGAACGGTACGATATTCTTTGAAGTTCAATGAATATATTTTTTGTTTTTATAATAAACAGATTTATTTATTTTTTCATGACAATAGTTTTGTAATGATATTTCAAATGTACTGAGATCAATCTCTATATATATGTAATGATGTAAATTTACACGCAATATGAATGGAATCATTTTTCAACACTGAAAAGGAAAAACTAAAGCATGGTATTATTCTTTTTCTTGCTCTTCATAGGTATCTAATTGTATATGATGACAAATCTGTTCATCTTGTGGTACATAAATATGTTCAATAGGAACACGAAGTTTATCAAGTTGATCTTTCGGTAAAACAGCATTATTATATTGAGTTTGAACAAATGGAGTTATATCGACGATACGTATGATATCACGACCATCAAGAAAACTGTCAATTTTTTTCAGACCTAATTGAATAGCACGACGTCCACTGACTGATCCGCCATGTGGATGATGATCAGGATCCCATTGTAAGCGGATCAATCCTTCATGAGCGTTATGTTTCGAACTTTGTTCATTTTCCTCAGGTAGACCTTTACGTGAACTATGTACAGCTTGAGCTAAATAACTATCAAATGCTGAACGTCGAAGCCATATCGCTAAAATATGGTGTTGCCGCGATGACGATGCCCATTGAGATCGATACATCATCCAAAGAAAATTTGTTTTAATCCCTAAAATAATATTTTTTAATTTATTTATAAAAGAAAACTCTAATTGTAACTAATATCATACATGTCATACGTTGTTGGTTGTAACCTGGAGAGCCTATGAAACAATTATTTTCACAAGCAAACTTAGCAATATCTGAATTAAATGCTTGATAGACTATGATTGATTCATCATCGAAGGAACCTAATATCCATCTACCTTGTACATCACCTTTACTAACTGGCCATCGACGTTTAGCATCAGTATATAATTCTGTTGTATTTTCATATTTACTTAACCAATCCATTGAATTCGATGGTCTTTTCTTTAAACAAAAAAAAACCAAACTAATAATATATTTTTTTTTACTATGAAACATATCTATGAGAACACCTATAAATAGCATTTGCAAAGATTGATTCATAGTGATGCAATAACATGTGAGTGTTTTGCAAGAAAAATATGTCGATTAGAAAGATATGTATACGGTGTCATACAATAATTTATGTAATCAAATTGATGAATGTCACGATTTTTTGAATAAAAGGTGGATCCTAACAAAATTCTGTCAATACTTATGTTCATATAATCAATTTCAATTCAAATGAAAAACACATTATATAAATCGCAGCGAAATGTTTTCAAACAAAATATAATTGATAAAATGCTACCATCATTGACTTGGCCGGAATTTAGCTGGGCGGCGCCTTAACGATTTTTCAAGAAAGTTATCTTTAGTTGTGTATAATGTTTCATTTTTAAAAAGTCATTTTTTTTTTATATAACCGGTGGTTGGGTGGTGCCCAATCATATTCTACTCTATTTACACTACTGCTTATAACGGATGCGGCAGGATAAATTGCGGTCTAGTATTTTCGCGACATCTTCCTTATTTCTCATCCGATCCGATCTTTTTTTTAAATGTGCGCCGTCTATAGCTCTACAAATCCCCATATTTCATCTAAACATCCAAAATAAATATAGATTTTCCAAAGATGAAAAGCAAAGACCATCAAAAGGTGGTACTTTCAAAGTACCAAAAGGTAATACTCCGAAACAAATTTATCATGATTTAAACGGTGGGCTCGGTTTAAGAACAATCAAAAGATGGTATCAAATGATCCGACGGTCAGGTACTATCACATTATCAAAACTACCAGGTGGTCCTCGTTTGGCTTGAACAAAGGAGAACATTCAAAACGTAAAGAACCGGTTACGCCGAAAAAAAGGTGTCAGCTCAAAAAATATCGATGAAGCCTGATATATCCGAGAGAAGTGTTCGGTGAATAATGAAAAACGATTTAGGGTTATATCCTTATAAAAAAAAGTAATCGAACGATTGATTTCCGATGATCAAAAGCTCAAACGGAAACAATTTGCAAATTGGGTTTGAACAAGTTTGACTCGGTGCCTGTTCCAAGGATCTCACACCCTTGGCAATCTTGGATGAAGGAACAGTCGATCACACTGTTTATATCGAAAAAGTGCGTCCTGTTACTTTAAAATATGGGAATCAATTTTTCGGTAGCAACTGGGTCTTTCAACAGGATGGTGCCAAGCCTCAGTCGCATCATTTATCACAAAAAGGGTGTCGAGACAATTTTCCAACAGTTATTGAGAAAAACAGATGGCCACCACATAGTCCAGATTTAAACCCACTGCACTATTCAATTTGGATTCAGCTGGTCAAAAACATCAAGTGGAACAAAGTCTACTCAAAAAAAGCACTGATTCAAGAATTAAAATCGTCGGTTAAAAAATTTTTGAACCTGTTGTTGCTGACAGTTGTGTGTGTTGGATCAATCGACTGTATCGTCTTTATCAAAATGATGGAAATTATTTGCGTTAATAAAAATAGTATCATTTTGTAGAACTTTGAAAGACAATTCTTTTGAAAAAAAGGGAACTAAATCGGACCAAGATTAAGGGAGATATCGGCAAAATACTGAGACCGCCATTTATCCTGCCGCACCCGTTATAATCTATTAGTGTAATGAGTTTACATACAGATAATATACAATGCTGATAAAAAGATAATGAGTCTATTTGTTGGTCGATTGTTGAAAGCTTCTACAACTTTTCTTACAGCATCTATGAATAGAAATAAAAATGCTGGTTTTGATTATATTCTTTGTATTGTATGCCATTGAGAACGATAAGTATGCAATTTGCTCGATGTCTTTATTTAGAAAAAAAAACAATTGATTGCGTTGATTAGTTCACGAAGAAAAATTATGGAAGTTGAAATAATTGAGATTTAATTCAGTCAGTACTTTAAAAATTGCAACCTTTTATTGTTACTTGCATTGCTGTAAGAGAATATGAATATTTAATCTAATTATCAAAAAGTACAGTTGTAAATCTTGACAATTTTCAGAATAAACTTTGGTCTCTTGAATATAAATGTTTTTCTGTAGAACTGGAGCATACATTGAATTTTTCACGTGTTGACCAATGACAACCTAATACACTGATAGGTATTCTCATACTAATTGTGTATGATAATATTTGCTACATAGACGAACAATAATGAATACAAGGACGAATGATTATGAGGTAAATAAAAAAAGGAAGTATGAACATAAACATATGCAAAACAATAATCGATAGATAACTTTGATTGATAGCCACCAATCGTACCTTTATGCATGAGTGATTTCCTCCACATCTTTCATTAAATTTATCATATTATCGTAAAAGTGTAACATGCTTACTTTTACTTCTATTTCTTGCTATCACGCCTACGTAATTTTAAAAGAAATTTATGGTTACATCCCTTCCCAAGTAGCTCCAGCCTATTCCGATAATTTATCCGTCATACAAATGTCATCCTGGTTATTTATTTGCAATGATATTCATCACTAACTAATGTGATAAAATCTTCCAACTAAATCATAGTAGCCAACATTTACTTTTCCGTTAGGAGTGGTGTCAATTAAGTTGGGATAAATATTAATCATTGTCTAGGAAGTATATGCTGATACAACAGTATATAAACAGTTAAAATCTGATATCCTTTGAATCATTTTCAACGTATTCTCAGTAGCAAAACAAAAAGAAATAATGCAAGTGTGCCGCCGCTGCTGCTGCTGCTGTATTGTATGTGTACGAGGACCAAATGGTGCCGATTGGTGCCCTGTCTTTACTGTTATCCAGTAGTAATTCCTTAATTTGATGGTCGAACCAAGGCTGACGTAACAACAATATTGTTTATTTCAGCATAGAAATTTTTTAATTTCTGCTGGCGGAGATGATGGAAATCTTTCTAATTCTACCCATTTTTACAATGATCAACATCAATACCTTCCAATTCAACAATGCACTTTATTTCCAACTTAGATAGTTTACACTAACCTTAGTTCCAATATACCTTACAACTGTTTACAGGTCAATAACTAATCCACAAAAACAAGTGCATGCAATTAACGAGTAGTGCGAAAGTTTCTGGACCAAATATTCGTTGATTTTCTGACCACCTGCAAGAGTCAGCCGAATTTGTAAAACATTGTGTTAGAATTAGCATTTTGTGCTCTCTTAGAATCTATATTCAAAATTTTTATCGGACATTCAGAGTAGAAACTGTGCTTAAATTTTGAAAGGTCCGAAAAAAGGCTTTTGACAAAACTATGTATATTAACGAATCTAGAGACAGAATATTCGATCGTGCCCGGTGTGAAATTGATTATATGATGTTTTTTGTTTTTCTGTCTCAACATTCCCTTATCTTCTACTTAAAGACAGCAAGCATAACGTGGTCCCAGATTCTTGTGCTAGGCCGCATCGAAGTTTGCAGTTTTTGTTTTACTCAATACATAGGTTGTATAAGTTCTCCTCAGTGGTAAGTACCTTATTGAATATTATCTGCTGACTGTTGTCAACGATATGAATAGCAAGATAGTCTCCTACAAAATGAACTTACAATTGACTGCCTTCCGCTAATTTTACAGAAATTATGGAACAAGTTCTAACATGTGAAAAGCCAATAAGCTCTGGAAATATAATTGAATCTGTTAGTAAGACTCTTACTATTCTTAGAAGCCTCAAAGACAACCTTTTATTAGAGCACCGTTCTATAAGGAGATCTTTGTTGTACACTTTGCAACATGCAGAATAATCTTTTGTATCAATCTTGGATTACATTTTTGGGGTTGAAAGTTGTCCAAACGCCATTGTCGCGTCTTTCAAAAACTTAAGCACAATATCTACTCTGAATGTCCGACCAAGATTTTGAACACAGATTCTGAGAGAGAGCACAAAGTGCTAATCCTAGCACAGTGTTTTACAAATTCGGCTGACTCTCTCAAGTGGTCAGAAAATTAACTAATATTTTATCCAAAAACTTTCGCACCACCCATTATTATGATCAACCAGTCCATATCTGCCCATAATGAACATAATTATTAATTAATCGATATTGCATATTATTCACGTCATGATTCCAGAAAAAAGAAACTATCAAATAGAAGATATAACTTCTATCGCTGCGCTTAGATTTTTTAATGTCTACATTGATGTGTTTCGTTTTCATTCTATTTAAGTTTCTATTAAATGTGCATAGTACTACCAGCTGTTTCTTGAATAGTTATAAATTTCACAACAAACAAAAAATCAAAACTTTGCATTTTATTCATAAATTAAATAATAGTAGATTCAAGTGTCATGTTTGACGTTCACTTGTGATAGAAAAAAATAAAACTGATTTCTTAAATACATTCATAAGGTTTATATATCATCGTTTTGAACTTTTCATCTACATCATTTTCCTATTAAAGACATTTAGTTGTATCGATTAGATTCGTTCTAAAAACTATTTGAAATAGATTTCAACTATCCTAGAAAGATATTTTAATTTGTTTATTTTCAAAATAACCGTCTTAATAAATGTGTCAATAGTTGAAAAACTTCATTAAAAGATATGTTTTTTTTGTTGCAATCGTTATGGCACAATCACTAGATTTCGTTTAGTGTGATTATTAACATAGATCTAAGAGAAACGAATATTAACTCCGATTCACATTGAAACCTATAATGATGCATGATCTATCAGTTAACACATTCAGAGATACATAATATTTTCTAGATAGTTAATTTGTTAAAAATCAAAATATTTGGAATTGATTTAAAAAACTTCATTTCTTTTTCTTCCAATCTATGCTAAAATAAATTTCTGATATGAAGAAAATCCTTTTGTATTAAGTATAATGGCTCGTAAGATATTCTTTTGAAGAAAAAAAACGGCAAAGAGAAGACTGACGACGAGAATAACGATTTAAAATGGGCAAATATTGATTTAGCCAGCCAAACAATGATGAGATGAGTTGATGCTGGCCACCTCACACTTCTTCTTCTCCTTCTTCTTCTTCTTCTTCTTTTCATCATCATCATCACCATCATCGTAGTCTTTTATTTGGATGCATACATCGGCATAGTAGACAAACACGCCACTAACATCATTATTGGTAGTAATAGAGCAAGTAGTTCAAGTGAGTTTTTTGTGTGTGCATATGTATGATTGATTTTCGTTCGTCTATAGCCAATATTGACAATCATCCTATGATTCTTCCATCTTTTTTTTTCATTAATTTGCTCAATAGACATTAGTTCCTCAAAATTTTATCAAGCATGTTCGAGTATTTACTGTCTTCATTCAATTTTTAAGAATCATTTGCAATATGTTTGATAATAGGAGCCTTATGTTCATCTTCAATACAGTGAGTGTATCTCTTGGCAATAAAAGGAAAAAGAAGCCAACAAATAATTAGGCTATTGACGCCAATTGTAGACGAATCGTTGAAAGAACTTTCGAATATGTCTTGTACTTCTATCTTAATTTCATATCCGATTTTTTTTCTAATGAAAAACATTTTTTCTTGATTTCATAAAATTTAATCGATTGCAGAGGCTAATCTTGCTTAGTTTCAGTTTTCTCATTACAAAAACGGACATCAATATTTGCTCGTTTTTTTAGCCTTTTTTCATTTCAACCTTTCATATTCAATATGTTGACCATTTCGCATGTATATTCTAATGAAAAAGAGTGTCAGCTCGAAAAGTAAATATATCCGAACAGACAAACCATGAGACTGCTTGACTGACTAGTGTCTAACATATATGTGTGCTTGCCAACTTGTAACACGCATATTTTATTATTTTTTATGATGACCGTAGTGCCAGTAAAAGGACTGTACATAAACCATCTGCATGTTTACTTAACCCGAAATGAAAAGAATAGAATTAAAACTACTAGTATGTCGTTAAAACAAAACACAGTATTTTGTCTCTCTGTCTCTCTCTCTCTCTCTGTCTGTCTTATAATCTTTAGAATAAAGTAAAAGAATAAAAAGAGAGAAACGACTCGACGTTATTCTTGTGTACATAGTTTTTAAAAGACATACTGCGGTGCGCACTCACGAAAGCGAATATGTATGCCTGTATGTGCATGTGTGCGTGAGAGAGAGAGAGAGAAAATGAGAATAAGAGAGAAAATGTTTGTTCAATATTTATTTACTGCAACTTCAATTAGTAAATATAGAATGAGAAGCAAGTATGCATAAATGAGAATAAGAACAGAAGTAGAAGACGACAATTCTTGTTGTTCGACATGCTAACATTATACACACACACACATTTATATATATATATATATATGTACATTTGCTGATTAATCGTACGATCAAAATACAACAAAATTTAGTTTTGGTGAGTGTTAAAAATAAAATAGTAGAAAACATCATTGGTTAATTTATTTCTTTGAAAATCATTTCTTTTAATCGTGTGCGATTTTTATAGTTTTCATAACGTTTATTCACAGAGTTCTGATGATCAAACGAAATATTTTTTGTTTTTGTGTCTATCCTATATGTGAGATGCCGTTAACAGAAGAACACAGAAGACAATTGCACCTACTCTCGATAAAGCTCATATACACATATACTCAGTTAATTTTGCTGTCTGATTAATATATATATATCCTTTTTGATGTTCATACTCATTTTCTCAAAGAAAAAATCATTTCTATCAACAATAACAAAAATATTCCAAGTCACACACATACCTTTTGTATCATCAGAGAATTTCATTGAAAAAAGAAGAAAACTGATGATTTAAAGTCGCAAAGAAAACATTGAAATGATGACGATGATGTGTCGCTCTCATCATCTAATCAGTCAAACGCTTCAAAGGAATATATAAAAAAAAAAGAAAGCTTGACTGTGAATGAAAAGTAAATATAGATTTGGATTGGTATTGAAACGATGGGATAGAAAAACACACTAGATGTCGGCATTATTCACTCTCTGGATTCTACTTGTTTTCTTTCAATCTATCATCAATAGTGTCTCTTTTTTTATCCTCCTTGATGGATTAACCTTTGATACTCTCGATCTCTAATTGTTCATCCGACTATTGACTACAAATGACGAGACATACAATTTTTTATTGATCAACTTATTCGTTGGGATTTCTGTTTTTAACCAATTGACCTTGTTCTTCCACATTTGGTGGTCATCCGGAAATCGATCAATTGGCGAAAGGATGATAAAAAGAAAAGAAAGAAACAAACGGGAAGAAAAAAAATATCTATATCTATATCTATCTATATATATATTTACGGTCAGCCAATCGGCTCTTCACCACTCCAATTATACTCGTGCTTTTCCCTTTTTTTTCTTCTTCTTCTTCTTCTTGTCACCCACATTTTTCTCTTTTCTTCTTCCTTCTTGCTGCGTCTCTTACAAACATTGCATTGACACATTAAGTTCTGCGCACAACACATACACACACAGACACGACACGAGTAGAGACTCTATAAAAAATATATTAAAAAAAAACAATAAGGATTTAAAATGATGACATAAAATCAAAAAGATGGATCAAATTACATCGTCTTATTCGCTTATACCAACAACTGAACTTGATGGAAATCCCAATATTGCTGACCTTTGGTCATCAACTAATGGATCTTATATGCAACAAATAACTAATCACAATAATAATATTAATAACAATATTCAACAAGCATCACCAAGTAATCCAACATTACAACCCCCTCCTAGTCTTGCTTATGCACGCCGTTATGCTGCATCAAAACCACCTTATTCTTGTAAGTTCAGAAAAGCATTAAAAATGAATCTATAATAATTTTATTTTTTAAGATATTTCCTTAATTACGCACGCTATCAATGGTTCTCCTGATGGCATGTGTACATTATCACAAATCTATCAATATATTCAAGATCGGTATGCATACTACCGACAAAATCAGCAACGTTGGCAAAATTCTATACGACATTCATTATCATTTAATGATTGTTTTGTTAAAGTTCCACGTAGTACAGATCGGCCTGGTAAAGGTTCATTCTGGGCTTTACATCCTGATAGTGGAAATATGTTTGAAAATGGTTGTTATTTACGGCGACAAAAACGTTTTAAAATAAAAGAGAGAATAAGAGACCCAAATAAACCCAAAACAACCAATAAAGATAAAATAACAAATTCAAATTTGAATAAATCTCATTCATCATCATCACCACTTTCCGAAAATACAATAAGAGGAATGGATTCACCAGGTTCATCACCACGACAAGCAACAGCATCAGAATCCTTAACTTTACCATTACCACAACAATACTATCATCAATATTCGCAGATTCATCCATCACAAACAACATATTCAACTGAATCAATACCTACTATTAAAACTGAGTATGTTCATAATCCAACACCATCATCATCATCATCATCCACAATTTATACTCATCAAACATACGATCCAAATAATAATGGTTTACAATATTTAACTACAGAACCCAATCAACAATATTTTCATACAACTGATCAATCTTCATCACCATTTCTTCATCAAATAGCACCACCAGGTACATTTCGTATTGATAATCTTATTAATGGTCAACCAGATTTTAAATCATTCTATTCAACAATGACTGGTCATGAAACAACAAGTAATTTTTTGGATACAACAAATACTAATTATTATTATAATAATACAAATTCTTCATCTTAATTTCTTTATCTTGTTTTTTTTTCGAGTTAACCTAGTCTCTCTTCATAATACAAAAGAAAAAACACAAAATTATGATCAAATTCTATGCGGTGTTTTTTTGTTTCTTCATTTTTTTCTTGTCTTCTCTATATACTTGTGTGTGTGTGTGAGTGTATGTCAATATATATCTATATGTGCAATTTCTTATTCTCAGCAACAAAAGACATGATTGTCAAAATCTTGATTGATCTTTTTTTCTTCTTTTCTTTCTTGGTTATCAATTTTCATCAGACAGGTAGCTCCAATAGAGGCACGTTCAGCAAACAACGAAGGAATATGTACGTGTGAGAGGGATTAGTCTATATATGAATATGGACATATGGTTAGACAAAAAACGCAGGGAATTTTGTCTATGCTATATGTGACATCCGCTTGTGAAAAATATCTATCGTATCATGTAATCGATAGTATTTTGTTGACTAACTATCTAGTGATATCGGTTTGATTATCGACTCTTGTTTTTTCTTCTAGCGGCGAAATTGAGCCGCTTTTCTGATAATAATAATAATAATGAATTGAATTTATTAGATCTTCACTTTTTTTCCTTTTATTTGATGATGACAGAAGCTTTTTCTTTTATTCACTTATAGTTATATTAGAATGAAGAACTGCTTTTCTATTTCGTCTTTGAGCAAATATTTGTTCCCTCTTATATACATCTATTCTCGACACACATTCACGCACATTACGAATGATGACAACCACAGAAATTTTGTGCTACTATTTGGTTCGGTTTGTGTCTTTTTCGTGTCTCTCTCTCTCTCTCTCTCTCTGATTGGTACTATTCGAGAATAAGATCACCAATATTTGATGTTAAATAACTACTGTATGATGAAAGCAGCAAATTACTCATTCATAGATTCTAACGTACAGATTGAAGCATTGAAATTGAAAAATCTATCCAAATTTGACGTAGCTATATAAATTAATGAAAATAAAATGTACGCAATAAATTGTGCCAAGTATTTTTACAATACATTTTTTCTTATAGAGAAGTCACAATCATAAAATGTTCATCGTCTACTCGTTCAAAAATATCACTGTAAAATGAACAGACCAGTTATCCGAATTCATATATTGGCTAAAATTCGCTTATCTATGAATTGACTTATTTCTTGCATTGCATAGTTCAACATTGTGTTCTAAGTGGCTGTTCTTGTTTATATCTTTTATTATCTATATTATATAGATAACAGGAAGGTCAACATTTTTCTAACTTTATTTTAAAAGTCTTATAGAAATTTATTTTTGAATATTTATTCTTAAATATAATGATAAATGCGTTGAACTAAGACGGACAAAAGTTTGACTATCGATGTTGGAAAATAATTTTTGCTTTCTGGAAATGAATTTTCAAAACCTTCTCTTTTTTGTTTTTACTTTGAATAGTTTTCCAAAAAGTATTTCAATTTTCCTTTAGAAAATCTTATCAACAATAACAAAAATGTTTCAGTAGACCTTTTACACTATTCAAGTCCTCCTCTATTGTATGCACCAGTCTTGGTAATCACGGGACTCTTCAAAATAAAATCGCCTAGACAATTGCCGAATAGACTCATGTATGCTCGCTCATTGAAGCTTTTTCTTCTCTTTACACATTGTGTGTGTCGACGAGCCGCTCTATTTATAACAAACAAAACTTTAGTAGTAGTGAGGCGTATGTACACAGAATCTCTCTCTTTTTTTCTCACTACTTGCTCACATAGTTAGTAGTGCACACACATACAACAGTATGAGACGAGTATAGTGTATATGATGATTTGAAAAAAAATTGAGTTTTTCTTATTCCACATAAACTATTTAGACAAAAGGTAAGTTAGCAAGTTTGATAACATATAAATTGAAATGAAAGCTTTGAATATATTGAATATAAGGCGGGACAAGAGATTATCTTTTCATACATTAAAAATAAAAATAGAGCATGTTCATTTTCATTTGTTTTTATCTCAATATCAATCTTAACGCCATGTCTACAGATGTAATAGTCTCCTTCAACTGATAAGAATTTTTTTTAAATACTTTTTTCATTCGTCGGGAAAGTTCACATATGAAAAAAAACGCAATTTTTTTGACGAATCATATAACGAGATTTTTTTTTTTATGTATTATAAAAACTACCCATGTCTTAGCCTTTGCCTTTTTTCACCTCTTCTCTCTCTCTCTCTCTCTCTCTCTCTTGCCATTTACGCAGATAAGAAATCAAGCCCTTCTTCTTTCGTCTCTATTTTCTCTCTGTTGTTTTTTTTTGCTTGACTCAGGTTTTTCTTGACAATCTATTGTAACTTGACTGCACACCACAATGACGACATTTTTAGACGAAATAGCACGTACACTTAATTTTTTCCCTGTACTCTTTCTTTCTTTCTTTCTTTCTCCTTGCCTCTTTCTTTTTCTCGTCTGTAATAGTTGAAAATGTGCAAGAGGAGAGAACAACTGATTCGTCGGTCGGATGGCTGAATTGTAATAAAAACGGGCGCATATATGCAGCAAAATGTCTTGCTATGAAGGAGAAAAAAAAAGAAGAAGAGGAGAGCTTTTGATCGTGCTACGACGACAAACCCCGAAAGAAGAAAAAAAAGAACACGATAGAGAGAAAGAGAGAAAAAGGAGAGAATAGAAAGCAGACTTTTTGAGGGATTCATTTCCGTTTTTCTCTCTTTGCTCGACGGGGATTCGTCGTATTGGCTGTTGTTGCCGTCATCGTTCACGTCGAAATATTTGTTTGTATTCGAATTGTCGTTGTCTACATTACACGCGAGCAATCAAACCATCCTTTAATTTTTAAATAATGATCAAATAGTGGTCGAGACGACGGCCACCCATCAAGCCAAATACTTATTGACTTAGTGTGTTCTCTTTTTTTCCACGTACAACGAGCACAGAAAGGAAAAATAAAAATCAAACAAAAGAATAACGAAGAAGAAGAACAAGAACAAGAGAAGAGCAAAAATGAAAATGCACAATCATCAGACTAGTATTGGTGATGAATCAACATCATCATCTTCATCCAATAATACTGCATCTGATTATAAGCCAGCAATAAATGAACTTTTAAGAATTCAACAACAGCAACAACAACAACAACAACAACAACATAGTATCATTGAATCACAACAATTAGATTATGCAACTCTTGTACCAGTTCAATCACTTGCAAGTACAAAAGTTGAATTAGAAACACCCACAATGCACTATTATGACACTGCACAACCATTACCATCTTCGAATTATATGTTAACACAATCACCTTATGATTTAAATCATACTATCGACAATGGTAATGGCGATTTAGTTTCATCTGGAGCACGTCAAACACAAACTACAACATCAACAGCATCGGGTAATCGCCGCGGTAATACGCCTTCTAAACCTCCTTATTCCTATATAAGTCTTATTACTATGGCCATACAACATGCGCCAACAGGCATGGTAACATTAAATGATATCTATCAATTTATTATGAATGTATTTCCATATTATCGACAAAATCAGCAACGTTGGCAAAATTCTATTCGACATTCATTATCGTTCAATGATTGTTTTGTTAAAGTTCCACGAGGGCCTGATCGGCCGGGTAAAGGTTCCTATTGGACATTACATCCTGACGCCGGTAATATGTTTGAAAATGGTTGTTATTTAAGGCGGCAAAAACGTTTTAAATGTACAAAACAAGCATCTAAAACTCGATCACGAACATCCAATAATGGACAACAACAACAGCAGCAATCTACATCGAGTATTAGATTAACAAATGTTAATAAAACTGATCCATCGGCATCAAATACTGATGAATCAGATGATGAAAATGAATCTATTGAAAGTGGCAATGCTAGAGATGATGAACATCATCAAACAATGACTATGGATGGGCAAATTCATATGCCATTAACAAGAACATCATCAACTACTCCTACACATATTTCTCTTAATCATTCAACTGTAACTATTAATCATTTTACTGCACCTATACCAAAACTTTTATCAACAAATGAAGATACATATCGTCAACAAAATAGTAAGAATTTTTAAATGAAAAAAGAAAATAAAACAAGAAAAAACAACTTTAATTTGATAATTTTTCTGTTTCAGACAATGGAGTTATGATTTCTCCTTCATCGAAACAACATGAAACCTGTCAATCAGTTCCTCGTTCTCCTCAAACTCATCTTCCTCATAATCATCATCATCATCTTCATCATCACTCACATCAACTTTACTCGAATGAACAACAACAACAACAACAGCAACAACAGTTTCCTTCTATTCCCCATACACCTGTTTATGTTGATTTGCAACCATTTCCATCTAGTACAGCACCAGCAGATATTGTCTATTCTGATAATGGTCCAACACCACCAACAACATCATCCACAAATTATTTTACAACTGAATCATCACCCTCAACGTCAACTAATTCACTTCATCCCCATGCATCATCTGGTTATTATTTTACACAATTTCCTGCAACGTCTTCATCATCAGTTATAACGAACAACAATGTCATTGACTATCAGCAGCCGGTTCGGCTTTAGACATATGAAAAGACAGCAACAAGAAAAAAACATATAGAAAAATCAAATCGACTAAGCAATACTGTGATGATGATGATGATGAAAAAGAACTAGAATGAATGATAATCATTAAATGTGTGTTTATGTCCGTGTGTGTGTGTGTGTGTGTGTGTGCATGCGTGTCTGTCTTCGTTCTAATTTATTCAGCTATGTCTTACAATGTGTACAGTGGATTCTTTATACTCTACCTCATCATTGTTCTTTATTGCATCATTCATTCATTCATTCATTCATTCATATTCTTATTTGAGTACGATACCAGTATGCAACTTGTGAAGACATATTGTAGAAGGTTCAAGTAATAACGAGACAGGGGGCTTTTTCAATTGATTGATACTCAATTGATGCCGGTGGTGTTCCTCTTTTTAACCTCCTATTTCTCCTCCTTCCCATGTTTTTTTTCTAGTATACGAAACGAAAATGTTCTAGTGAAATTGACATGAACCTTACGGGGCTCTCCTTTCCTATTCAATTCATTCATTTTCATTCATTCATTCCGCTACATACGCACAGAACACGGGAGAGAGAGACAGCCCAAAGCAAAAGAATAGTGATTGAAATTTTCTTTTTCGTGCAGGTTTCACCGCTGTCATTGTTACTGCTTGATACGATGAGTTCATAGAAGAAGAAAAAGAAGAAATTAAAGCTAATATACCGTCTGTTTTGTAGCTAGTTTAATTGTTGATCGGGGTGACCTACTAGTAGCAAAGAGGGCAAGTGTCATTCATGCCATATAAAGAATAAATGAATCAAGACATTTGTGTTATATTCTTGTTGAGTTCAATTTGTATATTAATCTGTTCTATATTCGTATTTCGTATTTTGGATGTGTTTTGTTTGTTAAATAAGAAAAGACGCTTATGAATAAATGAAGAAGAAGGAAAAACTATTCAACATAGAAATACAAATATCAATATGTGTACATTGCTATTGCTTGATTTTAAGTTTTAGAATATCGATAGTGCTTGAAGCATAACTACTGTATAACTAGGTAAATTTCATTTTTGTTAGATTTCTTCAAGAAAAACAGATTTTATTTGCAATTCAAAGACTTGTTATTACGATTGTAATATATAGTTTGTGTTAAATTATGATTGGATAGAAAATTGTCGGCATGTGAACGAACGAGAATAAAAGAAATAGAATATTTTTCCATTAGTCGACAATTCGACTTGTTGTTCTGCTGCTTTTTTTTCTTTATGTGAAAGTATGTGTAATGCCTGCTCGCACTTATAATTGCCTCGTTCTTTCGCTTTCCACTTGATAGTAAAATGTGCTATAGTGCATTCGCATGATTCTTGATAAGAAACGTAAGCATCTCTCTCGTTCTCTCTTGCTTCGAGATAAGGCTTCGTTTTTTTCGCTTATGCACAGTGCTCTTGAGAGGAGAGAACAGTTGTTGGGGTGGTGATGATGATGCTTGTAAGAGCAACCATATCGGTTGAAGCATAATAAAAACAACCTTGTCGACGTTTGTGTCGTTCTTGTCTATGCTTTACGAGAAATATACTAAATGTAGTGAAAAAGTAAAGTGGACTGATTCAAGTGTGCGTATGGCATATACATTGCTATATCACATAAATCGCACCATTTTACTTTCTTTCTCTCTCTCTCTCTCTTATCTCCCTATTAAAAAACAACTGCAATGGACTAGCATATGACAGCTTTGAGTACTCATTCTCTATCCTTTTAGAGTTCGATAGGATTACTTGCTCATTTTGGCATCTCGGATTTCGCCGCTGTTATCATTACTTTACGAATGTCATCGGATAGGCAAAGCGTGCGACATATACCTACACTCTAATGTCGATTGTTTGCGCAACGATTTAACAGGATTAATTTATCACAAGCTTTCATCAACGGTTACTCGGAGGAAAAAATGAACAGAAAAAAAATTCAAATCAGCTAAATATGATAAAATAAGAAAGAAAGAAAGAAAGAAAGAAACCGCTCGTTCTGTTTTGTCGAAGCTTTTAGTTTTATTCAAGAGATAATCTTTCGATTGATGCATTTCTCTGAAGATAAATATCATTTATTAAACAGTAATTAAAGAATATTCATAGTTACTAGATCATCTACGAGAAAATCAACAAAAACTAATTTTAATTAAGAAAATGAATTTAAACTCATATTATTGTTATAGAAATCTATTTTATATTCAACAAGATCAATTAAAATTTTGTTTAAACAAATAAATAATCTGCAAATAAAATTACATTTGACTGAACGTCTTTTGGTGCGTGTATTGCATTATGACTCAGGAATGACTAGTAAGAAATATGCCATTTAAGAATGATACGGTGTTTTAAGCATAAAATCAGAGCAAATAGTTGATTGAAGAGTGCAATCATTTTCCAAAGAAAACAGAATAGCTATATTCATGTGAAATTTTTTTCTGATTTATACCAGCTAGATATGTCTTCTTCATATTTCTCAAGGTCGCTGTAAAAATTTCAGACCATAACTAAAGTATATTCAAGATTCAATAAATGCAAAGTGTGCATATGAAAGTTTTCAACGTTTCTATATCATCCTATATTATTTCGAAATACCAGCACTCGACATTTTGACTTTTATTTCTTCATTACAAATCTACATTTCATCATGACAGACTTATTTTTCTATTTTATATGGATAATCTTGAATAATATTCTATGGAAGTTGTATAGACATTTCTATTGAAATACCATGAATGTATATTCTTCTCGATATGATATTTGACGCATAGAATTAAGCTTATACGAGTAAATTTTGTTTTCAGTCTGTATATATTTTAATGAAACTTTAATTCGACACAACTAAGAAAAAAATTTACGATTCAAATATCGGACTAATTCATTTTGATTCAATAGAATAGCAGGTATAGTTAATTGTGAATGTATATTTAAAAGTAAGATGAATTATTTAAATCAAAATATCAATGACATAAAGTCGATACCATCAAACTATTTTTAATGTTAGCTGTAATCACTTTATTATAAACATGAATGAACTTATATTGAAGTACTGCTTTTGTGCCATCGACGAAATCAAGTATGCTCCATGTAATAACTAAAATTGATTAAGTTGATTTAGGAGAATGTTAATTGAAAGTGATCCTATTCGAAACGATATAAAAAAATATATTTGAGACATCTGTTAATCACAATAATATATTCCCAGATTGTTGATTGCTTAGCTATGGTCTACTCAAAATATGGATAAATCATGCGTGTCCGAATTTTATTTGTAAACGGAATTTTCAAATAAATGCTGTACGACTTAAACTGAACGAAGCATCAGATAATAAATTGAATATGAATATAGAAATATTTTAGCTAATTTGAAGAAGCGCACATTGATACGCAAGATACGAATAGAGATATTCAGCATATTTTATTTTTGCTTATTTAATGGAATTACATCATGCTTGTGCCAGAACAAGTTCATATGTATTTTCATTCCCATTGATAGGAACGCATATTATATATTTACTTGAAAGAAGTTTTATTTCTTATGAATCCTACATAATTAGTTCATGGTAATTTTTATTTCAACAGTAACAATTATTTATTTTTATGATAATTTTCAGTCAACCAAAAACCTATTGTTTCAATGAAAGTTACATACGATAGTTCTTGAATAAGTAATCAATATAAATAATACTAAATAGAAGAAAAATAGCCTTACTAGCTTTTAACATAAAGAAGAATACTAAAATCAATAACCAATTTGTGTATTGCTCTAAATTATAGGAAAATTTTAATTCTAATTTTATGAAACACGATCTGAAAGGAGTGTTGAATTATATAGGATAGAAATTAGGACCCATCCCCCGCCCCACCCCCCAGACCATGAATTCTTTGTAACTGCCTGTGATGGCCTCTACCGACTCCATAGATCAAAATACAGACCGTGACCGAAAGACTACATGTATGATTACAGACAGTGGCAGAAAAGCTACAAAGACTCCGAAATCGTGCTAGATGAGTTCCAGCAAAGGAGTTCCATCGTGTGTCACATTTTAATCCCAAAGGGACTGTGCTAACAGCTTTTTTAAAATGAAATACCAATATCAACTGAATAACTTGTACATTTCTCCTGATACACATTTACAGAGAATTTAGTTGAATACTTGAGACCATGGCTAAGTTCAGAGAAAAGTTCCTATAATTGAAAGCGTAATTCTATAGCTACTAGTGTAAGTTTATTGGATAGATCATACGTATTATTATGTAAATTTTTATTGATTAAATAAATTATCAAACAGAAGATAGTTTTTCGTCGAGATTTTTGTCACTAGTATTGATTACAGCTAAAAATAGTATAGTACAATTTTATTTCTGTAGAATCCAACAATATAGTTCTAGAAATAATTACAAATCTTATCAATCAAACAAGAGTTGATGTCCTGAGAAATATCGGTACAACTATTCAATAGATCAAATTAAAATTTTCATGTCATAAATTTTTAAAGAGGTAATCTTTCTTTTAAAAACGTCATAAAATGTCACAAACTCTCTGTATTCATAAGAATACTTGATTTCCTCTTTCAATTAAGACTTATCGAAAGAATGGATTGATTGAATCACGACGGAACAAGTCAGAATACTTTTTTTTTAATGTACTGTACGATCATGCCCGTAATTGTGAGTAGCTAGGATGTTTTTCGTGATTGACGACGTAATCGTAAGCAAAATTAAAATTCATTCTTGTAATCACGAGTGACCCTAGGATTATTTGATCAAAATTGTAATTCACACATTCTAATTCTTCAATATCTATTTCGATAAGCATTGCTCATGTCTTAATCAGAATAGCTCTGAGAATTTGAATAGTAATGAAATAAATAGCAGTCAGATGGCATGCTGGCTGATCTGGAATAACGAATTTTTAAAAATATAGAAATCTGTTTCAAACATAGTTTTCAAAGCTATAGAATTTCCAGCGAAAAAAAACGCAAAAAAGATGAGATATTCTTGCATTGGTTGATTCTATTCGAAATTTGGCATCTGTGTAATCCATATTTTGAGATATATTCTTCGTCGAGTTTGCATAGTTGGCTTGAGCCTTATTAGAAAGTCTATTTTCTTTCTACAAAAAACGAAGAACTAACTCAATTATCGTTACAAAGTTCTATCAGAACAAGAAATCTGTAATTCAGCAAAATGACTACAAGACGCTAAGTAATGTGACAAGCTATTTCTTCTGCTTATGATGTAGTTTTTGCTACGTAGATGTCATGGTAAGTGTAAAAACGAAACTACAAAAATATATGATGCGATCAGTATGTATGAGTATATCAGTAACTGCGTTTCATAAGCTGTGCTAGACGGCAAATTGTAAGTAGCAATATTATGAATTTTATTTTTAGGTTTATTTTCTTGAAAGAAGGCGGAAATACTGCGATTAGCCGTTTGGATGTGGCCTTCAACGCCATGAATGAAGAGTAGAAATACCTATAGAACGATAAGATAGTGAAAGATACATTCTGGCACCATTTATAGAGTAAAATATTAATTTATTTATGAATCACTTCGATTGGAAAATTTCATATTAACCAAAAACAAAACATTTCATTCCATGAAAGCGTTAGTCCCAATAGTATTTCTATCACAATAGAAGGTAAAGTATGTTATACATTCAAATAATCATAAGAATTTTTCCTGAATCATATTCAAAGATATTAAATAGGCGAAAATGAAACATAATAGAAACAAAATGGTGATGAACAAAAAAGTTAAATGAATTTGAAAAATTATTGTTTTATTCAATTATTTTTATCTTAATTCGTATAATGTTTGAAACGAAGTTGATGTTGTTTTGAAGTGGATACTGGTAAAGTTATATCGTTCAATGTCGAACGATATTTATTGTATAATTCTCGAGCAATCATAATTGAATCACCTAGAACATCAAGAAAAGTTTCTTTAAAATATAGATTTACAAGAAAATTACCGCGTGTAGTTGTAGGATAGATCTTTGCCTCTAACATAAAAAATGGTAATTCAGCTTCAAGAAATAAACGTTCACCCAACAGATGTGAATCAACTGGTTTACCCTGAATATGCACCATTTGAATGAAAAATAAATAAATAAAAAGTAATATATCATACTTCGACAATACTTTTCAGTATAACATCAAAGAACACATACCACCGAGGAGCATAATAACTATAAAGAAATATATAACATCAAGCAAATCAAAAAAAATAGTATAACCACTTAAAATGTAATAGATTTTTATTATTTTATATAGTTACATTATTCAGTCTGAAATCAGAGAATGAAATACTAATTGATGTATTCAAAACTTTAGATCCTATCTGAATCCACTGGATGTAAAATTGTGAGTCTCTATCTTTAGAAGTGAATAAAAAAACTATCATACATACTCTTGAATCATTCCCGACCAAAATTTACGTGCATAATCAAAAAGTCCTAATGTATAATTATTTCCCCATATTGATACTTGAAGTTTAGCATTCAAATTATAAAAATGAATTTCTTCTTCACTTGTTGCAAATTGTAAAGCATCGCCAACCCAATTACCTAATAAAAATCGACGATCTGAAGCTAATACCATTTCCATATCAGCCAAAATATCAACAAGAATAGCAGCTTGAGTACTGAAAAGAATTGAAATATTCGTAATACATAGCGTATCATTATATAATTGCAAACCTAACACCGTAGAGGTCAGCTCGCTTATAAGCAGCTATCAATTCAGTATGAATAGTAGCAAATTTATACTGAAGTACTTCTTTAGTAATATCTACTAAATCGTAACGAAATAAATCTGAATCGATTTCACTGGATGCATCAACTAACAGTTCCCAAGCCAACGATAAAGAACTGAGATCGAAGTGGGCCTAGTAGACAAACAGAAAAAACAATTGTCTCTATTTCATAATTATACAAACTATATGACACAACTTACAACTTGCTGTCCATCAAGTCCTGGTCTACCTAACATTAACGTGTCAGCACCGTGTGGATTATTGTGATAAACTGAATTTCCTAATAATTGCCATGCATACAATGCTGAACTTGGTATGGCATCAGTACTTGTATATCGACGCATTACAAAGTTGACTAACCTTAATAAAATAACATTTTTTGTGTATAAAAACAAAGAAATTTGAATACAGTTACCATTCATCTAATGCGGCATCGCTCAAGGGAGAGCGCCATGACTGTTCCAGTGCGAATTCATACATAATTTCGTTTTGATTTATACCTTCCATTGTGATACCAACGCCTATCATATATTGACCTGAATAGTTACGAGCAGCTTGTGGTCCCTAAAACTGATATTCGGTATTTCTCGTATTATATATAGATTTAGTTACATCATTAACATTGACAAGACTGCCAAATAAGTCATTATTACCACCAAAATCGTGTAACATATTCCATATATAAAAATGTCCATAGAATGATTCAAAACGTGAATATTGTGGCCGAGCTTCAGAAAACAGATCCAATAAAATCATATTACCCTTAAATGAGATATTTAAATTTAAATTATAATACATAGAAGATAATTAATCGATTTTATTTTTACTGGAGGAACTTTGCTTAGATAACTTTTTACACGATCAGTGGTCCAAAAGTCCGAAAGAAATAACCAAGCTTGCATCACCCTAAATGATCAATGGCAAAACGTTATAGTTGACGCTAGTAAAAACTCACCAAACAGCACTAGGATCAACCATTTGCATAGTCTGAAAAATGCCTGCGTTGACATCGGCCAAATAATTGAGATCACTGTTGTAATATATTTAACTATACAGTAATGTGCAAGAATTCAAACATACCTAACTGGTGGAGTCATCTCATTGAATAGATCACATGAATAGTAATGTGACGTTATATTGAGAGAAATAATTGTCTAAAATAATTTTTTTTAATTCGGCTGTTCTCGAAATAAAATCCATCAATTACAATCTATAGATATGATTATATTCCACTTTTAGTACTACATACTATTTTAAGATCAACTATCTTCATACGAAAATGATAACCGTGTAGAGTAGCGTTCAAGAATTTCTCTAATCAAACTACAATGTGAACGAAACTTCGAATACAGTTTTGTCGAAACTTTTTTTCTAGTCGTTGTTTTTATTATTCAAAAAACCGAAAAGTTCACAAAGCAACGTACCTCATTTAATAGTGCAACACCAACTTGTTTGAAAATTGGATCAGTTGGATCAAGATATACCATACTAAAATTAATTATGAAATTTTGCTTGTTTTTATATCTATCACGTACACTATTACTTACCAAGATTCATTACATCCAAAGCCAACCCAGTCGGACGAATTATAGAATTTTGCTGTAGGAAAAAGTCTAAAGAATAAATACTATAATTTGTTACTTCCGTAATAATGCTAGTACAAAAAAAAGCGATAATTATAACATATTATGAATGAAACAAAAAAGGTTTTCTATCAGTATTCGTAAATGAAAAAGAATCATCGAGTACTATTCAAACGGATGATCTAACTTTGTAAAATATAGTTGAATAGACTACTAGATTGAACCGTAAAGTAACCATCAAAAGCAACTTACTTTGGTGCACTGCGAGGCATAAAACCAGTAAAAGCAGGTAGGACTGGTATGATTTCAATATCAGTCATTCGTCGAATGATTTGCTGAGCAAGTTCAAATTGAGATGCATGCCACTTTCGTGATAGTGGACCAGCATGCTTTTGAAGATTACCCATACGGTGCCTTTTATTCATATGAAAACAATCATTCACTAGTATCTCAAAGAAAAACGAATATTTCTCTCTCTTCCTTACCAAGCTAAAAATGCTGGACCAGTGAAATAATCATCTAATTCTGATTGACTAAAACCCATTTGTAGAAACACCTACAATAAAATCCAGTAGGAAATATTCATTTGTTGACTTGCTTCCTTCAAAAATGAAATATTCACTTTACTAAAAATGTATTCCATTCCAGTTGTAGCATACACTAAGTTGATTCCATTCATTGCCATCCAATCAATCTCTTTTTCCCATCTTTACATTCAAAAGCTAGATAAATTTATAGAAGGCTTCTACCGGAGAAATTTACCTGGAAAAGTTCCAAAATACCGCTGAATAACTGAAAGTACATGGATTACCATACCAACGGAAAAAATCATTTGCAAGAATTCGAATCGGTGTAGACAATGGAATTAATGATGATCCAGATAGGCGAATATTCTTGCCTGACCAATAAACTACACAAAACGTCGAGAATCGTGAAACAAAATGAAAATCAAAAAGTTTTTCATACATGAACTTTGTGCTACATATTTGAGATAGTAGTTGAATCCCATTGCAGCAGCTACACCCGATGATGCTGAAATAAGTATTGAGCCAGATGCAGAACCATTCGAGAGTAGGAAAACATCTTTGCCATTGATTGCTAGATCAGCATTGATTGAAACTTGAAAAAGTTGAGCAACTGGAGCACCGTCAAGGACACGATCGATCAAATCTGTGATTGCTTTTGCGGACGATGACGAAGCAATCGGTTTTGGCCATTGAATTACACTTTCAATCGCATAAGATTCTTAACAGCGATTAAAAAAAATCCATCATCCATTTACTTGTGAATTATAGAAATTCTAATTTATTGAAGCATAGCACACCATATCGGAGCTCTATGATGAGTTTAGTCACGAAACTTCAGCATTCTTCATGGATTAGAATGGAGTAATTGTCTATGTTTTTTCTAGATACTTTGTATACATTTCTGAGTAAAAATTTATTTGCTTTCTACGTTCTTTTTTCTATTTAATTATGTTTTGGACAAATATTAATATCATCGCTTCAGTGAAAATCACACGATTTATTTGCATATATATATGTAACATTGAAGATAGACTCCTATGTATTTTCTTGTGAGGATATGAAATCTTCAGCGTCTATGTGGACATTATCTTATCGGATACAGCCTTATGTGTGCTCGCACGCCCAAAAGAACGAATTTATATACAATGGCTATGTTGATATCACATAATAAAACATTAAAATTCGATCACGTATCAGTATTGGTCTGAATGAATTTTTATACGATATAAAAATATCATAAATACATCAATACTTAGAATAGTTAAGTCTTTGTTTTTCTCTAAAGTAGCTTCAATAATTAATAATGAAAATATGCTTATTCAAATACTTCGATGCAATTGAAATTTAGAATGCCGATAGTTTAGCAACGAAACAAGATATTTTTTTCATACTTTGAATTGAAACCAATGCAACGCTTAGCTAAGTCACACTACGATTTTAACATCGTTGAACATTTCTGAACAAAAACTGTTTTGAATCTATAGACTTACGATATAATAAGAATAGGACGACCACATATTGCAATATAGAACGCATCATCATTATCTAGAGAGCACAGGTTTAGTTTATTCTTAGATTTTTTTCTTTGTCTCTGTGAAGATATGGAATAAAGATAAAAAGACACAAAGATCAACAAATAACAGAACAATGGCGAAAAAAAGTCTCAACAGTTTGATAATTTATGTCTAGGTTAAGAAACAAAAATGAACTGTTTATTTTATTTTTCTTTTATTATGTTCGTACAGCGTGAACAGTTTCTTCTTTATTAATTAAATGACATGTTTTATTAATAATTGTCATTAAAGAGTTGAGATTAACCGACCATTCATTAAGAATTTCTTGTGGTGATTTATTTTGTTGAAATGTAACTATATCTTGAAGACGATCGATTTTAGCACTGATGGTTTTATTTGAAACAAGATTCGATAGAAATTGTTCAGCCTCATCCTTTGTTAAATCAAGTAATTCAGCCATTTTTTGTGTATGAACCCGTGTGTAATATTTAGCCATAATACGCATATTCTATTTAACAAGAAAAAACAAAATAAAATAATAATTTATTTCATAAAAAAAGCATTCAAATAATATTTACATGTTCAACGACACGAATTTTAAAATCGTCCCAGCTTTTTTTTCCATCTTCAGTTTTAGCAAAAACATTAGTTGCTAAATCATCTTTACTACCATTTTTAAGTTCATTTTCGAAATGTTTTAAAATATCTTTCCAATGAATCAGTTCTTGAGTTTTGAAACGTTGTAATAAATCTCTATTTGTTTTGATAACAAAAGGATAATTTAAAAGAAAAGAAAGAAAATAGTGGCTTACTTGTATTTAGGAACTTCTTCAAGATTTTTATCGAGAAATAAACGATGTAAAAAATCTGATTGCTCATTGTTATATGGTGATAAAGTTAAATAGAGAACAACATGTTTTAGTGCTTGTTTCATTTTTTCTGCATCTTGTTTTATACGTGGTGTATCATAATAATGCTTATAATGTTGACATACATCAAAGTAGTTTTTATCATGTAAATCCATCTCAATCATTAGTTCATAATATTTCAATTTTAAATCCTTAAGAAAAAAAACAATAACTTTTAATTCAGAATTCAAATGAACTTATGACTTGAGCAAAAACCTATATCGAAATCACGTGCAAGAGTCATTGGAATTCTTTCAAATATTTATCAATCAATTTAGGTTTATATTAAATATTTCTTTTTTTAAAGATGACTTTTATTTTTTTTTATTGATTATTCACACTGATATATATTTTCGACGCTAGATGATTCACGTGTCTATACAGCAGTCCTTTGATAGGTGTAACCATTGAAAAAACAACCGAAGAATTTTGAAAACGAATCAATTGTTATAGAGAATAATAAACAATTAATCTTTCGAATTAGGAAGTCAATCAGATTAGATATAATTTATTAATGAAAATTTTCTTTGACTCAAAAGTAATTTTTCTATATGTCAATGGTGATTTCTGTAATGTTGAAAAAAATCCTGGCTCATTATCTTCTAACATATCTCTAATTTTTTATGGCATGATGTGCGTCTCAACACATTGAAAGCTCAAAATATATCTTGCACATACACAAGATACATTTTAACGTCGAAAACAAAACTAATTGTTTTTGTGAATTCGATTAGTTTTTTTACTATACAACTAAGCTCAACAATAAATAATAGGGCTACCTTAAATACTAATAAGGCGAATTAATCTTAAATTATTTTCAGAAAACATAATGAGTGAACTTCGAATTACTGGAATGAGAAAACTTGAACATATTAAAAAACAATACCATCTAATATTTTGTTAGAAATACATGATATAGATTGATCGAAGGATGCTAAACTACTTCAAATCTTACATGTGAAGTTTCATCTTCAAATGATTTAGTATTGATTTTTTTCGATATGATTTGTGTTCGAATATAATCCTTTTTAGCTAAACAAAGACGCATTTGTTCAAGTAAAAATTCAAGTTTTTCACGACGATCCATAGTTCCATAAGTTTCAACCTAAACGGTAGATCATCCAAGAAAATCAGAGTATGTTTTCAATAAAATTATATGATTAAAATTACCTGCAGTTCTTGTAAAATTTCTGCTGCTTCTTTTGTTTTACCTTGTCCTTCATAAATATCAGCTAATTTCTTTGTTAAACGAGCACGTTCATTTTCAACAAAGATCTCAAAAACAAAAAGGGTTTCATATTCAAAACTCTAATTTTATAATAACACAAAGTTTACTTTGCCTGTTGTAACGCTACGAAGTGTTTCAATTAATTTAAGTTTTGTATCTAAATCTGGCGTTTTTTCCACAAGTTCATATGCTTCTTGGACCATTTTTGTAATAGCTTGTTTTAATTGACTGCGACGTTTTGATAGTGTGACAATATGTTCATTCATTTGTTCCCATTGCTTTCCTGCATAACAGTATTTAATTATAGCTACAAGAACACGCCCAGTTGAAATAGCATCAGCCGCCTAAAATAGTTAGTCACAAAAAAAAATATATATATATAAATACGAAAAAGCTTCTTCCGTCAGAATTTCATACTGTTCGAGTTTGTTTTTCAAGCGGTAACAAACGTTCAAGAGCTTCGTTCAATTTTGATGCATCCTAAATTAACATTCGTTGTTGAGTGAAAAAAAAATAATTTTATTTACTTTCATTAATTCATCACATTCTTTGAGTTTTTGATCAACAACAGATGAATAATCAATTTCCATTTTAACAAGTCGATCGGGTTCAGCCATAATTAATTTTATTACTACTTGTAGATCTAAAAACAAAAAGGAAATATGTTGCTTGTTAGATTAGCCACAACGAAATTGTTTTGAATCATCAAGTTCGTGCAATATGAAGGAAAGAAAAGGGAGTGTGTGATTGGATAAACCTATTTACCAGTGTAGCACGCAGCAACTAAACAATAAATAGAGAGCCATCTACAAAAACAATTGAACAGTAGACATGGCTGCCGTAGCAACCAATCACACAATTACATGCGAATATATTCTCAAAACTTTATTAGCTAAAAATATTCTATGTTCATAAATTAGAAATATTCGATCATAAACCTTTTTCTATAAATTATTTATTATTTCAGTGAATTTAGAAAAAAAGAAGCTTGAACCATAGAAATTTCATACATACAAGTTTTATTTACTTTCATCATAGCTTTACATTTATTGGTGTAATTTATATTTTGCATAAAGCGCGCAAATGAGAGCGCTGTAATAAATTTGATTAAAGTCAGCTGGTTCCCTGTAATCTATCGTAGGAAGTTGAAGAGGAGAAAATCTACGAATAGCTATTCGCGATGAAAGCTCACCATACACTAATAGAAACTGTTATTCACGTTTCTCTTGAAATAAACTAGTTTTTCTCAAGATATCCAATGTCTAACTAACAGACGCCGTAGAGTTTATAAAGTTATGTCGCCAGTAAACATTGTAGAATCACAAAAGTGCTCAAGCGATATTTTTCCTATACGAAAGACATTGAAAAACCAATAACAAAATATTATCATACTGATAGTATTTGAATATTCAGCGAACGAGTGTCATGATAAAAATGTAACAATTAACAAAAAGTTGAATTTATTCCAATAATTTCATCGCTTTTACTTTATTTTCAAATGTTCATTCAGATTATTTTTATTCTTTTCATATAATTTTAATGAGAATAACAAAGAAAGAAATCGTGAAGTTCATTTGTGGGATCGATGTACCAAAATTAAATATCACGATTTGATGTGTAAACTGTCTGAGCTTTACGAACAAGAATCATACCCATTCTTGACTATTGCTTCCAATCTAAGGAGCAAATGCATGTTACCATACTAATATTGTTTTCGACATACAACAGAAATTGACTTGCATGCTGTCTGTGATCACGTCTAGACTGCGTGTCCATCCACTATGTTTTCCATCAAGCAAATATTATACAAACTGTTAAGAGATGTGACATACAATATTTTTATTAGGCTGCTATGATGTCAAGATACATTATGCGCATCTGCTGTTCAAGAGACAAAAGAAAAACCATAAACAAATACATGTTTCTCTCATAAAAATAGCTGAATTCATAATAGAATAACTTAGTATCTACACTGAGAGTACGACTACATTCATAGCTGCTTTAACAATGAACTCCATTCGAATTTTATTCGTAGTCATGCTACTAATTATGTCGAGCAATGGCTTATTATATGACAAAAACGAAGTCAACTCTGTTGGCGAGCTCCGGGTCTTAAAAAGAACTAAAATCTATTCAAATCTTGCTGAAATTGTCCAACCATTTGGGAAACTACCACTTGAGTTCTCAACTGAAGATTGGAGTCACCTTCGTGCCGATTCAATAACATTAGTTGGCTCGAATCTTACAATAACACAACAAACAATAACCGAAAAGAAAAAATCGCTGAACAAGGTTCACGTTTATCTTCGCTCACAACCATCTTCCAACGCTGATAAAGAACTTATCAAAGCAACTGCCGTTGATGAAAAAAGAAACCTATTGAACGTTATTGATGAAAAATTTAGCAAACGACCAATCTTCTTTACAGCTCAATCAGACCATCTTGTTTACGAAAATGAACCACCTCAAACAAAGTACTATGTTAACTTTGCATATGACACAACAGATGCAATATATTTGAGTTATCTTCGTTCAAATCTTAAATGGAAAACTCGTATCTCTGATTTTTATGGCTGATATTCAGAATGATGGCGAATCGAAAGTTGATATCGAAAATGCAGAGCTTTTAGGTGGTGACATCAACTTGCAGATGTATCAACGATCATCAGCGGCATATTTTACGCTGGCAAATTTAGAAGATATGCTTTGAGGTACGAATCCGCGGCTAAAAAGAAGACAGGTGACGTAATCACCATCGATTATACAAAGTGAACAAGCTGCCGGTGTGCATGTATTTACTATCAATAAACCATTTTCGATTGATGCTAAAACAAATTATCTTTTATCAATGTTTCTTTCACAAGCGCCTATTATCAATCGATATAATTTTATTTCAAAGTTTTTCCGTGGTCCTGGAAATTCAACTGGGAAGAGTAAACTTTTATATCGTCTTGTTGGTGAAACATCAATACTAGATCTTGCTGCCAAAAATAGACATTATTTTTCAATTGGTGAACATGCTGATAAGATTTATCAAGAAAACGAGGCATTAGTCACTTCATATTATTTCAATGTAACAACTTCAGTCTATGGTATAAGACAATCACTAGCATATTCTACTCACGAAATTAGTTTACTACTGAAAAATGGCAAGAATCGTCTAGTTAAAATTGAACACCATCAGTATCTACAGGGTAAATTTGTGAGATTGCTTAAATTAAATGCGCTTTTTACACTTGAAAGATGCACAATAAAATATACAACGACAATTATATTGAATGAAAAAAACAATTTAGTTTATAAATTTGTAACAAACTGATTTCATTAAATAAAATATTCATCATTATCGATAGACTTCTTATTTCTTATAAATTTTAACTTGTAGTTTATAAAGTAGTTTGCTTAAGAGAACATACATAAAAAAAGGCTGATTTCTATTCAAATAAAATACTTAAATATACAGATAATAAAGATGATGTTTTAGCTTTGCTTTCATAAGAAAACAAAATCACTGCATTTTCTGATGTAAATAAAATAAAGCTATATTATTCAGAAGATTTATTACAGGTTTGAATGCGATTAACTTGAATATGTCTACAATATCGTACTAAGATATTCAATCCAGTTTAAATCATAGATGAACATTAAAAAAATGCTTTATCCCGTAAAAAATAATCAATGTGATTAAAAGAGGTTCCCTTTTCTGCTATAATTCTCTATAAACAGAAAAACAAATTCTATATTCAATCATTCCTTATCTACAGTGTTGTCTTCTTTTTTTTTTCAAGAGGTAAGGTTGATCGATTACATATAGTACATCATAATAAAATAATCTATAACTTTATCGTTTCTCAAAAATGTTTCGGTACAATATCGATCTTTGTGTGTGCTGCAACAAAATTTTTGCTTTTTGTAGAAATACACTTATATGTGAGTATTTTACCCTTCAAGCATATTCATGAAAGATTGATAACGCTTTCCCTGTAGGGGGGACATGAATGTTTTCTTGAGAATGATATCACTGTTGCAATATAACAGATGAAGTGTTGAAGTTATCTGAAAAGGAATGTTCTTTACTATTGGGGTCACAATTTGACCGCTCCATCAAATATCAATTTAGCCGCTTGATACATCAACACCATACATACAGTGTCTATTTCTTTCCCTCCGCCGAACTTATCATGATGATAAAAGTAATCTATCATCGAACTAAATCATAAAAGAGAACGGGCAAACTTTTATACATTTCTACCCTTTTTCTGCCACATATAAACGATCGTATCGGATACTATCTTGCAGTTATAACATAGAAAATCAGTCTACTATTCATTTGAATATGAAATCTTTCTTAATTTTCTGCTTATTAGCTGTAGATACTTTAAGTATCAATGGTTTCTTACTTGATAAAAAGAAATCAGTTTCTACTGGCGACCTTCGTGCTTTAACAATAGTTAAAATCTATTCAAATCTTGCTGAAATTATTCAACCACTTGGTAAATTACCACTTGAATTCTCAACTGATGATTGGAATGATATTCGTGCCGATTCAGTAACATTAGTTGGCTCGAATCTTACAATAACACAACAAACAATTACCGAAAAGAAAAAATCACTTAACAATGCTCAAGTTTATGTTCGTGCACCATCATCGTCAAGTACTAAAACAGAATTTATTAAAGCAACTCTCGTTGATGAAAAAAGAAACTTAGTTAAAATCATTGATAAAGATGTTAGCAAAGATCCAATCTTCTTTACAGCTCAATCAGATCATATTGTTTACGAAAATGATCCACCTCAAACAAAGTACTATGTTAACTTTACATATGACACAACAGATGCCGTATATTTGAGTTATCTTCGTTCAAATCTCAACTGGAAAACCCGTTATCAATTGAATCTATTCGAAGAATCAAAGCCGGTAACACTCATTTCAATGGCTGATATTCGAAATGATGGCGAATCGAAAATTGATATTGAAAATGCAGAACTTTTAGGTGGTGACATCAACTTACAGATGCATGCAACACATAGATTCCAGTATGCTCAAGTGGCCTATTCAAGTGCTTCTTTTGATGCAGCATCCGGACCAGCTGGTCCTGCAGGTTCCACAAATAAACTATCTGTTGGGCAAGGAGAAGAAGTAGCCGGTTTATATGTGTTTACTATCAATCAGCCGTTTTCTATTGAAGCTAAAACAAATTATCTTGTACCAATGTTTCGTCCACGAGTGACTGTTGAACGATATAATTCGATTTCAAAATATTTCACTGTTGCAGGAAACTCAACCGGAAAAGGCGAACGTTCATATCGTCTTGTATCTGATCGATTTCTTTCAGGTGGTAATTGTGTTATACGTGAATTTGATCGCCTTGTTGGTGAAACAACATTACCTGATATTGCTGCCAAAAGCAAACATGATTTCTCAATTGGTCAAGATGCTGATATAGTTTATAAAGAAAATGTAGTATTAATTTCTACATTTAGTTCCAATATATCAACTTCAATTTATGGTGCAAGACAAACAAGAACACAATCTACCTACGATATCAATTTAACATTGAAAAATTACAAGAAGAATCGCCCAGCTAAAGTTGAATATCAACAACAATTCACTGGTCAAACAGTTAAATTATTTAAGCCTAATGCAGTTTTCACACAAGACGGCTCAACAGTCAAAGCCACATTTACATTAGCAGCTGACGAAGAAAAGTCCGTTACATACAAGATTGAAGTAGTCAACTAGCTTGAAACAAACTCATTTCTTTTTTAATCTACTATATAACGATCATTTTTATTCAATAAATTAGCTAGTGATTTAGATACAAACTCGATCTAATTACAAGTCAACCGTAGATTGAGAAAGCCTCTTGAAATAGTTTAGAATTTGCTAGGAAAAACATATTTTGTACTATACATGATAGAATGGTTGATATAATAAAATTCTTGTAGTATATATTATCAATTTTTATTTTTCATTTTGAAAGAACATAACATATTGAAAAGCATTTTGAAGAGTTTATTATTTCTTAAAATTATCAATATGTACATTTTACAGAGTGCCGTAATAGATTTTTCTAACCCACGCCCAACATTTTGTTTTTATTGAATCTCCTATACATACAACGAGAGCCATAGGGACACTGCATTTTCAAGTATATTTAAATTGAACACGAACTGCAGTGTGGTATATAAATATTGTATTAGAAAAATAGGTGAGATTTTACTTTAGTACAATATAAAGTTCAAACTGTTGCTTATTCCAAAGTAAAACAGTAATCGGTTCTTTTTTGGAATAACTTTTGATTTAAAAATGGAATATAAATATACGGTCCTCAGCATATGACAGCGAAGATTACGTGGTATGGACCGTTAAATTTATTACTGTTCTTCAAAACCTTGACTAGGATTTTGGATCGTACTTTTAAAAGAGTTCGTTGTTTTTAAAGATTAGAAAGGTCACTCAATCTTCGTTTTCGAATGGTGAGACCCACAGGTCTGCAGCTTTTTTTATCACAAGTTATTCTGAAAAGATGAACTTTTTTGGTTTTTTCAATAAACAACAGATAGAGATTTATATTGTAGTAAAGAAAAATATCATCTATTTTTCTAATACAATTATGAGACTTCATAGCGTGCTTCCATTGACGTTTTACATGCCAAAAGAATTTACTCCGATACGGAAACTTTAATGCAATGTTGTATCTTAATTGTATAAACAATATAAAATATCTGAAATACAGATCTTTATAAATTCTTGATTATAATTATATCATCCTCAAGATTATATGAAGACGTATAGGTTTTGATTTATCTCTTTTGTTTCTTGTTTCGTACATGTTTTAATAAGTTTTTTTTGTTTTTCCTTTGTCCGAATCAAAGAAAGAAATCAACAGAAAGACACAAATGACAACAAAAAGAAAAACCAAAGAGTATCATCAACACATAAGCAACATCAATATGTTCAATGACAAAAGAAGAACAGTCGACTAAATACATAAGTCTCTATTAGAACAGGAAAGAAAAAAAGGAGTACATTGTCATCAGAAAAACAAACAAACAAATACCGGGGACTTGACGAGATAAAATACGATGAGAGAAATAATAAATAGAGCTGAGTGAATTTTTGTTAGTTCCCTATCACATAATTGAATATATTCCTCTTTTGTTCGAGGTGCAATCTAAATCTATACACTTTCTTATTTATATGTACATTCTCTCAATTGATAGTCCCTTTCTCTCTCTCTTTTTCAATTGGCAACATTAATTCCATTTTCAAGCGTGCTAGTCCTTTTCAGATGCTCACTATTATTATTATTATTATTATTATTAGTAGTAGTAGTAGTAGTACTGTTCGTTGATGTCGATGTCAATATACTAGATTCGACATCCATCGTCTCATTTGATGACAATGGTGCTAGTGGTGGCGAATGTGTTTCATCTACATCATATAAATTAGTTGATGTTTTTAATTTATTTGTAGTGGCAACATTTTGTGTAGTCCTATTGGATGAATGTGATCGTTTCTGTGACAATTTATTGCTATTTGTCATTGTAGAAGCAATAGATGATGAATCTGTATGATTACTGCCATTTGGTGTATTTAAAGTTTTAGTTGTTGATGGACAGCTACTTTTTAATCGAGCATTTTCTTCATTCAATAAAGTTATTTGTTGATGAGAATCAGTTAATTGTTGACGCATATGAAGTAATATGCTTGACATAGCATCCATATTTGTATCCATATCTAACACAATGTCTTCATAGTCTATGCAGAAAACGAAACAAAAAAATCAATTGAAATGTCTTGAAGAAAAAAAACTCTGATTACCTTTTTGTGCATCTTTCATATTTAATAAAAGTTGATTTTGTAAAGATACTTCGCCTTCCAATTTAGCGACATTATCCGATGAAACTATTTTCCCCAGTTGTTCATTTTCTTCGAGTAATTTTTTACATCGTGCCATGAGCATCTTACCAGTTTTACTACAAAATAATCATATAAATGAATTCTTTTGACAAGAAATATATACCTATCTGGTGTGAATTGCCATGAATGTAATTCTTTTTGTGCTTCTTCGCGAGCTTTACGGCTATGTTCAATTTCGTCACGCATTTTTCCATAAATAAGATTAATTGATGGATCTAAATATGTTTGTCGAAGACGACTGAATGATGGTGTTTGCATCATATCTCGCATTTGATCCTATGGAATAGACAAAAAAATAGTCAAACATCTATTTTATTCCTATGTTCTGTTTTATTTTCATACCAATGATTGCTGTTGAGTTGTTTTAGTTAAAAATCGATAATTCAACATAGATTTCAATTTTTTACATTCAGTTTCTTTTTCTCGTAAACGTTCATTCGATTCAATAGATTGTTGTAGCTGCTGTAAGCGTGATTCTAAATAATCAATATATGAATCTTGTTCTTTCCAACGTTCCAGTAGACGGGATCGTGGTGCTTTGTCAATCCAATCTTCACTTTCAAGCCGCACTCGTTTTGGTGTATTTGTTGTTGATGTTATGGTATTGGAATTACTTATATTATTAGTTATGTCCATTAGAGAAAAACGAAGAACATCGATCGTGATCGATCTATATTCGACGATTGAAGCGGTACGCGCACAGAATAATCAATTTCGCAACAATAAAATTTTATGCCAATGATTAAAATTCACACATATGTTTACAAAAAAAAACAAAGATTCACAGAGTCAATTGAAAACTAATGATCGGATACGGCAAATTAGCTCGACCAAAAGCATTAGTATTGATCTAGAAACAGCAAGAACAACAGCACGGAACGAGTTATAGCTTGTACTTCTTTTTTGTTCTTACGTTGTTTGTTTTCTTCTTTTGAACGTTGCCATTGTTGACGTAAATGAAAAGACAAATCAATTTTTTCTCTTGTCAAGTAATATTTTAGCTGTTTAAAAACCAATTTGTTCATTTTAATGAAATAAAATCAAGATTTTCATTTTATTCTTCGCATTTTACATAAAAGATGTCACTGGTTAACACTATCTTTCATTGGAAACGTATTACGCTAATTGAAAATTAGTTTTTTTTTTGAAAAAAAACTTGATAGACAAAGAAAATTATAAGTGTAATAGTAGATTTGAAAAAGGCTTAGTTCAAAAGATCTATTTTGTAATATGAACTAATTAGAACAGGATACACATCTTAGATAGTCTATTTGAATTTTGAACTCAAACCAGTTTCTCTGTCGTAAAAAGCTTAAAAGATCTTGATAAGAAAATTCAACGATATAATAATTAGGTATGTTGATTTAGAATATATTGAATTCAATTCAAAATGAAATTATATACTTTATCCATCTATCGATTTATGACAGCACATTAGATTTATCGTTTACGAAACTTCATTGTTTTTAATTATTTTTTTGATTGTCATTGTGTTTGTAGAATTTACTTGTTTGTTTTGAACTTTACATTTATGAAACACCCATTTTTTTTCACTCTATCAAAAAAAAACTCTTGATTACTGGGAAATATATATATATTTCAACGCGATAGAAGAACAGAATCGATATTTGAATGAGAAACTATATGGAAAAATTCTACATCTACACAATGAAATAACTGTTGTAGAAATGTTTAATCTTTATTTTATTCATTCTAGAATGATTTAGTCAATTTTAAGTCAGTACTTATGTTTTCCTGAGTTGTCTTCCATTTGTCAGAACTCATAGGCGCCATTAGATGTTAATTAAACCGTCTAATGAAAGTACATTCTTTCTAGGCACGATAATGGCTTGATACACCAGATCATTAACTGTTTTATAGAATGTAATTTCTACTAAGCAAATCTATTTTTTCTGTCGAAAACAGGCGCTAAGGCTGCAAAAAGAATTTACTAAATGTCAAAAAACTAAGGATGACATCGTCTTTGATCTGTATCTTTTTTGTTTAATAAGATTTATTTGGTAGAAGAAAATAGTTGAGGCTTACAGTATTTAATAAAAAGTTATTGTCTTGGAACAGAAAAGTACTTACAATCACCGACATATACATATATATGAACGTTATTGATTATGATTTCGTTTCCTATCAGATAGGTTTCTATGTAGATAAATTGATAATGTCACATTTTTAACAAAAAACATGATTTTCTGTGTTTTTTTCCGTTTGAAAATTAAACATGCAATTTTGATTAAAGTCTATTGTAGGAGTAAAACTATTTCAAAAAAAATGGATGTTGTCAAGCATTAACTGAAAACGTGTGTAATAAATAAGCATTTTGCAGACTTTGACGACATACGTGTTGACAGTAGAAAAAAAGCATGTTCTACTTTAATAAATATTCACGAAATGCTGCATTCTCGTTTTTTTTTCTTCTACAAATATAAATAAAATTTTCACAAACAGTCATATATACTTATTCTAGTTCAATAATAGTTCTTTTATATGCATATGTCACAAAATACTAGCAAAATATACTTGATTTATAATGAGATTAATTTCACATGATATGAACTATAGAATGGTCAATTGAATTTTTTCACTCAAAAAGAAACAAAATAATCAAGATCGAATAGACAACAATCAAACATAACTTTAACTGAAAAATAGAAAGAATATTTCTAACCATTCTTTTTTTGTTGCATTCTTATTTTAGATATTTATCAAATGCTTTCCTCAACAACGTCATTAAAAATTGGTGGTAGTGGTCCATCGGAACCATTGACTCGTCTTGCATGTATTCGCCAGTGTCAAGAAACAGTTCAAGAATTGGTGGATAAACAACCAGAAATCTGTGTGTGGTTTCATCAATTAACACGTCCCATAGCACATCACCCAAATTATCAACAACAACAAGCACAAAATCTAGCTGAAAAGCGTACTCGTTTTGAAACATTATTAAACGATATAACAATGCAATTCAATTCTTTAAGATATTTATTTGTACGTCTTCGTGAAATTCATGAATATGTTCTAACACGTGAATCAACAGCAACAACAACTAGTCCAGAACTATCACGTTTATTAAAACAAAAATCAATTTATGAAGAAATTCTCAATGAAAAGCAAACTCAATTAAAAATTATTATTGATACAGTACGTGATATAACTTATCAGATAAATACAATGATTGATTTACGTCAGGATGGAACAATTAATACATTGATGAATAATGCCAATACACAAGAAAAATGATTATTCTTTCTTTTCTCTTTATTATTATTATTATACTTTATTGCACTAATAAAAAAGAAATAAGATTAACTAACGGACTAGATTATAAGTCTTTAATTCAGAAAAACATTCTGTAAAAAATTTTGGATTTTGATTAATGGCTAGCATCTTTGAACTTAATTGTCCCATGATTAAAACGACACGTTGCCAAAAAGCCTCACGTGTTTCATCGTCCGTTACAAAAGGCTTCAATGGATATGTTATTTCATTTCCCATATAACTAAATGCTAGATATAGACAGGTTAATATAATAGCATGCAATTCAGTAACACTTTTAATTGTTGTTGATGGTACAACATAGGTTAATGTTTCACGTAAAAGTAAATAAACAAAAACAATATTAGCCGGATTGACAAATACTTGTTCTTGCCAACCTTGCAAGATTAATTGACGATCAGCACTTTTTATCCATAAAATACAATCAGTGGAATCAAGTATTGGTAATAAATGAGGACAACATGAACACAAATAGTCGCCTAAACATCGTAATAATTCATTTGTTGATGCTTGAATTATTGTTTTATGGCTTGTATTTTTTTCTATTGTACGAATATTTTTTGAACTCGATGATAGACTGTTATTGATTTTTGCATAGGAAGACAATTGACTTTGTTGATAATATTGTGATTGAGATTTTGGTAAATGATACGATTGTGGAATAAATGCTGAGTAACGTTTATTGATTAGCGCATTTGAAACTATTGAAAATTAAAATTAAAAATTTATACATTAAACGAAATAGCTGACTATGATAATAGAAATGTTCAATTCGGGCATATTTAATTGTTCTATTCAAGTTATGAGAATTCTCCGATGCATTTGTTATGAATGAACAATCCACTTTTTTTTTTCATTACTGATTGCATTATTCAATATGTATTATATAATGTATCTATTCATACTTGGCTACCTCTCACCAAATCAGATAGATATTTGAATTCCAAATCACTCTAGGGAAAGTTATATATGAGCACGGCATATGTCGATTTCTTTTTTAGACATTACTGAAAAGTATTCTCTAGAAAATTAGTAGCCGAATACAATCTTATTTTTAGATTATTCTTAACAACTAGAATAGCTTCAATCTAAAAAATTAACATCTTTACTTTCCAATAAAATTAATTAAAAACTATGATTAACTTCTTGTCAATTTGACATAAGAAGTACCAGAAAAAAATATGAATTAAAAGAGCTAATAATCAGACGCTTATGATATAGAATTTTTAATTATAGCCGAGTACAACTGACATATTCACCTGTTCTTATTTCATATTTATGTCGTCTTTTAGGTTGACTAAAAGCGTCTGCTGTTTGATTTTCTTGTGTTGGTGACGGCTCTTGTTGCTTTTGAGCAATTAAATTATTGGTAGATTTCGTTTTACTGTTCAAGGATGATTGCTGTTGCTGTTGTATTTGTTGTTGTTGTTGTTGTTGTTGTTGATGACGATGATGATGATGATGATGATAGTGGTGATGTTGGTGGTTACGATGATCTTCTTCGTTGTCTTTGATATTCGTTGTTGTATTATCAATTGATTTTGTCATAATTCGTTTATTAGTGGAATCTGCCAGTGGTTGTTTAATAGAAAATAGACTAAATGATTTTTTAAAACTCGTTTCTCGTTCACGATTTTCTTGTTGTGACTTTTTTGAATTATCATTTTCTTTATTGGATTTTTCACAATTGTTTTTAATTAAATCGTGAAAGTGTTGTGTTGTCATCGATGTTGACAATTTACAATGATTATTTTCCTCAACATTTTTTCTATAACGTTTACTTCTTCCATGTGTATGACGTATAGAAAACTTCTTAAAATTTAATGATTCATTTATTATTTGTAATTGTTTTTTCCATGATGAACGATTTGGTGTTGATGATGTTGCGGTTGTTGTTGTGGATGATGACGATGATGATAATGAAATCTGATTATTTAGTTCATCATGACAAGATTTAGATTGACGAGGTGACACATTGCCCATGGTGAAAGTTTTGATCTACAAATATTCATCAAAAATTTCTTAACATGAACGCCTAATTAAATATATGCTGCCAGTCAAAATATTATATTTTTATCGAGAATGTATGCTATCTATTTTAGAAACCTTATAACGTCACTGATGATAGCCCAACGCTCTTTGAACACATCAAGCATACGCACATCACATAGAAGTTAAGAGAAGGACGATGTTTCTTTTTTTTTCATACTCTTCCGGATTTTTTTTCTCTATCGTTGTTTCTCATTCCTTCATTTTTTTTCTCTAGTGAATTTTTGGTGATGTTAGCGTGCGCTGAATACTTTCTCTCGGATGAGCTTTCATATTCTAGTTGGTAATAAATTATAAACAGAAATGACTTCTAGTTAACCAAAAAGAAATACACTCAATCGTTAGATTCATCAATAGACCTACCTGCTAGGCTAGTTGAACTTTTTTATCCATCTCTCTGTTCGATGAGTGTTATTCTTCTCTTCTATTTAATTTTCCATTATCCTCTTTTGCATGCACTCTCATGCTGAGATGGAAGCATCCTTTAGACATACGCGCGCGACCGAATACATTCTGTTTCTTTCTCTTTTCTATACACCCGTCGCTCTTAAAAAAATTGGTTGAACACTCTTTCAGAAAGAAAGACAGAGAGAGAGAGAGGGGAAAAAAGAGAGTCAGACACCAGAAGGCGTAGTTTTTATCCACACAAAAAAAAATTATGTGTGTGTGTGTGCGCGTGAATGAGCTCTTTTCTTCGTTTCACCATTATTACCATGTTTCCATTTAGCTGCGTATGTCGCACGGAACTAGATATGAATTGAATACGTGTGTAAGATGAACTCAGCTAATTTTTAGTCGAATAGAAATGTCGATCGTCACATAAAAGAAAAAAATACAGAAAGAAAAGAAAATGAAAGGAAGGAAAAATGTCGCCAATGCTGTAGCCCAAACTAATTCGTTTTTTTTGTCGATTGTCATATAGAGAAATCGGAAATGTCTCGACGCCGCTCGGGCGCGAATGGCTTCTATATAGTAATAGAATGAATGTAAAGCTGCACTATTCTAAAATACTAACTATATATTGAAGATCTAATGATGAGAACGATTGTCATTTCAATGAAAATGGGAATGGATCGATGCTGACTGTTAGTCGAGTTCATTTTCTGCTTTGTTTGATTGAATTAGTGAAGGGTCGACAGAGCATCTGATGGACAATGAAAAGAAATGTGAACTGACATACACATATGGGGTCATGAACATCCTCAAGCTTTTCTCTTTTTCCTACTAATACAACTGCTACACTATTGTTGTTGTTGTTCAAAAATCTAATTTATGCATCCAACAGGAGACGTAGATGATGTTCAGACGTCATGGAAGAGCCTCGATAATTTATTCTTATATGCATTATTATTCATTCATTAGACAAGATAGATACGATGTCTTCTTGAAATTTTCTATTTTTTCTTCTTCATCGTTTCTTCAGATAGATCGATAGACTAATGGTAGATTTCAATGACTAGATTAGACATTGTATTAATAGACATTCTTATGTTATATTAAAGACATTAATGGATATTATATGTTAGAAGGAATAAAATATATTCATGTTCTATTTGAATTAGAAAAAGAAGATACAAGTAAATCATATCCTAACATGAACAGGATAGACTTTTGAAAAGCTGTACGAATAGAATCTATTATTGCATGTAACTTTAACAGATAATGTATAATTATTACAGCAATTGATTAAGTTACAAAAGATTACTTTGTTTACTTCATTCATATTCATATAAAATGAAATTAGTTTTTAGTATTAATCCAAAAGATTTAGTCGATGATTTCATAGATTTTTATCTCAGTATTCTTTTTTTAACAAAAAGAAAATCTGTGTACTATACTCAACGGAAGAAAAGAATAATGATTAATGTCAGTACTTAAATAGAAACTACTCATAAAATTGCCTTGAGCATATAAGTGAATACAGCCGTTAATATTTATGTGTTCATATCGAAAGAAACAATTACAAATAAGTATAAAATGGCAGTAAAATGCAATACTATTAACTAATTTATAGCCTATTCTCATTCTATTCATCGAAACAATTTTTTTTTGTAAGTATTTCTCTTTCTTCATAGATCTGAAATTATTCGTTTTTGAAAGAAAGAAAGCATAGAAGACAGTTTTGTTCTGTACGAATGAATTGTTATTTTAACGAACAAATTTTTTATGTAGTTAAATACATATTAAAATATCCCGATTGTTAATCAAGGCCGAATAATAAATCAATTCGAACGATTAATCATTGCATACATGCTAGAGCAATATGATTGTAAAAAAGTTTTCTTTATATTCAATTTTTTCTTGTTGTACTTCCTCATGATTTAGTCTTTGTTCAATCAATCAATTAGCTAGAAGAAAACATTCAATAACAATTAAATTCAATCAGATTCTGATAAACATTAGTTGTAAAAATGATAATATATAATAGAATTATTTTTATTTCAAACCAACAAGGTCACAGAAAAAAAAATTAAAAAGAGTTCTGATAGACAAAAAGATTGCTAAATATATCAATAAATTATGTGTCAAAAAAACAAACCTCTTTGAAGATTATTTCCCAAGCAACAGAATTGTAAACAGACTTAATCTACTATTTGAAAAACTACTATAAATAAATGATTATCTGTTCAAGGACCAATCGATGCAAAAGAATTCACTTCGTTAATTGTTACAAAATAATTCTATATTCAGTAAAATCTATTATGGTTCCACCATAAATACTTCAATGTGTTTTCAATTTTTATTTATATGTATTTAACGCAGTTGCCTGTATATATAAATATATAAGAAAAAAAAAGAATTATAGAATTATGATCTTATATATATATACGTGTATGAATGGACTATATGTTTACAATTCATTCGAACTATCTGTTCCATTAATAATTTTTAGACTATGGTAGTATCTACATTTTTCAACAAATTGTTATTAAATGGATCTGATCAATCGGCTTTATATACTAGAATGATTATAATGAAGAATAATTTATTAAATATAAAAAATAATCAGCCCATTTGCAAAAATGCCAATCTTTTACTTTGAATGTCGTATGATGTAATCAGTAAATCTTTTATAACTAATGTATTTTCAATATTTGAACCAATGGTAGCAATAAAATATTTAATCTTAGTAATGTAATTTATTTGGGAAGAAACTTTATTTCTATTTCATAAATCAAAATATCTTCCTAGTATTGTCATGTATAAAAAAAGACAACATGAAGTGATATTTTGAATTCGAAAAAATCACATCCTAATATTGACTTAACCAAAAGAAAAGTGAGAGTACTATCAAACTGGTGTTAAACACAAGCGTAGACAATGAAAATGTGAATAAATGAAGAAGAAAAAAATCTGTTTTGTCCTAATCATAGAAATTTATTGGGTCTTGTTGCGTTTTTTAAGTGCTTTAGCACGAACACCACCTAAGACAAGCATAGTTGCTTTGTTGGACAAGAATTCAGGTAGAAGCGATTGGCCAAAGTCCTAAATATACATTAAAAAAAATAGTAAAAATATTTTAATACTCCATCATATTTTATAATTTCACTTGAAGTTCATGTGCCCAATATCCAGTTGTAAATGGAAGTGCAACACGATTGAGTGCACTCTTAACAAATTGTTCTGGTGTTGGAGAAAATAGTGATGATTTACGAATGCCTGATAATTTACTAACAACAAAACCAGGACATAATGATTGAACTAATACACCACGTGTTGCACATTCAGCAGCTAATGATCTAAATTTATGAAATAGAAACAAAAATTTAGAACATCAACGTTTGCTTTATACTTTTCCACAAATAACTAACCGTGAAAATAAATCAACAAATCCCTTTGAGCCTGAATAAAGTGCTAGTAACGGCACCGCTCGTAGACCCGAAACACTTGATACATTAACAATGAGACCTCGTCGTTTTTCGAGCATATCTGTATATAAAAATTATTCATTTACCAGGTTAATTTTTCAATGTCAAAATAATATGAAGACCTGGTAAAATCATTTGTGTTAAATAAGCAACCGAATCAACATTGCATCGAATCATATCGTTGACGAGTTTTGCTCCATTTTCAACTTTATCGAAAAATTCTGGATATTCATATGACATACCAACATTATTGATTAGAATACCAATATCTAAACCACGAATCTGTTCACGAATTGTTGTATAGATTGAACTGTCTTCTAAATAAATTCATCAGAAAAACATTTATTGATTTTTCTCTTTTTATGTTTCATAGGATGAGATTTTTTTTTTTATAATGTAACTGTTTTCCTGAACTTCTTTTTCTGATATAACTAATACTCATCTTATCACTCAATTCGTGGTCGACTCAAAAATAGACTACGCCACCCGTTAAATTTCAATTCATAGACTTTGCCTGTCACCCTCACCATGAAGAAAGAACAAAAAAAAAATGAAGTCTAAGAATCACCATGATTTACTCTATCTCTGTCGAACTTGTTTAGAACAAAAAGGCGACATCCCTTTTCTATCTTTAATTTGCTATTGATGCTTTAATATGAGAATGTAAATTGAAACTACTAGTCTTACTTGTAAAATCAACAGCAACTGTTTTAACTTGTACAGTTGAATTCGTATTTTGAATTTCTTTTGCGACTTGTTCTAATTTTTCTTTTGTTCGACTAATTAAAATTATATTAAGACCTGAAAAAAAATAATAATACATTAGAAATTATTTTTGAATTCATTAATTTTTCTACCTCGTTTAGCTAATTCAATAGCATACGCTCGACCAATTCCATCTGTACTACCAGTAACCAATGCCCATTCACCAAGTTTTATTATATCAAGTCTTACTGGACTTAAAAGTCGATAAAAAAATGCAGCAAGACGTGCTGCAACATAAACGAGTGCAAATGCTCCAGTTGTTGCTAAGAATCCCATTTTTTTCTAATTTTGCCTATTTCAAACAGTAATAAATGAACAAGAAAAAAAAATATTTATTATTATAAACTTTAAACCAATGATATTAAGCCTATCCATAGAATATATTCTGGATGAATAATAGAAGAAAGAAAGAACTTATTGTGTTTGTTCGTTTTGTATTTGCTCTCGTGTATACAACACAGCATATATATTGTGTCAAATATACGATAATCGAACTTCATGGCTGATTATCTTGCATCAATCTTTGGTACAGAAAAAGATAAAGTTAATTGTTCATTTTTCTTTAAAATTGGTGCCTGTCGACATGGCGAGCATTGTTCAAAATTACATAACAAGCCAACATTTAGTCAAACAATATTATTAAAAAATCTTTATTTAAGTTTGGAAAATAGTTCACAAAAAGCAGATAAATCATTTATTGGCGATGACATTACTGAAGAACGTATTCAAGAACATTTCGATGATACATTTGAAGAATTATTTGTCGAATTAGAAAGAAAATACGGTGAAATTGAAGAAATGAATATTTGTGACAATTTATCTGAACATTTAGCTGGTAAATTTGTGTATATTTTATTTAAATTCTAAAATATAAATGTTGTTTTCTTTTTCACTTTTAAGGCAATTGCTATGTAAAATTTCGTTTTGAAGAAGATGCTGAAAAAGCAGTTGTTGATCTTAATAATCGTTGGTTTGATGGTCGTGCGGTTTATGCCGAATTAAGTCCTGTTACCGATTTTCATGAAGCATGTTGTCGTCAATATCAAATGGGGTATGCTTTTATTTTCAATCTTTTATTAAATCATAGGAACATTTTAATTTCATATTCTGCAGAAGTTAATTATTATATAGGAGTTTTCGAGCGTTCAAATAGAACTAGATTATTCCATGTATTTCCTCTAGCATAATGATCGTTGTGTAGTGGAGGTTCTTGTGATAAAAAAATACCTATGGGCAAATGAATTATGCCAAATTGTGAGCTGCAATTTTTTTTAATCTATAGTTAAGATATTGTGCATAGTTTGCAAGATAAGATAGCATCTTCGCCAAGAGTCCTTCGGTTTACTTTATGAATTTCCTTTTGATCAAATCAAATAAAGTAGATGCCGCTCCATTGGTCTTGTTTTTATAGTATTAGTGAGTTGAAACTCTGACATTAAGAATCAAAATAAATTCTTTCGGCAATAACGAAAATACCACGTAATTTTTTTCTTTGTATATGAAATAACATTTCAGCAAAATATTTATTATTGGTATTGTGCAATGTTGTTTTTTAATTTTAACATAGAAAGACATGAATTGACGTCTCATATTATCGTCAATTCTCTAAAATTTTCTTTTATTCACTGTTCTTTTACAAGAGTTTTGATCAATCATTATTTCAAAACATTATCTATGGATAATGGCACGATAGAAAACAATCATAATACTGCGCATTACGAACGCTATTCAACAGACGCAAATCGTATAAAAATATAACATTTATATATATATATATAGTACGATTTCAGCAGCTGAAGTCTTCACTTCAGTTTAATCGAACCCATTATATTATGCTATCATGTGCTAGATTCCTAGAAACAATGTGTATTGAGCTAATAGATAAAAACTATTTCTAAAAGTTTTACAGTAAAAATTGAAATAAATTCAATCAATTAGTTCTACGCCGAAACATGTTGACTCTGACATGTACAATTCTTTATTGATTCTATTCATAGTAATAACATGTAACCTCTAGATCATTGTTGCATTAGTAATCTTTCATCTATCGAAAAATTTGTTAATTTCTTTTTGTTTTAAATAAATGATTGCTATCAACTGAGTTGAATTTTGTACAGTTGCTGATGCACCATTGATACAATACCGATTGAAAATTGCACTTATTTTCTTTTAGTAGTATAATGAAATATCTGATGTAATATTTTCATTCATGTTGTATCTACTAATTGTTTCTTTTTAGTGATTGTCCACGAGGTGGTTTTTGCAACTTTATGCATTTGAAACCAGTAAGTGAAAATAATTCTTTTAATTAATTTTTGTTTATGTATTTCAATTAAAACATTTCTAGATTTCAAAAGATTTAAGAAAACGTTTGTATCAACGGCGTCAACGAAAAACACGCAGTGGTTCACGATCACCATCTCATGACCGCTCTCGATCACGTGAGAAAGAGCGTCGACGATAAATAAACAGCAAACTCAAACTTTCTTTTTTTTGTCTTTAATAAATTGAAAAAAAAAACAAAAAAAATAAATTGTGTTCATTATTTCAGATAATGAATGAAAATAGTTCGAATACTGGTGGAGATATCGATCGATGGCTCGAATGGATAAAAGATTGCAAATATCTGCCTGAAACTGATTTTAAACAATTATGTACCATAATATCCGATATTTTTTTTGAAGAATCGAACGTTCAACCCATATTTTCACCAGTCACCATTTGTGGTGATTTGCATGGACAATATTATGATGTTCAAGAACTATTTCGTACAGGCGGTTATCCGCCGGATACACAATATATTTTCATGGGAGATTTTGTTGATCGCGGTTATTACAGTTTAGAAACATTAACGCAATTACTAGTATTTAAAGCTAAATGGCCAGATCGTATAACATTATTACGTGGTAATCATGAGTCACGACAAGTAACACAAGTTTATGGCTTTTATGATGAATGTATGAAAAAATATGGAAATGCTAATTTATGGAGATATTGTTGTCGTTTATTTGATCTTATGCCGATAGGTGCATTGATTGATAATGAAGTTTTATGTATTCATGGTTAGTTTTTATTTTTTTTTATAGATTTCTGAAAAAATCATTGCGATTTTTACTTATTTTAGGTGGACTCTCACCAGACATTGGTACCATCGATCAAATGCGTACTATAGAACGTGATCAAGAAATTCCACATCGTGGTGGCTTTTGTGATTTAATGTGGTCCGACCCAGATGATATTGATTGGTGGGCTGTATCACCACGTGGAGCTGGTTGGTTATTTGGTGAAAAACCAACAAGTCAATTTATGCATAACAATCAATTAAGTCTAATATGTCGGGCTCATCAACTAGTGCAAGAAGGTCAGTTTTATAATAGTTTCTGCAAGTTTTTCATTGTCAGTCTAGAATTAGTTTTTTCTTTTGTCACTGATCATCGAATCAAAATATTCTTTTTTATTAGTAACTCAGAGTTCAGCGCCATTTCTTGAAATAATATAAGTGATAACATAATTCAATAGTTCATAAAGGGTACTGTAACTTTTTGATAGTCCTATTGATGTTTTCATCTAATGGCAAATAACTCGTGTTTATAATATTTTATTAAGTTCACAATTTGTTAATTTGGAAATAATTTTGGTGTTTAAATTTTATACTAACTTTTTCGTATTTTAATCATTTGGAACACGTAGTTTTTCTTCTCTTCATCAGTCATTAGATTTAGTTTTGGTTACGATATGCAATATTTGCATTAAATTGGTGGCGCCAGACCTCCGATCTGGTCGTGTCGATATCATCATAGGAAATCTCAATAGGGACAACCACCAATCAAAAGATTTTCGCTTTGTAGGAGTGATAGTATTTATTTTTTTCAGAATGTCGGATATTATCATGACTATTTGGTTTATACATTATTCTGTCAAAGGAAATTTTTTTCATTCAAATTCTGAAAAAATTCCAAAAAAATCTTTTAATGAGACAGAAAAGATACGTCTTATCAGACTTCATACTTTATTGTCGATGCTAGCGAGACAAAAATTTTGATTGAAACGCATTAATTTCAATTTTCTCAAATGTTAATACAAAGTGATCGATTTTCTTTTCTTCAATTATTTCGTATTATGATGCTTTAATAGAATTCTAATTAATATACATATTTATTAATGAAATAAATAAAAATGAACACTTGAGATCAAATAAAAGTACGATAGATCAGATATTAATAATAGATTGAATAAGATACTAGAATATCATTTAAAAGGTTTCAAAAAGACATTAACAGGAAAAAGATTCTATGATGCGAACTTCTTTTTCTCCACATTTAGTTTTCTTCACATGAATGAATATTTTTATTTCTCATGGGACACATTGCCATTAATAGTTGAGACTTTTCGAGGATTTTCTTTTTGTTTTCTAGGGATTAAATTCATGTTCGATGAGCATCTTGTAACTGTATGGTCTGCACCAAATTATTGTTATCGATGTGGTAATATAGCTGCTATACTTGCTTTTCATACAGCTACAAATCATGAAACCAAATTATTTAATGCTGTGCCCGATAATGAACGGGTAATACCTTCAAAAACAACGACACCGTATTTTCTTTAATTAATAAAAATTCCAAGAAATTCTTTTTCATTTGTCTCGTTTTTTTTCTTCGTACCAACAGTGTTACTTTATGTATAGAAAAGAAAACTCTTTTTTTTCTTCTAGATTGTTTTTTTCTTCATATGAATTTATAGATATGGATGCAGAAGATGAACAAAGTAAATATACGCGCCAGAAGAAAACAGAATTTTTTTAAAATTTCTATTTACTACATATTTTAAGGTCTCGAAGAACGTCTTCGTGCGCAGAGTAGCAGCAGTAATAACAACAACAACAATAATAACAATACTACTAATAATACAAACAACGCAAATAAATCTTTAACAACTCGTGTAACAACATCAACTGTTAAATCCAATCGACACGCATTTAAAGATGAAAAGATTGAATCTCATACTGATAAAAATGGTGTTTGTTATCGGGTCGGAGGTGAAAAAAAGCATTAATTAAAATAAAATTTTCAAATCACAATTGATTTTTCTAATTATTTAGATCATGTTTATTTGGAAACAAATAAACAAGCAGAACCATATTCAATAGCTAGCATTCTTGATTTTCGTTTAGTATGTTAAATAATCATTAATCATATAGCTAAATATATATATATATATATATGTGTATCTTCTTTTTTTTTGTGTATCCTAGACAAGAAAAGATCATGTTATGCTTGAAGTACGTTGGTATTATCGTCCTGCTGAAATACCCCCAAATCTTTATCATCTTCTTATTGAAGATCGTTATCATGAAAATCGTGAGTTTTACCTGTCAATTTTTATATTTGTTCAATATAATCCTGTATTACTTTTTCTTTTTTTTCCTCGATTCTTTTCCCATATACCACCATAATGTCTGTAGTGATGGCAGCGTCAGTCAATGTCTATATACATCATTGTATAATGTGTATAGTAAAATGTCATTCTTTGTTGCTCCTATCGTTCTTTTATATGAGGCGGGTAAGAGACCATTTTCCTAGTAGAAAAAAAAGCCTAGATAAACTCGCACAATTGATAATCATCAACATCGGGTGTTATCTCTATCGAATAAGAGTCAAATCCGACCTAATAATTAAACAGCAATACAACCAATTAGTAGTCAATGCGTGTATGTATATGTGAATGTATTTAGTATATGAAATTTTCATTAAACCCTCTCGCCTTCTCTATATTGACTCGTTCATTTTTCACCCAAGAGAAAGAAAAGAAAAGAAAAGAAAGCACGAACGTTGTTACTATTCATCATTATCATCCGACACATATCATCAATAAGTATCGAGAAAAGAAAGTCGATGTCTAATAGTACATATATAAACAAATTCTTCATATCTTCGTCAAAAGAACCATGTGTATTTGTTAGATGACGTATCAGTACAACGATTATACTGGTTTTTCAAGAAAACCCTATCATAGTTAGTCAAGTAAATTATTCTCTTGCGTTCTTATGCTTTATCTACATAGTTTTTTTCATTACTTTTCTTTTTTTGTTGCTCTTTCTCTTGTTGTTTTTTTTTGTTGCTTATACTGGATTGACAGATTATCTTTGAGACAATAGATGTCAATCCGACTCATTGGGATGTAATTTGACTATGAATAACTAAACAAAAAATAATCATAGTAATAATAAAAGCGTTTTTTCTCTCATTCTTCATATTCGATTAAAAGTTTAAATCGTCATCTATTTATATATATATATATAAAGGAGCACATAAGGGTGTATATTGATTGTTTGTTGCTCTTCTTGCTATTATGTGTTTGCCACACACACACATACGCTTGCATCGAGTAGTTTGTCGTCGTTGTCGCTTTTCTTTTTTTCTGTCTCTCAACAGGAGCTCCTGCTTACTCTCTTTAGCTGCCGGAGGGACAAATAGAAGAACAATATCACATCATTGTAGACGACAACGATGTTGTATATGGTGTCGTGTGTCGTTTTTCTTTTTCTTATTTTCCATTTGTGATTGATTTTTTTTCTTTACTTCACTCGTTGGCATATAACATACATACTTAAGCGTACACACTATTACAGGTGAGTAAAGAAAAGTAATGTCATTATCATCATCATCGATATTGTTATTTTTATTTTTATTTTTATTGTTTGACATAAGTCGATGTAATTAGTCGTAGACCATAGTACATAGTCAACTATCATTAAAATTCAATTCTGTTCAATGATACATATAAAGAAAAAATGAAAGAAAGAAAGAAAGAGAGATAAGAATGCTACTACTACTACTACTACTACTACTACTACTGCTACTGCTACTGCTACTGCTACTGCTATTGACGAGTGGTATTGATCGGCATGTGTGGAGAGATTTCCTTTTTTTTCTCTCGGCATATTGACGTCTAGTACTCATTGGTGATGGTAGTGTAGAGAATTTCTTTCTTCTTTCTCCATGCTCACCCTTCGTTCTTCGTTTTCTTCTTCAATTACATACTCCCTCTTTTACTTCTCTTCTCTCACGATATGTGTGTATGTTCGCATTTGCATTGAGACTAGGCACATCGCCACTGTCAAATTATTGTTAGAGTGTATATAATTCATCGACGAAGAACGATGAGGGTCTAAAGAGGAGAAGAAAGAGAGAACATGAGAGGATAGAAAGGAGATAGCGCGTGAAAATGAGCGACGACCGACGCAGGACTCGACGAAATGCAGATGATAATCAGTCTAGTGTAATCATTGATCGACGGGCGGGCGATGATGGCAAGTCGTTCTTCTCTTTCTCTCTTCTCCCTTCACTCTAACAACAATAATAGAAATCCTTTTAAGTAGACGCGCGCATGTAAGGAAAATGAAACACAAGTAAAATATCAAATTTTTTCTTGTTGTTCTTTGAGTACATGATACTTTCGTTCTTGTTTCATTTTGTTATCATTTCCAATGTGTGTGTCTTTATCTTCATCATCATCATCATTATCATTATCATCGTCGTCTTTTTTTTTGATTTATAACCGCATATAAATATATATGATATTAAATTTGTGTGATCATAATTATTTACTTTTTTCCTTTGCCAAGTTCTTATTGAAAGAAACGAAACATCTATAAAGCCAACTTATTTGTTACTTTTTATGTTTCTTTGTGCTGTTGGTTATTTGACAATAACAACATCAATTACAACAAACGCGTCATCATCACATCAATTAAGAAATATAGAAAGAAAGAAAGGAAAAAAAAAGAAAAAAGAAACAAATAAAAAAAAGAGTCTTTTTCAGGTATTCATATTTTATGTCACTATACGGTATGCGTATGCCTATACATGGGTTCATCGAGCCGAACAAACAGAAACATATCCGATACCATAAGTGATTGATTAATCGGATCAACTGACTTTTTTTTCTCGTTCTGTATATAATTATTGTATGTGGTCGCATCCTTCTTAAACGAGGTATCTTCTAGTTTTTTTTCTTTTTTCCCTCTCTTTTTCTATTAGGACCCTTTGTTCTATTCATTTACCAGAAGCAAAACATTAGAGTCAAATATACATACATATATATATATATATACATGCATACATTCACACCCTGCTTTATCATTAAACAACAAACGATATGAGATTGTATGTATTAGAATATAGTAGTAGCTCATGTCACAGTAATAAATAATATAATGTCTCTAATATATATCTATATCTCAACCAACCCAGTGACGACCGATGAATTGTTGCTGTGTGCATCGTCTGTTGTTTTCTTTTCCTTCCTCTTCAACGAACATTAGCATTGCGCGTTCGCGAGACGCTGTCGTGCAGCAAAAGGAATGAGGGAGCGCAAGCACACATACACATATACAGAAAAGAGAGAGAGAGAGAAGGACCGTGACACGACGCCAGTTTGTTCCTTATTAAGGTGACACTAGCAACAACGAGTTCTCTCTCTCCCTATGTATGCTGTTCTTTCTTTCTCTTCATCGTCTCTGTGTGTCCATTACGGTTTGCGTTGATCTATTCACTTTCTTTTCACACTTAACATGCACATTTCGCATCATATACTTCATATATAAACGAAGGTAATTCATAAAGAATCAACGAAGAATTATTATTTAAAATAAGCAACAAATTATCGATTTCATTTGTTTTCTTGTTGATATGCATATTATTTATTATGATTATATCTATCAGCATTATTTTTCTCTTCTCTTTTTTTTATTTTGCTACGACTATTTGTCTTATCGCACTTGGCAAGTTGATCCTTTCTCTTCATGTATATATATATATATATATATATATATATAAATGTGTGTGCGTGTGCATGTTATAATTTCTGGTTAATGACATATACAGTAGAACGGCAACGACAACTTGCGCGCCCTACTAGCATTAATTGTTGTGTTTGAATATATATATATATATATATGTTATATACCGCTTTTAATTCATCGACGAATTGCGAGTTGAGTAAAGAAAAGAAGTTGAACACTCCTCTCAAGAGATCGGTCAAATGGGCGTGTCGACACGCGATCTTACATATTTTTTTTAATAATTTTTTTGCTTTTGCTATAGGTGTTCATTTTATTCTTTGATATAGATTCTTCGATTTTCTTTTTCAATTGATTGATCAGAATAACTTTTAAATGTCAATAATCTACACCTGATAAGCTGTCGTGCCGTGCTTCAGCTAACAGAAGGATGATTGATTAGTTTCAAGGACCGAGGCGAGCTCTCTCGTCTTCTTTTCTTTTCCTTTCCTTTTTTTTTGCTGTTTCTTTCTTCATCGACTCGTTTCTCATTCTGTGCTTCACCCTACATCCTCACACTGCCTTTTTGATTCTGTATGTGTGTGTGTGTGTGTGTGTGTGTGTATGCGTGCAAGAAATAAGAGAGCGCGAATAAGCAAGCAGAGTAGTCGTTGTCGTCGTCGACATCATTTCCGTTCATTCATCTAAAAGAAAACTAAATTACTTGATGCTTTTTGTTGTTTTTATGTATAGAAAAAGAAAACGGTATATCGCTCTATATAAATATATAAATATAAATAAATACATATATAAATATATTGATTAATATGTTTTATTTTGTTTCTTAAAGAGGGTAACAATCAAACATCATCAATTAAAGATAAACAAGCAAAAGATTCTGGTATAATTCAAGATCCAAATATTATTGGTCGTGAATTATTCGTATCGGAAATCAAAGAATTCTATCCGGCCGTACACATCAAGTAAGAAGAACATTTAAAACCTTATTGACTTGAATAAAGAATAGAATAAAAAAGAGAAAAAAAGAAGCAGAAAAAATGACGACCGACAACTGTAATCTCTTGACAAGGAAAGAAGAACAAAGAATCTATAGTTATTGCTTACACACACACACACACACATGCATAGATTTATATATACATAAAGATTTGTTTCGTCTATTTAAACATGCTTTTTTAAATTTAATTCAGAGGCCGGTGCCGTGTCGCTCACTATCAAGATATTGAAGAAGCTCGTGCATTTAAACCCGATCCGGATACATTCTTTTATATTCTAACATACAATCCTGAAGCGCGCAGACTGGCGAACACGCAAGGTGAAATACGTGTTGGCCCATCACATCAAGCCAAACTACCGCTTTTGAAATCATATTCATCATCGTCATTAACAAACGGTATTAATGATGATATATGTTTATTGCGTGAAGAATTATTATGGAAAAATAAAACATCCGATATTGATTTATCCATGTATTTACAAGCGGCACGATCAATCGCAGCTTTTGCCGGAATGTGTGACAGAGGTTTACCAGAAGATATGTATGAAGTAGCGCAACGGGATGATACCACAATAAATGCATTAACTGTTTTACATAATCATGATTATGATTGTAAACGTGCTATACAGGCACTTGTTAAATGTCCCATACCAAAAGGTATTGATAGAAAATGGTCAGATGATGATCAAAAGAAATTTATCAAAGGTTTAAGACAATATGGAAAAAACTTTTATCGTATACGTAAAGAACATTTACCACATAAAGAAACATCAGATCTTGTTGAATTTTACTATTTATGGAAAAAAACTCCACAGGCACAATCGAGTCGTCCTCGCCGTCGACAACGTCCATGTTCAACATCAGCTAATCTATCGACAACACCAACACCGGCTAAACAACGTAATACAAAAAATAATAATAAAGATGAATCTGAACATAATTCTGATAATGATGATAATGCAACAACAGATAGTGATGAACAATTTTGTCGTCATTGTCAAACAGTTTCTAAAGATTTACAACCAGGTGGACGTGATAGTCAACAATTATGTTATGATTGTAGAATGTATTATAAAAAATATGGTGAAATGCCAATTATAAATCAAGAACCACCACCATATTTATTTAAACCTTTAAATGAAACAAGTCCAAGTAGTAGTAGTAAACGAAAACGAAACAAATATAAACAATCATCGTCACCCTCATTGATACCTCCACCATCTACATCAACGTCAACAAATGACAAGTCCGATGAAAATAATTCATCAATAAAAACTTCATCAACACGCTCAAAAAAGAAAACTCGTATTAATGAACAAACATCATCGATAAAACATGAAGGAGAAGAAGAAGAAAATGTTAAAGATGAATCAACAACAACTACTGAGATTAAAATAGAAGAACAAGAAAATGAAAAGCCATTAATAGGTATTATTTTTTTTTCTTTTCCTTTCTTTTCTGTTTGTCAAACGACAAATTTATTAAATTTAAAAAATAACAGAACAGACTAAGTGTTCTTGAGTGAAAAATTTCACCTAAATCAAATATTATTTAAGCTAACCATGAATTATTTTAAATCTTATTATTATTATTGTTATTTTGCTTATATTTAGAATCATCAGATTCAATGCTTTCTACAACAACATCAGGTTTTCTGATTAAAACTGAAGAATTATCATCATCAACTCTTTCTCAACCATTACCACCTTTAATAACGAATTCAACAGTATGTAAACAAGAAATGAATTCTCCATCAGCAATGCTTTCAAATGGTGCTGCAAAAATAACAAATAAAATTCTTATTGATCATACAAAACAAACAAATTCAAATTCAAATTTTATTTTATCACCATCCTCAGCCATTAAATCTGAACAAATATATACACATGAAAATTCATCATCTCTTCATCCTAATTTATTACAGTCATCATTATTATCTTCACCTCGTTCAGCATTTTCACGTACATCAAAAACATCTATTCATAGTCCTGATCAACGACGAATACCGAAAGGTATATTTCCGTTTTTTGTTTTGTTTTGTTTTGTTCTATTAATCAGAAAATCATAAAAAAAAAACTTTTGATCTTTATTATTAGATGAAGAATTCGAGTCACCATCATCACAACGATCACAATCACATTCAAATAGTCTAAATCACACACCAAAATCGACTTCTATTCATCCAACTATTCTTAGCGGTGATGTAACTCCATCATCTCTGAATTTAGCAACATTGCCGCCGCCACTTATACAATCATCATTGAATGAATCAAAAGATAACGATTCATTAACAACTGATATTACTGATGATGGAAATATATCAGATAGTTCCATGAATGGTAATCATGAAATCAATAATGACGATGGACCACCACCATTAGCTTGTGAACGAGGTTAGAAGATAAAATCTATATTATGAAAATCATACAGAAAGAAATATTTTTGTTCTTGTTTATAGAATGTTATAATAAACCACAAGGTATTGTTTTACTGAAAGTTTACGATCGATCCATATCACAAAACTCTTGTGCACGTACCGATATTATACTAAAACGTGGTTCACGCGCACCTCCTCCTAAACCACAATCACAACAGCAACCAACACAACAAAAAACATCATCAAGTCATAATAGTAATGAACACCAACACCATCATCACCACCATCATCAACAACAACAGCAACAGCAACAGCAGCAGCAGCAGCAGCAGCAGCAGCAACAACAACAACAACAACAACAACAACAACAACAACAACAACAGCAGCAACAGCAACACTCACAAGAACTACCACCAATACCTTTAGTACCGTCGTCGGCAGCTATGATGATGATGGGAATTAAGCAAGAAGATAGGAACTTATCTGTACGTCTATTATATTCAATATATGTGAAAACAAACAGTTTTTTTTATCGGCTTTTGCTTTTTTTTTTTAGAAATTATCCTTTTCTCTGGATAAAGGACCACCATTACTTCATTCGTCAGGTCCGCCGCCGTCATTTCCATCGCTTAATCCTCATCATGATCCGTTATTAATGAATCGTAATAGTTCTTTATTTCATCCATTGCCATTACATGCTCTTCCCGGTGGGCCTAAACAACCGGGAACCGGCTCTAGTGGACCACCGCCATTGAATTTTCCGTCGCCATTTGGTCCATCACTACATGATAACTCTGCATTACGTCATTTCGATCCATTAAATTTTCGTTTAATGAATCCTGCAGCTGCTGCTCAATTATTTGCTGCTCAATCACATTACAATAATAATGTTGGACGTCCAAATCCTGCCAGTTATGATCCTGCTACAGCAGCTCTTTTACTTGATCCTCGTTATCGTAGTATGATGTCACAATTTGGTTCACCATCACAATCGTCAGCTGTATTACCTTCACCATCAAGTAGTACATCAGCATCCGCTAATGCTGCTGCTGCAGCTGCTGCCGCCGCCAATAACACACATAACCATTCTCATATTCATTCTCATTCACATACACATCTTCACTTGGGTAATAATAATGATCCATCGTCATTATTATCAAATAATTCAGGTGGACCTGGATTACCTCCACCGCCACCACCGCCGCCACCACCACCACCTCCATCAATGATGCCATTTGGTAATCCTCTTTCAAGTAAGTTATTTGTTTCTTCTTTTTGTTTTAAACAAATTTGATTCTTATGTTCATTTGATAATAGATTTATCTCATGGTGGACCATTATTACATCAAGGTGGACCACCTCCATCATCCATGTCAAGTCTTGAAGCTATGCATAATTTATCACGCGAACGTGAATTAATGGCATATATGTTAGCTAATGGTGCACGTTTCGATTCAATGGCATTAGCGCTTGCTACGAATCCACTTCAAGTATAATTAGTTTTTTTCTTTAGTTAATAAAAATAATCATAAACTTTTTCTTAATATTTATTTCAGATGGCACGTCATGAAGATCTCTCTCGAATGAATGCTCGCGACAGATCAATACGTGAACATAATGAAAATGAATTTCGTCGTTTAAGTTTAGATGTTGAAAGGCAACAACAACTTCGATTTCCATTTCATCATCAATCTGATGAGCTAGTTCGGTAAATCGGAAATTATTTTGCATTATAACTTTCATTATTTATCAGGTCTCTTTCTAGACGATTCTAAACTATGATCTATTCGGTATATTTCCACAGTGAAACACAACACAAAAGAACTTGTCTCAACAAATAAATATAAAAACAAATATATTTCAAAAGATATCTATTATCTAATCATTTCTATTATTCATTATGTAGATTAGTTTGCTTCTTCCGTCTATTATTAATATAAAACAAAAACACAAACTTATCCTTTTGTACTCGGTGCTTTTCGCCGTTTTTCTCCTTGTCATATTTTGTTTATAAACTGTACAAACGATATCATTTTCTTTTTGTTTTTTTCTTGTACTTGTTGTGCTAGTTTGTTGTGTTGGTCAGTTTTGTTTTCTTTTTTCCTCATTCTCTTTTGAAAAGTATTTTGTTTGAATGAAACAAAGAAATTCTTATACTCCTCATAATATACTTCATTATATAGAAGATCAGATAAAATGATATTGAAACCCTAAAACACAAATATATATATATATATATATATATATATAAAGATCATTTATAATCATTAAATAAATGTGGGAACTTCGGATTTCATCCGAGAGTTATGTGTACTGCAAAAAGTGCATGGGACATATGAGTCATTCTAGAATGTCTGAACACCAAAATTATCATGAGAAACTAGGTAATTTGATTTCTGGATGCAGTTTTTGTGCATTTTAGGACGTTTTTCAGGCGATGTTTCATCAGAAAGTTACGGATTAGTTCAAAACTAATATAAGATTCGGAATCAGCGTCAAAAACTGAGTCGATTTATATATGTTGTGAATAATTCTGAGAAAAGTTTGTTTTTTGAAAAAAAATTCCTGTACTTCTCTTCAGGGGTGGCCTGGTGATAACTCAACCATTTCTTGAGGGATTCTTCTCATCTTCGAACTCGACCGAGATATTCATGAGATTGAATTGTGTGGAAAATTTCATCACAGTCTGACTCTCCTTTCGAAAGTTATCGTGCCTACGGCCGATCGGACACGTTGACCGATTCTATGGTGTACTCACTTTTTTTTTCGAGTACACAAAAAAGAACCTTGTAGATTAGTTTGGTTTTTGTTTTGAAAATTAAGGCATGTTGAAAACCTGTTTGATAAAGAAGATTGATTCTGCACATGTTTCTGTTAATTGATACAAGGATAGCAAAGTTCAATATTAACGAAGTTTCAGAAAAAAAAAGAAGCAAGAAGAGGCATTAATAGAGCGTGATAAGAAAGAAAACCATAAATGATTGTCACGCAAAGATTATAGCAATCTATCTTTATTCCAAGGGGCTAACAACAAAAATGTTGACTCGATAATTATTTGGATTAATTTAAATAGAAAGAAAAATCTACATAATGCAAATTTATTGTTTTTGTTTTGTTTGTCTTAGTTACTAATTTTACAATAAAAAAAAATTTCTTTATTTAATAAGTTTTGTTTTTCTGTATGTAACGTTATTCGATGCAAACATCTAATATAAAATTAATTGAAAAATCTGAGTTAAATCTTGATGATGATTTCAATCAAGATCAAAATTCATCACCCGATATAAATCAATTGGCATGTAGTTTAAAGAATAAAATTTTTTCTAAATATATTTCTAATTATTTAACGGAAAAAGTAGAACAGGTAAATAATTCAATTATAAAAAGGAAAAAGGAAAAAATGTCGATTTAAGACCTTGACTTTTGATAATTGAAGATGTGGATTCTATATGAAAAACGCATTGATAAATTTTTCAAAGAAAATCATTTCAATATAACTTGTAGCAATGCTCGTCCACAAGTGAGATATTAATCGTCCTATTATGAATATTAACAGTAGATCTTTCTAGATAGCTATGAAACTTGAAGAATTAGCTAAATATCAACAGGACAATATAGAGACATGCAAACGAGATATTGAAATCTTATGTTCTTTACGTAGACGATTACGACACGAGAATAAATATTCAGTTCAATTACAATCAAGTCAACGTCCACCAACCAGTTCTAGTTCAATTCGTGTACCAAAAACACCACGATGTATTGATCGGTTGGATAATGATTTCATTAGGTTTTACTCAGCGACGATAAAATATTATTATTTTTGTTTAGCTCTAAAGTAACAACTGATATTTATAAAGATGATACTTATGAATTCGATGATTCAAAACGAAATAAAATAAGTAATCAAGAATTAAATGCTTTATCGTTGAGTTCATATCAGCATAATCGTCGTCAGTGTATATTTAAACATGGCGAAATTTTACCACTTGATTCAACAAGAAAAACTCGAACGATCAGAGTTACGTATTTATGTAATAATTAAAATAAATAAATGAAATATATAGAAAAAAATGTGTGTTAAAGTTTACTTTAAAAAGCTTATAACAATTACACAGACATGAAAACACTAAACAAAATCAAGCATTTTCTTTTCGATCAATGATTTAGTTAATATTATTTCAATAAATATCAGTACGATCACGATGTAAAATAATTAGCTTACGAATCAATATTAGTTGATATGTTTTTTTCTCAATTTAAATATATTTTTTGAAAAATAATGATAGTGAATATCATTAACAGAGGTCAAAGGTCATACGAAATGAATACGGTTTTTATTAGTAGTGAAACGGGAAACTAATAGATTTGAGAATATTTTTAGAATTCATTAAAAATGGATAGATTTATTGAGAACTAATAAAAATAGGATTCTGACTGCTCTAGAATGATTCAAAACCTTTTCCTAATTATAAATGGTTGAAGTGTGTGGTGACCGATTGTTAGGGATCCCTGTGCTTTCTTGATGTTAACAACGCACGAGTATCATAACGATGGAACTAACTTTGTCATTGAAGAAAGAGAAGCATATATAGAGAGAATATGTGTCAGGGAATGAGTATGCACATGTAGATGAATCAAGAAATAAACATATGACTGTAACACCGATATTCCAATTTAGTAGACACTTTTTAATTTTTGCTTCCATGAAAAACATCTATTCAATATTTTTTTATGAATGATACGCAGTGATAAATTGATCTATTGTAATCGTCCTATGATCAAGACAGAAACTGTGAACTGATTAATTTATACTCTAGAGAAACGGTCAGTGTCAATGCTTTTCAGTTTATAAATATCTTTAATAGTGTGTTGAGACCTGTTGTAGATTCAATAGAAATGCACAACAAACTTATCTACCAGTTAAATTCGTTATTAGAGAAATAATGATAGTAGATTGGCCACAGTGGAATAAGACAATCAAATGTCACGAAAAGAATCGAAACAAAGCTGAACTAACGATAGAGCTATAATCAAAATGTTCTCCTTCAAATAGCTTTGGAAAACAATTAGTCTGTCGTTTCATTCATTTTATCTTATTACGATGAAGCGTTTGAACAGATACTTTGAATTTTACAATTCAGTCGAAAAAGAAGAGATGTAGACAGTTGATATTAAAATTGAAAGGAATACGTTCAATAATTCTATCAAGTAGAAAATTTGATGTCAGATATTTTTCATTTGATTATTCGGTCAGACAACTTTATTCAAAAACATAAAATGATATTACAAAAAAAAAGAAAAACAACAATAGAATACATCAATTGCGTATTAATTATATACACTAGTATAGTTGTTTATTCATTTTTTAGCATATTCTTTTTGTAACGTCCACGTTTATTTCCGAACCAATTGTTCACCTAGAAAACAACAACGTCAATAATTTGATTTTGATGATAAGAAAATGAAAAGAAAAATTACTTGAGAAATAGTAACACCACATTTACGTGCTAATTCTTCTTTAACTTGTTCCGATGGATAAGGATTCGATAAATGTGAATAAAAATATTCATTCAAGATTTTTTGTGTTGTTTTATCAAAATTTCGCCGTTTACGTCTACACAAAAGAAAGACAGTACAATTTCGAACAAGTCTAAATTTGTTGTTTTTCTTTTCTTTTCAAATAACATACCTAGCATCAAGAAACCGTGTACGTAGATTCATAACAGCTTCGCACGTATTTTGTTTCAATTGAATCTGTATTAAACACAATTTTTTTCGTACAATTGAGATCATATGTGAGATTTCCTCTGGTGTTATTGGCCGTATATTCGATTGTTCATGAAGTAATGTTAAAACATGAGTGCAAAAATCGTTCGAATTTTTATCAAATCTTGCCAATTCAGTATGGTAAAAATGGCGAATACGATTTAATTTTTCTTCATATTCAGGATGTTCAATTTCAATTGAATTATTAACTGATGTATCATTTGGATATCGCTCAATGATACGTTCAGCTAAAAGCATTGTATCAAGACGAGCTAATTCTTGCTTATACGAATCATCTTCATTCGATATTTGTCGCATATTGAGTCCTAATCAAGCATGAGCGAAATTGTTACATAATTTCATTTTAAATAATCAATTTTAATAGAAACAAATTATGACTTAAATCTGCGTTACTGATTCGAGAGACAGGCGATGGCGTGAAGGAAGTTCATGTCAAATTCTTTTCCGTTATATTTCTACATTATTTTCCTGAAGAAGAATAATTATCATCCTACTAAACAGCACGTAAGTAATTTGAATTCAACGACGTCAGATTTCTTTTCTTACACGAGAAGATAATTAAATAGCAAAGTCATATTATTTTGATTCTTACGAAGACGAAAAGTAGATAGTATTAACAAAGGTCTATCTAAATTTTTATTGTAAAAGATGTAATTTTTTTCAAATTGAACGGCAGATTTGCTGTTGTCTAGAAAATCGAAAGTGCTTCTAGTTTCGAAAATATGTATTTTATTATTAATACTAGTGTTACATTGAAGCAATCAATCTATGTAACTCATTATACGTGATTTGGAAGTTTATCCAGGACAAGAAAATTCTAGTGATATTAAAATTCTAATGAACATTATATCTTTGAGAAACAACACAAGATGAACGATGGTTAACTGAAGAAAGTTGTCTTAGGATTTGTGGAGAATTAAAATAGATTTGAAAGTATTCTTAGCACAAGAATGTGATCTAATTTTTCACTATTGCAAAAAAAGCAACATTGAACAAAATAGTTTTAATTTTGCATACTTTGATCAGTAGAAATAATTCCTATTCATAACTGAATTATGGAGGTATCTACATGTCTAGTGTTTGTTAGCGATTGTAGACTTTTTCATGTTAAAGTTAAGAAATATAAAAGAAGTTTTAGCTGATGTCATCTTATCACAAACAAAATTAGAAAAATAAAGTATCAAGCTGAGACGACATAAAAAAGCGGATCTTTAGGATAGAAAAAATGAAGGCAACTTTTTGTTTTTGATTTTTATCAAATAATCCCTTATAAAACGTGTCAAAAGAAATGGTCAGAAAAGTGATATTTGTTGAGAATATAATTTGAAATTTTTTTCTCTCTATAATGAATTCTAAATATTTACATCTGAAATTCGAATTTTATTATTCTGAGAATTGATTCTCTAACTATATCTGAATCAGCATGAACTTTCTAATCATAAAATGATCAACAGCGATAAATAAAAGCATGCATATTTATGACTGAAATACGTTTGGCATAGACTCGATGACAAATATTACTTCTGCAAAAATTACCGGCAATACACATACACTCGAACTGTATTTAAATTATAATTCATTTTTATTGGAGTCGATCAAATCAAAACTCATACATTCAATAATCCATATAAATCAAAATTCGATTCAACGAAAGATTTATAACCGATAGATCGAGAAACGAACAATGATACTTAGATGCATACTAGAAAATGTTCTTTTTCATTCACAATTTTTTACTAACCATTTTTCTGTTTAACTTCTCGAAGTATATCAAATAAGATTGGCTGCATTGGATTTCGATAAAATGCATCTTTATATTGTTGAGCATCATCTAAGCGATCATGAATAATCGACATAATTCGATTAATTATTTGCGGTTGATCGTGATTATTCATATTTGCATAAAAAGCATTTTCAAGAGGCGTGAGAATATGATATGATGATGACAGTTGTTCTTCGGTACTCATCTAAAATAATTGTTTAAAAACTTATATTTGACAAATAAAAATTCACATATAAATCTGTAAACATCTATTCGTATATTTCAATTACAGTAAATAAAATAATACAAAACAAAAAATATAGAACTCAAATTGCAGATCAAAAGATTTTAGTAGTCTAAAAATAGAATAAATTATTACAAATAGAAAAATATTATTGTAATTAATTTTACTGTAGAGTAGAATATTATGATTGTGCCACACAGTTTGTGAAATGAGTTTAACTGCATAGATATTCGTTTATTGTTGAACTTTATTGATGCTTCTTTTATATCGAATGCGCTTGTTACCAAACCAACTGTTAACCTAAAATTACGTAAATATGATTCAATAGAATTCTTAGCAAGAAATACTTTTTTTCATGATCTCAGGCTTAAGTTTTTTAGTATATTGTAATTCGCCGCAGTCAATAGTGTAGGTCAGAGATGAAAATGATCTGAATTTCATAGTGACAAGTTTTCGTATTCGCTAGACTCATTAAAAATTCTAAATAAGAGCGAAAAAAGCAAAATTATGAACATCGCTTACACTCTGTGTGAAACCTATACAGGTATCTCGCTAGTCAGTAACCATTTTTACGATATTTAAAAACTTGAACATGAAAATATTATCTATCAGAAGAAAAATGGTAATATTTGTTTCTATTAAATATTCTCATTTATTCAATAGCTCGTGAAAAAAAAAGTATTTTTGCCTTATATGCTATTTGTATTCAATTCGTTTATCTTTCTAGACACAAACCATGGTTATGTAACTAACTAGCTCCTATAATTGTATAACACGAATAGATCTTGTTATAAATTTATTCTTTTTATTGATTAGTTGCCATGCTACAAATTAGTTGTTCTGTAAAAATTACTTGTGCTACGGATATTCCACATTGACGTGCTAGTTCTTCTTTTGCTTCTTCAGATGGATATGGATTTGATAAGTGTGAATGAAAATATCCAGTAAGTGTTTCAATAGCTAATTTGCTAAAATTTCGTCGTTTTCTTCTAGAAAACAAACCTTTGTCATATTAATTCAGAAGAAAATATGCTCCGAACCTTGCATCAAGAGATCTTGAACGCAAAATCATAACAGCTTCACATGTATTCTGTTTAAGTTGAAATGGTATAGTAGAACATTTTTTTCTTATAATTCTATTCATACTATTAAGTTCTTGTTCACTAATTGGTCTTATTTTTGATTGTTCCCATATAAGTGTTTTCACATGTGAGCAAAAATCATTACAATGATTTTCATATTTTTCTAATTCTACATTATAAATTTGACGTATTCGATCTAATTTTATTTGATAATCCGAATAATCCAACATATTGTTTTGATCCGAATTGTTCGTTAAAGATGACTGAGTTGATGCATGTCGTTCAGATATTCCTTCGGCAACAAGCATATTATTAACACGGATCAATTGTTCAGATGGTTGATCATCTATATTTGATAGTTGTCCAGTGTTAAGTGCTAAAATTACATTTAATGCATTTCTAGGGTTTATCAAAGAATATTGTGAATGATGAAAAATCGATAACAAAAATATTTCAAAATTTGAGAAAACCAGTCTTAACATTTTATCTGAAAGCTGTTTTCAAGGATATAAGGAAAATTTTGTTGATTTTAAAACTACTCAGAAGTGTTTTCTAGCAATAGAATACTTTTTTATGATGCAAAAGAAAGGCAATATTTTAAATTAAAAACAATTTAAATAAAAGAAAAGCGAATTATAAATTTTTCGACTCAGCATTATAATCTTACCTGTTTTATTCTTTATTTCACAAAGAACTTGATAGAATGCAGATTGCATTGAACTTCTATAAAACATATTTTTAGATTCTTGAGCATTGTCAAGTGGCTCATTCAACAGAGACATAAGACGATGAATTAAATCATTTGCATAGAAGCTTGAATAATTTGGCATGATATTTCCAAAATTGTTCATTATTTTTATATGATTTCTATTTCACAATAAATAAACTCAAACTCCGTGTGTAAAGATACTGTCTACAATATGTTCCTCAGTCGTTAAACTCATCTAAATAAAAAAGAAAGAACAAACAAATAAAAATGAACGATAAAAGGAAAGAAAGAAAGAAGGAAAGAAAGGAGAAACTACCATTTTTTATTGGTGTGATAAATGATCAATGGTATGTTTCTTTTAGCTAGTGACATCTAAATTTATTTATCAATATTCGAAAATCGACTATACGAACATTTTTTCATGCATCTCTATCTCTAAATTGTGATTACTTTATTTTTGTTCTCAATATTTTTCTTGTAAAACAAAGTAGGAAAACTCTACGACATTGATGCTGATAGGTTTGTATATTGGTATAACTGTCATCGGATCAATTAAGATTAGGTTACAAATGGTACAAATGAGATGCATTCCGATAAAAGATATATTCCGTAAGAACGTTGACGAACAAGATTTATTTTCTTGCAATACGGTTGGCAGCTAGTTTTTTTTTTCTATTAGTGCCATGAACATTCTTTTTCTTAAACGTTCAAGAGAAAAAAAATGTTCTGTTTTTCTTCTTTTTACGTTAATGGTATATTTAGTAGAGAAAATTACAGAGAGAAAACAAGAATGTCGTAAAATGTAAGATGATATTAGAATCGAACAGATTACAGTTGAATCTTATCGGCTAAATGGCGAAATCTTATTAATGCTTCGGCAAGATATATGAGACATGCAGCAAACCCAAATGTCTAAAAAACAAAATTTCGATTAGAATAAATTTGTTTTTATTTTTAAAAAGATACGTACTGCTGCAGCAGCAGCTGAACCAGTTTGCGGTTTGACATAACGATTTGGCATAACAATTGCTTGGTTATTTAGATATGTACTAGTTAATCGTTTTCTCAATTTATCTTCCCAACACTGGAAAAGAAAATATATTCAATTTCTACTTGATATCACGTCTTTTCTGTTTTCTTTTTTTCTACTCACAGCAACAACAACTGACATGCCAAACAGAGTAAATGCATAGATAATACATAAGAAAGCTACCTAAAGATGACAAATGTCTATTAGAAGAAGATAAAAAAAATAATCAAATCTTTTACGCCAATCGACAGTCTATGCCATGAGTATCGATAACGAAGGCTAAATATAATATGAGCAAGAAATGAAAATAATGTTAAACCAAATATAATTATTAAAATGACTTGATCAGCTTGTTTGGTCGTATAAACATCGATATCATAAAATGCCGTCGAATCGATACCATACTGAAAGCGATAAAAGATATGATTGACATATAAATATGTGTATATCAATCAAACGTATTCTTGTAATTATTTTTGTATACTTACTGTCGGAGTCACATTATATTTAATAATGTTCGAATGAGAATCGGCAAGTTGAGTATAACCAGTTGATGTGAGACATACGGCAACAAAATCACCAGCAACTAATGTCTAGTCATAATAAATAGATTAGGGCTCGAGTCCATCCGCTTACTAACAGGCAAGAAAATTGCCTATTTGTGTTATACTAACCAACTCGATGAGATTGGCACAACCAAGAAGTGAAATAACATAACTTTTATCGGCCATTTTAGGAGTTTGAATAAAGGAAAAAAAACAATTGAAGGATATTCACCTATTAATAATTATATAATCGGCAAAATATCTTATCAAGGGAGATAAAAAAAGAACTATGAAATAATTACAAACAGATGAAGTTCATACGGGTTGCATTTGAAAAAATTCATTCATGGTTTAGATGTGTTATCGGATTGTTAATCAGTATGTAATGCTATCCCACAACTTTTGACAACTATTCATAATATTTTCTTCTTTTGTCACACTCTTTGTTTTTTGGTTAGAAACATGTGAATTATACTGTCTATGAAAGAGATGTAAATGGGCATAGATAGAGGAAACAGAAAAAGGAAATTAAGGAAAAACACGAGAAGACGACGAAAAGAAAGATGTTCGTCGGAAAAAACGAGATCGACACAGAAAACCGGCAACGCATTATACTAAGGATCATAAAAGAGCAGCAATACAAACAAAGTGTTAACTGTTGCTTTACTTTGTATTTATAGCGTATGATGAATGATAAAATATGTAAAACTAATCATAATATTGAAAAATACATTAGATGAAGTTGTAAAAGTCTATTCTAAAGATTTGAAAAAATCAAACAAAGCATATTTGTTTTGAATTACGTATTTCAATCGGCTATATCGATCCTCGATACTGTAATTTCCTCTATCAAGTGAAACGGTTTTATTGTCTGTTGTTGGTTGTATATTGTGTTTCTTGTCTTGTTTTATTGTCAAGACTAATGAAGAACATCATGGTGAACTTATTCTATTTTTCAACATCACATCATTCGACATGTTATTGTGTTCACTGCATTTTGAAAGCATTATCTAGATGACTATGATAAAGATATTAATATATGCATATTTATGAAGAAATCAAAAGCTAGTTTAGACATATCCAAGGCTATTCTTTTGTTTTTCTTTCTTTTTCTAATGTTCTGTGTCATTAATCTTTCATTTTGGTGTTTTCTTAGATTTATTTGTATATTTTCCAACATTCATTAAAGATTTTTCTCTTTCAAATGTAAACAATGAAATTCAGAAACAGTAGAAGAAATGTTTGACAATAAATTTAAAAAACGTGTTTATGCGGTCGTCAAAGATTAGCATTAGTTAAGTGTGAATGACGTATCAATAGAAAGTAAACCCTGGGGTTCTCGGAGGCTATTAATAATAAGCACAACACTTTATTTAAAATGCAATAGCAACAAAATAGATCTTGTTTGTAATCCGATAAACGCTTCTGATCTTTCATCAATCAATGCCAACATTATTCATTCTATTATCTTTAATGCACGCTTGCCATTTTTGTTTTCGTTAAATTATATATGTCAAAGGTCAACCGTAAAAAAGAAATAAGCATGAAAAATTAATGTTTAAAAAATGATTCGTAAATAGTTAAATTGGTGTGCATTCGACATGGTTGGTATCTATTAATTTAATTAAAAAGTTGAGGACTTTTTCAAGTTCCAACAATTGCATTTTCTGAGTGGAAATAGTCAAATAAGTTTTGTATTTCCTTAAAATCAATTTTTATTTAGGTAAGTACAAAGGGAGAATTGCTACATTTTTTTTTTCATTGACGTATATGTCACTAGTCTATTATGTTGTCTAGATTTACTCTTCACACGTTTTATATATCATGCTCGTGACATTGTAATTGCAGTATGATTATTTAATGATAATTTTTTTAAAGTTTTTGGTGTAAAAGTGTACGTGTGAATATTAATCAAAGAAGATTTTTTTAAAGAGAGAGACACGAATATTTTTCAAAATCAAAATGTAAAGGTTCAAATTAATTTTTGAAAAAAATACAAAGAAATAGTGCCATTATGATAGGTTCACTTTGTTTAATTTTAAGAAAATACTCTCTCGAGTATTTTTACGAACATCATAAACTTAAGTTTAACTGAAATTTTGTTTTTTGATGCATCAAATTATATATTGAAGAATAAAAACAACTTTTTTATTATGGCAGATTATACTTCTTAATCCATCATTGACAACGGAAATTAAAAATACAAATATATATTTCAAGTTGAATACTTAGAAGAGATTTGGATTCAGTTTTTTAAATATAATATACATTATCAATACTAACTTCAACTCATATTAAATGAACGGTGTAATGCAATATATTTTCATATAAAGCGCTTCTTGATTTTTGTTAGCAAGTCTAAATTCAACTGATTTTAAAGTTAAAATTAGTTATCATTGTACATATTTTGTAATGCATGTTATCGTAACATAGGTAGATTAAAAGCGACGGTTTAAAAATTGAATGACTCTATCAAACATGTAAGATGTATACTGAAGTATTTTCTACTCAAACACTTCTAACCACATTATGATGCTAGTGTTGATCTGCTCCATGTCATATTTCAAAGTGTTATTACAGAAATAGAAGTGTTTATTTTTAGTTTGAACGTAATAGAAGATACAATGACAGATGCACTTTCGCTATAAAACGATGGGAAATTTTAATGAAAAAATATTTTTTTATTTGATTTTTGTTAAATCTCAATCAATGTTTTCAAATCTAGATAGTTATATTATTAGCGACTTGATTTTTCTGATATTCTACCAATGAGTCGTTTACAAGAACGTTTCTCAGAGTAGGAAAATATGAACAAGATGAAAAGTTGTCACATTTTCTAACATCTTGTCTGAGAAAAAAATACAAAACACAGCGTAAATCCTAACAAAACAAAACATATAAGAATCAGGTATATTTTGTGCGATTTGTGTGATGTTGTAAAATTTTTTACAGAAGGTTTTAGTGGCTACAACAGCTCTTCATCGCATCGAATTAATCTTTTAACATTACAAAACACCGTTCAAACATATATTATTGTTAGGTTTCTTATCATCAACTTAAAGCTACAACCTCGTCGGTAAAAAGAATAACACATAATATGATACAGTAGACAAAATTCAGTTTAGTTTTAGAGATTTGCTTTAGTTTCAAATCTTCACAGAAAGCAGTAGATCATAATTATATACGTATTATGAAATATTATCTATAAACTGGTAAAATATGTCGTTATAGTTTTTATTTATTTTACAAAACAAATATTTAAGTATTAATAATCTGAAATTTAAAGTTGTAATCAAATGAAATAATATCAAAATATTCATATTGAAATCATTTGGCGTGTTCGTGATCCAATGAAAACAACGTTTAGAAATCAAATTGAATGCTATTCTATTGGATTTCACTTTCTACATATTTATTGTTTAAATTTTATGATTCATCAACCATAGCTTGAATACAAAAACCAATGAAAATGTCAAAATTTATCTATCTATTTATGACTTCCATGACGGTAAAATCGTGTTGGATCACATTGTTTTAAAAACGGTGACATTTCACCTTTCAAAATCAATTGAGTTAATTGTGCACCCGTAGCTAAACTATTTAAAATTCCCCAACAGCTATGACCCTAAAAACAATATAAATAAAAATAAAACCAAGAATAAATCTATTGAATTGAATTATTTACCGCTGCTATGTAAACATTATTTAACCCATGAAGACGTCCAATTAATGGATTTCCATCACGTGATTGTGGCAAATAACAAGCTTGTTTTATTTCGACATTAGAATCTTTTAATGTTGATGCTACTTGAACTGCTATTTGACGCAGCCGTTCACAATTATTTTCATTAATCGATACTGAATTACCACTGTCAGGCAAGTTTTGTGTATGTTCTTCTGAAAATCCACATACATAAATATCACCATCTAAACAAGCGATATATATATATATATTCTTTAATTTGATAACACAAAATATCTACTGAGACAATCAAAAACATACTTGGCCGCGGATAAATTTCAGGATCTAATACATTACCATCATGTGATTGATAGGCGAGAAAAAATGCATAAGGTTCTGTTGGTTGATTATTTTTCAATACTATACTATGTGCTTTGACTCCACCAATAACATCTAATTGATGAGAAATATTTTCTTTAAATACAATTGCATCTCGAAACCAAGGTGCTGCTTGATCTAGATTAATTTTCTAAATTGATACAATGACAAAGAAGATAATGTCTACTCACATGTCCATGGTCCCATGGCAAGTATAAATATATCAGCTTCAATAGGTTCTTGATCTTCAATTAATACTTTAATAGCTCGAACAGGTGATGTTTGATGATGTTCATCTTTTTCTGTATGAGTTGTTATAGTTTCAAAAAGAAATCCATTTGCTGCACCAATAATAACACGTCCACCTCGACTTTCTATAATTTTTACCAAAGCATTTGTTAATAATCTAAAATGAAGTCATTAATATTTACGTTGATACATGATCTATTTAATTATTTAATTTAAACGTACCCCGGATGAACTTGTGCTGTTGTATCTTCATTTCCTAACATTTCTTTTTCATGAACATTAGCAGTAATCCAATCCGGTAATGATTGTTTATCACCAGTATGTTTACTGGTATTTATTTTATCATTATTTTCATTTATCGATATATTAAATGTTGTCAAACGACGATACATAACATCTGTAGAAAAGTCGTCCTTTAGACGTTGAGCAAGCTCAGCATGTGCTAAAAAGCTTGACTCAGAAAATTTTCCTTCTGCACCTGAACGCCAATTTTTTGCAAGAAATCCTCCTGCACGTCCACTAGCACCACAAGCAATATTTGTTCGTTCAACAATAGTTATATTAGAACATCCAGCTTCGGATAAATGAAAACCAATCGAAGCACCAATAATCCCACCACCTATTATACAAATACGAATTGGATTCGCCATTTTATATGAAAAAACAATATTCGTTTGATAAAAAGTGTCCGAATCGAATTTCAACTATAATTACACTCTGCACTCATGCATTCACGGTAAAAACCAATAGGAGATGGACTTTATCCATGTGAGATGCCGCAAGTAGTATTAAAAGATAATATATTATAATATAGACAATCACATTTTTAACTCGTAGTAAATTAACGATAAACAAATATAAGTATTTTCGTAAATATGTCTAAAAAAATAGCGACTGATATTATAGTATCTCAAGTGAATACAAATAATTCACAATCATCACGAATTTTAATGAACATCGAAGATTATCATCAAGCAGCAAAAGAAAAACTTTCGAAAATGGCTTATGATTATTATCGTTCAGGTGCTGATGATGAAATAACTTTACAAGAAAATACAGCTGCTTTTCGACGTATTAAATTACGTCCAAAAGTTTTTGTCGATGTTTCTCATCATAGTACAGATTCAAATAGCTGTTCTGTTAGTTTATTAAATGGTCAAACGACTTGTTCTTTTCCTGTTTTAATTGCACCCACAGCGATGCATCGATTAGCTGATGATCGTGGTGAATTAAGTACTGCACGTGCAGCTGTTCGTGCTGGTACAGTAATGATGCTTTCTACATTATCAACAACACGTATTGAAGATGTTGCACATGAACATCAACAAGCATTAAAAGAATATCCAACATCAACATCTCAATTATGGTTTCAATTGTATATTCTTAAAGATCGTGAATTTACTAAGCGACTTGTTCAGCGTGCTGAAAATGCTGGCTTTCGTGCTCTTGTTCTTACTGTTGATGCATCTCGCTTTGGTAATCGTGAAGCAGATCATCGAAATGGATTTCGTCTACCTGATAATATGCAATTAGAAAATTTATATGATGCTGGTTTGAAAGAAGCACAAAGCGATCATGTATCAGCACTAAATGATTATGTTGCAAAAAATCTTGATGCATCATTAACATGGTCGGACATTAAATGGTTACGACAAATAAGTCGATTGCCTATTATTGTGAAAGGCATAATGACTGGTGAAGATGCTCAATTAGCTGTTCAGGCTGGCGTTGATGGAATAGTCGTATCAAATCATGGTGCTCGACAAATTGATACAACATATACGACAATTGAAGTTTTACCTGAAATTGTTGCTGCTGTTCGAGGAATGCATAACAAGAAAAAAGTTGATATTTATATAGATGGTGGAATTCGACGTGGAACAGATGTTCTTAAGGCAATAGCTCTGGGAGCAGATGCTGTACTTATTGGTCGGCCTGTTCTTTGGGGTCTTGCAGTAGGTGGATGTCAAGGCGTTGTTAATATACTTGAAATATTAAAGCGTGAATTTAAGCTTACAGTAATGTTATGTGGATGTGCATCTTTACCCAATAGCAATACGCCTTTGTCTATCGTTCAGATGTCAAAATCGAAGCTCTAACATTGAGAAACTAATTAAAAAAGATGTTATGATAACTATCGTTACTGATTAGGAAGACATTTTGAGAGAGAAAATTTGAAACTATTATTTATAATTTATCTTACAAGTAATCATAACTTCATTAATTATCTATCCTTTTTTGCTCTATTCAGGTGATGGGTGCGTCAATTTTTTTAGTAATTTTCTTTGTTTTTAAATGAATGCTTTCATAATTAATAGATAAGATACTTAATGAATAGGATCCAAACTATTTTTGTTGACTTATATATTGAAACGTAAAATGAAGTAAGCATTTGAATACTGATTGTATATTTATGGAGTAATACGAAGAAATAATTTGTATGATACAAATACAAAATTTAGCCTATATGAATTTTATTGCGATGGATAAGATAGAAATATATTATGTCAAGAGACTAATTATTTTTAATGTTTCGCACAATGGCTATTTTCATACTATTCAATGTTGACCAATATAACTATCGTTCTAGTTATGATAATGTTAAATATATCAATTTATTCCAAAATCTACAAGAAAAAGTTTCAACAAGTTAGAATAATACCAAATGCTGTAAAGAAGATTAAACATATATATATATTATCTTTTAAATGAATTAAATTTGGATTCAATAGAAAATGGCATTCCATTTCCAAATCATATTGTGATTATTTAAAGGTCAGTTGTATTTTCTGTGTATAATACAAATACATATTTTTTAAAGCTATTCCATATGAAATTCTTCTGGACTTTTGGCACTTTATTAACATCGTATGATTATAATAGTATGTTGTCAATACTTGATAATTTTAGTGATACCTCTTGGACATATTCGAGAGAACTTACCCATGCATACATATCCTAAGAAGCATGACTGGTAAGAGCCACAATTTTATTATTTAACTCCGATAGTATGTGTGAACATTTTCAGCTACATAAATTTTTCTCAGTTAGTAGACTCTACGGAACATAGTCAATTTTTTGCAGACTAACGAAACGATTTTACAGTGATTTATAAAGTAATTCAATACTGATTGTTTTATTTGATTATTAGTAAATTGTTTTTTTTCATATATTCAACTATAGCACGTGCAACATTCTGTGCATTCATTAGTTTATTTTTCCCAGTGCGAATATCACGAGATAATTCTATTTGAATTGCATTAATTCTTGGCGAATACTTCTGTATAGTATAACCGCCAGAAAAGAATCTACGAGATTCTGGTTTAGGATTTGCCCATGATGGATAAGCAACACCTAATCCGTATCGTTCAAATACTGATCCAAATGATGTTTGACCACGAATAGCTTCATTTCGATTTGATCCACATAATGATTCAATAGATGTTCTAAATGATGAACCTGATAAATCATTTCGATTTAATTGATCACTTGATAGCATATACCCAATCATCGAATAACTTGAAAATGAAAAACAAAATGTTTATCAAAAACAGAAATATATATTTTTTTTTGTTCAACCCTTTATACACTTACTTTCCTTGAGCATGTCCATGAATATCAACAAGAAGACCTTTACCAAAAGAATGATTTACTTGATTAACTGCATTATTTAAATTCATATGATAATTTTCATATGCAGGTATGACTTCAGAATGATTTAATGTAGCTTCAAGAATTTCTCGATTGAAATCGACTTTTTTACGATGCCATTGCCCAATAATAATAAAAGGTTTTAAATTTCCCTTTCTATTCAATTCATTTGCTATATTCTCAGTAAATTCATCTGTACGACTATCTTTTACTACAGTTATTTTGCCACGCTGTTCATCATGGCAATTGTCATTTATATGTGACGATCGATTGTCAACAATGTATGTTCGATCGGGTACATTATCAAGCATTAAACTTCCACCATGTGGTGCTGAAAGAATAATGTTAACATTTCCATTGAAATGATATTTGCAACATGATCGATATCCATCAATGTATTCAAATTTTTCTTGCTCCATTTATTGAACAACACAGTAATAATATAGCGTATAAGAAAAAAAGAGAAGAAAAGTATTATTTCATACTTTTTAAATATCTATAAACATTTATTCAAAAACAATCGAATAAAACTTCTAATTTGTTAGAAATAATATTTTAAATGACTAAAACTTGGGGTTCAACTATTCCCTAATTGTATTTATAATTCTAGTGACCGATTTTCATATATAAATAGAAAAGAGAAAACAGAATATTCAAATATTTGTATTCGATGGAAAGAAAAACAAAAGATCTGTATGAAAACATAACAAACAAAAAAAACATTTAATTTTATCTTGTATATCAATAGGAAATGTCTTTGTCATCGCCTGCTTGTACCAATGTTCGAATATCAATACGTTTTATTCTTCGAGCATTTTTGGCTAAATCAGTTGTCGCTTCAACCATGTCTTGTAAAGAATACGATAATGTATGAAATGCTAAAATGTCACCAATTGATTGTATTGATACTAGTTCTGTACGAATAAAATGATTATTAGCATAAAGAAATTCTATTAATGATACTAGCATCATATCAACAGCAATACGCAATGATGGCAATGGCGGATTCACTTTCTGTTGATTTATTTTACAACAAGGAAATAAATTATAACTACTTTTCGAGAGTGCATGAAATTCATGTTGTGTATCAGAGTTAAGTGGTACATGACAATTTGAAGGATTTATTGGAGAGTTTTCTTTTTGTTCTTCATGCGATAAATCTTCGTGACACAATCGATGCAATTCAAATGAACCAACATCTACAGTTGCTTGATTTTCAATTAATTGTTTTGCTAATAATATAACCTGTTGAATATTTGTTTCAAGTGTAGAAATATGTTGAAGAACTAGTTCATATGATTTGTTATTTGCAAGTCGAAGTGACGTTGATGAACTATTTGGTCGTAAGGATTGCTTTTGAAATAATATTCGTGAATGTGGATCATTTGTCATGAATATTGATAGTGGAATATCAAGATCATTTTGTACTTGTTTCTGTTTACGTAATTCATCCCTGGTCCATGTATAATATCGTGTGGCATCATTAGTATTGAAAGAAGAAATAACACTGGCTCGACGAAGCTGCCATCTAAAAGCAATTTAGAATTAAATAAAAATTTAGTGTAAACAAGGGACCGAAAATCATCAAATTTGTCTTGTTTTTTCATATCTTTTGATTGATATTAGTTTATTTTAGAATGAATTCTAGAAAAATTTATAGCTAAAAGGAATGCTTTCAAATATAGACGCCATATTGCGTTATAGTTTGTGCTAAGTTATTTAGTGAACAATCAAAAGTAAGTTGCCACACTGATTTGAACTAGCTTTATACTATTTCATCATTAGGAAGGATAAGAAAGAATATGTTTTTTTCAATTATCTTATGATATCGAATGTTGTCAAGCAGTAGTTTAGAATAGTTTGATATTTTCTACAGAACTACTATCGGGTGTAGAACTCTGGATAGAATATTACTCTGATGCCACATTTTCGCTATCGAGAAATTGAACTCTTCATAAACACCAAATGACCACATTTTAATCACGAGATAATTAGCATACTACTAGTAGGATGGTAAAACATAAATGACTATCAGTAATTGATACACAGTCATTTTGATGGCTACTGATGCTGAGCTGCGCATATAGTGTCTTGTAGATAAATATCGAATCTCACAGTTACTAAATCATAATACCTTGCGTTAATAGATTGAATTGAATTGAAATTTTTGTTAAAAGCCTCTGTAAAATACTAAAATCATTTTACAATTTTACTAATTGTAAAAAATAAAATTTACATGTTTACACATTGATGAAGTGCACACAGTCGATAAATTTATCTGTTGAACAATTTCGTTAGAAAAACACGTTCCATTGTCTATCAAAACAATGACAATGGCTGAATAGTTTTCAATATACATGTGTACTATAAGACTTTAATGTTACGTGTAGAGAATAAAAGACTTACCTAGCTTCTAATGCAAAATGTAATTTTGTTTCTGCTTTAAGTATTGTTGTACATCGATGAACAAAACGAATATTACGAACAATACGATGTAATGTTTTCGAAATATCATCATAACGATCTTTAACTTCTATAAATGGACTTTTCCAAAAATTTGGTTCACTAAGAGCTTCTTCGAGTAAAGCTGGAAAAGCACCTACAATCGTTTCTGTTGCTGCTAGTGTGTTCATTAAATTGAATGGCGTTTTATCTGATGATGTTGTTTGTTGACCTATTAAAAGTGCACTTGTTGTTGATAATAGTTGTGGTCGTGATGGTCCAATAAAGAAACAAAAATCATCGCAAGCTGATTTCAATGCAGCAGATACGTTGTTAATCATCGTTACTACCTTAAAAATATTTAAAAAAACAATGATAATCCATTTTAACAGAATTAACATAAAAAAATCTGATTTACTCGTTTTTTAGCTAATTTTCGAGCTGAAATAGGTACAAGTAGATTGGAAATGAAAACATGTATAAATATGCCTAAAAAAGTTAAACTTGTTCGTGCCAAAACTGCTTTGTTAGGCCCTTCGAATCCTTCTTGATTGGAAAGAAATGTTATTATCGAAGCTGATTGCCCACATACAACAGCAAAATATTCCTTTTGTGCATCAGTTTTAATATAACCCATAAAAGCAACAAATAATGATATACAAATTCCAATAGCAAGTCGACTACGGGAAACAAGAACAATAATATAAGCATATGTTGAGCCAAGTAAAACAGCTACTAGACGTTGAAATGATAAACGAATAGTACCGCCTTCTGAAGAATCTGAAACAAGGGCTGTTGTCATTGGTGCCCAATATACCCAACTTTGTGCTTGCAGACGTTCACGAAATGTCAATGCAACAATAGCCGACACAAGTACACTCAAACTTGTTTTAGTAGCACGTAGAAATTTACCAACCGACGGTCGTAAACCAATATAATTAACTACACCAAATAATATATCGTTCCACTTAAAAGTTTCTGTTTTCATAGAAGAAGATTCCATCGTTTGTTCAAAACCAATGTCCAGACAAGTACCTGGTGTTTCGCTAGTTTCAGCAGCTGTTATAGTTACATGAACGAGACGTAATACAAGTAGAAGAAATGTATTTAAACTGATTGAATCTGTATTGGACATATTTAAATTCTTTGGATCTTCACGTACTTGAGCATAGGTTTCAAAAAAATCTTCTAGTGCTGCTTCAACTTTTAATCTGCATGATATAATTTTTTCAGTATTCGTATGACTAGTATAATGTATTGTATATGGCAATGTAGCTTCCAAAAAATTAAATGTTGTATCAATAAGAATACATATTGCCTAAATGAATAGAGTCTATTTTAAAATATTCTCTTCTCAATTCTATGAATCAATGTAAAGAATATCTTAGAAGTATTGCTATAATCGAAGTCCGAATGACAGTGAAATGTAACTATTGTGAAATTTATTCATTATTATGAGAACACTATAAACAGGTATGAATATGTTTCTAATCGATTCGTAAATTAGTACTCATCAGCTGTACACACAGGTATGATGTATAGAATTCATGATTTAAAGATAGCGATGACTAAATAGTTGTTATTGTCTATATATTAATCATTTCAATACTAGAATAATCTAAGTTTAAAATATTTCTCGATATCCTGATCTTACCTTTAGCAAACAGAAATTTCTATTTCATATCTTAAAACAAATGCTATTGATTCGATTGCGAAGCTTTCATTTCGATTTTGAACGAATCTAGTTTGATTTTCTATTTTAACAATCATTATGATTGAAAATAGTAATGTTTATTACGTATATCGACAGAGAAAAACAACGCTCGGCGAAAGACATCAATGCAATACTTCATATCGTATAAAAAAATGAATCGGTCATCAGACATAAAGTGAAGTTCTCGAAGTCTATACTAAAATTACAATTAGATATATGAATAATTAAATAATTAGGATAAAGGTTTCAGTGATCAAACTGAGATTTCAATGCAAATATTGTTTGTAAAATAAGGTATACTGTACGTACAATATTATCTTAATACTCATACTATACTATACTCTACTCGTGCTTGATTTAACAATTAACAATTTAATAAATATATTAATTATTAGTCCATCTAGGATAAAATAGAAACATTATAGTAGTTCAACATCGAAATAGTAGCATTTCAAGTCTTTTTAAAGTTCGCTATAAACTAAATTGTAATTACAGTAGATATTTTGTTTCATATCATCACATGGTGTGTGACAATAAAAACGTGATTAGTTGATATTATAACATAGTATGACCATTGACTAAATATCTTTTATTTCTTGCGTTTATGACACCTTTACGATCGGTTAGAATGCTAGCGTACAGCAGCATTCAATGTGAGATGCAAAAAATAGCTTTCTAACTAAAAGAATGTTGACTGCATGCTGGAAGAACTTTATAAAAATTATAATTCTAAAAACATTTCAGCATACATTTTCTAGTGATTCTCACTATGCATAAAAGAATAACAGCAGTAAACGACATATACAAGTCGACTGGCAAAGCATGTGCTTTATTATTTTTAAACCTAAGAAAGTTCTTTTTAAGAATTTCAAATATATTCTAATTACTAGATTTATTAGAAATTCTTTTAATAATCATTTCTAGTGTTTACTCCTGAATATAATATTCATTTTGATGTTTATACGTATCACATTTCATACATATTAGTCAGCATTCGTTAAAACTTCTGAATTCAGACTTTCGTATCAATGTCACTATAACACATCGCAAAGTATGTTAAGAAAGTCTCGATTCAATACTTTGAATACGTATATTTGTTAAGTTTTATTCTCGTTAATACAGTGCGGTAAGTGAAGAAAGCTCTACTAGATCACTAGTATAGATCTTAACCGTATGATTATATAAAAATATGAATATTAATTATAGATCTATTCATGAAATCATAATTTCTGAGAAAGGATAGCCTAGGAAATAGATATAAAATAATTTTACGTTAATTAATTTCCGTTGGCCAACAAACGCATGATGATGACGATTCAATGATAGCATGCCACTTATTATTCTTTGCAATGAAACAAAACCAGTTGCCCAAACTTCTAAACGTGATTGAAGCGTTGATGGTTTCTTGATAAACTTTTTCAAAAATGGAATACAACGAAGGAGCTTCCGTACTAAATTTAATAATTTCAATGATATAAAATATGGTTCAAATGGAATTTCTGTTAAAGCACGTTCCATCTGTTTTAATTCGTCTTGAACAAGTGAATATAAATCTTGTATGTCACTTTCAAGTAAATGATCATCTTTAAGATTTTCAAATGATGCTGAACGATTATAAGGATCATCTTCGTGATAAGAATTTTTTGGTAACTCAATTTTGTCTTCATCAATTGTATTGCTTTCAGATGTTTTTTCATTTAGTTTATCATGATAATCATAAGTTAAATGCACATTATGATATTCTGATATAAGTAGAACAATTGCTGTAATTTCACGTCGTATTTGACGAGCAATAAATCTCATGCGAATTGTTAACTCACGATGCGCAGTTGGAATGGCAGGTAAAGGAATGCATGATGAAAGGAGAGCGATTGCACCACCTATTGATAGTGATGCCCAGCTTTGCAGTACATAGGATGTATTTATTTGAGATTTATCTTTATCAAACCATTGCAAAAGTATAATGCACGTTGGTAGAATCGAAAAACGACGAACAATTTGTGGTAAATCTGTGTAAACCATGAGAAAAACAAAGACATTAGTAGCACCAACAGCAAAATAAACATCTCTTGGTAGATAATTAATAATAAGTACACAATAAGTTGCAGCAATAGCACCAGCAAAAAAAAGTCGACTACTTGCTTGAATGGTTGCGCCAAGTGTACTTTTTAAGGCAATAATAAAGCCGAGACCTAAAAGAATTTGACCTTGAATTGACTTTGAAGTTACAGGAACAAGGGCTAGTAAAGCACAACACTATAATTAGAAGAAGAACACACACACACACACAAATATATATATGACATCGTTTCATTATAAGCTTACAGCAATGCCAATTAGATTTCTTAGAGCAAAAATTATTCTAGCAGAAAACGATGGTAACAATGGATACCAACAAGTACAACGTGATGTGTATTGACCAGATTGTTTCCAAGATGCCATTGCAAAATGTATTATAATTATATCATTTAGGAGTTTGATCTACAATATATGGGAATAGGTATTGATAGAACCATCGACCCTTTAGATCGTTTCTAACAAAATCAATGAAAACAAAATTTTTTTCATTCTGTTTTTCTCAAGGAAAGGCGGATTTTGAAAATCCACAACGTGAATGTTGGAATTTCCATCTGAAATTTTTTCCATGTGTAAGTCTCGTAATCCTTAGAATATTCTAAAACTTTCAGCGCAAACGGATGTTTCTTTTTCAAGATAATGAATGCGCAAGAAATGCTCATTTCACGGTACGGTCAGAAAATTCAATATTTTTAAGAAGGAAACATTTGTTCGAGTTGAAACTTTTAGGATCTGCTATGGACCATGAAACCTATATATGGGAAGAATTTCAGATCGGCACTGCGTCATTCACAGAGGGAAAAATGCTTTTCAATTTATGGGATTTTTGGAATTTTCAAAATCCCGAAAATTCGCCTGTTCTCCCTTGGTTTTTCTTTTATGCTTCTTCCATTAGTATATAATTCTTGGTAAAAATATGATTGACCACGTTTTTGTTTTTGTTTTTGTTTTCTATTTGAGTAGGAGTTATGGTTTTTTTAATGTTTTTTCAAAAACGTTTTCTTTTCAAGTCAAACGAAGTGGCCGATATTGATCACTTCTTCTCTTTTTATCAAAATGTCAGATCATCTAACGCACGCAACACAAAGTCAAAACTTGAGAAGGTAAGGTATCGTAGAACAAAACGAAGGCCACACGTCATTCACGAGCTGGCAGTGCAAGTATAAGAAAGGAAAAACAACTCATTTCTTTTGACTGGCAATATTCTTTTATGCGTTTTTGTTTTTGTTTTTGTTTTCGTTTCTTTCATTTTATGATAAAATGTTACTCTACCTTACGAAAAACGTGTATCTGAAGCATTTTTTTATATTTTAGCTTCTCTGCTATATTGCGTGTTGTTAACTAATTGGTTGCAAAGAATTTCACATTAGAAAAATATATACGCAAAGATTAATGGCTGATCGACCTACAAAACACGGCTTTGCAAAAGAAGCATTTGAAAAAGTAGGTAAACAAGAATATATAGAAATATTTCAGGGATTAAAAATAACGTACTAGATTTTTATGACGAAAAATTCAAAATGGCGTCGTGTGTATAATTTCATTTGTATCATAGTTTTTTTAACGAACAAAAATAGATAGCTGCATTTAGTTACGTTTGATTATCATGCACACTGTAAAAATGCATGATCAGTCGGAATTCAATTTTCTCTTCGCCTCTTATACGATAATTTACAAAAGTATTTTTTTTTAAAGATAACTACTGTTAGCTTTATTCTCTCGATTTGCATGCGCACATAGTAACATGCCTACATATATCATACGTTCTCTCTCTCTCTCTCTCTCGCTGGTTGTCTTCCTCCATATATATTTGTAAATATAATCGATTTAAGAAAGTGAAAATTAAACACAAGAAGATAAAAAAAGAAAGATTTCGATATAACATTCATCGACTGAACTTTCTCACATTTTCAAAAGATAAGAATCCGAAAAAAATAATGAATACTGTAATGCGTGCACCGAAATCTGGCTTTGCTCATGACGTATGGGAGAAGGTGGACAAATAAAAAATATTAATTTTATTCAATGATAGTAATTTTCTATTTAAATTTTATTTTCATCGATAGATTCAATCGAAGTATAACGTTACACAGGCTCATGAAGCTTTGGAATGGATTAGTGAAATGATTAGTGAACAATTTGATACTAGCGGTGATATGGATAATGTTTATAGTCAATTAAAAGATGGTCGTAAACTTTGCCAGTATGCATTTATATCGTTCACTGTATTTTCTTTCTGTTTTTATGTTTCTCTTAGACTAATGAATTCAATAGTACCAGATTCGATTCGAAAAATTAATAGTGGTATTTATTTACGACCAATATTTATGCTTTAGTTGTTAAAAATAAAATTTATTTTAGGTGAAAATAGCTTTAAACTAATGGAAAATATAGCACGTTTTGCTGAAGCAGCTAAAACTTATGGACTATCTGATACCGAAACATTTCAAACAGTTGATTTATATGAAAAAATGAATCTTCATCAAGTTATTGTTTGTCTTTTTGCACTAGGTCGAAAAGTAAATTATTGCGTATATACTTCTTTTGAAACAAAAGAAACGTAACTTTAATGTTTAATTAGGCTCAAAAACAAGGAATACGGGGTTTAGGTCCTAAAGAAAGTGATAAAAATGAACGAACTTTTTCAGCAGAAACATTAAAACAAGGTAACATGGTAATCAGTACTCAATATGGATATAACAAAGGAGCAACACAATCAGGCATCGTTTTCGGCAATACACGCCATATGTAATGTTTTCGTTTTAGTTTGCAGTCGTTTCTTTTTATCTCTTGATTATCCATCTATTACTGTATCCAGCTCTATTCTTTTTACATTATTCATGATTATATATACTGAAAGAAAATTACTTTATGCTTTTTAAAATAAAACTACGTTAATGCATAACTAAATGCTGCAATTCAATATAAAATAAGTAAACAGATATGAGTGTACTTAAATCAATGATTAATAAAATAGAGATAAACAATTTATATTGGTGTATATAAAGAAAAAAGAAAGTAAACAGAAAAAAGAGAGCAACTCACAATAAAAGTTAGAATTATCTATGGTCTATTTTTACCAATCTGATTAGTAGGACTTGTTTCTTAATGGGAATTAAAAATTTGGACTATCATACATATATATTTAATATAATAAAATAACCCAAGCTGACTCACTTGAAATGAAAGTTATTTGTTTTTCATAATATTGATGATGTGTCAAAGGTGGCGACTTCCAATGTGAATGGTAAAAAAATGTAAACTGCGTTCGAAAACCTTCACAGTAACGATGAAAATTATTGAAAAGAAATATTATTTGCACGCATGAGGAATATGCCCCATTTTAAATTATAGTTTAAGTGATACAGTTATTAGTAGAAACTAACGTTAATTTCCAATTAATTTCATAAACGTTAGCATGCTAAAAAATTTCATGCGTATGTTAAATGAAATAAAAAGGTAATTTATGATGTAAATATTTCATTCGATGTCTATCTGATGGGTTGACCCTAAAAGTCCGCTCTTTTAGTGCTTTTTTAATTTCTCATCTATTTTTTTGCTAGTTATAAACAATTTTGTTTTTTAAATGAAAAAAAACACTTGAAATGCTTCGCTAAACCAAAGTTTTAATACGATCCAAAATTTATTATAAATACTTTTACGGAAAAAACGACGAAAAAGTGACGACATAAAAACAAACTCTAGGAAGTAAACAAGATAATGATGATGGACACGCAAAAATTTACTCTGGCCTCAAATCGTGATATTAATTTATGAATCGAAATTATCGAAAGTACGGGTACTCGTAGTTTATTTTACCTGTCGGGTCTTCCAAGTACAACGCCAACAAAAACTGAATGTCTAAAACAAAAACGGGTATCTATCTGTTGGATAAAAAAAAAAGAGTATCAACAAGAAAATGATTGTTGTTCTGCAAAAATCTGTATAAAGAAGATCTTGCCTGTTTAAAATAAGAGAAGGATTATTCATAATTGGTTTGAATAAAGAGTAGCAAGCTACTTTTAGAAACATATCGGCTGAATAAAATGTTTTTAGTGCTCGAACATTTTACCTCGACAATCATTGTTTACAGACTATTCATGTGTATTAACATCGAAGGACCATTTGTCTCGGAATCTGTATAATTTTAATTTGTTAAATTGTAGTTTATAGAGTAAATTTACTGAAAATAAAAATTAGAATCACATTACAACAAAATCAACATTGCTAGATTAAATAAAGCATATTACTAGACAATTTGCAAAAGAAAAATTTCAGATTATCTGTTTGACTTAATCTTACGATTAGATTTCATCCAAAATTATGAAAACAACTATATTCATCAAATAAAATATAATAACTTGTGCAGAATTTTCAAGTGTTACATTTTGATATAAAAAGGTGTTTTAATCAAGCGAAAGATGTGATCGAAATTTGTACAACATTCGAAATGTAATTATTTACGCACCATGGTTGATACTCACGCTTCTATGCTGGATACAATTTTGTTTCGCTAACATAAATTATATTTAGTATTATCAATAATAAGATCTAATATTCGCAACGAAACAGATTGACAGTGTGAAAACTGTGACAAGTAGCAGTGCGACAAAAATTCTTTAAATATTAGAAAATAAAAATTCTCCCATCATACAATAAATATTAAGATATATCGAATAACATGACATTAATGTGCATTTGCTAAAATTACGCTGTAAAAAGTTACGACGCATAGAATATATTTCATGAAGAATATTCATAGTATGATTCTTCACGATTGGTCTCAATCGATGATATCATCCGTAACCTCGATATTATGTATACAACAAGGATAGTCGATGCACAATCTCTATTTTCCTTGATTTCAATGTTCTTACTTCTAAGTTGATCGAAGAAATTTATTTAACTTTATTTTTCTTATCGATAATGGAAAAAAATTAATTTCGATGAATATTTTTTATGTCATACAATTACAATATCAGAAATTATCAAGAAAATATGAAAACAAACTTGATATATGACACTATATTTATATACATCCAATCGATGTTTAAAGATAACTGTGTTGTTTATAAATCGAAACTTCACCTATATCTAAATGAGTAGTATGGAGTAATTTAGTATTTGCAAATAAATTAGTGTTTTAATTAAGCATTTTATTTACGGAAAAGAAAATTATTATGAAAAACACGCGCGTCTTCCTAGAAATTTCGTCTATATCTGTACGTAGGCAATATCATTCGTGAAATTTATTTCAAGTCTCTAAGATAACAACTAATATTTATCTATAGAATATGTTTCGAATCTATCCTTTTTACTTACATTATTTCTAATATAAAACATAAGAAAGTTCAGTGTATTTGAAGGAAATGAATCGGAAATAACACAATTGTGAAGATAATGACTTTTAATATTTTCTATCAAGTCCTACAGTCAATCTAAAGAGTTCTTTTCAGGAAATTCTCCTTGAAAGTATCGTTTTCAATAACAACAAAAACTATATTTTTTCTGTTGTTTCCTTAATCTATCGAAATTTCTTCTGTAATTATTTTTTCTGAAAATAAGCCATGATGAAATAAGGTTTCTGCTCATATTTGTTCATCGTTTCTATCATTGATTCGTGTTTATTCTCTGATATGCTGGATTGAAAATCAAAAAAACAAAAATACGTTGTATAAAGGCGATCAATTTTTGTTGAAATACATTCGATCATTGTGTTGAAATACATTCAAACAAAGAAATAACAAGATCGAATGATGTGAGTATAACAAGAAAAAAAATTTAACATAGAAAATCTTTTTCCAGCATAAATGAAAACTATTTTTTTGATGGAGCAAAGTCTGCTTGCATTTTTTGTCGTAAATATTCTTTATAACTAAGAATATCACCGGGCCATTCTTTTACTGTTTGATTTTCACAAACCCAAATTTTATCAGCCACCTAAAAGGTAGAAAGTTGTTCATCAAGATTCATTGAAAATTATTTTTTTTTGCTGTCTAATCTATTTACTTGTCTGATTAAACGAAAGTCATGACTAACCAGTACCATTCCACCAGAAAAATTTTTAACAGCATCTGCTAATGCATCGATTGTTTCAATATCTAAAAGAGAAAATTTAAAAAAAATTATACTCCATAATCTATTGATTTTGTATTTTATTTTTGTTTATACCAAGATGATTTGTCGGTTCATCAAGTAATAATAAATGTGGACATTGCCATGCTAACCAAGCTAAACATACTCGACATCGTTGCCCATCAGATAAATTTCTCATGGGACATATTTGTTGTCGACCTGTTAAGCCAAATCGACCAATGATCCTTCTCATTTCTTCTTTTTCAGTTACATCTGTAAAGCATTTCATCATATAATCAAGCGCTGATAAGTTTAGATCTAATTGTTCAGTTAAATGTTGATGATAACGGCCCATACGTAAATGTGCATTACGACGAATTTGTCCTTTGGTTGGTAATAATTGATTGCCAATTAATTTGAGTAAGGTCGACTTTCCAGCGCCGTTTGGACCAACCAATGCAACACGCGTATCAAGATCAATACCAAAATCAAGATTCGTATATATCCAATCCTTTAATGAAAATATTTATCAAGAAAAAACAAATGTTAAAAAAATAATCAATTATATGTTACTGTATTATCCGAATAACGAAAACCAACACCTTGAACCATTAAACAAGGCGGTGGAATTTTTCCCGGATCAGGAAACGATAATGATAAAGTCTATTATAATATAATGATAGAGATATTTGGGAAAAAAACAAAAATCTAATTTTACTTTTTCTTGAACGACTTTTTCAGTTAATCCACTTTCCATCATTTTAGCTAATGTTTTTTCTCTACTTTGAGCTTGTGATGCTCTACTACCACTACCAAAACGTGCAATAAAACCTTTTGTTTTTGCTACTTGTTCTTGTTCCCATTGATATTTTTTCATTTGATTTGTTTCTAATTCTTGTCGTGTTTGAACATAAGCATCATAATTACCCTTAAAATATATTCTTTTAGTTCAGTTCAATAGTAGAATTTTTAAAATTTTACTTACACCATAGATAAAAAGTTTATTTTTTGTTAAATGCACAATATTGGTACAAACACCATTAAGAAAATCTTGTGAATGAGAGACCATAATAAGAATACGTTTATAATTACGAAGCTCTTCTTCAAGCCATACGCACGCATCAAGATCCAAATGATTAGTTGGTTCATCTAAATAATTTAATTTGTATTTTCAAAGGAAAGAAAAAAAGAAAAATTCTATACCAAGTAATAATAAATGTGGACTAACAAAAAGTGCTCGTGCAAGAGCAACACGCATTCGCCATCCACCAGAAAAATCTTTGCATTGCTTGTTTTGCATTTTTTTGGTAAAACCTAAACCGTGTAAAATTCGACCAGCTCGAGCTTCAGCCTATGAAATAATTAGCAATGATATGGAATAATAATAATAATAATAATTTATATTTACTTTATCCGCATCAAGATCATCCAAACGTTCATAGATTTCAAGTAATAGTTCTTGAGCTTCTAAAAAGAGAAAGTAAACAATGAAACGATTCGTAGATATGAATGTCTAAAAGTCATGTGATTGTTTATTATTAAATTTTAATGTTTTTTAAAGCTGGTATATAGTAATCTATTTTTCTTTGCAATCATATTCTTTCTCTCAGGCATTGCCTAGATCAATAATCTCAATCGATCAAATATTAATAACTAATAAAGAGGAATAATATTACAAATGCGCAGTTAAATCAGAAATATGTAAAAAATAACATACATCTGGAATTCATAATTCTCATGTTTATTTAAATGATAATATCTCAATGACATAGAATGTTGATACAATCAAACTTATGTTTCTATTATTTAAATATAAAGTTCTGTTATCTATGAAATAATGTTTATACAATCGATTGCAATCTGTATTAATTTGTTCCTTTGTTGATTTGTTGTTAAGATGTTTCGTTTCTAGTCGACATTGCTTAGGGACAATATCTTTCAACAATAAGCATTTGATAAATAATAGAAAGCTAACGAAATAAGCCTTCTTATAAAAAAAATATTCTTCAGTCATCTCTGTTGATGAATAAATATGACATGATCTACATTCATCACGTGTCCGCTGGTGCTTAACATTTGATAAAAGACAGAACATGACGTTAATGTCAACACTCTATACAATGCCATTGATTAGTTCTGTAGAAAGCTTTCCTATCGAAGCATTTCAAGCATAAAATTTCTTTTCATTGAACTGATCTATTTATTTTCTTTCTTGTTTATTAAGAAATTGAGACAGTACATCAAGGTCAGTATAATTGAGATTTTTATCTCATGTTATATTACGATGGATATAAGTATGTGCGCACACCCTTTTAATCAAGACTTTTTATGAAAATAATTGTGTATACAAAGAATCTTGTGTTGACATTCATCCGGTTTTCCTTTTCTTTTTTTTATAGTATAATAATAAATAAAAGCAATTAAATTTACTCGTTTTTTTTCTCGACATGTAAACATATCCTGTCACTTCCTTCATTAATTTCTTTTCCGTTCGAATTGAGTTTATTTTTTTCAAATAAAAATAGGATATGTAACAAAAAATAAAAATAAACGAAGACCGAAGCTTCTGTAGCACTTGACTCAATGTTGATGTGACGACAATCACAAAAATAACTTGTCACTGTTCTTAATCGTATAATGTCTCGATTATTATGATAAGGATAGAGAGGAGACAAATGGTTTTTACTCAATAGTTTATTTCTAGTTTTGCCTATTGACAACTCAAGTATTACGAAATAAACAAATCCTTAGTTAGTTAGTTAGTTAGCTAGCTAGTTTCTCTATTCGATGTAGCTCAAGAGAATAAATGATCGATTGTGCCTTCAGTTCAAGCATATGTTCACAATCAAATTAACCGAAGGCAAACGGCTTATCTCTCGTGGTAAACATTTTCTATTCCGTTAAACAAGTTATGTTTTATTGATAGCATCAACGACAACCACAACAAAAAGCATGACATTCATTTGTAGTCGTTTTTCATTAGTGTAAAAAACATATAACAATAAAAGATGATGGAAAGAAGAAAAAAAAGAGTTTACGTTTAACTCAAGGAATAGCGTTTAAACAGGACTGACACAGAAAAAAACTATTAGATGTAACATGCACGCAGTCTTAGTTGCAGGGAATATTAGCCTACAACTCATCATTTTCTCACATTGCCTGTCTTTTTTCTTCTTTTTTTTTCTCCTATTTTCGCCTTTCTTGTTGCTACAGAAAACAGCGAAGAAGAAAAAGAAGAAAAACAGATCCTGATAGACATGCCCGACTCATCAATGAAAACAATAAGTCATGAATATTCTTATCTCGTTTCTGAGCTAATAACTTTGAAGTAATAATACCACACTTGTTCTTACTGCAGATACAAATAGTATGTTTTCTTTTCGTGGTTCCTTTTTTTTTCTTTCTTTATGTGTAATCTCACTATGGAATTAAAAAACACGCATGCCTACACAAGGTTTTCTTTCAATTATCAAATCTTAAAGTTAGTCTTAAGGATTGTATTGCTTTTTCTTCCGCATATGATGAGATGAGTATTGTGGATTTGCGAGACGTGACATCAACTTGTTAACGAACATTTAGGTCTGCGTATAAGTCTGCACATGGGAGCTAAAACTGAGGCAAGAAGGACACCAGAATGCTAGTGATGAGAAACAACATCGGCAATACTTTTGTTATTGGAAAAAAAGAAGAACACTCGCTTTGCAGCAGAAGAATTTATCATCAGAATGGCACATAGATCGATCGATCGATCGAGAGATAAATAGATAGATAGATAGATACATATATACATATGTGTGTGTATGTATACATATATAGACACAGTTCAAACGAAGCAGCAGGAAAATATCAACAATCATAGTTGTATGTGTAAAATAATTGGAACACTTGACAATGTGTGGTGCGTCGATGCAGACAGATTCTCATTTCTTTTTCTCCTTTATACGGCTAAGATATTGTTCTTTTCCCTCATTTTTTTCTTCTTTCTAGGTCATTCATTGCTCATTCGCTTTTTCCCCTTTTTCCCTTTTGCTTTCCGATCAAAATTCTAATCTTGTCTTCTAGCTAGTTTCTTTCTTTCTTTCTTTCTTATCTCATCGTTGTTACATATAGCAAACGGAACGGAACCGACGCACGTCTTTTTATGCGTACAAAATCGAATTATTAACTTTTCTCTATATGAAGTCACTTAATACTTAACATAGATCTTTTTTTCTCTCTCTCTCTCCTTTTCCTTTTATAATCAATCCTATGAATCTATCTGTTTCCTGTTTTTATTTTTCTCATTCAAGGTAGGAACAAGTAGGAAATCTATAAATAAGTAAATGGCTAAAATTTTCTGCAGGAAGAATATTTTTAATGTGTCTATCTTCTGTATAGAAGATTAAGACTATTTTAGCTTCGTTCATATATATATATATATTTTTTAATTAATATTTATCTATTTTTTCTAGATAAGACGTATTTCAAATAAGTTATAAGAAAAAATAAAACTGTTTTTCAACGAGAAAATATTCATGCTCTATGGCAACGCCCACGTTTAACCGTGCTTTTCAAGCTTATAATAATCATAGTTTTAAAAATCGTCCAGTTGTAAAAAAGACGCCAGTATCAACAATGGGAGAACCATCAGCATTTGGTCATATTCCATATTCAAGTATAAAAACAAGTACTGAAAAAGTACCATCACTACCACCATCTCCTAATTCAACTGGTTCCGTAAAACGAACATCGGGACTACAAGCTAAACGTGCATCAATAGTTAGCATGGCTAATTTACTACCACATCGAAAGAGTTTACAAATGACAGCTTTAGCAACACAAAGACAAAGTCTTTGGATTAATCTCGCTAAAAATGCTCAAACAAATAGTTCTCAAGTATCGCCATTTCCATTAAGACAACAACAAACAAATTTATTGCGAAAAAAGCTTCTACGTCTATTACTTGTTTTTAGTTATTTATTGTCAATATCATTGTTTGCTATTGCTTTAGCAACATTTTATGGTTTTTTCTGGACTGGTTATAGCAAAATACCACCAACAACTTTGTCTGCATTAACTGTTGGAACAACTATTACATCAATTGATTCGTTAAAATCAAATTCAACGTTGATCGATATTAGTATATCACTGGGAGATGCAAGTTAATATAAATCTAGTAAATATTAACTCTCATTCTATTTTCTTATAGGACTTAGTATTTAAAACTTAATGCGATCAATATAATGCATCATTTGATGCAATACATCAATACTGATCCATCGTCCGTCCTATAATGAGCTACTCATGATATCGTCATTGCCTAATATTTTTTCTTTTGGTGAGAGCAGACAAAGAATTTAGAAAACAAAAAAATGAAGAACCTTATTTTTTCTGATTCTGATGTTTTAGATGGTGTTTTTCTTTACATGTAGACAAATATAATCCAGTAATGAGAATTAAACAGTTTACTCCGGTGATAACAATGAATTTGTTTCTATTTTTTCTTCCCAATTATGTTTTGTTACTTTCGAGTTCTGTTTTTTTTCCGTCTATAAATGTATACGTGTATTTTTGTTAATTGTTCATTTTCAGAAAAAGAAAACTAATTCGACTAAAAACTTCTTTTTTTCTTGCATACAACTTACCATGATCATCACTTAGAGTCGCTAAATGTTCAGCTTCAGCTTCGAGTTTAATTCGTTCATGATCAACTTCCATAACGCACTCCAATGCCGTTTTATTTACTGGTGCCATTTCACGTGATAAATAGAAGATATCGATATGTTCTGGGACTGGTACCTAAATTTAAAGAATCGAACATATTTCAATATTGAATTAAAGGTGTATTTTCGATAGAACTTCTTCTATTTAAGAAAATTGAAATAATAATTAACTTCTCAAAAGATTTTGAATGAAAAACAGAACGATTCTGTGCTTTAGTGAAGATTTTTTTATAACTAATAATTATAAGTCGGCTTATATTTTTTCTTCTAGTTCAGTATAAGATAAATGTTAAAATGTTTTTTGTTTTCTTTCATCATTATGAAAGTTATACGAGATAATTTATCGCAGAGATTGTTTCATTCATTATTTCCAATCAATTTCGTTTTACCTCTCGATTTCCAATAGCAGCAAGTATAGTTGATTTTCCTGATCCATTTAAACCTACAAGACCATATCTTCTACCACAATTCATTTCAAAGTCTGCATCAGATAATATTTCTTGTCCATGAAAAGTCACTGAAAACTGATGAATATGAATATCACGACCACGAGGATGACTTCCGAGAACACCTTTAGAATGAAGAAAAAAACGATTTGTATTGAAAACAAACAAACAGAATAATCACAAGCTTTTTTTTACCAGTGCATGATCTTGCTTCGGCGTTCGCTTTTTCAACCATATTTAATAAATCAAGATTTTGTATTAATGATTTAACATTTGGATCAGCATCGGTTGTTGCACCATTGGTCTCATTCTTTGCTCCATTTGATTGATTTGTAGGATTTTTATTTTCATTTTGTATTTCATCATCATCATCATTGTCTTCCAATAAATCTTCATCATTTGGATTGGTATCGGCATCATTGGCATTTGTTGTACTGGCTTTTTTACCTGACGGTGCTTGACGTTGTTTAGCGGCAGCTTTCTTTTGAAGATCACGCTTCTTTTTTGCATCAGACGGCATTTTTCTTTTTGACTAATAAATAATCTAGAGAGAGAGAGAGAGAATAGTACCAGGAATAATTGCACCTAATATTTTATTTATCTGACAATAGAAGAGAAACAAAAATGTCTATCTGACAATTAAACAATATGTTCAGCAATTTTTCGTTGTATTAAATGTTCAGCATCTGATGTTAACACATAGTGTTCACTATTAAATGTTAATTGTATTATTGTACCATCACTTGTTTCGTATGGACCATATTCTTGTATACATTTAATATGTGCAAACAATTTTTTTGGTGGAATCATAAATGATGTTAAATCAAGTGAATGATTATTACCAATAGAACGCATATACGATGATAATGTTTGATTATAATTTGAAAAAAACTCTATCTCATCGATCGATAAATTATTTCTTATATATTCTGGTAGAACAGGTCCTAATGACCAACGAAATGACTTAATTTTATTCATTCGATGATATGCATATGCAAGTAAACAACGTTTTATGCGTTGTATCGCTGCATGACGAATGCTTATTGTTGGCATTAATGTTGGTGCAGAATTGGTACTACTATTATCTGCACCGACTTGTACAACTGTTTGAACATCTTCATAATTTTGACGAAATAATTCATTGGCTTCTAATTGGCAATGACGAATAGTATCAGCATTGTAAGGAGGTAATATAGTATCTCGAGAACGATCAAGTTCTTTGATTAATTCATGTGCTTTAGAAGCGAGCATCTAAAAAAAGGCAAATTTATTTAATAATGAACAAAGCAAACGAAACGAAAAGAACCGATTTTATTGCAAATCATTAACATCATACAAACTATATCGACACTAGTGGTCATTGTTTGTCCTTTTTCTTATTGTTTTGCTCAAATCGTTTTTAAATTCAATAAGAATAAAACAAGGGAAATCAGTAGCCATTGGATGAAAAGAAACAAACAAAAAAAAAAAAAAAGAATCGATAATGTCGAAAATAATAATAGTAATAATAATAATAATAATAATAATAATAAAGAAGAGCCCCGCGTCTTTTCTTTTTAGTGATACAATAAAATAAGCATTAAAGTAAAGAAGAAGAAAACGAAGACCAACAATAAATAGATCGCACATATACTAATTTTTTCATGATAATAGAAAAAAAAAGAGCAATTGTTTTTCTTTCACACCCACTGTACTGGACCTGAACATGTCGAACATACATAAAGATTTTTACCAATAAAAGCTAGTTTAGTTGTTGAGGAATTATCAGTTTGTGCTGATGAACTGTCGCTTTCGCCTAATTCTTTAAGTAAAGTCAAAATACGTGTTCGTGTTTCTTCATCAAAATTGGATAATGATGGTAATGTAGATGAAGCAGTAATTGATAGTTTATCACTATTTGATGTAGTAGTTTGCTCAGCTGCTGATGACGAAGATAATATATTATCGACCATTTCAGGCCATTCTAATGAAACAAAAACAACAATCAGAAATTACATATACGGAAAATATCATTCGACACAGTTATTTCATCTTGTCAAACAGTCATATCTCGGAATTCTATAACAATTATAGATGATGACATTTTGTTTTTCTAACTTCATCTAAACTAGCTGATATTTCGATATTTAAAAATTAAATATATAAAAAATTAAATAATAGTTTGGCTCAGCAAATATATATGAAAATATTTTCTACAAAGAATTGCTTCTATTCAGATTGAAGACTGAACATACATCATCGCCAAACATGAGATTCGAACTTTACTGTAGTATATCATTAAACAACTAAACTAAAAATGTTATACCATTTTCATCAGCAGTTTGTTGTTTGTCTGAAGAAATCGCTTCATTATTGACAGATTTTTGATTCGTTGTATCCGTTGATGGTTTATTCAAACCACGCATAAGTAATGTTTCTAGCTCAGATAATTTTCTCTGAAATAAATCAACTTAAAATTGCATAGAGAAAACAAATCCGACCGTTTACTTGTAAACTCAGTCTATCATGACTCAATTGTTTAATATAATCATCTTTTTCTTGATAACGTCGATGAAGTTGTTGACGTTGTTGTTGATATAATGATATATAATCACCTACATGAAGAAATAAATATTAATAAATAGATTAGATTTCTTTAGATTTCTTTACCGATTGTATCTGTTTCACTTTGTAATTGTAAAATAAGATGTTCAAGTTGTTGAGTTCGATCTTGTAGATCAGCATTATCACGCATAGCTCGATTGAAACGTTGCTAAAATATTTCAATCATAAAACGAATCAATCAAAAGCAAAATCAATTGGTTTTACAATAATTTTGTCAACCAATCCATTTGGAAGTTGATGAGTATCATCAACACCTGCAGTAAGCGATGACAATGAACTCGAATCATTTAATTGTGACGGATCTACTGGTTTAGATTCTGATTGTTGTTCTAATTGTGCAAGACGTTCTCGTAGCGATTTATTTTCTTCTAATAATTCATTGAGTCGCTAAATAAATAAACAAAAATGCTATAAATCCTAAATAGAAAAACTCTAATTCATGAATCAAATTTCTCAATAAATCACGTTTTTAAAATTAAAAACTCTTAGAAGAATCGAGATGAAACAATGCTCTAGCAAATTTTTAATTAAATAATTAACAGGTTTAGCAATTGCTGATTACTTAAAAATCTATACAAAACTTTTGAAGGTTCGTTTTATCACAGATTTTGAATAACGTAGAATCTAAAGGCGCCCAGATAAAGATCCTTCTTTATCACTGTACCGGTTTGTTTAGATTATTTGAAAAAGAGAAGAAGAAAAAAATCCTTTTCTTAAGCTTTATATTGAAGTCTTAGATTCAATCCTTATGTTTTTACAATTAGTCAAATCACGAAAGACAAAATATATGCGAATCCTGTAAGTAGAATAGGTTTAGAATACATGAATTTGCTATACTGATATAGCTAGATAAATGATAAAAGCATTAAATTCACATTTCATAAATATATAAGTACAATCACTGTCATTAAATCTAAAAGTCGACTACTGTGTTAGAAACGTGTTTTTTGACAAGGGCTTATATAGAAGCGCCTTGCCACTTTTAATCTTAAATGATATTTAAGACTGTTTGCATAAAATTAACTTCTTTCTTACTGACTGACGAAATGGTTTCTATCTAGTTTTTTAGTAGCTCGCTAAAACTTTTGTTTAATTTAACATGCAAAAACACCTACCTGAGTGGTATTTTCTGATTGTTCTTCACTATTATTGGATATTATTTGAGGTTTTTCTTGATTTGGAATCTTAAAAACAAATTCTAAATAATAAATCCTTTATAAAAAAATCATCCACATACATGATGTGCCTTTGTTTGAACTTCTTGAAATTGAAGTTCATTTTGTGCAAGACGCTCATTTAATTGTTTATTTAAATATTCTTGAGCTTGAATTTGATTTGTTAAATTCATGTTGTCATTTGACTACATAGGAAAAAAGAACTTATCGCGATTAATTTTTCTTTTTTAAATTTTAGTACCATTTTAATAAAACTATCTTGAAGTTCAGTTAATTGATCTTTCAGTTGTTTATTTTGTGTGATAGCACGTGATATTGTTGTTTTATCGTCATGTATTGTTTGTAATAATTTTTCATGATCCATACTATTTTCATCTAATGAAGTTTTGTTTTAATAAAAATATCAATCTGCAATTAATGGCAAACTATAACTTACGAACTTTCCCACTGCTTTCCTCTAATTCAGCAATACGTGCATCTTTTTCAATTAATTTTCTAGAATCAAACAAAATAATATAAGTTTAATTGTATGCAAAAAACATAAGCTAATACTTTGCTACGTGTTCATTTTCTAACTGTATTTCAGCGTATTGTCTAGACCATTGATCAATAGCACTTCTAAATAATTCATTTTCTTGTCGAAGAGAATCGCGTTCTAAAATTAAATCATCATTAACATTGCGATGGTTTACTGTTTGATCATTATGTATTTGAGTTAATTTCATTTCTAGATAAAATACATAGGATTCGTTTTAAGATTTTTTAAAACGAAGAAATATTCAAACCATAAGCTTGTTTTATCGCATCTTTTTCATTTTCTAACAGATTATTTGTTTGAACTAATTGATTTATCTGAATTCAAGACTAAATTTAAAATATATTTAAAACGATTATGGAATCTTACTTGATCATTAAGTTCTTGTATGTGACGTTGCACATTAGCATTATATTGTTGATATTGTAAATGCATTTGATCATAATCGAAACGCATTTGGTTGATGGATGAGAGAAGCTTTAAATAGGGATTTAAAAAATGAATTCATATCATCCGTGCCCTTGGTGGACGAAGTATTACATGAATTTAATAGTTAACGCTTTTTTTTCTATATTATGCCATACAAAATATTTCACAGCCGGAGATTATCAAATAAATGGAGACTAACCAGAATATCCAATAATCTCATCGTCTAGGGAACACTTTTACGATTAGTAACTATACTGACATTAAACTATGTTACATGACAATGTCACGAAGCGTGACCGTTATCTCGACAAAAATCTGCCGACGATCACCTAGTCAAAAAAACATTCTACTGATAGTTGATGACTGTCACATTCCATATGATTTATTATGTGTAAATTTAGATTCAGTTTTTTGTTTTTTTCACTTCATACTTACAGACAATGGTTACTGGCAGATTTTTTTTCTGTTGCTTCATTACTCATTTTAAAAGTCAATCCATTATCTGTTTATAAAAATTTGTTATAATTAAATTAGATGCACTTAAAATAAAAACATACAAAAACTCTTAAATTGGTGGTTATAAATTCAGGTAATGTATTTAGATTTTTATTTGCCAATTTTTCGAGAGTATCATCTTTTTCTTTAGTGTTTCAAAGTATTTCATTACAATTTATGATTAGTTAAATTATCAACTAGACGAAAACCTTAATTAGAAAACTCAATTTATGTCTGTTTGCTACCATCATCAATAACCATTTATGGAAATTCTTAATACTGTAAACAATAAAATTTTTATAGCTCATAGTGATGATTTCTACAATTGGCTAATTGTTTGCAGAATGAAAATTCGGTAAGACTAATTCTTAAATGTGAAAAAGTATGAATCAAGTTACTACTAGCTGCATATTATTCATATTCAACATTTTGATAATAAATGCGCATTTCTAGTTTGGAAATATCTGAATATTGATAGTTTTGAATATGATTTATTTGTTCATTATTGTAAATAAAATTGTGAGTATCATCAATCAGTTAGTTTCCTATATGGTTGATTGTTTAGGTTAAAAAATATCCAAAATAATCTATTTTATCCAAATATGAAATCGACCAACCTAATCTAACAAAAATCAAGCTGTTATATTTTTATAATTCAATCTTGACAAATGAAAGACTCGACCAAAATAAGGAATACTTTTTTCTTGTTCAAGACGGGCAATGTACTATTCTGATGAAAATAATTCATTTATTTAATAGGCTATTCAAGTAAAATCAAATATAGTGAGATTTTTCTGTTATATATTTATAGTGATTTAAAATCAATAACTTCGTGTCTCTTTGCCAAATGACCAGCACTCGACGGCTTTTTTTCTAGGCAGAAACGATCAATTGAAAAATTCGAGATTCTTACATATCACTAGTAAATTATTCGAAGAATAATTGCTTCGAAAATAGTTTTCTTATTCGAGAAAGTACTAAAAGAACATTTAGATTAATTATCTCTTACCGCTTCTGTTTCGTTTGTTTTTAATGATACTGTTCTTTGTAATTCTTCAATATGCTGTTCAAATTTATTGACTACTGATGTATCATTGATCGACTAATTCAACAGAAGAGAATGACCTTATTTAGAAATAAATAATTATGTCTGCGCACCTGAAATTGTTGCAAACGAATTTCTGATTGTTCTACTTTTTGTTTTAATTTAATGATTTCATTATTTAACTGTTCAATAATATTCTGTCGATTATTGAATTTTCCATCGAGTTCATTTAAATTTTGTTGGAGATCTTCGATTATTTGACTATCACAAACTTTTATTTTCAAATAAAATAATATCTATTAGAATATGTTACCTTTGACGAGTATTTTCTGTTTTAAGTTGATTAATTTCTTTATCCGATTCTTTAACTGTCTGAATAGAGCAAATCGAAAAAGAAAATAATAAATAAATGGATACACAATTAAATCAAACCATTTCTCGTTTGAGTGCGTCGGATGTTGAATTTTGGGTATGTTTTTCCAGTTCTTCAACACGTTCACGAGATCCTTTTAAACGTCCGTGAATTTCATCCATTTCACTTTGTTTGCGTTCAAGTTGTTTTATTGATTGACTTAATCTAGCTGATAAATCAGTTTTTTCTGCTACAAGAATACCTATTGTTTGAACATGAATCTAAAGAATCATAAAGAATAAAAAAATTGAATTTGAAATTACAATATCTAGTAATTTTTACTTCAAGCTGTTCTTGTAAGTGTTCGAGATCACGACGATATTTATGCTCAATTTGTCGAGAAAACTCAACATCAGGTTGAGTTAAACTTGAACGACCGGACTAAAGTAAAATAGAAATTTAAAATATGATTCATGTTGTGGAACTTTTTTCTTTAATAAATAATCACCACACTACTACTACCACCAATCTGTCGTTGATCTTCGAGACGGGCTCGTTGTTGTTTTTGATTTTCAATCAAAAGAGCATATTGGCGATTTTGTTCCTTAAGTATTTAGATTAGTAATTTCATGCGTAAAGTGAAGCGTTTAAAAGTTTTCTACTCTCTATTTTTGCCAAATATAACTTACTTCTAGCTCAAGAACAGGAGATTTTGATAAATTTACATGAATTCCATTGAGTAAGGCTTGTTGTTCAGTAAAAAATGTAGTTACATCATGTGGATTCGTACGGGATCTAAATGTAACGTTTTTTTTTAGGGAAAGAGGAGATGAAAAATAACATACATAGTGTGGTTATTGGTGTCATATTCTCTGGATATCTAGAGAGAGAGAGAGAAAACGAATGCATAAGAACTATATTGGAAAAGACATATTACTCCATGTGTAGAATCAGCAGTGGCGTGATTTGTTTCGGAAATGAAGGTCAACTGACCATTGCCATTCTGTTGCTGTTGTTGCTGTTGATCACGAAATTTTTTTAACTAATATATTCAATTTATTAATGTTTAAAACAACAAATGAATTTAAATACTTTTCGACGAGCATTCGCCAAATTTTCTATTTTGTCATTATCGATCATAGTTGTTGTCGCTCAATATCCGAGAGACCGTGATCATTCACTAAGGTAACATGAAGAAACAAATTGGAATTATTGTGTAAATCACCCTCAAATGAAGCTTGGAACTGTCGTATCTAATAGAACAAAAAGGTAAAGTAGCTGACGCGTAGAGATTTGTGTATCAATCAAATCAATTGGTAGATGTGGTACTTACTGGACTATAACAACATACGTATTACACACACGCGGAAGAATCCACATCTTGAAGACAATAGATGTCTCTATTCACCAAAAAATTTTCTGATGGAATTTTTATTGACTTTAGGAGAAATAGAATTCTATTATCGGTTTTAAGGGAAATCAAGGTTTTACTATGAACATAAAAAATAGGCAATGCAGTTTTTGATGTTAGACTCTTAAAATTATCGACTGGTGCTGTTTTAACAATCCGATATAAATATGAATTTGAAAAATCAGTTTTTCTCTATGCATTTAAAAAATTATATTTGATTTATTGGTGAATTAATTTCACAAACTCAATCAAAAATAAATATTTTTCCAATATTTATTTTTAAAGGGCATAACTAATTCAGGTGTAACAGCATTGCCAACCGTCAGACAATATATTCACGGTATTTTAATTCTGAATATAGTTAGACTGCAGAATATTTTTCTACAAGAAATATTTGCAATAAAAATAGAATTTTTTATTGACACAGAAACTCTCATTTCAGATCAAAAGTTCTACTTATTCTTATTCATATGGAATAAGAAACAATTATGCTGAATATCCATATATTTTTCTGGTTTTTCAAAAGCACACTTGTAATAGTTATATTTAAAATATGCAAATATTGACGTAGGCAAAAAGTAATAGAATGATTAAATTTCACTATTCCACTATGTTAGTCAAAACATTGATCGACTAAATTTAACCGATCAATAACAAGACAATGTATGTTAACAAGTAATTTTCAGTACAAGTTGACATTTTCCAAAAGAAATAACTCGTACATTAGACGAACTATCGTAAAACATTATTCTCCAGAAATAAGTCAAGAAATAGTAGAAAGAAAATATTGCTACAGCCTTGCGGCTAATTTAAACAGTAAATTCAAATGAATGCAGAAACGTTTTGACTATGAACAGTTGATATAGATGCCTACTTCAATAGTAGTGACGTGATTTATGATAGTATACCGAAGTCAAAGTTAAATCTTCATTTTTATCATACAACATGATCTATACATGAGAAGGTTTTATTTCGTCGACATTCAATTCAACCATGCTTTGAGCGAAATATTCATAATGTCATAACTACATCGTAAAATTTCTGATAATTATAGTACAGAGAGCACAATCGGCATAGAACGAGAGGAAAATTCTGTTTTTACAGAAACTTACTTTTTTAAAAATTTGTCTCATAAATGATCTTGTGTATACATTTTATAGGAAGGTGGCTGTCTATTTTAGAAAGCAAAGAATCATTCGCCATCGACTAAGAATAATTGCATACTCGATCTGTTTATCAACAATTATTGTGTAGTTACTGCTGAAAATCGAGAGAACAAAACAACAAGTTATGTGATTCAACAATGTACTTTCTACTGACTCATATAGTTACATTTAGAAAACCTAATAGCCCAATATCGTTTATGTGAAAATGCTTTACAGATACAATAATAAAAGCTGACTGACGCTCGTATTACTTCTTTGTTCGGCTTAGTATATAGTTACATACGCTATTATTTATTCTTATTTGTTGAAAGAATTCAATAATTATAAACAGTTGAGTAGATACGAAGAGTATATGCATTATTATCTAGTAAAGATATTTTGAAAATTCAAGAACAAGCGCGAGTTGTGAGGATAATTGTGCTTTTCAATGAAACCTGTTGTGCTCAATTGGTATTCGTGTCAGCCAACTATCATTAAAATGTTCTGGGCTAAATTTTATTGAAAAATTTATTTCTCTTGTTACCAATGATAAAATTCCTCAAAGAGTCAACATGCGAATCAACACTTTCCTTAGAATATATCCAAAGAAAATATGATATTTCAAAGTGAAGAATTTTTTTTTTGATGTTGTATATCGATCCTTTACAATTGAGAAACAAAATGATCTATTATACAGTGTCGATAAATTAGTTTCACGTGAAGATGGCGCCATCGCACAATAAATGTATCTATCAAAATATTCTTCGCTTATAATTGTATTTGTAATTATATATCAATAATTGTTAAATATTTCTATTTCATAGTCCTCAAAAATTTACATCACTATTTTATTCAATAGAGACCAACGTATGTTCTCAATGTTTCTCGTTATGTTATTGACGATTGATCGGTTATTCTTCTTCTTCGCCTAGCCTTTTTGTTTTGTTTATTTGTCGTTCTGTCAGCGGTCAAAACGTGCATATTGACCGTATTGTTTTCTTTAGACAATAAAGTAGAAGAATGTCATCAAATAGCGCATCTCCTCTTGCAACTGAATCAAATGGTTCAACATCGTCAGGTATTTCATTAACTGCCTGTGATGATCGAACATGTCCAGCTGCTAAATGTGCATTATGTCTTCATTGTTCACAGCAATATTGCTTTGTTCACTTTCTTAAACACAATGAACAGTTATCATTAAATGCTTATAATTTTACTCTAGCCATTGATCAACTTGGTAAATTTGAATTCATTTCTAACTAGTATAGCTTATTTTGTTTATTTTTTTCTTACGAGTAGAAGATCAAATAAAAAATTTGAAATTAGATGAATCACTTCGCCGAACAATACATTCCCTTGATCAATGGCGTAAGAATTTGATTAGAACCATTGAATATGTGTATCAAGAAAAACTTTCATCAATAAAATCAAATTATATTCAATTAAGTAATGATTTACAACAATTCCAATTTGAACAATCATCACATATACAAACATTGAGAATTGATCTTGAACAAATGAAATTTATTCGTAGTACCTATGGTATGTTGTTATTACCTACGTATTCGACTAAAAAGTATTGAGCAATCTTTGGTAAACCTTTTCTTTTCAGATGAAGAAATGGAAAAAATTCAACTAACAATAAAACAATTACAAAAAAATGTCTCCACACTTGAATATGATTTACATTTGAAAGAACGTCAGACACCAAATATCTATGATTCAATTGAATGTGAAATGATATGGAAACGGCATAGAATAGATAATATTCAAGCATCAATTATTACCAATGCAGATGAAGATACGAATACCGGTACAAATCATGATGATGAAAATGCTTCCGATTATTTAACAGCTGGTACACCGCCATCATCAACATCAAGTCCAACATATGAACATTGTTTACTTTCATTTCTTGTCGGAAATGATTCATCAACAAATAAAGATAATAAAATAGCTACATCAGATATGAAAAAAAATGTGTCAAATAAAAAGAATTCATTGATTGAAAATACACAAACAAATAGTGCAATAACAACCATATTCCACAATAGTAATAAAAAAAGAAGAATCTGTATGAGCTGTGGAAAATGCTAGTAAGTTATCCAGCCTTCATTTTAAAGCTGGGTATAAATAATCATATCTTCTGTTTTAATAATAAATATGATGGAATACATAGTTTTAGAAAGAGACTTTTTCAAAATGCGCAATTCGTTCAATTTTACTCGAGAAAATTTTTGAACATAGAAAAAAAATACTAACGAGTCATGCCCATGTATTACTAGATTAGTTTGATCATGAATGTTTTATTCTTTCTACAGAGGAGATGGGAATGCAACTTTTCGAAATTCAATGTGACACTGTATAAATATGAGTCATAACTAATATACTTTTTTTTCTTGAAAACCTGAATAGTACGTTTTTGAAGTCACTTTTATGCTGGTAGATTCTACGTTCTTATTTCTAGAATAGAAGTAGATCAGAAGACTAGAGACACTAAAAGTAAATTTCTTTCGTTAAAATTCGTTTCAGTACAAATTTTTATGAGAAAAGGTAAAAACTAGTTTTCTTCATGACTTTGAAGGAGGACCAGTCAGTCTCAGATTTAAAAGTGTTCGACTAGCAAGAATTTATCAGATAGAGTAGTTTCTTTTTCTTCGATTTTATATGGAGAAGTTTTGACGAGGCTCATTTCACATCATAAAAATAAATTCCACTATAATGATCCTAATACTGATCGTATTCAAGGAAGTACACTTCACGTGATGGCAAGAGTATTGAGCGAAAATCAACTGATTGTGGAGTTGCTTTAACGAAAATAAAACAAAATGTTGATTTTATAAAAAAAAATCGAGAGTGTGACCTTACGATATTTTTAATTAGATTTTCTCCATTGAAATATAGTTAACAATATTAAAATTTACTTTATAGCCATCCAAGTAGTTTACAGCGTCATTATCGTCAATGTAAACGTCAATCTGCCCTCCAACAATTAAATCCATCAAGTTCATGTTCCAGATTAGTCGAAGAAACAAAATTAAAAACAGTAACTAACATGACCAATCAACAACAGAATCAAATTGATTCATAGTATCAAATAACTGATCTCAAAATTGAATATCTAATTTAGTCAAAACGCAAAACTTTCTATTCTTTTATCAAAATTTTTTCCGTCGATGATATTTTAAACAAAAACTGAGCTAACAAGTAGCAACAACAAATCAAATTTCTTTTTTCTAGTTGCTGTTCTCGATATATTTGTGTGTACATATTTTTTGTTAGTATAGCATCGAACAAAAAAATCATATTGTTGTTGTTGTTGTTATTGATGATGATGATTTTTATAAAACTGTTGCGCTCTATGTGTTGTTTTTGATTTGTTCTCGTTTTTAAGTCTAACATCTTTTTTTTTCTTCAGGGCAGAAAAATTGTATGTTGATGAACATAAAATCTTCATTTTTATTTTAGAATTAAATAGATATCAGCATGGACGAATTATCCCAGTGAATTGAAAAGTTACAACTATGGCTTCGTGCATGTATCGTGTTGGGGGTAAGATTTATAGATTTCATAAAGTGCTATGTTCTAATTTCTATTTATGGTTTATTTAGATTATGTCTATTTTGAAGGCACTCCAAGTGAACCTTATTTAATTCGACGCATTGAAGAATTGAATAAGGTCTGTTTATCACCAAAACATGTTCAGAAGCGGACGTGTCATCTTTTTTTTTAGTAATCTAATTAGCTCGATGCATTTTTATTGTCTCATTACGATGTTCGTTCAGAGTCAAATAACATTGCTGCTTTACCAGAATAGAAAGGAAAACGAGTGGGTCCCTCGTTAATTTCTTTCTTCCGAATTCGTGTCTCTCTTAATATATTCACTGGCAATGCCATTCTTATTACCGAATCTTCATCAGAAAGTGTACAGACAATTGCTCGAGTTTTTACTACTGAGACATCATTTTTATATTCTTAAGTTTGTAATGAACAGGAAATCAAGGTGCAATTGTATGTTGAAAAATAGATGGGAATTAGGGACTATTGTGAATTCTATGCGCGGTATTCATTATGACAAAAATTTAGTAATGAGAAATATTTTTAGAAGTTGGTTAATAATCAATCTTCTTTTTCTATCTTTGTACTTTCTTGTATCTACACATGAATAAGATGGCAACCAAACAAACATTCATCATTGTGGGAAGAGAATTTTTTTTCGATTCTTTTACATTATCGATCGTCATTCTAAAACACTAGAGTTTGAGAAAAGTTACAGTCATCTTTTTGTTATTATTTCATTAGCCTACATTGTATTAGTGTCTATAAAAACTATTTGCTATTGTTTTATGAGCTGATAAAAAAGGATTGCCCGAGTAAATCGATATAATGTGATTTTCTTTAGACGCCTAATGGCAACGTTGAAGCTCGTGTTGCGTGCTTCTATCGTCGTCGTGACATATCAGCTTATCTAGTTAATCAAGTTGATCGCCTTAAAATCGATGGTAAATTTATTAAACATAGAAAGAAAACAAGTTTCTAGACAAAAAAATTTTTGTAATTAAGGTCCATGGGATGATGATGATGAGATATCAACCGATACAAATGGTAGCACAATTAATCCATCTGGTTCAACGGGAAGTAATTCGTCATCACAACCAACTGAATTGAGTGACACACAAAAACATCAATTGCGCCATCGAGAATTATTTTTAACTCGTCAGATTGAAACATTATTAGCAACTAATATTCGTGGAAAATGTCTAGTTACACTTCATAATGAAACAGAATCATTTTTATCTTATCTTAACACTGAGGTTTGTTTAGAAATAAATTTCATTGAAATATATAAAAGAAAATCAATAAAAATAATTTACATCTATGATAGGATCTTTTTTTTTATCAACTTGTTTATGATCCAAATCAAAAAACGTTAAATGCTGATCGTGGTGAAATTCGTGTCGGTGGTAAATATCAAGCCGATGTGCCAGCACAACCTTTGCATACCGATGGAATTGACGAAGGTATGAAATATAAATTTAATATTTTTGAAATCTTAATTATTTCGATTTATATTTAATGCAGCAAATATTCAATCGCGAGAAGATCTAATTTGGAATGCAAATGGTGGCTTAACCGAAAAACAGATTGAACAATTTTTAATTGTCGCTCGGTAATTATTTAGGTTATAGAAAAATTGAAATATGTAATTTAAAATTTTTACATAGATCAATTGGTACATTTGCACGTGCACTTGATTGTCCAACAGCATTAAAACATCCAAGTCTTCATATGAGTGCTGCGTCAGCTTCACGTGATGCTACTCTAGTAAATCTAAAAAGTCATGTTTATTTTATTTGTTGAATTAATTTTTCTATTTTCAGTTTTTCGCTATGGATACATTACATAAACATCATTATGATTTAGCATTGGCTACATGCAGTTTAGTACCCAATACAGGTCCAATACTTGTTAAAGATCAAATGGAAGATTGGTCAGCTGCCGAAGCAAATTCATTTGAAGATGCTATTGAAAAATGTGGAAAAGATTTCATTGAAATACAAAAAGAATATGTAAATACATGAAATAATTCTTATTTAATTTAAATACATTTTGATGTTTTCTAATTGTTAGTTGCCATGGAAAAGTTTGAAAGGTATTATAGAATATTATTATATGTGGAAAACAACAGATCGCTATGTTGTACAACGGCGATTAAAATTAGCTGAACAAGAAAATAAACTTAAACAAGTTTTTATTCCAAATTAGTACGTATACATGAAATAATATCATGTCAAATTATATGTTCGTTTTTTGTTTTAGTAATAAAGCTCATCAGTGCCTTCTTGCACAGCGACCACAAAGTGAAAGTAAACCATGTGAATCGTGTGGAAGTATGAGAATTTTTCAAATAAAAATGTTTGTAGTAAAAATATTTTCTATTTTAGCTGCTTCATCCGCTCAGTGGTATCAATGGAATACAGCTCAACCACATACGCGACTTTGTGCCGAATGTTGGGGTTATTATAAAAAATTAGGTGGCACAAAATATCCGAAAAAAAGTGGTAAGATTTGGCATGATCGTTTCTTGTTTAACATTTCTATTATGATATTAATATTCAATTTTAGGTCCTGATCGACGACAGGGTAAGTTACATTTGAAGAACAAACAATAAATGTGCATGACATTTCTATTTTTTTCAATTTCTAGAACGAGCAGCAAACATTAATAAATTAGTCAGCTACAAATGTACTGTTAATGGGTGTGGAAAGGTATGCTATTCATAGTTTTGTTAATCGATGTCATGACAAATAGATGACATTTTCTGTGTAGCAAATATATTATCACTAAATAATCGATAAAAGATTACCATCTGATTGTGTTGTGTGGTGATTGGCAGATTGATTCTCTTAGCAAAGTTTAAAACGATCGAAATACTTTTAAGATCGATTCTAGTTGGTTAACCTTGATCTACTAATAGTTGTTTCAACTTAATAGAGACTTAATTATTTTTACGATAATAAATTAAAAAGAACTAGATGAAGATCTATATTTACAAGCGTTTAAACAAGAAAATAAAACTGTATCTAATCTAGATTCAAATTTTTCTGACAATCATTTTCAGGCTTACCGACCAAGTTTCTAAATTAGAAAAAAAAAAGTATTACGTACTATAAACGTTTTAGAATTTCGATACACAGTACTACGCTTTACGTGGTTAACTAAACTTTAGTAATCTATGTTAGTTCAGCGGTGAAATCTTTAGTCAATCGTATGTTGTTAGTATTTTATTTTGTGTCTTTCAGCAGATTTTTAACGAAATATCCATTTTTTAAACTTATCTAAAAACACTGGTTGGAGAGTATTTGGTGAATTTTTCTAATTTGAGATGGAGATTCGTATTGATCTCAAATCAATTGTTCATATTTGAGCGTTTCTCATTCAAATGGAAAAAACATCGAATCCGATGTATCAGATCTCAAGCGTACCTGCTTGTCTCGATAGTCTCTTCTTAGTAAATGCTTCATACGAACAGATGATAGGTACCCTTAATATTCTTTTGTAATATTCGAAATTTTATGCTCTCTGTTTCAACGAAATGCAAAATGAAAAGAATTTATTTCAGGAATGTAAAAACAAATCTGCTCTTCAACGTCATTACGCTCTTGGACATGGAATTATGTTTCGATCGGGTAGTCCACGTCCATTATCAAAACCACGTAATACATTTTCATTACTCACTACCCCATTATCACGTGCTGTACGTCCACTGTGTTCAATGCGACGTCTTGCACGTCGTTCAAGCTATAGTATTGATATAAGTGACATACGTAACAAATGGGAAACACATATTAATGAAAAACCGCGCGATGATATTCGCAATACATGTGCACGTCTTCGAGATTTGTATGAAAAAGGCAAAGAACGTTACAAAACTGTGCATTTAAATGACATATTTCCATTTAAAACTGAAAATGATGATGTCAAAACATTTGATGATTTTATACCGAAATTCGAAGAAAAAGTATTCAATGAAAATGAAACCAATATACCAATGCGTTATCCGAAATTGCAAGAAGATTCAAGCGAATTTTATGCACAATTTACTCACACTAATTTGAGTATTATGAAAAAACGACCTTATGAATCTAATGAAAGTTCAAATGAAGGTAATTAAAATCTATATCTCAAGAAAAACAATATAAAATTAAAAAATCTATATTTTTCTTAGGTCCATCACCAAAACGTACTTTAATCAGTCGACAAAATTTAATCAAAACAAAATCTCCGGTATATATATATTTCTGTATTTTAAGAGGATATTCGAGAAAATAATTGTAATCAGAATTTTTTCGGCTATATTCTTTCAGCTCTAATCAGGAATTTATCTAATAGTCAGAAAATAAGAAAAAGAAACTATAAACAACCAACAGATAATCGGTAGTTTGTCTTGTTTTCTCTCTTTCTGTCTCTCTAGACGTCCAATTAATGTATAGAATCAATATGGGCATATAGATCGTTCTTTTTTTCTGGAAGTAATTATAAATAGCTAGTTCTTTCAGTTAGGATACCGAATAGAACAGAAAATTATTATCTATAGCGTAATCTTTTATAATGACAGAAGCCTATCTGTCACTAAATCCGTATTCAATAATGGTTATAATTTCATTTTATCCTATTTATTTTTAGAGTACTGTTAAATTATCTCGATCACGTGCTTACACTGTACCATTTGTGGATCGTAAGTTACATCATTTATTTGTTCGATATTTGTTCTTATTGACGTATATTCTTATATTTTTTATAAGCTCCCGATGGAATCTATTTACGTGTAACAAAAGATATCAAGTAAGATCTATTATTTTACTTCGTTGAATGTCTTACTTATTTTATTTTGCTGTAATTTAAGGCGTTTACGCAAGGAAATTCCTCAGAAAGAAATTCGTCGCATTGCACGTGCACCATGGAAAAAGCTTAATACCAATTTTGTCTCGTACATAGACGATGATATAGTTATACTTGATTAAATAAATGTGCGTATCTTTTGTATATAATCATATTCAATTTTTTCCTCTTTCGAATTCGATTGTTCAATTAAAATCAAGGAAAGAAAAATTTTGTTTTAAAAAAATATATCATGGAACAATCTTTTCATAAAGAAAAAAAGCAAAGAAATTTTTGTTGTAGTTGTTATGACTGACTTTTGTGCGTGTGCTTGTGTGTCTGCCTGTCTCTCTCTCTCTCTTGTTCTCGTTCTCGTTCGTTCTTTTTTCTTTTCATTGATATCAGACGTAAAGTGTGTACGTGAAGATAAACTGTAAGTTCAACCATTTTTTTCTTCTATCTATTTCTTCTGTTACTATTCATTTAAAAAATGTTGTGCTCTTCTTTCCTTTTTTGTCTAAAAGATCTTTCGGAAATAAAAAAATCTAATCTATTTCTTTGTTCTTTTTCTCTTCGAAGTTGCGATTCGGTGTATGTGATAATTGGTTGAGTGCACATTAAAGTTACATCAATTGAGAAATAGTGAGTAATATTATCCGTTTTTTATTATCCATTAGTAGAACCTATCTAGAAGAATAGAAGAAAAAAGAGCAAATCAATACGAATGAAGTGACATGTTAGATGAATGTTTTACGTTTTTTTTTATTGATATGAGCCGTAACTGAGCATTAGTCTTCTAAATCATCACAAAGAAGTGTTTGTGAAATATATACATATGTCAGTTTTTTATTATTTGAGAAGACAAAAGCACTTCATTGAGATAAAAAAAAGAGCGAGATGGTCGATTTATGATTTTGTTGAGATCGAACGCACTTAGCATATTGGCTGTAATTTTACATCGTCATGTGCGTGCTATAATGATGTCGGACACAAGCATCAATGTACATATCAACCGATTAGAAGCGATCGTGTGTAGGAGAGAGAGAGAGATTATGATCACACTCGATCTTTACTTTTCTTTCTAGATGATCCTTTGTTCTCTCTGTCTTCGTCTAGTGATAAAACACTAATTTTTATAAATGTCTCAGAACACTGGTCAGTATCCATTAGCTACTTCTTCTTTATCATCGCCAAGTAATAACAATAAACGAACTTTATCACATCAACACTTTCTTTTAACCTCATCAGACTTCAATACACCTTCATCGATTTTGAACACCAGTGAAAATGATTCGCCGTCGTTACAAACTCGTACGGTAAGATATACGAGACCGAAGAATCGAAGAGAAAAAAAGAAATTTTTTTTGCATAACTGCTCGTTTTTTCTTCACCTTTTCAACAATTAAAGATTATATGAAAGAACGAATGAAACAAAGCGAACAGTGTAGTTTGCTTTGCCTTTCTTTTCTTATTTCATTTTTTGTTTTTATTAGTCACCTATTGTCAATGATGTTTGTGCGAGTGGCTATAATGGGGTCCGAAACCCATCGATAACGACGAAAATTAAGGATGGTAGCTCTCCTAATGGTGTATGTAAACGTGTATCAAATTTTAAGAAGAAGAAAAAAAAAGGTCATTCTCTTTTCTTTTAGAATCATTTTAACGATAAATATGCATTCAGTCTAGGTAAGAGACAGAATAGAGGTCTTTCTTCATATCAATTATGCTATCATTTATTTATTTCAGAATTGACACCACCGGTGGCTAAAGCTAAAAAAGATTATAGTCGCAAATCAAAATCAGTAAGATTCGAATGAAATTTTAAAAAAAAACTTTTTTAATTATATTTTTGACGAGCTTTCTTTTTCTTGCTTTTTGTAGCAACTCTATCCATTTGAAATGGCAGAAAATAATGAAGAAGACCTTCATTCGCCGTTCGAACTAGGTAATAATTCAAATGCAAGATTTTTTATGAGAAAAAATAAAATTTCTACTATGCGACACCCTAGATGTTCCACTATGTGAGAATCAATCATTGAAAAAAATTCAAAATGATTTTCTTATTGATCGAATGCTAAAAGATGATAGTAATTGTAATTATACTTTACTAAACCGATCATTAAATCAACCATCTTATACAAATATTCTCAATTATACATCACCTCTTCTAACGCCTTCATCTGATCATCATGATATCGATGCTTTAAGTGATGCAGGTACATATATAATTGAAGATGATATCGATATTGCTCATGATGATGAACCTGAGCAAGATATTGAACAACAAACTGATATACAAGAAAACAATTCACCACCATCAATATCAACATCATCGTCATTTAAACGATATGCAGCAACAAAAAGAAACCGACATGGAACATTCGATATTCAAGGCGTATTATCAAAAACACCGCAATCTGTTAATCGTCCTATAGTTGATCTACACGTCCCGACGCATGATTTATCATCCTCATCTTCGTCAGGAACAACTGATTCATCGTCTTCGTCGTCTCTTCTTTCATTACCAACAGAAAACGATACTAGTATATGTAAAGAACCTGAAGGTGCATCGCATCATATTATTGATGATAAGTCTTCGACAGGTTTAGTTTATGCAAGACAACGACCAAATACTCTTTTACCACAACAACAACGCTCTGTAACCCCACCACAGAATCCAATAAAACCTGCCGAGTGCTTTGGTAAAAAACAAAACTTTAGAAGGACAATGATGTTTAGCTCATATTTTCATTTAATTTTTTTTTATCTTAGTTATTTCACCAACATTTGAAACAAAACCTTTTCCGAGTACAACAAGTAATCCTCCCAGACGAAAAGTTGAAACTCAATGGAAGTAAGTTTGAAAATATTCATAGTCGCATTATTATTAACTTATTTCAACGTCAGGCCAAAATCAGTAACATCGGTTGTGCCAACTAAAGATATACATTTCGAAATTCCATCAAAAAATTCTTCACCATCACCTCCAGTTTCAGCACGTTCGAATCAAAGTGATACAGAAAAATTTTCATTTCGTCTTCAACAACAACCTACACGTCAGCATGATTCTAAACAACAATCATCATCATCGAACATGAAATCTTCACTTCAAAATACTGATTTTATGCCATCTTCATCTAAATCATCACTTCGGCCACATTCAATAATTAGTGATCAAACATCTTCATCACCATTTCAACGTAATTCGTCGATACGTCAAACAATGCCAGCAAATACACAATATCATCGAGCATTATCAACAGCAGCAGCCGCAGCGGCAGCAGCAACAGCAGTAATGACAACAGCACCTAAATATATAGATGATAACGATGAAATTTTATCGTCACATCCAAGTTTAACAAAAGTTTATATGAATAAATCATTCGCATTACGTCGGCAACGTTCCAATGTAACACCATCAACAACGAAGCCCGTACAACAACAGGTAGTGTCAAAGGCATTAACAACACGTCAAACAATAAAACCAACCACATCTGTTCCATCAACAACTGTAACATCAACATCATTATCGATAAATAATTCAAGTGGACAAACGAATCGTGCTGTTGAATTACGTCGTGCACGTGCACAAGCAAAAATTGAAGAATTAGCACAACGCACAAGACATCAATTACAAAAAACTGAACAACATAATGATGTTATGAGTGCATCATGGCACAGTAATGCAAGTAGTTCAAGTAAAAAAGAATTCTCTCATTTACGAGCGAATCCTCGATCAGCTAATAATAATAATAATATTCCACAACAAAGACAAGATTTATTACAAACAAGAACCATATCATCATCATCGTCATCACATCATCGTTCATCATCAGCAAGTCCAAATCCACTCGGAGATGGAACAAAAAAAACAGCGAAATATCGAAAAGCAATGGTATCTAGTGTTACTACAGAATCTCAATATCAGAAAATGAATGGAAGTACTTACAGTGAAGGAGTAAGCGAAATGTTATTATTAAAAAAAAATGATTATTTAATCCTTCTAGGAACGGTGTGATTCGTTACGTGATGATGGTCAAAGGTTGGCAATCAAATTAATACAACTTTCATCAGGAATATTAGCAAAATTGAAGTAAATAATATATCTCAGTTATTTAACTTTTTTTTATATCGATTAATTTTTAGACCGAATAGTGCTGTAGGTGATAGTGATTCGAACGTGCGGCAATTAGAACAACTTGTTGATCAATTACAAACGGTTAATCGAACATTGACTAGTACGTATTTTGATTCTTTTATAGTTTAAATGTTTTCTCAGATATAATGCAATGAGTGTGAGAAAATGGGAATTAGACATTTTCGAACCGAAGCGGTTGGATTCGGTCTTGACTAAAGAAGTTTTCAAGTTTTACTATGTTAGACTTACACATTATGTATTAACTTCTCCAAAATCCAAAGATTTGGATGCAAATTCAACAAAATTCAGTAATATTAGAACACAAACTTCACTTTCTCTTATGGTACTTTCATGATCGATTATATACCGCAAGAAGTGCTGCGGCAAATCTTTGACGTTGTCTAAATTATTTGGATAGCTTTCAAAGCTGGAATCTTAGCTTGAGATCGAAGTATAGTTAATCATAATAAAATGCTTCATTGTAAGAAATGATTGGGAAATATTTAACGACAAAAACAAATATGAAGAAATCAGAATGGTAAATCATGTTATTATGATCATCGAAAAAAAATGCCTTTTGATGCTGAATAGAATTCAAGCCAAAGATATCATAATTAATGAATGAATGAATGAATGAATAATTATTAGATTTGACAATAAATCATTACCAAAATAAGCTTCAAAGGCCTAGCAAAAGTTTAATCAGAAAGTATTTCTATTAATTTTGTTCATTACGATTGCCTATTCACTAACTTTAATAATAGTTGATCTTTATTTTTCGATACTAATTCCATGTATAGTTTCAGTTCATAAAAACAAAATCTTCATCAAATGAAATTTATCGAAAATTTTACGTTTTTCCAATTCAAGTTTCGACGAAGACTTTTTGTTTACTATACTTGAAATTTCTCTTATATGAGATTTATTTTATAACATAACTGTTCATCCTTAACGTAAATATAATCACTGAAATAATTGACATGGTATTTTAAGCTCTACAGTAAAGAAAGAAAGAAAGAAAGAAAGAATTCATAAATGTATTAGCCTGTGACTTCAATTCACAGTCCATTTTGTATGTGATTATCTAAGCGATATTTACAAAATGATTTTATAATAAATTTCTATTTTTCTTCTTCTTCTTCTTCTAGATATCGATGCTTCATTAACCGGTTTGCCCAGTGACGAAAATCTTACTTAGTTTTTCTCTTATGTCTCAAGTGGCGCTTTATAATAATTTTTTTTCTCTTTCTGTTTTTTTTTATTGCTATATTGAAAAAGAAATCTTTTCTTTGTCTTATTTCTACAGTGCTGATTAAACTCATCTAATTTATTTATTTTATTTTTTTTTATCATTCATTTGCCTGATTTGCTTCTCTTTTTTCTATTCAAGTCAACAACTACAACACACAAAAATAATAAGAAAACTTTATTTGTGTTTTCGTGTACATATGTGAAAAATTACTGTTTGTGACAACTTTGCGTTCTTCCATCGAAAGAAAGATAACAACAAGCCTCTGTCGAAATAAAATTTAAAAAAAAAAGAAAAGTTATATGCTCCTTTGTTTCTTATAGATACAAAAACAAATGATATTAAGAAAAGAATAAAAGACAAAAAAATAGTTGTTAGGCCATGCGTCAATACTGGCGTTTCATTTTAAAGTGGCTCATTCTCATAGGAACGTTAACAATAGCATTTAAAGTATGTTGTGATAGTTTAGTTGACATTTTCTTATCAGTATCAAGTACTTCGTTAGTAAATATGGAAGATAGAAATGCAGATTCCAATTACGAAAAGTCTATTATTGCTTGGGCAACACATGGTCAACGTTTAAACAACGAAAAATTATCAGTTGGAAGTGCGCAAGAACGAAATGATTTGCAATTGATAGGCATGCAAATCTTTTTCCGACATGGAGCTCGAACTCCAATCAATTTACTACCTAGCCTTGAAGAGGTATAATGAAAAAGAAAAAGAAAATGAGGAAAATTTGAATCTATCAATTTATACAATTAACAATGTTTTAGGTAGTTTACAGCAAAGAACAAATCGAAAGTTATCCGCCATCCAAATGGGATATAAAATTAATTACAAAGAAAAATGATGAAATTGAATCAAAAGATAAAGTATTATCGGCTAGGGATGTTATTGCAGCTAGATTTCAAAAGTTAAAAGTAAAAATGCATATACTTGAAAAATAAGTATGACTCTTCTTTTATTTTTTAAATTTTTTGTTCAGTCAACATCAACTGACACTGTAACAACAGGTCAATTGACATCTGTTGGAGAAAAACAATTATTTCAACTTGGAAGACGTTTAAGATCTGAAGTAATTGATGTTCGTAATAATAATGGACTTATACCGAAAACATACGACCCAAAATATGTCTAGTATGTTTTTTTGAATCATCTTGTTCAGTATTACGGCAAAACTAATTCTTCCTCTTCAAAAAGACTCAAATATGATATCAAGATCATTTAGTAGAAGAGTTTTGAAAGATAGATTTCATAGAATTATTATTTATTTTTTTTGTGAGCTCTTAAATTAAACTAACATTTTTCCTAATGGCTTGTACGAAATGGGAATCTCAGTACTATTGTAATTCTGCATATCAGCATAAAGATAAATTCGTTTTACGTTTCTTTTTGAAAACAATTGGAAGACAATTTTTTTTTAAGTACAATGGCAAATTTTTCATGGTTATACTAGATAAAATAAAACTAGATAAAAATTAGAAATAAACAGATACATGATATATTATCCAGTAATTAAATTAAGGTAAAGACGCGAAAGATTTTACAGCTATTTGATTAGAATGATACTTGCGAAGATGGAAATCATTAGAGATGTATGTAATAATTTTAATTTTTTCTCTTCATTATATTTTAAGTTCATCTTTATGTTTCATGTGAATCATTCTATGTAATTAATTAATTAAAACCTAAATTGAATAAACAAAAAATAAACATAAGTACAGTATAGAACATTCGAGTATACACGAAGATCTTTCATGAATACAATGTTATCTTATTGAAAATTCATTTATTTCAGAAATGTTTCAACTAGAAAGATTACAATAAAAATTACAGGGAATTATTATTTGAAGAAAGACTATCGTTTGATAAAATGAATTAAATAGTCCTTAGATAAATAAAATGTTAGGAAAGATTCATTAATTCAAGTGTGATTTATGTAGTCTTTTCATTTTCACATGTTAGACAATTGAGATAGAGCAATGCTGTAAACGGAAAAGTTCATAGAAAAGAAACAAGCAGAAAAAAAGGAAACCACAGAACTCTTGAATAAAAATAAATAAAAACCAAGAATAATAACAACGTTTATATCGACTACCGTATTTTTATAGTTGTCGATCGACATATATGGATCGAACCATAGCCAGTGCTCGATCATTCCTTGCTGGTCTTTTCTCATCCGAAGAATCAGATAATAAAATACAAGCTACTGGTAAGTGAGAATAATGAATGTACAGACTTGTTGCTAAAATTAATACTTGTGAAAAGGTCCATTTGAAATTGAAGTTCATCATTTTCCCGATGAAGATATGGTAAATATTCATGACCGTCAAATAATATGGATAGATTCCTATTTGTTTCTTTTCTACTAGTTTCCTAATCCAAATATTGCTCCCATTCTAAGCAAATGTCATACTGTTAAATCTCTTTATACGTCGTTAACTGATGATCACGAATTAAAAAAAGCTCGACAAACTCTAATTAATCGTATTGGTATGAAAGTTTTAATTTTAATTTTAATTTCATATGAAATAATTTAATTTTCAGGCCTAACTGAATATCCACATGGTATTATTGAATTGCACGATGATATTATTTCGAGACAAGTTAGTTTTTGTTTTCGTAGAAATGAAACCATTTTTTTCTTGCAACTCTTTTTATGAAATAGGCTCATAATTTTACTGTCCCAAACGATCTACTTAAATTAACACAAGATTTTGAAATACTGTCTGCGCGTGAATATGTTTACCGGGCGTAATTATTCTGATAATACAAAGAAAACAAAAATAAACTTCTTCGAAAGATTTCTATTCTTTTAGTACAAATATTGGTTTTGATTTATTTATCCGTTCAAGTTGTGGATCAATTCTTTATTTAATCAGAGAAAATTTTAATTTTATATTAAAAAATTATCTCGATGAAAAAACTAATGGTTCAAAAAAGTATAAATCAAAAGTTTTGTTTTATTGAAGTAATTTCTTTTTACTGTAGGCAATATCAGAAATTTTTCATCTATTCGGGTCATGATAGTACAATAATTCCATTAGCACTCGCATTCGAAGTATATATATATATATATATCTTTACGAGTTTTATTAAGCAAATACTTTACTCATAGATTTTTGATATGCGTTGGCCAAGATATGGTGCATATATTGTTTTGAAATATTTTATTTCAAAAACAAATAAAAGTGAAACATATGTGACAGTTCATTTTGATGGCGAGGTAAATCAATAATGAATTATGTATAATTTTTTTTTAATGCGACAATATTTTATACTTTTAGCCACAGATATTACCGGACTGTGAAGATCACTATTGTTCGTATTCAACATTTTTAAAAAGTCTTCAAAATCGTATTGATAAACCTAAAAAAACATATCAAGCATAATCTTTTCTTTTTGTGCACTTTATAGAATCTTCTAAAATTTTAAAATGCTAACGAATCTTTTTGCATTTTTTTCTGTAACGAATTGCAATGTTATTTTGTTATTGAACACCGTCATTTTCGTGACGTTTCTATTCAATTTTATTTTAAATATAATAAGATATGTGCACTGAAGGTAAAGGAATATTTTTTTCAAGATTTGTTTTTCGAAAGAATCATATTTATGGCTGATGCGATTGAAACAGAAACTAATTATGCAGGTTTTATTGCAGTACATGTCGGTAGGTTGAATGTAATACAAATATATGAAAGGTGAGAGTTTAGATTTTTATTTTTGTTAGGCGCTGGTTTACAATCTCAAGCGAGACTACCGCGATATCGTGAGACGATAAAAAGAGCTTGTTTACAAGGAATACGAGCATTAAATAATGGGAAAAATGCATCCGAAGCAGCATGTATGGCTGTTGCTGTACTTGAAGTATTTTCTAGATTGATGTGCTTGTTGAATGATATATTTTGTATCTATCAGGATTGTCCATTAACCAATGCTGGTATTGGTTCGAATTTAACTTTAGACGGAAATGTTGAATGTGATGCATCTATTATGGATGAAGAAAGCTATGGAGCAATAGGAGCTGTTACAGGTAATTAAAGTTTCGATTTGACTTTTTTTCTTTTCATATAAGATTATATAAATAACTTTTGATTATAAGGTATAAAAAACCCAATAACATTAGCATGGGCTTTATTGCATACACAAAAACAAGGTCTTTTGGATGGTGGTCGAATACCTCCGTGGTAAATAAAAAACAAAAGTTTTATTGAATAAATTAAAGCATTTAATCAATCTAATCGAAAAAAACTTAGAAATCTATTGTTAAATCTAATATGATAGACGAATTTTTCTTTGTTAAGAAGAAAAGATAATAGCATTATTGTTGCTGTATAAATGAAATAAGTTCTAACGCATTGATCATCATATGAATCAGATGATATTTTCTGAGCCTTTTCACACAACCTGTAAAATTGTTTCTTATAGAATATTGTTTTTCTTTGAAGCAACAGTTATATACATATATCATATGTTAGAAATTTGATAGCATCCACATCATTCTACAACAAGCTAACACAAAGCATTGCCAAGTACGATTGAATGGCAGGTTCACTAAGATTGGTAAATACCGTCTCAAACTCGCACGCCAGAAATTGAATAGAACTTGATGTCCTTGAATTAAGAATTATTTGGCGTTGAATATATCTTAGAAATATATAATAATATATTTATTTTTCTTAGTTTTCTTGTTGGCGATGGTGCCAAACAATGGGCACAACAAAATGATATTCCACTAGTTGATAATCAAGCAATGACGACAGGTTTTATATTTTTATTCCAAATATGAATAAAAATAAGTTATCACTATTTGTTTTTCTTTAGAAAATAGTAAATTTACATACGAAAAATACAAAAGAAAATTAAATGAAAACGCATCAGAAACAACGAAAAAGATTAAAACGGTATTAGGCAAAATTGATCTTACAGCCTTGTTCCTGTGCTTGTATTTTTTTTTTCAGGAAAATTCAGATGATACTGAGCGATTAGACACAGTCGGCACTATTGTTATTGATCGACATGGAAATGTAGCAGCAGCTGCATCAAGTGGTGGAATACTTTTAAAACACTCTGGTCGTGTAGGACATTCAGCAATGTAAGACAACACTAATTACAAATTAAAAAGAAAATTTTCTCTTATGCTAAGGTTTGGCTGTGGTTGTTGGGCCGAACGAAAAGATTCATGTTCGATTGCAGTTGCATCTTCAGGTTTTGATTCTATTCGAGTAGGATTGTTTTTATTATTTTTTTCCATTAGGCACTGGTGAATTTCTTATGAAGAGTCTTTTTTCTAAATCGATTAGTGATGCATGTTCAAATGATGACTTAACGCCAGACACAATACGAGATCATATTAATCATATTTTTCTTAGTAACATATTTATTTTTAAGTGAAATAAATGAATGAACTTCTACAAATTTTTAGATCGTACAATGACTCCAACAAATGCTGAAAAATATTTTGGATTTATTCTGTTAAAAATGATCACAAATGAAAATCAAAGTCGATCAGTAGAGTTTCTGTGTGCCCATAATACTCAAACTATGTTTGTTGGTTATATGACTACAAAGCAAAGCAAAGTTACAGTAAATTATACAAAACATTCAATTCGTGTTTATTTCTCTCCTTCGTTGTTAGACTTGTTTGTCGGAATTGCAGTCCAATGGTTCACTAACAATTCATATTGATTCAGTTCGTTTAACATAAAATATTTATTTATTTTTCTTGTAAATCAATCTTTTTTTTTCTTAAATTTATTTCCTTCTCATTTTCTTCTGATGTTCAACATTGACAAAATAAAAGATGTTAGTCATTCGAATGTTGGTAACAAAGAAGAAAAAGAAAACTGATTGAAGAAAGAAAACGAAGGCCAATTGAAGCAAAAAAGAACGATGATAACAATGATTCGATGAAAATTATGCTGCTTTTGTTCACTAAATTAAAAATTAAAAAATAAAAAATAAGAACTATTCAAAATCAGAATTCTTAACGTACATATTTTTCTTCGCGAAGGCCATCTTTGAAATAGATGAAGACAGGTGTTAGACCATCTTCACGATAGAATTGAAGAACAACCATACCATCAATATTCATACTTTCACCAAGATAGAAACGATACTCGCCGAATTTACCGAGAATTTCTTTGGCTAATTTTGTCATACCTGCTTGAAATGGTTGGACACGAGTAGGAGCATGTTCTTGGAGATAATCTTTAAGTCTACGAAAAACAAAAAAAAACAGAAATGAGATGAAAAACGCTGGAATAAAAATGTTTTGTTGTACTGTTTTGAGTATGTTTTTAACCAATCTTTGAAACTAGCTTTATCAAATGGTGTTTCAGATAATTTATGAGTTAAAATAACATTAATGCCAGTTACTGCTGTTGTAGAAACACTACTATCTTCTTCAGCAGCGGCTTCACTTCCTTCTGGTGCTTTGTTACCACCAATTAATGATTCATCAATATCGTTACTTTCAACAATATTCTAAAAATTTGTAAATGAATAAATGCTTTCTATGCAAAAAAAAATAAGAATTTTCTTACTTTGCCTTCAACTTCATAATAAACATCATCAATTACTTTCATTGGATATGAATCACTACATAGTTCATCACCAGTAAATACATCAATAAAGACTTTCATGACTGCGATTGATTTAAATAAATTAGATTGAGCAGCAGCAAGAATATATAAGACTATCTTAAACGAATAAAAAAAGAAGTTTACATCATCGTGGGGCAAGATAAGAAATAAATGTTTCTTAGTAAATGCACAAAGGAGAATATCAAATGACTCATGAAAACATGGACTAATACATCTCATATAGGCAAGACAGAATTTGAGGGAGGCTTTAGAAATATATTTTGATTCGAAATTTTTTTTGTAGTCTATTAAATGAATTTTTCATCTAATTATGCAATAAAAATCAGTCTGCAGTTCACTTTTTAGTTCATTTAATTTAACGTAGGAGGATCGTTGAGAGGCTTTAATATTAAATTTGATTGGTTCACAGAAAAGAAATAAACAAATACTTTGTCATTTTTTTACGGGTGTGCATTATTTGCTACCATAACACCAGCGTACGTCCAAAGAAAACGAACAGAAAAAAAATGGCAACTTGAAAATACACTAAAAATATTGCAAAATAATCATATTTATTTTAGAAGCTACCTATAGGTAGCGGAGTATAACTCAAAAATTAATCAGTAGATATGTCACCAGCACCTGATCTAAGTGATGAAACCATGATTTTGAGTCCACCTCTTAATGCAGCGGTTCTTAATGTAATTTCTTCATCTGATGAACTTGATCATAATCCATCTAATGAAAAACCTATCGATCTTGGGTGAGTTTTGTTTTTCTCTTGTTCTTTTTTCTTATTCGAATATGGTACGATGTAATTAATAGTTCATTAACGATCGATTCAATGGAAAGTATTAATTTACATGATGATAATGAGCCCCCTATATTATCCAAAGAACCTATGGCTCCATTCACAATTTGTTCAGCACCGTCCACACCAACAGGTGAACGTGATCCACCAGTAATATTTCGACGATCATCAGTAACAGGTACTACAAGCAATGAACCAACTGTAGTTGAAATTAAATATCAAGGTGTTACGAATAATGTTGGTATGAATAGTGTTGGTACGAATAGTGACGATAGCAACGGTTTCATTGATACATTTTTGGGTTGTTTAAAACCAATATTTTCTGCGGTAAATAAAATTGGTGAAAATATTAAATCTAGTAGAGATACAGCAAATGCATCATTAAAACCAAATGATGGTTGGGAGATTCCAATTGATAGTATTATGAATGATTTAAAATTTATTGGTACTGGTATTGAAGGTAGAGTTTATCTTGGTAAACTCAACGGGCAAAACGTGGCATGTAAACAAGTCAAAACCGAGGCAGAAACCAATATAAAGCATTTAAGAAAATTAAATCATGTTAATGTTATTAGATTTCGAGGTTTGTTTTATCAATATTTTTTCGTTCATATTTTCATTGTTTTACTTATTCTTTAAGGTGTTTCTGTATCAGCACCATTATTTTATATTGTTATGGATTATTGCCCATACGGCTCATTATATGATGTATTAAAAAGACGTCGTGAAATCAATTCTTGTACAAAACCAACACAAGTTCTAGATTGGTCAAAACAAATTTCTAATGGAATTAATTATTTGCATGCAAATAAAATTGTTCATCGGGATTTAAAATCACCAAATATTCTTATTGCAGAAAATCATGTTCTAAAAATTTCCGATTTTGGTACAAGTAAACAGTTGGCCAAAAAACAAGGTCAGATTATGTCATTTAATGGGACAACAGCTTGGATGGCACCTGAAGTTATTCGACAAGAGCTTTGTTCAGAAAAAATTGATGTTTGGTATGTAAAAATGTGCCGTAATTGTAAAATATATATTAAACAAGCGAGTTCCATCTTTAATTCATATTATAGCAATTGAAAAGATTAGAGGTCAAATATATTGATTAAAGGGGGAGGGGAGGGGTGAAAGTGAAATCGAGATTAAAGATTGAGAAGCTACATTATAAAAAGATTCATTTACTATTGTTTTGATCGGTTAAATATTGTAATATTATTTCAAATTAGCAAAAAATCTAATGAGCTAGAAGAAATTTGTTAATAAATTACAAATTTTCTATGCTAATTATCTTATTCATTTGACATCAATTTTTTTTATTAAATACGATAACTATTGCTATAGATACAGAATTAAAAAAAGAAACTAACCTACAAAATATAAATTTAGAAAACTAATTAAATTGCGTATGATATGTAAAATACATATTATTATCGTTAAGAATTGAGACAGATTGTATGCGAAGTAACCTATAGCTATTTAATTAATAATTTATTTATATGTTCTATATATATATATATATTTCATTTAAAATTCATTAATTTTTTCATTGAATCATATTTTTGTTCTAGGTCGTTTGGTATTGTTCTTTGGGAGATTTTAACCTGTCAAGTACCATATCAAAATATAGATCCAAACGCAATTTTATGGGGTAATTTAATTTCGATTAATAAACGTTTTAATAGCTTCGTTTTTATTATTGTTTAGGTGTTGGTAAAGGTAGTTTGACATTACCGATTCCATCATCGGCTCCTGAAGGTTTTAAATTGTTAATGACGATGTGTTGGAATCAACGGTCAGTAAGCCGGCCATCATTTCAACAGATAATCAAACACTTAAATATTAGTGAATCAGAAATAGTTTTATTTGAGCAAGAACAAGAGTATGTTGAATTAACACGCATATGGTCTGTTGAAATCCATGAACAGTTGGCACGCTTAGCAACTATTGATATATCATCAACACTGAATATGAGTAATGATGAATTAATGAAAAAACGCAGAGAAGAATTACAACATATTGCTGATATACGTTCACATTATCAAGCAAAATTACAGGACGTTAATTCACTTTACATTGAATTATCGTCATTGATGATGCAATTACAAAAACGCGAACAAGAAATTAAGAAAAAAGAACGATTACTTAATATTCAGCATCATTCGTCGTCAGGAAATACAAATGCAAAAAAACGAACAACTAATTCTCTATCAGAAGCTAGAAAAAGGTCTTTACAAATAATAAAAGCCGTGAGCTTTAATCCGAAAGATCCGGTTTCGATATTACCTCAAAGATCACCAAAACAAGGAAATTTAGTTAAATCAAGTAATGCATGTAAGTCAATTTGTTTTTTTCCTCTTGAAATTGATTCATTGTATCGTGCTTAAACTCATCACATACAATAGATCTTAAATCAGATTCATTATAAAAGGTTGTAATGTTTTTTAAATGATCTAAATTGAATAGAGATGAAGTTTTTAGAAATAAAACTTCAATCGTAATATTAATATGCAGTTCTTTAGAATAATATTATGAATAATCATTAGTATTTTTTTTGTGTAATGGTAGATTACTATTTTTCTTTATAAATCTCAAATGACCAACAGACATTATTTCATTAGAAAGAAAAACAAACGATGACGATCAATCGATCGATTCCCGTTTGATTTCACCAATAACGTATACTCTATATTTCTCATGTTTCATTGGAAATCATAATAGTTATTTTATTTTTTTAAATAATATTCTCATAGGATTTCAGACAGGATTTATTTTGAGTATATTTTCTCGTTTTTCATTGAATAATTAAGTAATATCATTTACTTATGTAAAAAAATAGTACATTTTGGCATCATCATAGTACTGAAAAACATTCACAAAAATTTATTGCATAGTGCTTAGGCAATTACAATCTCATGCAAGACATGACATTTGTTTTTCTTTCCTTCTATTACATGTTTCTTTCTTTTTATTGCGTGATATAGTGTCGAATAATCAGCCATCCATTGGTTCATTCAATAATGTTTTAAATCGTCCAAATAATATTCAAACATCGCCACCAGTCATTCCCACAGCAATAAATACTCCAGATACGTCAAGTACTAAAAATCCACAACGACGTAAAAAAGGTCCTGGTCATCGTCGTAATAATAGTAAAGGAAGTGTAACATCATGGACGCCACCAACACTTTCTGCTATTGCAGATCAAGAAATGAAACGTGCTTCTATACATCTAATACCAAGCATGATCGAAAAAACTATTCCCGAAATTCAATCATTCAATGCATCAACCGAAAGGAATTCCATGACCTCGGTTAAACCGACAGTATCATCGATTTCGGCTGATATTGATTCGAAGCCAAATACGATGAGTCGACAGTTAAATCCAAAAAATCTTAAACTTGATCTTGAAACGTCAGCAAATTTACAAATGACACCAACAAATCAACAACGACCATCAACTACATTTACTTATATTCAACGTAAATCATCCAGTAGTGATCCCGAAGATTTTTATGAAAATGACCATCATAATATTGCTCGACAGCGTCGACGACGTAATTTGATTTTAAATAATAATAAAATATCTTCACCATCATCAATAACACAACGATCAATTAAATCAAATACAGCCGATCAACAAACACCACAAATAGATGAGTTAGAAAATAATAAGCACTTAATTGAGAATAAAAATGATAATGACAAAATAAATGATCACCGTAAATATCCACGATCTGTTAGTTTTCAATTTTCACCATCAAATACACATGATCGTAGTCCATCCTACCAACAACGAAAAACATTTAATAGAGTATGTTAAAATAATTTTAGTTTCATTTCTTTTGTATAAAACGCTTTTCATCACTTTTCTACTTTATAGCATATACCTTACAGTTCATCAGAAGAAGGCGAAGTTGAAGAAATTCCAAGTGATCATTATATACTCGATGATGAAAAACATCGAGCTAAACATGAAGATTTAAATCGAGAATCAAATGGTATATTTTCATCTGAAAGCGAAATCTATAATGAACACAATAAACATTCGGTATCATTAAAAAATGAAGGTAAAATAAAATAATCATTTGCTATTATTGTTCGAACGAACTAAATCAGCTATTTTTAATTAGGCACTTTCTCTGATGAAGGTGGTCATCTATCTGATGATCGACCTGCATCACGTGAATCACTAGTAAACAGTGACCCAGAACATGAATGGCCTAATCATAAATAATTTAAGCAATTTGAAATTCGTCCTATCAAATAATAATAACAGTGACTTGTTCTTGCGTTTCTTCGTCCTTTCTTTCTATCTTTTAATCAAAATTATAACGTCCATTACGTTTTTTGCTTTTTTTTCTGTGCTACAAGGTTTTTTTGTGTGCTTTCTTCTCTTTTGATCGTTTTGTCTACGTTTATTTTATTTTCATTCAAGAGCAACGCGCCTTTTATGATTTATTGTATATCATATTTATAGTTCTAAGTTCCATCAACCTTTGCCTAAGGCACATATTTCATCCAACATCTATTTTTGAACTTCATTCTTTTATATGTTTTATAAATGTCTCTTCTTGTATATTTCCTATAGAAATTAGAATCTTATCAGTTTTTGTCTGTCTGTCTGTCTGCCTGTCTGTCTGTCTGTCTGTTTCGTGTGTTTATATTATACGTCAAGTACACACATGCTCTTGCTGAGAGAAGACTAATCGTTGGAGAAGGAACTCTGTTGGTATATGTATATGCATATTTATATACATGCATTTTATCTTGTGTGAGTATGGAAACACATTTTCAGTTTGTTTTTGCTTTTATGGCTTGTTTTAAGGACGCTCCTGTTCTATCTCTCATTACATATAAAAATGTTGTGTTTTGTGGATCTAAACAAGATAATCTATTTCATATAGCGTGAAGAGAAAAAAATGTCCGGTCATTATTTTTGTTTGTCTTCTAGATTGAAAACGAAAAACAACAATATCTATAAGAAACAATGACAGATACTGTAGTACCAACAACTAGTGACAAAACTGTTTCATCAACTGAAACAGTTGCTAATGCTGATTCAGTTACAACAGTGACAAAATCTAAAACAGTATGTAAAAAAAACTAGCTTGAACTTTTTCTCATTTATAATTATATTTTTTACTTTCAGATTCATCCTGATCATTCTGTTACTGTAACTACAACAGTCGATAAAACTGAACAGTAAGTATTTTAGATTAAAAAGATTAATTTTTCGATTGTTGAATTTCCTGGGAATAAGTTTGTTTTTGAATACAGACCATATAGGTTGTTTTTTTCTTACCTTAATTTATCTTAGAAAAAATGGTGATCATATTGTAACAAGTGTAACTCAAACAACATCATCATCATTAGATCCCAATGTTGATAAAAAGATCATTCGTCAAATCGAATATTATCTTAGTGATGTTAATATGGTTCGAGATAAATTTCTCAAAAATGAAATCACCAAAGATGAAGGCTGGATTCCATTATCTGTTTTAACAACATTTAAACGTCTTCAATCATTGACAACTGATTTTAACACAATAATAAGTGCGTTAAAAAAATCTGTTTCGGGTCTTATACAAATAGATGAAACACAAAATAAAATCCGTCGTCATCCAGAACGTCCATTACCATCTAGTCAAGCTGAACTCGAATTATCATTACGTAATCGTACTGTTTTTGTGAAAGGGTTTCCTAAAACAACTGATATTAACATCGACAAATTACTTCATTTCTTTGAAAAGTAATGTTTATTTTATTTTCCTAAATGATCATTAATACTTTTTTTCTTTTACTAAAATTCATAAATAGATTTGGTTCAATAGAAAGTGTTCAGATGAAAAAGCAATTTAAATCAAAAGACTTCAATGGTGCTGCATTTGTTGTTTTTCCAACTGATGACAATGCTCGAGAATTCATTCAGAAATCTAAAGAAACACCAATTGTCTATGATGATGGATCTGCATTAGAATGTTCATTACAAGATGATTTCTATAAGAAAAAAGCATTAGATTCAGCAAATGGTGGAAGATCAGCAGATGATGATGATGCAAAAGAAAAACGAGCTAATGACAAACAGGGACGAAAAGAAAAACGAAAGGAAGAATTAGACAAAAAGACAAACGAACACTTAGAAAAATTAAATAATGAAAATTTAACCGGTGCTGTTATTCATCTTGCTGGCATGACGCCAAATGTGACAAGAGAATTAATTAAAGAAAAATTCAATCCATTCACAAAAATGCCCTGGATTGATTTCAATAAAGGTGATGCTGAGGTAAATTAGTAATTGAAGATTTAAACAGACGAAAACAAAATGGATTTTTATTGGTTCTATTTAGGCATGGGTACGATTAAATGAAGCTGATACAGCCAAAACTGTCCTTGAAAAAGTTTTAGCAGCTGGACAAGGCAAACTTGTGATTGATGGCAAGGAAGTTATAAGTCGGTTGGTTGAAGGTGAAGAAGAAGTTGAATTTTGGAAAGAAGCTAACGAAAAACGTGCAGCGGAAAGAATAAAGAAAAGTGAACGATTTGGTGGTGGAGGTAAACGAGGTGGACGAGGTGGACGGGGTGGACGAGGTGGCAAGCGAAATAATGATCGTCGCGGCGGACAGAAACGAAAACGTGACCAAGGTTGGTGTTTATCGATATTCTTAGAGATGAATAATATGAACGTTTTTCTTTCTCTTCATTTTAGGACGCGGTGGTGATAGTGAATCAAATGACGAAGATGAATCAACTGAATCTAAATCACCCAAAAAAGTCAAGGGCGTAACAGCCGATTAAATAGTTTTTGTTTTCTGTTTTCTGTTTTTGTTTTTGTGTTTGTTGTTTATAAGTTAGTTTCATTAAGATTTAAGACAATTTTGTATGTCTTAAATACTTTCTTTCTTCATCCATTTAACTCTAAACAAGACGAGAAACGAGATTTTGTGTGTATGTGATATGAAGGCTGTTAAAAACATTGAATACTTCATTATCTTGTCCGATGTTTCTGTTGAGCAATAAAGTAAACATGCTGCTGCGTACAATGACTCAATACTTATGCGTATGCCTATAAAATAGATTTTGCTAATGCAAATGATCATTTATTTATGACACAGCATATGTTGAAATACATTTCGGATGAAACACTACGAAAATGAATGTAATACTATTTATGATAATAAATATCATTCAAATCAAAATAATGATAATTTCTCAGACCACATGTTCTAGTCAGATCTTGTAAAGAATAGTGATAAAAATCGACTACATTAATCGATAAATCACAGTTTAATCAAAGTAGCAAATAAACTAACAAAAAAAGAATGATACACACGTCATTGTACTGTATCGTGTAATTTATCATATGTAGTAGGCGTTTAACAAAACTAAATGGACATGACAAGTGTTAGGATAGTGCAAGAAAAAAAAATACAGCTATTGGGACATATGTATATAAAGGAATATATTATTACTATTATTATTTAAGTGTTTTGAATGATTAGTTTACGCATTTATTTATTCTGACTTTTGACTATCATCGTTATTATTATTGATATCAGCGACAGAATATATAGATTTATTTCTCTCATAAAGTATGGAACTCACAGTACATAATGCTGGACTGCGATTCGACCTATATTTCCTATAATTCCTATATTTTCAAAAAAGTCCGATTTTTGTCCTATATTTTCCTATATTTTATAGAGAAAAGTAGAAAATTTCCGAAACCCTCTGAATTGTGCTATTGTCTTTAGACGAAAAAAAACTTTTAATGTGTATAATCATGTGTTTTGGACAAATTGTTGTATTATAGTGACATTTGTTTTAAACAATATTTTTCCTTTCGTCTATTTAGTGGGCTGACTGAGAAATTGTTCAATACTAAGTACAAAATAGTTCAAAAGAAAAAAATATTCACAAAGTGACCATGTACTAGTTTAGTTTCAGGGTTTTAGTGAAGTTTTAGTTAGATATAAAAGCTGTGTATATATACCCCTGGAAAAAATAAGTTTCACTCTGTATTTTGAGGATATTGTTACCAAACGAACATTTTTTTTTAAAGTAACGACACATTCTGAAAGCCCGTGAAATTTTACGCCATCCTGTATATATGCATTTTCATTTACACTTATTTATTATCAGAAAAAAATCGAGTTTTGATAAAATACAAAATAAACTTGCGAAAAATAATAAGCGATGCATGCTGATTACCAGGACAATAAAATTAGGTTGAGCTTTTTTGGGAAGTCATGTCCGTAATCGGAAACGTCTCCTTTAATTATGAGAAATAGTATGTCGTTTTCATGTATTTGTTTTTTCAAAGCTTATGATCTACTTTATTGTTATTTGTCGATTTGTGAAAAACTTTTATAGTGATCCTCGAATTAGCGACTTATTTCAGTAGAAAAAAATTATTATAAGGATCTTGGCTACGGTTGAACCGTTTATCGCAGCTTCATTAAGACGATTTTCAAGCAGAGCAGTTAAAAAACACCAAAACAATTGAACAGAAACGGTCTATAAAACGTCCTCTCTTTTTGTCATTTTTTATCGAAAATCCTCTATTTTTGACAGCCTTGATCCTCCAAGGATTCCTATATTTTTAAAAAAGTGTAATCGGAGGCCAGCATAATGTAGTCATTATCGACAAGAATATTATTTTGATACTATGAACTAAAAATTCAACGTGGATATCTCGTTTTGTAGAATTTATATTTTTTTTTCAGGCGTTTGTTTTATTTAGAATGAATAAATTAAACCACAGAATATTCTTCAGTTACACTAACTCCATTTTCTTTATTATTAGTATTAATGTTATTATTATTATTATTATTATTATAGCCAGATTTATCTTACGCTTGAAAACTTTTATTAAACATGCAAAGTGAACAAATAAAATACTGTAGAACAATTTATAAAAAAAAAATGAAAAACATCTAGAACTAACTAGGTATCTATGAATAAAATGAGATCTAAAATGCTTGGTTTTATGTCTTATGTTGCTATTGATCTAGAATTTATCCGGCTCATCATGAATTGATTTATTCTTCTGCTGCTGCAACAGCTTTGTTGCCTGCTGCACCGGGAGGAACAGCATAATTTGGCTTATTTCTGAATAAAGACAAAAATTTTATTGAAACATAAAAATAGTCGCTTTGAAAAAATGTTTACGTACGAGAGAGATTCGGTATTTCCGAATCGATCACCAGTATCCATACCGAGTGCTCCAGCTCCAATACCAAATCCAACACCACGAATACCGAATTTGCGTGCATAGCATTGTTTGCAAAAGACATTACCTTCATGTTCAGCCATGGTCATAGCTTCTAATGTTTTCTTACAAAGGCCTTATGTTTGAAAAACAAAACAAATTATATACATAAGAAAAATAAACGATGATCTACAATGTCCATACCACATCTGTAGCAAGTTTTGTGCCATTGTTTTCCAGCAGCTGGAATAGCTTCAGCATGATAAACAGCTTGGTTACAACGAGGGCAACGGTTTGGTTCTTGAGTTCCGAAAGGCATTCTAAAGAAAATAAAAGGTTGATTGAATTTTTGTCTATGATCGTCATTTTGTATTGACTTAAAAGTTGACCCAAATCTCTATGTTAATAGAAAAACATTTCCAGCCTGTTAGCTTCAATAGTAGAAATCTGATTTCATCGTTCGAATAGTACTAATTCTCAGAAATTTGAAAATAGTTTTATTGAAAATATCAAAGATGTATGAAAAACATTGCTAAATCTTCAATCTGATCTTATCTATTGCTACTTTGCACTAACCGCATGATCGGTATTTCATTGAAATACGTTTAAATAAGAGAGTATATGTAACTTACGCGACTTTAATAGTTTATAATAAATGCACAGAGAAATTCAGCAATATATCTAGAAATAAAGCAAAATGAGCCATAACTATACACATAGTTCTGAATAGACGTATGAAGAAGGCGCACAAGTCTACTTTGTGCTAACTGTACAGAATATACCAGTATTAATATTGATATGTAAATAACTACTATGTTGGATAGACGAGCGAAAATCTATAGAAAGAAGCAGAAATACTGGTAATATATACGACTTGTTTCAACTCCGATGGATGACAACAGAATAGACAAGTCAAGATTAAAAGGAGAAAATTAGGAATCTTATATCGGCTACTCTTCTTATTTTTAGCTTTGATGTACATTATTTTTATCTCTTTCCACAATATTGATGATGTACAACGTCCAAAATCGTCTTGAGATAAGAAAAATAAAAAAACTGTCAAGTTATGTTCTTGTCGAGTGGGCTGATACTATATACAGCTTGCAACAGACAACTGGTCTACCACAAATACAACTCTAATCATATATATTTCTTTTTTGTTTTACATAGTTAGTGCTTTTTCCGTCTGTATACATTAGTTTTTAAAGGAACCACAGAAAAGAAATTCTATGTTACCACAAACAGCATAGAATATTTAGCAGATATAAGTAGTCGATTATACGGGAATTATTGTATCCTCAAATGGTCAGGATTACGAAGATAAATGGATAATTGTGCATAGTAATAAAGCAGAAAAACTAAAGAGAAACGATGATAATTATTCATAAGAAACAACAACATCGTTTGAAGACATGAAAAGTAAATGAATATTGGAAAAAGACTGATTCTTTGACTGGGTAAAGGGATAAGACATACGTCGGAAATAACACATTGTACTTGTAATTATGAAACTGAAATCGTAGAGTTTGTTTTGTAAACTTTGAAAATGTGGATTTCATTGAAATAGAAATATGTTTTTGCTTCGAAAAGATTAGATTGATAAGCAAACTTATTTATTTACGTCTAATGTAATATATTTCGTCGCGTGGTTCTCTTTAGTTTTCAAAAACATAATGATTCTTTCAATCTATCGGCTTCGTTGATTACGTACCTATCAATAAAAGAAAAAGTTTATTCTTATGAAATTATATATGATTTCATTATTCTCTGTTTGTAAGCAATGTTTCAAAACTTCACATATTGGAACAGATCTTCCTTCGTAGACACAGCTTTTTTATTTTGATCTTTCATTACAAAATAAGATAATCAACTTTGTATGGACAAGAAAAATAATGTTTTTTTTTGTGGGGTAAACACAACCATGAATATTGTTCTATTGTGAGAGTATGCATTCGTATTTAGCAAATGTGTACACAGTCAAAATTAAGCATGTCATACTCATGTTTAACTTCATTTTGATTAACCAGCATCTCAAGAAATATTTTTTGTTGAAAAAACTTACAATACAGCGATAACAAATAACAAGCTGAATCATTATATATTTGCCGTTGCATGGTATCCTTCATCATTAATAACAAAAAATAGTTAGCTTTCTTTTTAATATTTTTCGATATTAGGAGATACAGTTTGGTCTCTGACTATAAGTTAAGGAAAAAAGTTCTGATGACCTGCCATGAAATTGAAACAAAAATATGTAGCTATTATTTATATTTTTCTTTATCCTTTTGCAGTTGTATTACATCCAGTAGTTAGAAACACACATGTGCTACTTCTCTCGGCATTCTACTGTATCATTCCAAGCAGTCTATACTTAAGCATAGCCTAGAAATAGCCATTATTTGACAAAATACACGAAGTAATCAAGTTCAGTTAATTACGTGCTATATTACAACTCATTATCGAATCTAACGTATAAATTATCATACCTTATAATATCAGCGCTCATTGTGCCACTCAAAGAGAGATTGAGAAAATGTGATGATTTAAAAGGTCTAAAATTTTACATAATACAGCTTTCTGTGCATCACATGGTGGTTCTTCATTGCAATCGCAATCGAGTTTTTATTATGCATTAAAATCATCATAAACAACAGCCTAATGTTCTTATCGAGTAGTTTATCGTATAAAATGACACCGACCAACTACGACGTCTGAATAATTTTCATGATAATGTCAGAACATTAAAAGCCTTTATTTTGTAGATATAGTAGTATGGCTATAAGATATATCTTTGTGAATATAACTGTAAGTGATATAAAGACAAATGTATGGGAATAATAATTTAAATCGAAGCACATAATTGCAAAGAATTCCAATCGAACGAATGTATTTTATCCAGTTCTCTATGAATTCAAGTGCTTTATTAAAATAATGTGTGCAACCACATGATAGTACAACTTATGTCGTCCATTACAATATGTTCATATATATTCATGTTTGTAATGCGTGACATAAAGTACATTATGATGTTATTGCATTCATTGTATTTCCATTGTACAATAGTGTGTTTTAGCATTCAACATTTTGAATGATGACTTCAACTTCTGTTTTATTGGCTACTTTTGATTGATGTACTTCGACATCACATCGAGTGTGTATACTGTTTCATCTTACTCTATGCAGTTTTCTTCTCGTCTCTATTGATCTTCAAAATGGTAAACGCATTTACCATTATCTGGCTTGCAATCATTCACAGTTACTTTCTTCGTTGTTATTTTTGCTAATATCATTCTTCATGTGAGTATATTGATTTTTGGATTTGTAACATGTTTACACATAAAACCAATCGTGCAATCAAGTAATTTCAGTTGGCATCTCAGCTGTGTCAATGCATAGTGTTCGAACCATGGATCGACATCTGATCATCCTAAAATGCTTACGTGCATCCTCGCCAATGTTGCTGTTTTCACTGCGTAGTATCACTTATTTATACAATTTGATTACAAGTTCTATTGAAAAGGGTGTCGAACAGCAAATTATTGAATATATTCGTGTCCAGCAAGTGAGTATTTTCATTTACTATATTAATTATGTTATGTCATTTTATATCATTTTATCCTGAAAACATTGTTAAATATTTGTACAAGAACTTTTGTATAAATATCTTTGTTTCTTTTACATATGTCGTCAACTTTGCTGTTTGTGGATTCAAATATTAAAGTCGTGTTAGATGAGCCTTAACGTGACTTTTTTTTGTTACTTCAAAATGAGTCAAGTCGGATATTACTAGATAAAATCTAAAGAATCAATTAAACCTGGTTTGAAAATCTCATTGAACATTCATGGAATTTGATGGGTAGATTTTTATTTAGTGACACTCAATATTGGAGAATACATAAATCTTTTAAATTAAAATCATTAAGTGTATACTTAGAAAGTGAAATTCTAATCCAAAACTATTTGATAATCATAATCGCGACTTAAGATAGTCGTATGGAAAAAAATTGATTCGACACTGAATCAGATTTATCGTAGTAGCTATTACTTAGATCATCATTCACATTGGAGAGTGACATAATAAGTTTTTTAATTAAAGAAATTTGTGATGACAATGTGTACACAACATTTTAACTCAATACATCAATGTAGAATAATTCAGAAGTAAACAGAAATGCTAGCTTAGTTGTAAAGCTTGCAAGAGAACTAATAGAATAGTATCAGCTACAATAACATGTGAGTCATGGATACAAGTATTTGTTAATCGTCAAGAGCGAATAGCGTAAGAGTAGAAGAGATATTGGTATATGGAATGTTTTAGCAATATAGATGGCATATTTTTATAGGTCTATGCAAGTTTATGGAAGTCTTGAGAAAATAATGGAAACTTTGGCAAATTTCAGAAATTAGGAGCAACTTCTGAATTTGTGCTTTCCAATACTCTGACATTCGATGAGATCTCATTGGGTTCTGACGTAGAGTATTCGTCATAACCTAAGGATGAAACTAACTCAAGAAATCTCTAGTATTAGGATCCAGTGAGATTTCAACAGCGGAGATAATAAATAATACTATTTTGTCACTCGCTGTCCAACAATAATCTACAGAATCCAATCAGAATTTATAAAATTATGTTGAAATGTTATATCTTGGATGCATTAAAATATTAAGTGAACATTGACTCGAAAAACAACATATATATATATATTGAAGAAACACTTTAAATTCGTTTTAACTCTTAGCCTGTAAGAAATGATTCTTCTAATAAAATATTTGCTTTATCATCAGCGACTATTTACTAACGTAGAGTGAAAAGTTCTGTACGTTGTTTCTAGGTCACTCAATAAATGATATATCTTTTTCATCAATCAAATGAGAAATTTCACGCATAAAATCGATTGCAATAGTAATAAAAAAATAATGCTACATACATTTATCTATGATTTAAATCTATTTTATTTACTACAAACCTATTTTTCATGAAGAAAAAAACATTAAACACATTTGTTTTAGAAAAATAAAGCTACCTATTATTTGAACGTGTCATTAGTTTTGTAGTATATCTCAATTAATCTTCTTCGACGAGGATTTTAATCATATCAGGATCCAGCAATTGATTCTCCGTCAAACGTTTACTCTAAACAACAAGCTTTATGGTTGATTCACATAGTTGACTGTATCCTACCGTTCCCCATTCGACTAACGTTGGAATATTAGTCAATCGCAGTTGCGGATCTTTTCGAAATGAACAATTTGAATCTTTCCAACTGTATCAAAAGAAACTTGAGAATTACTTTTCATTTTTTCACTTTTTTCTTTACCTTGCTCGATCACCAACTGAACATTCAATAAAAATTCCATTCGATGGTAACAAGAATTCAACCGTTTCTTCTACTGGCTTTTCTACTTCAACACAATATGGACACCTATAGAAAATGAAAGAAAATCAAATTCAATTTATCAATACATTTATAATGTGTTTTTATATACCAACTATATCCTTGACTATCTTTCGAACCATGAAAGAATACAAAAATACGTTTATCTTTTTCTAATTTTCTTAATATATTCTTCAAATCATCATAACTATTTGCGTACAATTTTTTATTGCATAATGCCATCTAAAAACACAAAAAAATGATATATTTTCATTCGTGAATATAACGTTTATTGGACTGTACAGATTTATATATCCGTTTGCTATATAGATGTTTTGCATATTTTGAAAATTAAACTTTCTTCTGATATTCAATTAAAATTTGTAAATGATCTATTTTCAATATAAAAACGAGACAAATCTCGTTTTACTTCGATGAAAAAAGGGAAAAAATACAACGTTTATCCAACTGTTTTTACTTCTAGGATCTGTTGCATCGTTCACTTTTTAAATAGTATATCTTGCATAAAACTAATATGTGATGCATATTGTCATAAAAATGAATGGACAACTGTAAAGCATAGAATAAATAAAATTTTCATCGGTCAGTTGACCGCAGAAAATTAGAATTCGACTTGAGATTATTTCATACGATCACGTGCTTTACAAAAGTAGAGACAATTTATAATCATCGCATTCGGGTCGATAAAATGGAGAGACATCATTGTACGTATTAGAATCTAACGAAAAGAAAAATACCCTGTGATGAAGTTAAATCAACAGTCATTAAATTAGATAGCGAATGAGAATGGATGCGATGAAAATTATTGATTTTTTTGCAATATCATTTAAAGAAGAGGCTTATCAATATCAACTGATATACAATATTTGCAATGCATTTTAAAAATTCTTAATACTAAGAAAATTATTTCTTACGTTCATACTTTATCAACATATTGCTCCTCAATAAAGAGCAAAAAACGTTTTATTCATAAACGTTAATATATTTTCTCTTTCGAAGTCAATTTCAAATTGATTTTTTATTCATGTAAAAACAATAATTTACGAACAATATCTTGTTTTTAAAGAGAGAATTCTAGGGAAAAGATTCATCTTTTCATAACAAATAGATCTTCAATGCAAAGAAAAACAAATACAATAGTAAGAATTAATCAAGACCATCGATTCGTAAAAAAAGACAAATCACACTAAACATAATCATTGACACGCAAACTCATTGCACTTCACCGACGAAATCTTTATTTGTGATCTTAGAAGCAAAGTGTTGTTTTTACGTCAGAATATATGATTAAACGATTCTTGAGAATATTGTGTGGGGTTAACGAATATTCATACGCACACTGTTACGGCTAATCAAAACTAATATCCAAATCAGGATATGAGTTATCACTTAAAAAACAACTCCTATCCACTGCGGGGATCTTTATCAATAGATTCATTCTGGCTGACGATAGTATTACATTTTACATACCATCAGATCCTATGGAGTTCTATCTAATAAAAATATTTTGTAGCTTGTAACATCTCATGCACTTGCTGTTTCCCAACATGTGACTCTAAATATCAGATTCCACTAGTAATTTCTAAGACATACAACCGATTTCTTATCAAAAACTTCGAATATAAAACGTTGCGATATCACTCAGTGCCTTGTAAATCGTTGATCATTCTCTAAGTTGGTACATCCTTTCAAAAAAAATGTGTAGTTGTTAGTGTCACACAACTCCGAATAGCCTGTTCTATTAATCATTCATCAGTAGCTGGACTATTGCTATGATTAACCGAATTCATTTTGACAATCAAAAACAACGTCTAGCAGAATGCTATGGCACACAACTACTATGAAATTCATTTAGCATGAGTGCTATCTGTTTGATGTTAGCAGTCTCCTGAAGAGTGTCTTTTTAAACTCGTCCTATTTTCCATAATAAAAGATTTCAAAAACAAAGTGCTTTTCACAATATATTCTCTGACCATCCTAAACAACTGTACTATTTGATAGCTTCATTCGGCAGTGGATATATTCCTTTCAAAGCAAGACATACCTTCAATTTCATCTACGCCATAAAACGTTTGCATAACTGATGCTTTTAACATATTCGAGTCGTAAAGATAGCTTCAACTGCATCTCTTTCAATTACTTTATGAACACAACCGATGCTGCCTGAAATGCCTACTGTTTTCTCTACCTAGATATTTAAATATGTGATATGTGCCTACGTTAACTCTTCAAGACGAAGCCACATATTTATCACTTTTCTGTACGTCTTTGTCAACATTTGTAAATTATATAGAAAAAAAAAACAATATCTGATATCTGATATCGTGTCGAAATTCTGACTGCTTTCAAGAGTAGATATCTAGAGGTGGGATCAAACACCAGTTATCAGATGTTTAATGACAGCCGATTATAATCACGATCAATAGTCTGTTCATCGTCAAATATAATATAATTTCATCATGAGGCTCCTGATGTTCCATACCATGTTCAATAGTTTCTTCTCGTGATTCATATAAGTATTCCAGGTCGAACAAGTACGGTCGTAAATGACCGTTTACGAAGAATTACGTCAAAATACATGGTCCAGTATTACGACTATATGTCCAGGTGAATAAATCCGATACCGAATCCTATAAGATCCTAACAGTCAACAAAATCATCCGATAGGGAACTCCTATACGTATATCTAGTTAAGTAGAACTTAATAACTTATCTCAACACTAGGCATCGGCATGTCGTTTCACAAACGCGTATCCTACGTGCATCATGCTATTTTTCGGCAGAAACTGAACGACAAATGTTAATTCCACAAATTATCTGATATTTTTTGTTTACAGGATATGTTTGTTTTTCTTCGCTTTTCTGCCAGAAAATTGGTAATTAGTAGTTGAAAACTGCGTTTCTGCCAGAAATGAGTATAAAAATTGCAAAACACTGACGAAAAGTATTAGGCAATTTCATAGAAAATCTGTTTGGTTTTTCATTTTCGGGATGGAAGAATCCCTCCGATCCATTCCCTAATCGGCAAGCTTGGCTTATACACCATTACATTATTTCTTGCTAAACGAATTCACGTGCTCTTATTGAATGATGCATACGTCATGGTCTATTTAGAATCAGAACAGATCCTATTGATTCGGCTTCTATCCAATTTTGTTTGCATTTCAAGATTTTTGTATATTTTCTTTGTATCTCATAGATCAGTAACTGTTAGTACATTCATTTTTATCCTTATTTATCTCACATTTCAGTTTCTTTTGGTTGGGTATTAGGATATGGCATTTCAACGCGTCAACATTTCTATCACCACTGAATCATTCAAAAAAGATGTTCTTTATCGTGAATTGAATTCTATTTTTGTTTGTAAAAAAACTATCTGTGCAAAACGCCGTCAAAAGAAACTTCGTTGTCATAAGCTTCATTATAGATAATATGAAGAATAAAATGCTAAGAAACTTTTGCATGGTAATACGCAAGATGGTTACATCCTATCATATTCTATCAAGATTTGTGTCATTGAACAATTCGAAACTCTGATAGATTACAAGTTTACGATTCCGATGAGTCTCTGTCGACATGTAGTACAGAGAGACCAGCATGTGTAGATGAATCATATCTGATTTTGGATTGGCTTGTTTTTACCAATTGAAAATTTCATTACATATACGCACGTAAGATTCTATTCTCACATTCTTTTTATTTTTAATCACTTAATACAATGGATAACGATTTACGAGTTCGTCCAAAACCTAAATTTGGCATTAGTGATGATGCCGAAGATGAAATGTTACAATATCAAGAACTATTTCAGCGTTCAAATCTTCAACCATCTGCACAAGTTGTACGAGAACCAACTATAAAACGTCAACAATCAAATGAAAATGAAGATAGAAAAAAGAAGCATTCAAATGTTGATCTTACTCAAACAACTGTTATGCGACCTCATATTATTGTAAGAAAAAATTCCATTTAAAAATTACTTAAATTTTTGAAAAAATGTTCTATCAATGAAGTTTTTAGGAACGAGATGTTAGCACAACTCCCATTCAATTACCAAAACTTGTTAGTGATTCATTTCCACGAGCAAAGCATAGAGGTGGCGAAGACGATCTTGATGTACACATTGCTTTCTTATTATTGTTTTTCTATTCATGGAAATTCTTTCTATTTTCATTAGAAAATCACTTTACCAAATGTTAAAAAAGCATCATTATTTGCTAAGCAAATGTATCGAGATGGAAAATTGAAGGCATGCAAAGAATTAGAACAAACGAAGAGACCAGCTATGAATCAAGAAATATCATGTTCAAGTTTATTGACTGGTATTGGTCTTGGTGAAGTCACTGGCGAACGAGAACTTCAACGTATTCATGATGAAAATATTGATCGATTAAAATCAATGGATGAAAAAGAAATTTTAGACGAAAAAGAAAAATTATTAAATAGCCTTGGTAAAAAAGGATTTCTTTTTTAAACGAAAAATCATTTTCGAGATTTTTATCTTGTTTACATAGATCCAAAATTAATTGCATTTATTAGAAAACGAAATAAAAAAGGAGAAGACATTATTCGAACGGTTGATAAAGGAAATGTTGAAAAAATGGATGTAGGAAATGAAACAGTATCAACACAACTTCCAATTGACATTGATTCTCGATGGATTCATATGGATAGTATTGAATATGAAAAACTAGAATGGATAAAAGATCTACCAAAGCCATCTGTTCAACGAACAGTGGATGATTCAGTAAGGAAAACTTGTTTCTGGAATTATCTTAGAAAAAGGTCTAAGAAAATTTTGTTTCATTGCTTTTGTTTGAGATTAACGGGTCATTATTATCGTTCAGTAAATATAAGATGATACACAGTCAGCGCTTCGTCTGTGTGGTGAATATATCATCACATCACTAAGATCTCTCGCTAAAACTCCAGCGTATTCTGTGAGAGATATGAGCACTTTTCCAAAACTCGAGATGTGCGACACGACTGTTTTCATAGTAGAAGTGTTTTTTTTTCTCCCATATTAGATAAATCAAATCCAAAACAAAACAAAGTTGAATGCGAGTATTGCCTTTTTGAAATAATAATAGGTTTCATGAAATTGATTTTCTACTTATATAGCTCCTAGGCCTAGGTTTCATTCATTTGATGCCGTCTGAATTCGTATACATTGTTTGGTTTAAGAGAAAGCTTGAATTTGCTTTTTTTTGTATAATAGTGTGATGTTAGATTGTCTAAATAGATGTATAGTTCCATTTAATTGTGATGAAATCAATGAAATCAATTTCTATTCTAAACTTCTCTATCTGATTTGTTTTATTTCGAACAGTAGTTCGATATGTTAAAATTTACTCTCCAATGCCATCTCTTGTGATGAATTAAGAATTCAAAAATATCTGGTTACGATAAAGCAATTCTATTTTTTTATCTTTGTTCTAGCATCCAGAAGGTGTTCCAGCTCGATTTGATTTTAAAGGTAACCTAATGTCACGTACGGTTGATGTTCCGGTCACAGCTGCCCTACATCATCATGGTGAAGAACCAGAAGCAGCTGGCTATACATTAGAAGAGCTATTTCATCTTTCTCGTTCAACTGTTCTTCAGCAACGTGTTCTTGCTCTTCAAACATTATCAAATATAATTCGCCAAGTTTGTTTTTTTCCTATTTTTTGATGAATCGAAATAAAACTCTAATGCTATACTAGGCTCATGCTGGTATCTACGATATTGAACTTCAATTACCATTAATACCTAAATTAATTGAAGCTGGTATTCTTTTTCTTATACGTTGGGCTATGGATGAACAGATTGAAGCGATATACATGATAGCTATTGAATGTTTAGCAAATTTAATTGCACCGAAAAAAGACGAAGTAAATAAAAAGAAAAATATTTTTATTTAGTGAAATCTATTTTTTTAAGGAAATCCTTTCTAAAACAATGCATTGGCCATGTGGATATTATGAACCAGTATTAACACCAGCAGAAATTCAATTGGGTGACAAGAAAAGTGAATCAGATTTAACAGATATTGAAATATTGGAACAGGATTTAGTAAAATGCTTATTTCGTATGAATTTATTCAAAAGAATTGTTTATCTATTCGATCGAATGAAATTACTATCACCATTGACAATTTTAAATCCAGTAAAAAATACATTTCATATTCTTATTCGTATGGCAAGACATTCCATGACAAGTGCAAATCAAGTAGATTACTATTTTAGATTTTAATTACGTCTAAAAATTTGTTCAAATTTTAATAGATCTTTGAAGAAAGAGAATTAATGGATTTTATTATTCGAGAATTTATTCCTGAAATTATTATACCTAAAGGTAAATTTGAAAGAATAATATACTGATTATATTCTATATTTATTTTTTCATATAGAAGAAGGACACATCTATGAACATTTATTACCGGAAGCTTTAAAATTTTGTCGAATATTAGCTAGTCATGGAAGTACTTTAGCATATAACCTTATCAATCGATATGAACTTCATCAACGTTTAACAAATCATTTAGTAGCTGCTGTAAAGTAAGTAGACAAGCATTGATTTTTCGATTAAAATTTGAACAGAAAACTGAATTAAATTAAATTACAATTTCACTGATCAATATCGTTTTAGTCTGTCGTTATCACTACAAGATAATACAACTCTGAGTGAATTATTATCGCTTTGGCGTATATTCATTTTGCATGGACATATGGCAAATGAATTTGGGTAAACATATCTTTGTTTTTCTTCGAAATACTTATCCATTTTTACTTGTTTGAAATAGTTCTTTGATACCAACGATTATTCTTCCACTTTGTCGAATGTGTATTCAACAAATGCCACATCTGATTATTAGTAAAATTTTAATCCAACTTATTACATTATTCGACGCATTGATAGTTTACATTACCAAATTCATTTTGAAACATCAGTAAGTTAGAAAAGAAGAGATTATAAATTTTGATTTGCATTATTTTCTAATAGAAAATCATCTGAAGATTCAACAAATGTTATCAATTGGTCACATATTCATGGACTTTTTGATCTTATTTTAACAATTGCCAAACAAACTCTGATAGAAACGGATGAAAAAGTAAATTCATACTAATCATGCCGATGATTTAAGATAAAACTTCAGAGGTTATCTTAGAAAATCTTAAAAACGTTTTTTTCAATCAAAACATTATTACAGAAGACTCTATAGAAATTCTTGTGAATATAAATAATGACATTAGAAATTAAGTTCAACAAAGATTATTGAAGAACATTGTATAATTTAGATCGATCTGGAAGCTCTACGTACGACATGTTTATCGTGTTTAGCATCATTTTTAATTGGTCAACAATTATTGGTTCGTATTAATTAAATCAAACATAAATTTAACGATTTTTATTTTCTATTAGACAATTAATTTATTAGATTTGCCAACAAAAGTAAGACAAATTCGCTTTCAATTGTTTGAACCTATTCTTCGTCTGAAATCAACGAAACAACTTATCGAATCTATTAAATTTGAGTAAGAACACTTTTTTACTATTGCAAAGCACTATATAAGTAAAATATGATAAAGGACAGCAATAACTTCTACAAATACAAGTGCAAATTTACCAACGCTAACACAAAGAAATACATCACCATTTGGTTTTCTCATTGCTTTGCTTCGTTTTACTAATATTATGTATCAAATAGATAAATCATTACCGGATTCGGTAAGAACACAAGAAACAAAAAATCAAGTCTCTTGTTCAACTTGTTTTCGGTGTTTATTTAGAGTAAATTTATTAGTCAATTGATGTTAACAAAAGATAGTGAAATAGTAGTTTATATCAAGAAAATGTTGAATAAATTAACATCATCAGTAACACGTAAAACACCATGGTTTGAACAATACGAACATATTTTTCTGTTTCACTTTGTTCAAATCATTCATCAAGAAGTAAATTTAAAAATAAAATATCTACTAATAAAGCAAACAATCTCTACATCCTTTCAGAAATCTACTCATGATTTGCCATCAATTTATTATGAAATATTACTTACATTATTACCATCACTTTTAAAAGGTTATCATTATCTTGCTCAGGAAATTCTTAAATTTGTTTTATTTGATTTATCGTTTTGGAAAAGGTTATTTAGTTTTTTACTTAACTAAATTTCTACATTCATTTTGTTTTTTTATTCTAATAGATCAAATGAAATTGAATTAGCTGATCTTTCATTAGTTACCAACGAATCTCTCTGTTTAGCATCCAATGAATCAATTAAAATAAGTCCATCTCATCGTACGATACTCTATGAACGTGCTGTTGAGCATTTACCTTCATTATATACTTATTATAAGAATATTTTCCATATAAATCGTTCATCAATTGATTTAAATATATGTGACATACATTTTGGTAATTTACTTCAAATCGATGATTCATTTAAATTAAACATTCATTATTCGCAAACATTAATTGATCTAACATGGCCATATGGTTTGCTTTCATCACTTTATACAAATGTTTTCTCGATTGCCGACAATGATAAACGATTAGATATTATTATGAATACGTTACGTTTCGTTTACATATTAGAAATGAAGAATAATATAATTTTATACAAAATGGTAACAAAAACTACTCGTTTTGCAATGATAGCTGGAATTTATTTACTTGGTTCTGATGTATTTCTTGAGAAAAATGTAGCTGATTATCTTGTCGCCTTTTTAAATTGTTTTAATGAACAAAATTTATTACAAAAACTTGAGACAAGAACCAGTATTCAATCATTAATGACTTTTTTTGATTTGTAAGTTAACCACAAATAATATATCTTTCCATTCGCTATTAATAGTAAGGATATGATGTTTCTAGTTCATCGAAACTTTAGGGAGACTGTTAGACATGTTTGGAATCAAATTCATGGCTGAAAGTTTATTTTGTTTTCAAAATAACTAAACTTTAAAACTATTTTTCAACTTCAGACACTGTTGCCATTTATTTTACGATATAAACGTTCGATTTCTGATTATTATAGGACTGTGGATTTTGTAAAACTTGCTACTTTCCGATGGTTGCTCAGTCCATATATATATATATATATATATATTAAGAACTTTCATATTCTAATTAAATCACTTTAAAGGATGACCGAGAAAAAGAATTAATATCTAAGGATGTGACCTCAGTCGATCGGGGAAAGTTTTAGTTCAAAGCTACAAGAAAGTATTTTGATTTGATTTAAATTTATGTATTGATTACAGTTATCGTTTACTTGTTGATCAATATGAAGCTTGTTCATTTGGTGATGTCCTTTATTCTAATTATCTTCTTGTTCCATTACAACAAATATACGATGTTCAACTACGAAAACATGTTTGGATCGAGCATTCAACCATATTAAAATATCTTCGCCTAAAACCTGATCAAGTATACCGTTTATTTTCTAGTTTTACTGATAAAAATATTATTTTTTCTAGATTTTATTCTCTCTTGAAACATTCTTTATACCATACGAAAATGATCCTGATTTAATTCGTTATTATGCTCAAGTATTATTGAATGGAACTATTAGAAAAACGATTCAGCCACTATTATATATGATAGCTGTGCATCATCTCAATGTTTTTCTGTATGATCAAACACGTACTGAACAAAGTGATTTACAACGGAATATTATGAAAAATTTACAATTGGCATCGAGAAATGACAAGGTTTTTCTCGATATTTATTCTTTGAAAAAATAAAAACATTTATATTTTTTTCTAGATGTTATATGATGAAATTGTTTATTATAAAACATTTTCACGAGATGGTCCAGTTATATTTGAAAGTCTGCCATTAATCCGCATCAATTGGTTTCAAAAACTTCTGCAATGATTAACTATTCTGCTTTTTTTCCATATTGAAATAAATCAAAAATTCATGCACTGATAATCTAGATGTTTTTGTTAGGTATATTCATTTTCAATGTAAACAATAAAGATGAAAACATTTAACTCAATACAACTATTCAAAGGATTAATATAATTTTTTGTATATTCTTCCATACAACTAATTGTATTTGGATATTTTCAAATTATCAGAATTAAAAACGTAGGGGAAAAGAGTTGTATGATCATTGATTATATCAAATGAATGTTTTCCAAATATTTTAAAAACGAAAATAACGTTAGTTCTTCTAATTTTATAGCTATGCTACTTTTGCAATTAGACAAAGTTTGAGTGCAAGCCCACCAAATGCAAATATTGTGATAGGTTTAAAGGTGAGATCAATCTAGTATAAAGTTTAGATAAATGGTACTACAAATTTCAATACAGGCCATTATAGACTGCAAAAGAAAATGACATTCTATTTCTCAATATTTGTTGTTAATTGATGAATGATGAAACATTTTGCACGTTAAACTTATTATCAATGCTAGCACACAAGTTAATATTAATAACAATTTTTGTTATTCCTGTTATTGTTATCGTTATTATTAATACTAATATTCTTTTAAATCCTTTACAGCAAGCAATATGTTTGTCAGTAAAATAAAATAAAACGATTTCTGTAACGTATATCAAAAAGACAACCATCTTTTTTCCTTTTTACCACCATATAATTCAACTAAATCATGTCCTGTTGATGATAAAACAAAAATCAAAAATCAAAAATATATCCATCTAATTAAAATGATTTAGTATTGGATGCTTTTAGTTCTATTAAAGTTTCAGATGTATGTTGATCAACACATTCAAGATCTTCATATAAATTTATGCTTTTGTTTTTCGGCTTCTTCGGTAGCTGAACAATTCGTTGCATACCCAGGTCGAACAGGACGGTCCGTATACGGCCGTGTACGGTTAGTTTACGACTATTTTCCGGGCGAAAGTTTACCGTAACATCTGGGTCAGTAATACGGACCGTATGATCATGAGAGTACGGAGCACAAACAGTCGTAAACCATGAAAATTCAGTCCCGTTTACGGTTCCATATTACTATGCCAGGTATTACGGCAAATACGGCCTATTTACTGCCGTAAATATACCGTTTTGACATCGTTTAACGTCGATAAACAGACTGTAAACGAGTCCGTTTTGATCAACATGGCTAGTTAATTGAATGTAACACAATCAATGTAAAGGGGTAGAGAGACACGTTTATTAATACAGTAGTTTCTGAGCAGCAACGATTAATTTTATTGAGAAAGAAAAAAATACAGAAATTAAATTTTATTTACAAAGATACATTTGCAGATAGTCCGTTCATGTAGTCGACAAGATGGACGTTGTGATAATCATCGACCAGTCGTTTTATTCTGTCGTCCAGTTTCCGATAAGTTGCTTACTTCGGTTTCGGCCCTTGACCTTGACGAATTTGAGCAATATCGACTTCGAATTTCGACTGTTCGCGGCGAATCTTGCCGGTAAGTTTTGTGGTCGTTGGATGAGCGATGGAAACACGTTTGGCGAATGCATTGTGCCATCCTTCAATAGAATTATTAGAACGAGGAAGATTTGCACTTACCATTTCAGAAGGGGCCATTCACGTATTACGTAATCACTAAGAGGGGGAGAAGGGGTGTCCAAGAAGATTATACCCAGCCAATTCTTTTGGAATTTTAGCTGGAGATCTGATTATACGGAGGAGGTGTAACGCCTTGATGAGAATCGTGATCGAACATGTGACTATTATCTATATAATTTGCATTTGAATCATTCTTGTTCCCTCTACTGAAAGAAGGGTATTACGAAAAACGAGTTAAATGCGTTCGTTCGTCCAATAGGAAAGCAGATGCATAAACTTAACAAACCGCAAACAATATCTGTAGTGATAGGTTTCACCGACGGTAATCAGGATCGCTGAACACGATGGCGTTGTTAGCTATTTTAGATTGTCCTTTTTTGCTTTTTTTTAGGAGAGAGAGACTTTTTTTTATAAGGGTTGACCGAAGGTAATAAGGGTCGAGGAACTCTAATCTGGTGTGAGATTTTCAGAATTTATGTGTTAGGATGGGAGATAAATGTATTGGATGATCTTCTTTCTTTTTTTCTTTGGTTCGTTCTTGTTATTTAATGAGTCATGGTCTTTTTTTTCTTGGTTCTTTTTTTTTCGTTTTGCTTGTCAGAAAAATAAAAGCTAGGAAGTGGAAATAGAACGTGGCAACGAGAAATTTAACTTCCATTGAAAATGAGCAGCTGTCTAATTCAAGTTCGAACATAAACGGAGAACAGAAAAGGTTAAACTAAAACTAAATATATTCCTAGATTTAGTTTTAGTTCAACTTTCTGATATATGCTCCATATGAATACATATATACCCACACCCTCAAGAGATCTATCCGAGGGTGTGTGGGTGTGGGTGTTGTGTAAATGTTCATGGGTTATCTCTTCATTAACACCCACACCCTCAGGTTCTGATTCACAGAAGGTGTCCGCTCAGAAGAGACTTGCTGAGAGGTATATGTGAAAGATCCTCTTGGCACAAGACATATTTTCTGGACAAAGTCGACTTCGGCTGCTAAGAATTCCACACAAAGTTACGTAATTGTGAAAAAAAAAGATAAATAGGTCACTTTTTAGTCTATCAAGTATTTAAGAATTTCTCGAAAATAGCTAAACTGATGAGTGCAAAAGTGTCTGCACAACCTGGCCAATGAATGTAGTCGTGACCCGACGGATTGATCTAGAGATTTCTTATGGATATGTCCCATAATGATACACGATAGTGTTACGATTCACTTTGCAATGGTGTAAGATGATCATGAAATTCAAAATTATTATACAGTCATAACTCACATAGCAACAGGTTGAGAAGAATTAAGGAAATATAAGTGAAACCATCAATTTACGTATTGAATGAGCACTAGTTTACTAGTCTAACACATCTATGTGTTAAGGTAACTCTTGTGATACGATTTTCGTTTGTAGGAGATGATAGGTACTGCTATGCAAAATAGAGAAAGGCTTGCATACATTTCGATAATCAAAGAAAAGAAAAAGCTAACATATAAGATTACGTCACATGTTTCTTTTCTTCTTCTTTTATTTATTTGTTAAATGAAAAGAAATGAATTAAATGAAAGAATTTGTTTTTTTTCGCAAAAAATATTAATTATTAAAGTGAAAAATACATTGTGTTTTTGAAAATATTTATTATTACAATCAAAAAATAAAATTGTGTTATTTTTACAAATATTTATTAGTAGCATAAAATACTTTATTGGTAAAATAAAAATATTTATCAGTGAAATAAAAATATTTATTAATAAAATAAAAATATAATTTGCTTTATTTTCACAAAGTATTTATTATTAAAGTGAAAAAAAATTGTCTTTTAAAATATTTATTATTGAAACGAAAATATTTAGTAGTGAAATGAAAATATTTATGATAGAAATGAAAAGAAAATTTGAGTTATTTGAAGAATGTTTATTTTAAAAATCAAAAAAATGAAGTTACAAAAAAATAAAGAACAAGAATGAAAAATATATATAGTTACATTTGTTTTCGTTTTGATTTAATCAAATTATTGAATGGAACTAAAACATAAAAAGTAACAATTAATTTTATTTTCTTGGAATGAGATAATAAAGATAAGTGAAAGTAATTATATTTACTTTGCTGTTGAAGAAATCGAGATGAGCTAAAACGAAATAAAAAGAAACGAATTGATTGGAATGGGAATTTGTTTTTGCTTAACAGCTAATAGTTGCTCGCGCGACCAAGAACTACTTTGGTGGTGCCATGGAGAGCCAAGACTCTTTACGTACAGACATAGATCTAACGTGTATAGAACATACAACAGATAGATCTATATGCGGCCTGTACGTGCTATGGGCACCAAGATAGGCTTGGCCTGTTTCACGCCGATGTATGGAAGACCTCTGTAGGACGTATGAAATATACAAAAGAATGCTTACTTTTTTAGTATCACTAAAATAGAAAATAGAAAAGCAAAATTTTAACTAAAATGAAAATATAAAGACAATTATTATCATATAAAAAATTAAAATAGTAATAAACAAATGGGGTAAAAAGCTGAGACAACGAAAAAAACAATTTTAAAACTAAAACTATAACACTTACTTGTGATATTGAACAATGGCAAGTACGCATACAAGATAAAATAGTTAAAAAATAAAAAGTATATATAATATAATAATGTAAGAAGAAGAAGAAAGGGGGAGGGGTGATTTCTAACGTTGAAAATCATTACTATGCAATCGATCGTAAAGATCAAGAGCATTCTTAAGAATGACAAAAAAACAAATCTTGTAGTACTGACTATACCGCTAATTGATCTTTTATGTTGTTGTTCTTCTTCTTCACCTTCACAAATGAAAAGAAGTTAAACACTAATTCAACAACATCAAATGGTTATCGAAATCCATCACAATGGCAATTGTCTATCGTTTTTAGTATCTTCTCTAACATCATTATATTATGGAACAATGAATACATGAAAACAAAAAAAGCGTCTTTCTTATAGTTAATTTTCTGTATTTTTTAGTTTGAATATTATTCTACTATTTATTACTTATATTCATGAATTAAACAACAATCGGTTATACATTTAAACGTCGAACAATCTTCATCTTTGTCAATCAAAATTATCGATAATAATTACAACGGCATTGAATCGTCGTGATTCATCAGGAGAACTGGTTGTTCAACAAAAACTTCGCTTTGTTTCAAACACATTATAGCAATGATCGACTACTAACTAGATCAAGATATTGATACAAAATTATTTGATGATGATCAACACGTCGAGTAGGTTTTAGTTTATACAATACCCAGGTCATTATCGATCAGTCGGTTCTTGTCAGACGGGTTATAATTCCGCTGTAACATGATGCCCGGATTAGGTCGGCTAATTTCTGGTGAATTCCGATGATTTTCTTTATTTTCTTATGAAATCTGGTTACCGGATTCTCCGAGAACCGACCAGATCTACATTACCGGAAAATATCAGGTCAGATGATACGATTGGGCCGTATACGACGTGATCCGACAATATCCGGTAATGAAACTTTACCGGAATCCGCCGTGCCGCATGACGCTCTATTTCATGGTAGATCCGGCTTAATCAATATCACCGGAACCAATCGGATCATATTAGAACCGAACGGTCCTACTCACCGGATTAAGCCACGTACTACAACACCGATCTGATCGACAACATCTGCAACTAATTACCAGATGCTAAAGAACGATCTTGTGATCCATTCCGACCCTTACTTAACAGCTCATACAAGCGATGAAAAGCATGAATTTAAAATGATGGTTCATCCAATAGCTTATTTATGAAAAATCAATCCACATGAGCAGCATGATTAAGTATTTATTGATACTGAGCGAAGTAATCGACCCGAATGGATCTCACTCAACCCGCTTATCATAACTCCAGCTAATATAATCTAATTCTACGATCGACTCCTGGTCTAACCCGAAATCCACAGCCATTAATGATTACCCAGGGTAAGATAAACTTGCTATATACTCATACTATGTTGTTCGTCCATGCAGCTCGACAAAAATTAAAACGCGTTACACACGTGTTTGCTCGGTCTGACAAGACCGAAAGCATCATTTCAAATCACCAACAACCGCTTTTTCGGACGCTGAAATGTTGCTTACACATAATATTAATAATTTCATATGCCATTAAATCGTTTTCGGATGTCACTCACGATCCTGTTTCATGAACAAAAACTACGTTGGAACCATCGAGAATGATTTTCTGAACGATTTTTTGTCTTAGTCAATTTTTCGATACGTCCAGGTTGAGCTGTGGAGTGATTTTCGTCGAAGAAAAGTGTGGTTGGATCCGTAATGAAAGAAGCTTAGAATCCCGTTTCAGGAAGAAAAGCTACGTTCGAACTATCGACAATGTTTATTTGAACGATTCTATACGACTGATACAATATTTTGATTGGTGCAAAATGATGTATGGAGCGATGTTTCCACGAATTAAAATGCTACAAGATCACCCAGTGAACGTGTTGATAATTTGTTTAATGAATACAATGTATAGTGGGATGGTTCTGGATCATTCTAAGCGTATGTATTAGTGAGTCAGATGTTGTTGGTTCCGGGTTACAATGTTTCTCAGGGTGGTTGCTGTTGGGGAAAATGTTTGTTTTCGACCTGTTGAGGTGGTGATGGTATGGATTATGTGTGATTATTGAGGAGGCGTAGTCGTTTCGGTTGGTGTTCATTTTCTTGAAGACTACAGTTGATTCATCTTGTGATTGAAGAACGCTTGTATGAGAGATTTTGTATGAAGAACTGGTCATCGGAATCTGATGCAATCTGGTCAAAGTTGTTGTGAAGCCCTTAGGAACCCGCCATCATCCAGCAGTCGGGGTCGATTGGTTTGGACAATGTTCGGTTGTATTATCCGGCAGGGTCCAGAGGTAGGACCGAGTGCCTTGGGAAGGATCTTTTGAGTTTTACCCGAGAAGAACTACTCGATACTTATGTCAAACTTTATGTCTCAAAATCGAAAATATTAAAAAAGATGTGTTGTTCAGATTTAGGTTCTTCCTTATTCCTTGAAGATGTATTCCTATGGGATAATCTCCATAAGCAAGCTAAAGATGGTGTTGGTCATCTATTTATGTTGAAACGGGTTAAACGTTTAAAATTAAAACACCGCTCCCTTCTCCTATACTAGCTTGATTTTAATGAACAAAGTGATAATTAGGAATATAGGAAAGAAGGAACACGAAATCCTAGTTTATTAACAGTCCCTTAACATTCTACCTCAACGTTTATAACTCCCGCTACTTGTATTCTCTGTTCATCTCGTTACCGCTTCATTTGCTTAATGTATCTTTATCTTTGTTTCTCCCTTTTTGTTTAGTTTTCGTTTTTTGTTTCTTCTTTTTTTGTTTGTTACTTCCTATTCCTCCCGTCCTTCCATGTTTCTCTGTTTTTGTAAGCACTTCCGAGTGTGACAATAAAAGAGCATAAACGAAAAAAAAGTAGCAAATTATTATATTATTATTGAAATAAGTGACTCTCCTCACTTTTTAGAATTATTTTATACTCAACTTTCAAATTAACTGCTTTTTTATATTTATTCGAAAATGCTATTAGAATACGGATTTTTTGCTTGATGCGGATAACAGTATTAACAAAATTGACAAGTTTATTAGTTAATTTAAACACAGTTTTACTTAAGCCAATTACAGAAAGAACATGACACATCTATAATATTTTACACTATATTCGCGACGAATAGTCTGACAACAAATTGTCCATGTAACGAATTGTCTTGCGACGAATTGTCCGACGACGAATTCACCTAGCACCGTATTTTGACGTAATCAAGTAATAGATCTTGGGAGTTATATTAGACATGATAAAGATATTCAATCATAATTAATTTGTAATGTAAATCAATGATATAATTAGAAATATTATTTGTAAATTATGTTAATTTATTTAGACTATATTAGAATGAAGTTATATATTACAATCTAATCTTCAATTACTTGACGATTCTGTTAAAAGAAAACTTAATTGTAAAATAGCAAATTCTTAACAGATTCAAGAGTATTCAATGTTAATTTATCAATTTAATAAATCAGTTTATTTTCTTATTTGTAATTGATTCATATACTATTCAAATTTCTAAAATTCTTTTTGTAATAATTAATTTTAAATTTTCAGAAGAATTCATCATCAATATGATACATTTTTACAATGCTCATTTGTTACACATTAAAAATATCATCAATATCTACAATTGTGACGTCAAAACACAACCATATCCTATAGCTTATATTCATAACCCATTGAAAAAAAATTTAACCGTTTTAGATACATAGTCGAGTCGGTTAATTGGAAATCGTCAATTTGAATTTCACATTCAACATGTATTTGAACATAATGAGACGAAATTTGTTCGATCTTTAGTTTCTGGTGACGATCGTTATTGTAATCATTATTATTCACAACTTGTACGAACTGGTGTTAAATGTACAAGTAGAAAACAAAATAACAATTATATGTCATACAATAAATTATTTATTAGATGCTTTCGACAATTCATATATAAATATATTGGTATGAGAATTTTTTATCATATAGAATTACGTTTATTTTGTTAGTGAAGGTTTAATAAGAAAGTAAATTTTCGATTTTTTCATATACTATTTGAAAACTATCGAAAATTTCGCTTACATGACGCACGAGCGTAATATTTGTAATCTATTTCGATAATTTAGTTGTTTTTTAAGTCAGAATAGCTATTGATATATATTTTCAAAAGAACGTTTTTAGGCTGTAGTTAACCTTGTTCATTATTTAATATTATAGCACTGTAAATAAACATTTATTGTTGCTACCAGTAGAATTGATCTATCTGGTCATCATGGGCAATATATAATTTATGAAAAGAGATCGTAACAACAAAAAGAAGTTTTCTTACAGTAGTTTTGTACAAAATAAATGCTATAAATTGTAGTGAATATAAATAAATCTATGAGAAATTACAATGAAAAATAATTATTCGATTTTATTTTGAGAACACTATGCGATATGAAAGTGAGTTGATCAGATTTATAAAGCGTAGTTTGATGACTTTTGATGTAATAGAATAATTTGATACATATTACTAGTGGCGCAACCACCACCAGATGAACTGACTCCATCCCAGCCAGAAATCTTGGTTGCGTCACTAGATGTTGCTGCACCTTCTAATAGTCATCCAATATCAGTAAAAAATTGTTTTATTTACCAAAAAGAAAAATTAAATCAATCAATTCCTGTTACCGATTACAATTCTGAACGAACCGATCGTTTTACCTTACAATGTGTTCCTTAACTCTTTGAGTCCCGGTGGGACACATCCCACCTTGAAACATTTCTAATCCTCGAGTTTTTGAGAATCTTAAAGAAATATTCCAAAAACATGTCTAAAGCTAACACAGATCCCTACAAGATTGCATGGATAATGGACTGTATGGATGACAACATTGAAACATGCACCTTGCAAAGTTTTGACCCTATAGAGGTGCTTATTTGAGGTGTACCAGAGTTTACATCAACTTTATTGGAATGGAATGAAACTTGCAGCGCTTGTGTAGGACTTGTACCTGTAAGTGTAACGATAAATAAGAAAACCTTGTAAAGGGGTGTAAATTGGGAGGACAAGATGGGACCTCCCAGCCAAATTGGAGATTATCTGGCTCCTATATTACAAATGCGAGAAGTCTGAAAATTTTACCATAGATGCCACTCGTTGGGTTGATCATTTTTTGGAGTGGATATGTTTCCCCCGTATTCTATTTTTTCGGGAAAAACCTGCAAAAAATGCTAATTTTTGATGTTTTTTTGGCTGAAATATCTCTATGAAACCCAAACAAAATTTCAACTTTTATTAGTGCTCTAGAATCGACTAACTGCCATCAATCTAATGCTGAAACTCCCAGATCTGTAGCTTTTTCCGAAGTCAAACGGCAAAGGCATCTTTGGAACCAACTTTCGATTTTTTCCCAAGCTTGCATCCTCCTCAGATAAAACCACGGAATTGTCAAAACCTGTCCTATAGTGGAACTTCATCAGCACACCTAGGTCTACCATTCCTGGTAACTTAAATAATTCAGGACTCAAAGGGTTAAATACAATTTTTCAAAACATTAGATAATGTTTTAAGTAAGCTCGTTTGACTCTCAAATAAATATAGCATAATGATTTACCAATCATTTCCCTTTCACACTGATTACTCAATACTCGAATAACTTTTCACTCTTCATATACAGATATTTCTCAGAATAGATGACCTAAATATTTTAATATAATATATTCAAGATAATTACCTGATTACGTATAATAACAAATTTTACTGTACTATTAAATAAGACGGTTTATTTTGCTTTTAGAAATGCTTAAAATAATCTTTATTCTATCTCAAAAAACTTTGATTATTTTATTTACAATGTCATTTAATTGCTCATAAAGATTGTGAAATAAATGTTCGACCAATGTGTACAATAGTATACAATTCAGTTGGGAAAGTACGTGTAGAATAAGAAACAGGTAACTATTGAAACTCTATCACTTCATTTAAACTTGCTAAATTCTTTACCGAAAAATAAACCAATTTCTTTACTAAAGTTCTTCTATTTTGAATGTATTTTGTTGTTTACATGATAGCCATTGGATGTTTAAATATCTAAACAAGAAAATAACAAAAGATATCACAATAATGCCTGCATAGATACAGTTCAGATACTAATATTCATTCAATTATTCATTCAATTATACAACAAATTAATATGAAAAAAGTGCGGAAAAAACGCAGGTTTTTAGCAGTTGAACATTGAAAATTGAAACTAAAGTAAACTTATTCTCAGATGAATTCTTTTCTACTGTTTTACTTTTCTTTTATCGTTTTCCAAAAATGATTTTATTGCCACTCATGTTTTTTATATCAGACTGTACACAAGTGTAGCAATACTTATTCTTCTATTGGGCGCGACATGAAATTTTGATTACGTTTAATGGATTTTTTTCCTTCTTTTAATCATTAAAGCGCGAAAATCCTTGTAAAAAAACATCGTGTAAAAACGAAGCAGCGTGTACAGCACATACGCACTATTTTTTCAGAGTGTAGAACAGTGTGTAAATCCTATTTGATTAGGGTACAGTATATTTTGTTTTTCTGGGCACACTCTTTCATTAAAAGCACTGCTGGTTATAACGATCTGTATCATAAAATAAGTTGTATTATCGTATGTTAGTGTCATCTATTGCTCTAGTTCAATTCACTTTTACTTGAGGACAAAGGCAAACAAATGTTTACGTTGATGAGTCAAAGTAATATAAAGGATCGTATAAATTTTTCAAACTTGAGTCAATATTACTATTATCTGCATGAAAATAAAACATTTATATCTTTTGTATGAATCATCTTGTATTTGTTCTGTGTGTTTGAGACTTAACTACATTTCCTTTTTTGCTCTACTCATCGACAATCTTATTTTATTTTTGATTGATCGCAATTTTAATCACGCGCACCATGTTTCGTGTACTGATCAGTAGTATACGGGCCACAGCAAATATGCTATTGGTTCATCATCAAAACTTACCTAGTGATCAATCATCCACATCGAAATGGCATAAATTTCGTAATATTTTTTTTTCAACTATTTCGTCATTGGGTATTTCATTTATTCGATCACTTACGGAGACTGATACTCTTTATGAATGTGTGAATACATATTTGGCACATTCAGCAACAAATCGAAATACTGTAGATCCTCGTAAACGAAATAACTCTGGTGTTAGTCGATTATCACGACCTAATTTTCGCCGACGATCATGTCGTAGTAGTGGTATTATACGAATCGTAAAACCAAAGATACATATTCATATTCATTAGACATAGAATTTCTTCATTATACATGTGAAATACAGTATTTGTTTTTTTGTATTTGTGTTTTTAGATCAGATCAAGATAAATTTCTTACGATTATAAAGACAAATGGCTCGTGGACATCAGAAAGAATTGGCTCGACAACGTAATGATAAGAACGGTAGTGGAAATAAACCGACCACACAAAAAGGCACTAATGGTAAATAAAGTTTTCGTTTGAAATATAACAGTTAGGTTAATAATGCCTTTTATTTTAGCTGCTGCTTTAACATATCAATGCACAGTTTGTAAAGTATGACTAAGAAAACAACAAATTAGTTTTTTTCGAATCAATCTACTTTTCTATTTAGACTAAAATGGGCGATCCAAAAACTTACAAACAACATTTTGAAAGCAAACACCCAAAGAGTGAATTACCAGCTGAATTACAAGATGTTTAAGGCATAATTATGGAATCGATTGATGAAGAGAAAAAACTTCAATTTACTTTAACAACCTATAAGTTTTTTTTTCTTAGAAATTCAACATTATTTCTCATAAAAATTTTTCCTTTTCTCTGCTATTTTTCAAATAAAGGGAAAGAAAATTTTCAACACAGAACGTTTGAGCACAAAAAGTGATGAGCATAAGAGCGATGCATACGAATAACAATAAGCTTAATCAAAATGCATTGAATGAGTATACTGATAATAGATGCCGATGTCAAATTGATAAATACTATTATGATTTAAATCTAACAATGAAACGTGAACATTCGTGAACAACAACGATCTTATACGGTATGCCATATCATGATTCATTCGAAGTACAAAATATTCTTATATTCAATCACTATTAACATGTTGTATTTTCTCATCCTATTGAGATGTTGTATGTTCAACATCAGTTACTATGTTAGACATATAATGAATGGCTCTTAAAGAATCCGATCTGAACCTAACAGACTCCTGATGATGTGATGAGACTTATAACTGCGTTGTGTTAAAACAGATTCTTTCTTTTTGCTGTTTCATGAATATCTTTTTTTTCAAATAATTGTCTAGTATATAATACTTTTGTTTTCGGAGATTCTTCGTACATTAATTCATCGATTTTTATCAATATTACTGGACACAATCAACTGTGATATTTAGCAAATATCATAGAAACATTATTTCGTACCAGTTAATTATTATCAGGATTTTGGTGTAGCAATCTATTTATTTTTATATATGTCTTTAGATGTTTCTTCGTAACAAATAAGTACTAAACAACATAGCGACCACTCAACAAAACTCTTATCTCATGCGAGTAGTTTCAAACTTTCGTATCTCTCTTTTATCAGAATGTTAATTGTGAAATTCTTTTATAATCCGTGTTTCAAAAATATACAAAAATAATTTCATAAAGGTTATGTATCAAAAGTGTCATATTCATAGCAAGCAGGGTGGCCAGATCTTCTGAAAACTAGGGAAAATTTCTGAATTTTGAACATGTTTCTGATATTTTTCTGACCTTCTGATTTTTTCTGAATTTGGAATATTTTCAGATCGCTGCTTTGCCACTGAAATTAGGTACGATCATAACCCATTACTATAATAAATCAATAGTGTTTCATCAATTTTCTGTATTAATCATCNAAGATGTACTAATTTGTCAAAATCTGCCATTTTCTGATTAATTTCTGATTTTTCAGAGAAAGTTTCTGATCGTTTTCTGATTTTGAAAAAATATTTTCTGATTTTTCAATTTTTGATCTGGTCACCCTGATAGCAAGGTACAAAAAAAACAAATGAATTCATTTAACGATAAATAAGTAACGAAATATCTACAACCGGTAGTAGTATAAATAGAACCACTAGGGAATACAACCTCTTACGTTAGCCATCTAATAATGATTTTGAACTATTATAGACAATGGTCTGCACAACATATGGCAAATATTGTGTATTCCTACCGTTCTTCAGGTGATTTAGAAAAAAAAACTATAAATACGCATGATTATATTATCGTAATGATAAACATGTTATATATGTGATATAAACTAAATGTGGTCATAAAACATTGACTTTATTTTCGTCGAAATGCAGAATACTATTCGTACATATAGTACAATAGTTAACAAATCCTGTAAAAATACTTCATCGTATGCGTAGTCAAAAATGACTCTGATCAATGTATACAAATCATAAGCTGATCTTTAGGAACAAATTTTCAAACATTTACTATGGTTCTCTTGTTTTGTTAAGAAGGTTGATATATTAGACATGATTTAATTCTCTTCTCTTCTTTTATTTTAATTTATTTTAAATTTAAATCAATTTAATTTGATTTGACCTTATAGTTTATTTATTTAAATTTAAAACAAATTAAAATAAAATAAAAGAAGAGAATGAAATCATGTCTAATTACTATGGTTCTATTCGACGATTCATGAGAATAGATCATTTAGTTGAATAATAGCATCAGTGAATTCTTTTAGTATGACAATTCGTATGTGTAATCGTTTGGCTACTTTGAGAAATATTGTTTAAAGTGTACTTTTGCATTTTTCTGTATTATTTCAGTATTATCTGATGTTTTCTTTTTTGTTACATAAAGTCTATATAAATAGGTGTGTTTTAGTTCATCTTTCGTTATGCTGACTATTTCCATATTGAATACGTTGTGTGTTCAATATTCTCGTACTGAAAATGTAGTGATCATCAACTAACATAACTATATGATTTGATTTGATTTCACTGATCGATCAATCATAGAAACGACATCTTGTTGTATTCAGTCTTAAATGGCTTTTAATACTCAAGTTGCTACTTCAATCAAAAATAAAAACGTTTTTCTTCTATAGAATGTATATGACAAAAACAATTTTTCATTATTTTTTAACAACTATTTGCTGTGGTTGGTCAATAAGCGCGGCAACAGTTATAATCGTAAATTTATTAAACATTATTCTTTCCTTACGTTCTCTCCGAATCTGATTGACATTGAGAATTCTCTCGTTTAACAGTTTACCTTAAAACACTTATAGTGAGAAGAAAAAGCGAGAACAAGCATAAGAAAGTCGCCAAGACAGCATCAGATACAAACATTTACGCATCCGGTAAAAAGTATAAGTTTTAAGTGCATCGGCCGATGCTCTATCATCTTTAAATAAAGACGAAGAAGAAGAAAACGAGAAAGAAAACTTCCGTTTCATTCGTTCTTTCTTGTTGCCTCTCAGTTCTGTTTTTATTGGCATAATCATTGTCATTTCTTTTTTTGTATTTTTGAGACATAAACAACGATCAGGTTAAAACAAAGTTTACATCAATCAAGTGTGTACAATATAAACATCGTTTTGCGATATTATTATTTTTATTTCCCAAATATGAATCGAGTAAGTATATGTGATACGGATAATAGATACAGGAGAAGAGTTCTAAATTAGAAGATTGTATTCTGAAGAAAAGAAGAAAATATGTCTAAAAGAAATACTTGATACTTTTCTTTAGTCTCATAGTCACCTTGGTGCATATTATAGTCGTAATTTATCTTTACATAAACCTGGCACCATACCCAAGTCATGCCGAAATATTTCACCGATCACATCAAGTTATCATAAATATGAATTAAAACAAAAAAAATGGCCAAAACAAACGGTCGAAGCATGGTTTCAAAATCATTCATCTCATGGTAGTTCTGCACTTCTTTTATCTCTGATTTCATGTCTAAGATGAAATGTTCTTTAACAACCGTTTAGATCGTCGAGCTGTTTATAGTTTTCTCAATACACTTTATGATAGTGATGACGATCGCTCTCAAGTAGATAAGCGATCACCTATTGAACGACGTCGAAGATCACCTAGTCCAAGACCTCCTAGCCGTGTTAATACGGCCCTCGCCAATTCACCAAGCCATCCATTGCAAAGACGAATGTCAAATAATGACAGAAATGAAAGCAGAACATCGAAACGTGATCTTGGAGAGATTCTTGAAACATTAGAATGGTAATTGCAATGATGTTTTTGCATATAAATTCAAAATTTCTCCTTTTTATATAACTAACATGAATATTTGTTTTCATGAAGCCATTCAAAATGCATACACTTTCGAAACACATGAAATCGGTCGGATGAGTAGAAAGAAAAAGCACAGATTTTATTGACTTTGAAACGAATCCATGATTGAAATAAAGCATATCATCATTGGAAGTGACCTTGCTAGAGAAATCTTGAATAGAGTAGAAAAACAACTTATTTCATTGCAATAAAATAAAGTTAGAAGCATCGACTAGTGAGTTCAAATTTAAATCTATTTTGGAATGATAGTTTTAAACTGTATCGAAAATATGATATATTTGTGTGCATCAAACTCTGATTTATATAATCAACAAAAGAATCGTTCTTGCATTGAACCGGAGAATATAAAATTTTGATTTTCTTCTTGTTTTTTGCTTTTTTTTGTATTTTCATTCACTGTTTGGTGGAGAAACAAATTTGATACGAGATCAAGTATGACAATTATATGTAATCTTTAGATTATTGACTTGTCAGTATACTCTTTTAAAAAGAAATGATCAATAGTACTTAATATACAAAACAGATAGTGATCTAATTAACCGTTGTTTTCTATGGTTTGTATGTTTATTTAAATTAGCAAAAAGATTTATTCTCTCAATTATTCAGTTTATTATTGTTTTACTTCTAACCACTGTTAACATATTCTAGTTTACGTCATTCACCACCATTGCAAGAAAAAGGCATTCAAACATCAACAACGCCATTGACAATTCCATTACCTCATGTAAATGGTATAAATAATGGACGCAAAACAGAGGAAAAATTAAGACGTTCAGCAACAGCATTCGACAAGTATACGGAAACAGTTCAACCAGAAACGTTAACAGACAATACATCAAATGTAAATGTTGCTGAAAGTCCTAAAACAAGCGTCCGGTATTTATCTAATACATGGCGTGTAATAAATCCACGAGAAGATATGGAACAAAATGTTCGTCCTGAAAACAATAGATCATCTTTTTTTAATTTTACAAAAAAAGTTTATCCTGAATATTTTTTTATTCATCCCGATTGGTATTAATTTGGTAAAATATTTTAAACTTCACAAACATGACTATTTTTTTATTTCCTTCTTGTATTGAAAAATAAATAAATGAATAAATTTCAAACAAAAGAAGACAATCGTTTTTATCGTAGAATGAAAAAAAATTTTGATAAATTTAGAATATGACAACCATATTATTTGAGAACAGTTCATTTTAATAAAGCATTGCTAAAGTACAGTTGAAAAATATTTATGTTTTACATGATTTTGTTTAAGCATTGGTGTCGTTCGTAAAGTCATCGGATAAACATTGAAGTTTGTTGGTTTCCCTTGTTGCTTATTATTTCGTGGAAGTGATAATATTTGATTATTTTGCTGCTGCTTTTTGCCATATTTTACATTATTTGATAAACATCTTGTCACTCTGTATTGTTGTTGTTTTTTTTCATTTCGTCTAACAACAATTCGTGGACGTAAACAATCGATAATTTGCAATAGTTCATGACGGGCTTGTTTATTCAGTGAAAAATAAAATATAAAACTAAAGCACATGGATATCATGGATAAAAGATATAATGAATAATTAATAAATATAAATCGACGTAAATCGGCATGTAGATTGTATGTTAATGGTACGGTTGTTTGATTGAAATCAGATGATAACGTACGATTTGATAACATTTGATGTCGAGGTTTTGTAGTCAGTTGATATGCATGACGCCACGTATAAATATTATATGGAGCCCAACAGAGAACATAAAATGTAAATAATGATACAAGTAAAAATACTGTACGTTTGACATTAGCATTTGCGCGTGTATTGTTCGCGTAAAGTATAATTGGTGATGATGTTGGTGCAAAACTAGTTCGAGGCGTAGATGAACGATGTAATGTTCCAAGATTCGCAGTAGCATTCAATCCAGCATGTTGATCAGTCGTGTTTGATGATGTCAGTGTGCCCATTGGATTAGCTACTCTAGCAACATTAGACATAAGCATATGTCTATTTCTTGCCGTTGTATTTTCTACTTTTCTTTGTAAAATTTGTTCATTTTGTCCATGCCGTTTTTTTTGTACTGCCAGTTGCGTCGACAATGTATTATTACGTTTCATAGTCGACTGAAATGATGTCTTTGCTGTTGTTAAATAATATTGATTGTGTTTTGAACTTATAAAATAGATTAAATTGGCATGAAGAAAGAATGAAAATAATAATGGTAAGATATAAAAAAATATTAAAAAACTGATTAATATTTCATGTGTATATTGTACAATACAGATTTTCATTTTGAGTGACGTTCTAAAAACATGTGCATGTAGTAGATTACAAATAGCTATGGGTAAACTGCATAGTATAGGTAAAATTAATAATATAATTGAGCCTGTTTTCGTTGATATCCGACGACACCATTTGGACTGTGACGATTCATTGGATAAGGCATTTCCGTGAATGTAAACGAAACGATCAAATGCTCCTAATTTAAATTCAAAAACTTCATTTATTTTTCAAATGTTCACGTAATTTAAGATGCTTCAAAACAATTTAGCATTTCTGGGAGATAAGCTTTACTTATGCATCTTTTCAACTAGTAATCTATGTATTTAATTGTCAAAGACTGATTCACAAATCTAATCTTGTTTCAAATCAGATAATTATACGTTAACAAGTGCTCACATGTATCAATTATTAGTATATTTCAAAGAAATCGATTCTCTAATAATTTAATTCGTATAAAAAAGATGAATTTTTTTCTTAGAAAAACTACATACGTATTCCCGTTCGATTACTACGTTTAGTACTATTATTATTATTATTATGATTTTTCAATGAGCCAATGTGTACATGAATTCAACTTAGTTTTAGTATGTTTTTTAATTCTATGAATTATCTGTATTTTTATATAGATACAAATTATTGAATAAGATCTGCTCAACAACAATCAAACCTAGAAGCCAGGCGATTCAAGTAGATATCTATTTTTTAGATGTATCCTTTCAATTTAGTTTTTTTGCGCAGAAATTTGATTGAAAAATTTCAAATTATAAAATTTAAACAAATATAATTTTATATCCTAATTTAAGAATGAATTAGTTTGTAAGTATTGATCTATTAAACATCTTCATAACCTAGTATTTACAACTATTTTTATTACTCTCATTGAAAAAGTTTACTCAGAATTTCTTCTCTATATCACAGATGTATTTTTATAGTTAATTGAAACTATCGAAAATAGAATTCTAATTTAATGATAACTTGTAGTTTTGAAAGTACATAAGTCAAATTTTCTACGATACGTTCTATTACATTAGTTACAATTCTATTGAATAAGATTTAAAATTATTACTGAAAAATAGATTCTATCTAGATTTCTGTATTTTTATATTCGATTGTTTAGAATAGAATATTATGATTTCATCCCTGAACGAGTAAAACAAATTCAGTTTTCACAGTCGAAAAAGGTTTTTCAATTTTGCTTGAGGAAATTGAATAGCCCTTAACACTTGAAGTGTTCTATATATCTTACTCTCCAGTTTAGTGATGTGGCAAAAATCTGTTCGTTTGAAAGCTATTAGAGAAATTGTATCCTAGTAATTTGTAAACTTCACTTCTTGAGTGCAAAGTATCTGGCTCAGGGATATTGTAATAATTATTTTCAATATCAAGACATTTCTTCTCAGCGATTGTTGAGTTTTAATCATTCTTATTCATTATGACACCGGTGAAAAATCCTTACGCCAACATTTCTATTCATTTAGATACAGACTAAATAAGGATTATGTCCTGAAATAAAAATAGATCTTAAATAGAAAAATTTTTAACAGTAATTTAGATTTTGACATAAAATAAAATTGCTTATGACAAGTTTTTATTATCTGAAAGAAGCTCTTTCACATAAATGAAGACACAAGGAATTATTAGATAAAACAACTAGAAATAATAAAAGTTTCTGTTGGTAGATTAATTTGTGATTCGAAGAAAAATATACTAATATTTGGCGTAAGTAATTTTTTCAAAAACAAAATCTGAGACAAGATGAGAATAACTGTTCAGTTAATAGTACATTGTTGATGACTATTTCATGAATAATTTAATTCCATCAGGTAGATAAAAATATTCTACGGTTATCAAATCACGCTATACAATCATGCAAATATAATTTGTCTAGCAGCATCTTTCTCAAATAGCTACGTTTCATACAATATTAAAATTGCTTTATTTTCGCACTTAACAAAACTTTCACAATGCACTCTTCGACTTCTTAGTCGTAGAGTATTACTCACGAGGGAGGATCACCAAGTGTTCAATCGCTTTTGCGTTGAAACTATTTGCATTATGCAGCTTCCGATGAGTTATGAATACGCTAAAAATATTTTGGACGGATAACTTATTGTGACTAAACCAGACCATTTCTAAGGTATGAGCTTTTTTGAGCGCCTGAGGTCCCCCTTAGGGACATTAAAAAGATTGATGTTCGAATTTTGACTTGAAAGTTTTCATAGAAAGACTCGCTAAGGAGAACAATTTCTTGTGAACGTTTCAGACGTTTCTACTATTCCTATCGTTAGACAGGGGTATTGTAAAATTTTTATTGCACATCTTGCAAATGAGGTATCAGATTTAATGAAACAAATAAATTCAATGATCAAAAGCATTCCAGAAACACTACTCTCGTTGAGATGTATTGCTACATAAAATCTCAAGTTAAAATTCGAAAATCAATTTTCGAATGTTCCTGAAGGGGGCTACAGCAATAATTAAAAAATACAATAAAAATGGCCTATTTTCGTAACAATAAGATATCCGCTCAAAATATTTTTAATGTATTCATAACTCCTTGGGAGCTACATAATCTAAGTAGTTTCAACGCAAAAGCGGTCGAACCAGTGGCGGAACCAGGGGGGCTCAGCCCCCGCTAGTGAGATTTTAGAAAATGCATTTTTTTATATAAATATGTAGCAATGTTTGCAATTTCATGTTTTAGCCAGTGTTGCCCGCTATGAAACTCAAAAACTCCCGCAAGAATCAAGAAAATCTTTCAAAATCTCCAAAAAATCCAGAAAATCTTCAAAAATTTCAGAAAAACCTTCAAAAAACCAAAAATCTTCAAAAAAATTTCAAAATTCTCCAAAAATCTAAAGTAAGCTTTCAAAATTCGAAAAAAACCCAGAAAAATTGTCAAAATTACCAAAAAAAAACCCAAAATGGCTTTCAAATTCTCAAACAATTCACGAAATTTTTCTTCGGGGGCTCAGCCCCCCCCCCAGCCCAAAATCCTGGCTCCACCACTGGGTTGAACACTTGGTGGCCCTCCCTCGTCAGGATAATTTTTCTAATAGAGAAAAAAGATTTGATTCTACATAGCATAATCCTATAAAAAAAAAAACTGGAATCTTTTCATTGTTATTGCACATGCGGTTTCATACAGTTGTTGTTTTCATTAAGATCTGTAATAATTAGTAACAATATGAGGAATAGCTTGTCAAAACTATTGTCTTAGACGGACTCAACTTATTCGTTATAGTCTCGTACACTCACGAGAATTATATTTCAAAAAGTGCTGACGATGGCACATAAACAAGTACCATAACAAAAATAGTTCCATTATTCTTTTCTATTCCTCTCTTCATATTACTCAGACATAATTGTAGTTAATTATTTGCCGTTTAAATCATGCTGGCAGATGCATAAGCAGAATACAAAAATTTCATCTACTAATTCATATTAACTAAATATTATTCTCAAATAAAAAACTATACATAAAGACAAATTATTACAGTTTATTGTATTTATTCTAACGAATTATTCATATAGTACATTGCCAGTTTCTACTCAATATCGACTCTATAAATATACAATGACTTTTCTCATTGATGCCAAAATACAATTTGATTCGAATGAAATATTTCTAACACAAACAATGGTGTCGCAACCATCTACTATACATTTAATTAGTGCTCTTCGTGATACTGTGTATACAAGTATTAATAGAACAATTTCAAATAATTCTTGGTATCATTCTTAATCAGCATTATTAGTGTATAGTAATCTTCATAATGTGAACCTTCCGCTTCCTCACTAATTATACATTGTGAGATTTCATTTTTGTTTGTTTGTTTGATTGAATTATGATTTTGTTGTGATTATAATGGAAGAGACCATTAATCGAATATGCAGACGATTAGAATGTAAACTCAAGTATTGAAACGATCGACACAATGTAAATTGGGAGTTAGTGTTAAACACAAAGAATTCAGGTTAAATAAAAAAATAAAAAGAATAACTAATAAACGAATAAAATGTGAATGAAAATAAGATTCATAACAAGATCTACGGATGAATTATACATAAGAGAGCTTTTTAAAATCGTGTTTCCCCATTTGATTCACATGTTTTAATTAAAATTAATTCGAATACGCACGCAATTCCTATTTTAATTATTTTTGCTAATATTTATGTCTTTTTTATATAGGTAATATTTATACATTGGCATTTCCATCAATTCTTATATTTGTCAACCTTTTTATATCCCTTTTTTCAATGCAAACTGTGCTCATCTTACGTATTCCCTGCTTAAACTTGTGTGTTCTTCGTTTTTTGTGCTCATGTCTCTGAGTTCCGTGCCTTTTCTTCTTGCTCTTTTCAATGGAATATCTATTGTAAGAGAAAAGATGTTTCTCTATGATAAATTGATATTTCTGTATTGATGAAATCTTACAGTTATTAACAAAGCTTATGAAACATGCAATATGTTTTTAAACAAGAAAGAATGCTTTTTTAAATTGAATCAAACATGAATACATTCTTCGAACAAATAATATTACTCATTTTATAAATGATTCAGTGATTTGAAATAATCTCAGCTTACATTATGAACGGAGAAATAGCGGAATTAGCGCCTGAATTCATATTCAAAACTTGAGCCACGAATAGAAAAGCAAAGAATGTTGTGATATTCAATTTTATAGGACAAGAGAGATTCTCAATTTTGAATGGTACTAATAATATATATAAACACTCAGAACTTGATTCGACGTAAAACTATCTTAATTCTAATTTTGTGGAAATGCAGGTGGAAATAAATATGTAATGAATGAGTATAACACTGCAATGAAGATCATACTTCAAATTTCTTTGAAATTTTTTTAATTTTATTACGAGCTTTCAACAATTTCTAATTGTCATCGTCAGGAAATAGTAACACAATAAATGTGGAAAGTTCGGATTTCATCCGAGAGTTATGTGTATTGCAAAAAGTGGATGGGATATATGAGTCATTCTAGAATGTCTGAACACCAAAATTATCATGAGAAACTAGGCAATTTGATTTCTGGATGCAGTTTTGTGCATTTTGAGACGTTTTTCAGGCGATGTTTCGTTAGAAAGCTACGATTTAGTTCAAAACTAATATCAGATTCAGAATCAGCGTTAACAACTGAGTCGATCTACATACGTTGTAAATAATTCTGAGAAAAATATATTTTTTGAAAATAGATCCCTGTACCCCTCTGTGACGGTACGGTCACTACTGATTTTATTAATATATTTATTCTTTTCTATATGAGTATAATTAATCGTTTCTTTTTCTTGTACGCGCCAATATATAAAAAATCAATGTATCATATACTTACTGTTTTTTCCTTCTAAACGAGTTACTATATATTCGTCTTTGTCAACAAAATAGTAGAAGAAGATTCTATTGCCTTTTTCTTCTTCTATTCTCAACTGTTCTTCAACATACTCAACGCTAATTCTTTGAACTATTGTTGAATAACTCTCGTTCGTTTCTCTATCTTGTCTTGTTCAATAAATCATTGGTATCCTTAGTCAAGTCATAATTCTTATCGTTTCTCCAATTGGCCATAAACAGTTATTGTGGCTCCTGGTATTTCTAATAGTTGCACATCAGTCGACATCACTGAGAGCGTAACACCCTCCTCAAGGATGGTCTGGTCAAAAATGACAATTTTTTCGATAACTCAACCATTTCTTGAGGGATCCTTCTCATCTTCAAACTCGACCGAGATACTCATGAGATTGGACTGTGTGGAAAATTTCATCACGATCTGGCTCTCCTTTCGAAAGTTATCGTGCCTACGGCCGGCCGGCCGGACACTGACTGATTCTAGAGTATACTCACTTTTTGTGTTACTATTTCCTGACGATGCCAATTGGAAATTGTCGAAAACTCGAAATAAAATAAAAAAATTTTCAAAGAAATTTGAAGTATGATCTTCGTTGCAGTGTTGTACTCATTCATTACAATCTCAATTCTAGTTCATACATGAATAAAGAAGTTTTTTGGCGGATGCCTACAGTGACTTTGCTCTAAGTCATGAATAAGACATAAATGCATTTTATCTGTCATCAGAATATACATACCTAACTTTGATTAGACAAAAAAATAAGTAGAAAGTACCATGAACGTATGACATTTCTTGATAAAGAAATATAGAGGAATTTTATGTAAACTTTCACAATTTTCCTTTTCTAATATATTAGAAGATTTCTTTTGGTAAAAAAAAGAAAGTGACTAACATACCTAATAAATGATAGAAGATGATGCATGATGAAAATAATGATTCAAAAAATGTATGAAATCGACAAAGCCATGTATGCGAAAACGAGTATGAAAGAAATCGATAGATTTCTATTGGTGAATCGATTAAAACAAGACAAAGTTCACCTAAATATAAATAAAAAATGGTAAACAAAAAGACAAAGAATAAACTGAAAGATTTCTCTATACTTAGTGCAAGACATAGAACAATTCGATCTGTTCTTGATAAACGTAAACGCTTTGAAAAAATGACTGTCGCCAAACATAAATTTCCAATAATAGAGACAAAAGAAACAAATGCAATGAAGAAAACGAATACAAGTAATGAACGTGAACGTTCTCGTATACCATAATTTTGTTGAGTTTTTTTATTAGACACATCAAATTCATTTGTACTATTGATAAGACGACTTAATTCAAGAACACATTCCGGTATAGTCTTTGGTACACGTAATGTTAAATTTTGTTGTGCTAATAATTGTCGTATATATGGTGGTGTTAATTGTTCCTTATTGGAAAAAGCTGTTCGATTGAAAACAATTGATACAAGTTGTTCACATTGGGCAATTAATGTCGATGAGTAAGATGTAAATGGAAATGAGGAAATATTATTTGTTTTCGAATGATTTTCTGCCAGCATGATGTCTTCCATTAACAATTATGTTCAGTTAGAATGAAAAGCAACAAAAGGAATGGAAAGGATTTACTTAAGAAATATCTAAAAGAGAAAAAGAAAATGACATGAAAGGAAAAAATGGCAAGTAACATTATGTGTTTTAATAAACTGCTATTTACGCACTTCTACCTTGGCGCTTATGGTTGAGGAGTTTCCTGGCAATAATGAAACGATAGTTCGGCGAGTACTCCTAAAGTAATCAGATATCAAACAAATATTCGTTATTTACCGGAGTTTTGTGTAATTGTTTTTTGCATCTTTACCCAGCAGCTAGTTATATGATTACCTTTAGCTTTTAGATATATTCTGAAAGTTAATTTATGTTGCTTGTATTTTCATATACGTATATATATATATATATCTATTATTCATTGAATGTTATTTCATGTGAGAAATACAAAGAGTTGTAAAACAAACCATTTTTCGTATAGGCCTACACTTGAGAGAAGAAGTTAACAAACAAGGAGATTTTGCAGTTCTGCCTTTTGCTATCACTTGTATACTCATGCACTGTCCCTATTTTTTTCTAGTTTTGTTTAACAAATATTCAAAGAACTTGTTATAAGCTAAAAATAAATGAACCGCTTCTTGTCAGTATTGGCAGATGAGAATAAAGAAAAAAAATGAAACCATAAGTTTGTTAAATGTTATTGAGTCGATAAGTACTGCTTTTCAGAAAATGATAAATATTATGCATACAGACTTAAAATTAGCAAATTTTCATTTTTATTGACAAATTTTTCTAGAGATGGAAAGGAATTTTTCAGTCGGATTTCTAGAAAATTAAGAAGAAATAAAACCATGGCATAATCAAGGAAGACTGGGCGGAATGTTGTTCTACAACCAGAATGAAGAAAAAAAAATTAGTTACTATCAACGAGGCTATATCGCATGCATTACCCTTGTTATGTATTCTTTTCTCTCGGATTATTAAACTCAGTTATCAACGAGACAGCAACGTGATGGTATGACAACAGAACGGAACAAAAGAATAGTCTCCCTCCGATGGAGTCGAACCAACGTCTTCTGCTTTCCGGGCAGCTGTACTACCAATATACTAGAAAGGAACGTGTATTATTCGTTTGTTCCGTCTTACGATCGAAGGGGAACACTTCGGGCGTAAGAGCCCTCACGATTATAGGCTACTTCCATGCTACCTACGATTTTCTATATACGTCATTAGAAGAAAACTTCAAAGTATTTTCATTAGGTTTTCAATATTATAATCCAAACGCTAGACAGATAAAAATAAACAAAGTAAATAATCTAAAAGCTACTCTGTGTGAGTACAATCTTGGTCTTTTAACAATATTCATAACGTGTACAGCAACTTGCCAATCAAAGAATAACCGTTAATTCATACAGTGCGGAGTTCATATTTTTGTTCTAATGAAGATTTTTCTAGCATAAATGTTCAACCGGACCAGTATGCAGACTATAAGATATGATATATTTCATGATATCATTCAATAAAATGGGCTGATTGAATTTATCCGACTCACAAATAATGAACGCTCAAGTCTAACTCAGCATGGGTTGTTCAATAATCATAAGAGGATGACATTGGGTGATACGACTATTAAATCTTAGTAATATCTTGCGATCATTCAATAAAATAGCACTGAGAACAGAAAGAAACATTATTTTTCAACACAAATCAATGTTTTTCTTGTTTTTTTTCACAACTTAAATAAAAATATATTTTAAAAGAAAGTCTATGACATTTATAGAAACATATACATAATGCTTAGTTTTATATATGTGTTATATAAAATTCGATTGTAAATAGCAAACACAGTATGAATGAACTCTGTTCTCCTTATTTACTAACATACTTATTCATCAATGAATCAAGAAAATATAAAAAAAATAGGTAGCACTGATAAAACTAAATTAGCTATTCAAAATTATAAACTAAATTGAATTAACATTAGTTTGGTTCATTATTTCATGACATATTTTATTTAGCAGCGAAGCTTATGTTTTATACTGCAATCATTATTTCCTAGCGGAGGTAATATTCTCTGAAATAGTTCACATTTTGACCAATTAATTTATCTTCGTTGTATTTACTGATGTCTAGAGAAATGTCACATACTACAAACTTATATGAAGAACGAATAACACTGTATGTCAAAATGTAAGTATCCAAGTAAAAAAACGATGAATTAAAAACGTATAAGGAGTTGCAATTTCAATACTGAGACGCATTGTTGCTCACTCAATCTATTCAAGGTTGGAAAAAAAGTGTCGAACTCTATAAGAATATGTATATTATAAAGTTTTCAAATAATTTCTTTTAAACGAAACTGACAACGACAGATAAAAAAGTTAGATGCGGAAAGATATGACGTTTCCTGAAACGGAAGTTTGCGTAATTTTTCAAGTCAAGTATCTGCATATGTGTACTTTCTATTTTAATTATGATAGTTTTTTTTGCACAAAAAATGTTCAATACTCAAATAGAGGTAATTGTAGAAACAAAAGTCATTTTTTCCAAAATATATCTAATTTTTACTACTAGTACATACTGAGCACTTTGAAAATTTTTCAAAATTTAGTTACCAACCTCCCGTCACATGCTTACTAATGAGATGCTTACATCTTGAGTTTTATATAGTTGAAATGAAAACTTAATCCTGAATATTTGATTAAAGAGTTTGTCCCGTTAAGTGCTATTATACTACTTTCCTACTTAATCTTTTGAGAAAAGATAAAACAAACATTTTATTATTCTTAAAACCAACGAATCAAGTATCAGAAATGCATGTGTTAATCCATATAGTATGATTTTGTTATTTTGACCAGTGCAAGTGAAACCTCTGAGAAAAATTCTGAACATAGCATGATTAATTATAATATCTATGAAAAAATAACTTCGTCGGAATGGATGAGATCAAATATTATTCTTGACATGTTCATTATGAGCTGATTATTTGTTCTATAATTTCAGCAAAATCCTATTCATCAAATCTGTGAAAAGCCAAAGACATATATGACTGTACTGCCATCGAAACAAGAATTTATTCAATACTTTCAAAATTATTGAAACATATTATGTAGATTGGCACGCATTTTTCTACTGAGAGATTGGTCGATTTAAGTATTACAAAACAGTTGGTCTTATATTCTCTCATTACAGATTCTGTCCATAGATTTATAAAAGAGTTTACCGAGACATACGCTCAGTCTTAATATTTCAGAGTTAAATTCTTCACTGCATTATTAATAAACCTGAGGTATTTATTATTTTATTACTCGGTGTTGAAAAAAGAAATAAAATTAATAATAGCTTTAACGAATTTATAATACAGAAGTAAAAAGAACTAAAAATATTTTGGGGCGAAATGATTTTGCGTTTTCAAATCGAAACTTATTGATTTATCCAACTTTTTTCTGCTTGGTAGAACCATATATTTAAAAAAAGTAACTCGATTTAAATTTTGTAATGCTAACGTGTATGCTTTTGAATGATATTTTTAAGTATGATAATCAACATTCTATTTCATGAAAGTTAAGAGTAAGAAATCCGAACTTTGAAACGAAACTGGTATATTTTCTATTCTTGTTAGATTTTACTGTTAAATAGATGTTTGATTTGATTGGACACTCTCAAATTCATGCTTTCAAATATTTTATTTCAAAAATATTCTCACACGAAAAATTCTGTCAAGTTTTTCAACTTCTATTATTCTAAATAATGATCAAGCATTACCTTAATTACAAACTTCTATTACATAAGACAGTGTTAATAATAAAATAAAAGCTTTAGATTTACTTCAAATAGCCAATATGCGGCGGGGGAAAATGAAAAGAGAAGAAATAATTGTTTTATTATAATATTGTAAGTTGCCTGTTCTTTGTTCTAATGGCTTCGTTTCCATAAAATAATAAGCTTTGTTGATATTCAAGGTTGCCACCTCTTCCGCTTTTTCACTTTTTTTCCGCTATTTTTCCGCTGTTCCGCTTTTTCGTATAAAATGTGTTGCATATCAAACATACGTACAGAATAATATTTGACATTATTGAGTCAATTCTTATTGTTTACAAATACTGTGAGCCATCATCTTTTTATGTTTTGAAACTTTGATGAAATAAAAAGAAATCCAATAAATATGAAAACAATGCCTAATATTCTCAGAAGCATCACAAATCTGCAACAATATAAGCTTCCGCTTTTTTCTCCGCTTTTTCTGTTTTTCTTTCCGCTATTTTCCGCTTTTTAAGATCAGTTTTCCGATTTTTAAACTTCGTCAGGTGGCAACCCTGTTGATATTCATCTTCAACTTTCTTTTTCTTTGTCATAAAATCGATCACTCCATCCGGTTATTAGTCAGCAATATTTTGGAAAATATGATATTGGCTGTATAGAAAGATTCGCTGTTTCCCTGCTGCTTCTTTTTTTCCCTCCATAATAATGAACCAAACAATACAATGCATAAAGAAAGACGTAAAAGAATGACCTACATATTAACATTTTTTTTAGAAACAGTAACAAGCATTACTAAGTTCTACAATAAAAAGAAAAGAAGGCCTGCAATGATTGAAGCCAACTAATGCATAAAATTCGATTGTACTGCCTGAACCATAGGCGAACCCATTGTTGAATACATTTGTTGAGGTTGTTGCATTGCTCCTTGTGATGGCCCAATTACTTGCCGAATAATACGAACACCTTGAGGCTGAACAACATTCTTGAAAACAGCAATAATATTTTTAAAAAATAACTGAAATTTTTCGTTCTCATACATTCGTAAATAGAAAAAATAGTCTGTTGATGAAAACGATTCAAGTAAAAATAAACAATAGTTTTAGTTGCCAGACATGTATCTTTTTACAAAGCTCAATTTTCATGTAGGAGTGCTTTTCTTGTCTTTCAATTAAAATTAACCAAACTAATTTTCTTTGGATGAAATTTAGTTAATATCGGAATTAGATTAATTATCTTTTAGTGCACGATGAAAGCAAAGAAAGTCTATGAACCGTAAATTGGTTGTATATGTAGTTATTTAATAGACAAGTATCTATCATCCTATATGTTTTCTTCAATGAAAAAAGGTAAACTAACTTGTTGTGCAGCAAATATTGGCACTAATTGTTGCACCGCTTGCGATTGAGTTGTTGTTTGCTGCTGCTGTGGCACACAAACGAAAGTTGGTTGATTCGTTGTTTGTTGCTGAGGTGCACAAACGAAAGCTGGTTGATTCGTTGTTTGTTGTTGAGGTGCACAAACAAAAGTTGGTTGATTTTGTCTGACAACTTCTCTGACTATTTGTCGACATGGAAGTTGCTGCTGTACTACTGGATATCCAGTAGGTCGACATACTTCACGTTTTACAAATACTTGGCGTGGTTGTTGTGTTTGAGGTAAATATTTTTCATAAATAATTGTTGGCGGCTTTGCAGGTGGAGCAGGATATCGTTCAACAATAACTGTAGTGTATTGTAAAATAAAACAACAATATGATTCTATAAAATATAGTTTTACCCTGTCGAGGAAGAGAAATAGGTGGTATTCGTTTTTCTATAATTAAAGGTTGCCCGGTTGGAGGACATGGGGGCGGCTTTTCTCTTTAAAATTATTATATTTTGAAATTTGTTTTTAATAAGAATAATTTTTTACAAACCTGATAATAATCGGTGGTGGTGTTCTTGGACAAGGTGGCACTTGTCGACATACCAATGGTGGTTGAGTAGCTCCAGGAGCTTGGATCTCTGTCATTTGAATATAAATTTATTTTTATCAGAAAAACAGAAAATTTACCTCGAATTATGATTGGTGCTGGTGGAGGTGGTGTTGGTGGTTGTAACCAACGTACCATTATATTTTGTTTATAAACTATTTCTTGATTGTTCTGCTTGTAGATCACTTGTGGATTAGTATTACCAAATGACATATTTTGTACATTAGTATTATCCGAAATCCCAAGAATGGGCGGCGAAGGTGGCCGCATCAATTGAGGGGATAATCTACTCATATATGGAATATTATTCAAAGAACTACTACTGTTGTTAAAAGTAATTGGAGTAGATCGTTGATTCTAAAATTTAAGACAAATATATAAACATATGTACGTAACATTTCTTTAAAATGTTATCTTTAAAAGAATTTTAAATAACATTATTTTTCTTTTTTGTTTGTCTTGAAAATAAAGTACCTACGAAACAGCATTTGCTTAGTCATCGAGCAATTAGTAAAGATGGAAAAAGCTGTATGCAACTGTTTTAAGGGGAAAAAAATAAGATGCATTATCAAATTACGTTTTTCATACACAGTAAATAATGTCATAATTGCCATGCATACATACTAGCAAACTGATGATAGTTTAATTTCTGAAAAAATAATGAACCTATAGAATAGGATATTTATAGTATATCGTACCTTAGAAATAGTAATTCTAGTAATTTTATTTAATGCAATAAAAATCGAAAAAAGGAAAATCATAGCAAACTTACCATTGATGTCGTTGACATAATTGGTATATCACTGATGCGTTGAGAATAGAATGGTGCTGGTTGACTAACAAGTTCTAAATTTGGATTTGCAAGAAGTCTTTGAATTATTTCGTCTTGTCGTGGATCGTTATTGTATGAATTTATTGTTGTAGTTGGTGCTTGATGAACGAATGCCGACGATAATGATTGTTTATTATCATTCAAAAATCCTTGTGATGATTGTAGCAAAGGACTGTCTCGTTTGATATCGACTGGTAAAGGTGAGCCACCCCTACCAGAAAATGGATGTAATGACGAATGACCTTGATTCATTTGACCTTGTTGCTGTAGTTTTTGTTCGTGCAATTTAAAAGCACGCATAAGCTTCATAACTAGAAGGCAAGCATCATCAGCACTTTGTGTAACAAATATGTAGCATAGTGCATTATCGAAGCCATGGAAAACAGTAGCAAATATTGGTGGACCAACAATATAATGCGCGAAGCGATTAGCTAAATCAACATTTTCAAATTCTCGTCGATGAATTTGATCGAGATCACGTTGATCAGAAATATCATGACGCATACGTCTTAATGCACCACAATAAGCTAAATGTTCGGTTGGTAAATGCAAAGTACGATTTTTTGTATCTAGTGGCTCAAATGTGAGAAATTCTCCTTGTTCATCAATTGATAATGAACCTTCTTGACCAAGTATATCTGCATCTTGTCGAGATAAATGTGAACGTAAAGTATCTTGAACAAGATCAGTACCATCTGACGTCGTATAAAATGTTAATGGTTCAACAGCAATGAATTGTACAAGTATTGTTTTACGTTCAAGATCAGTAAAACGTGAAACCATTTTTGTGTCTTTATTCTTAATAAAGATAGACGATAAGTTTATTAGAATTTCAAATAATTTGAATCATTAAAACATATCATCAAAATACATCAACTAGGAGAAGAATTTCTATCTGAACATCTGACCGACCATTATTCATCTTACTAGTTGGTCACGCTTCGACACACACACTTCAAAACCGTTGAAAGAGAAAAAATATCATTTGTTATCAATACAGTATGATCGAGACTCAATATGCGCAAGCGACAATCATTCCTCCTAGATATACGTCTACGCGTATCACGCAGAGTAGACATCGAGCAAAACGGCAAGGTTAATGTACACTTATATTGAACATCATTCATCAAATATACAAACGAAAAGAGCAATTTTATGGCATATAAAACAAGCAAATTTTCTTACTCGTTGTTCATGTCACTTTTAGTTTTTAAACTCAAGTTAGAAATGATGATCGATGACTTCAATTATCAATAGATGATCAATATTCTCTACATGTATGATAATATTCATACTATACAGTGACACATCGATTTTTTAGTTTCTTGCGTATTTATCTATTTGAACGTCCTAGTTTTCAATATGATACAAAATAAATTATTTCTTTTTTCTTTGAACATATTAATTCAATCAATGAGATTATCATATTTATTAAATTGTAAAAGTTGATCGAGTTTTGTTTGAAGAATGCACAGCTGTTATTGGCACTGTCTACCATCTTTGAAATGCTATACATTAGATATGACTAATTAACATAAAGATGAAATCAAAATTTTGATTCAATGATCAACACTGATCATTTTCAGCGTCATCGCGTGAGTTCTTCTCAAGGAGGCAAAGCGAGACTTCCGTACTTCCCTTGTACTCTCAGATACTTTAATTTTACTTCGAAAGAATTTGAAGTACGGAAGTCTCGTTTTTCCTTCCTCGTAACAACCACAAGAAGTAAAAGTATTAGTAGAGAATTCAATAACTATTATCGAATGTTCGGTGAAAACAATATTTACAATAAAAAATACAAGTTTATTGAGTAAACGAATCATGGAGTTGTCTTTCTATTCTCTTATCGGAAGTGTTGTGATAATATCAACATTACAAAATAGATAATGTTATTTTATTAAGTATCATTATTCAGATCTTTCTTTTCTTATGTTTGTTGGGCATCTATTGTTATTTTGAGAAGAATATGCTTACATTGACAAGACATTTATGACAGAGCTTTCAAAAAGACCAAATCATTGAGTTGTTAGAAAAGCTACTCCAGCTAGAAAGTGGTATTGTACTTAGTTTATTACAAAGTTCAACTGAAACATATACTGGTAGGCCTTTTCATGGGAGTTTAATGATTAAAAAAGTATCAAATATTATTGAGTCTTCTTTTTTTTAAAAAGATTCCTTTATTACATACATTATATTTGCGCGATTGTGATGAAAAAAAATTTGCAAATTAATTTTATTTATTAGAATAAACACTTCGAATTTATTTTCGGTTTTTGATACATATAACTAGAGGTGGCAGCCGAAGGGTTGAACGACGGCGGCGGGCAACAATTTTCAATTTTTAAAGATTTCTAGCAGCTCGTTATTTGAATGAGTAATGTCTTCAACGACGGCTGCTACAAATTCTTAATTTTTTTTCCACAGCGGCGGCGCCGGTTGACATTTGCAAGTCCTTATGTAACGGCGGCGACTGAGTTAAAAATTCGCTGATGAAAATCAAAAGAAAAATGTTCGATTCGACCACATATGTATTGATGTCAGCGGCGGTGGATGACGCTACGAAACATTTTTCTCTCTTGCAGCGGCGCAACGGCTAAACTTGTTTTTTCGCAGCGGCGGCTCCCCAAAAATTCTTAAAATTACCAGCAATTTGGTGGAGGCGGCGGCTTATATTATAGAAAACTCGGCTGCTGCGGCGGCTCAGCCGCACGGCTGACATCTCTACATATAACAGATAATCGACTAGAAATGTGCTGTAGACGTCGAAACTACAATCATCGAAATTTTTCAAATGACTTCAAGTAAATTAGTACTCGCAGAATATTTATTCATGATTTGTTCTATTGGCGACATCAAAGATGGCAATAAGCGACGAGTAATAAATGTTCTGTCTGAGAGTTAGTGGAAATTCCGTGAGATTGTTTACGATACAAGGAAGTAAAAATTGATTGCCATTGATTGCTTTCGAATTTTTGGCCATCAGCTAATGGACTTCTGGTTGCTAATGATTGCTTTGCTTGCAATCAACTTTCTCTCCTCTTGATATAATCATTGAATATACGATTTCCTGAAGTGTGATTGGTTGGGTGCACTATATTGGTTCTTTGGTTTTTTCTTATGGGTTTAGGACAGTTGATCGCAGGACAGTTGGTCGCATAGCATAAATAAGAGGAATATATAGTGCAAAAAACAATTGAACATTATTTATTATTTTACAATTAAATAGAGAACATTACAGAGAAATCCGAACAATAAGACAACAAAATGTAAGAAGTAAAACAAAGTTTTCAATAGTGAATAAGACAGCAACCAAAAAACATTCATAGAGACCAAAGAATTTTTGTTACAGTTTTTCGATGAATTGTATACGAGCAACTGTTGTGTATTAATATTGGTGTATTTTTAGAAGTTTTTGTTAGAGTAGCAAACATTAATACTTTCGTAAAATGACTTTTTTCAATTTTCAACAACTTATATACGCGTATATGTATACATGATTATCGTTAAATGAAAATAATCATTAGATTAATATGCTTCATTTGAGCAATATTGAATTAATTACATCACTAAGTCAATCATGATGATTATTCTTCCACACCAGATCAATTCATTGTATTAGTATTGTATGGTTATTATACTCATATTCCTCTTATTTACACTATACGACCAACTGTCCTACGACCAGCTGTCCGCGCGCAACTGTCCGGCGATCAAATGTCCTGCGACCAACTGTCCGGATCCCTTTCTTATCCATCCAAATCGCTTTTTTGAATGAATCGCGCGCATTTCAGGTAAACTCATAAGGCACATAAATGAATACAAAGGCATCGATATACATCTATTGATAGTAGAAGAGGTAGCTCTTGAAATTTTCGAGATGGATAGATTCGATAGAAAAAGAACAATGGGAGTACAAAAAATATTTGATATCCAGACAATGTTGTATAGTAATCAGACAAGTTCGGTTCTGTTACATAAAGAACTCTCTAGAAAACACATTATTCTGAACGAAAAACATTGACTTGTAATGATTTCTTTCGTATGCATTAGCATTTTGAAGAGTTTTTTCAAAAACAATAATATACTAATATGTGTTGATATTAGTAGATAATAATAGTAAGCCAACTATAAGTGATTCATATATACGAACAAGAGTTCTTTGTCCCTTAGTTAGATGGTTTTTTTCTCTGTCGTGAACGTCTTTCATTATCGAGATTCATTTATCAACTTCTAACTTTTTTCGGTAATGTTCTCTATAACCATAGAAAATAAAAATGTAAAAATACTACCGATGAAATTGATAATGAATATTAACATGGTTTGCCGTTTCTATATATATGCATCAATACATTGGAAAATCTATAATTTGGTGTTGCCAAATTTTTATTATTCTCATATTATACAATTGAATTAAACTTAATATTGTGTGAGTTCATTGCGTATTTTTTTATTTTTCATCTTAATCAAATCTTCCATATATAATTAAGTTGTTTTGATCTTTTATGCTAATATAATTGGGAATGAAGAGAAATAGCTAGACCTTATAATTATCGGCAAACAAAAGATATTTAAAAAAATCAACGCAGCAGTTCGCTCAATTATTTATGCAATTTTGGTCGTCTTTGTTGTTTACTAATTAATCTGGAGTTTATCAGAAAATAATTTCTATCAGCTAGTTGGATAAATCAGAGTTTAATATGAAAAACTTTTTTTATCTGGAAGAAACTTACTATTTTTAATTTTATCATTGTTTAATGTTGAAAACTATGTCTGCAATTCAGAAATGTTTTAGATTTTGGATTTTAGTTTTTACGATGCAATCCAATTATTGGCTCATTCAGATGTTTATGATACTTATGTGTTTCTTCACGAAATGCTTGAAAGGAGAAAGGCATTCGTTATTACTTGACAGACAACTGATATTATTCTGCTAGTGATTTTATTTTTAACTTGATTGCTTATTCTATATGCGTATTCTTTTGTTGCTTTTTTTATTATTTAATCAAGCATCCTGACTGAGAAGTTATTTCTGTTGCTGTAGTATTCGTTTGAGAAACTTTGTTCCCCATATATAATGAATTACATGATTAACATTCTTCGGAGATCAATATGACAAAAATTCGAAAGTTCGTAGCATCATTATTTCTCGGTATTATAATATGAAAGAAAAAATTGATTTTGTACTCAAAAATCAAATTTTGATCACATCTAACACGTTGAATATAAAAGCAATGTCATAAACTTTAGTATTCACTATATATTTATTTTGTTCATAAAAAAATGAACAAAAAATGTTGAAACATGAGAAAATAAGCGTGATTGAAATATAGTCATCCAAGAAAACATAAGAACTATGGTAGACATTAGCATGATGTGCTGTTTTCATGATCTATTTAAATTTTCAAATATAGCATTCAAGTATAAATCTTTTAAAACTACGGCAATGATACTCATATTTAAATCAGTTGAATTCTAAAATGATGACACTAGAAGATTATTAAGTTTTGTGTTTTTCCTATTTTTTTAATTGCAATCATTTCCACTACGAAGTATTATTGTTCATGGGAGCTAATTGAATCGAGTACGTCGCAAAATGGAGTTGTTTTTATTCAATACATAGTCTAGATCAACATTATAGAGAATAGTCTGTCGAAAAATATAGAAATCACTTCAAATATATATTTAAAATAAATAAGATTTTATTTTTGATTTCTTTTACTATTGTGAAATCAATAGAAATAATCTCAATATTTATATTCACTCTTACAATCAATTATTTGAATATCTTTTTTTGTTTTGTAACAGTTTATGATCAATAAAACAATTGGTATAAACAACAAATAACAATTATATTTATAGATATTCTGTGGAAATATTTGTCGACTTTTGGTGATATTCGATCATTAGAAATACGCATATTTTGCTGTCTTATTATTATTCATCGTTAATATATTCAATAGATTGACTTGTAAGACTTCGAGCATTCTCTTGTATTCTATTTTTTATCATCGTATATGCTAGTTTTACTAGTGACAATAGATATGAAACGATGTTCGGCATGCAAAAGAAAAATAATTTACACGTATATATATATATATATATGCCTGTAGTTTTTCAGTTTTAGAGAGCATGCATGTGGCCATCAGAGAAAAGATAGAAACGCGTAGAAACAGAAATCTACTATGATTAAAATGAACAACACTATCAATTGTCATAATAAGAGACGAGACATTGCTATGCGAATATCTATTGATAGTTCGACAAAACCAATCGTATTATTATATAATAGGACACTAGAAAATGGCGTTCACGATTCCAATTCCAATATGAATATTATTCTTTTTATTGTGATGATATGTGTCAGTATTCCAAGTGTATTCATTAATCTATTTGCTATATATCGACTTCAAGCCAATACAAAATTAAGTGTTTTTGCTTTTCGTACAATTCTTCATGTTAGTCTATTTACAACATGTACGTGTGTGCCACTGTTTCTAATTGAATTATATTTTAATTCATATTTTCCATTACCACCATCAATATGTAAAATATGGTTCATTGTTGATTATGCATCCACTATTTGTCTTGGTCTGTTAGTATGTTGGGCATCAATACAACGACATATACTTATATTTGGTCCAATTCATATTAAAAAACTTCAATCAACATTGAAATATAAATTAATACCAAGTATTTTTGCTGTAGGTCTTCCATTATCATGGTATTCAATACTTGCCTTAACATGTGAATTTGACAAGACATTAAATGAAAAGTTTCGATGTCATCCATGTTTTGAAAATGAAAAATTTGTTTTTCTAATTGATACTATTTTAAGCTTAATTTTACCATTATTTGTTACTATATTAGTAACATTTGGTCTATTAATACGTATTATACGTTTGCGCCTTAGGATATTTCGTTTTCCATCAAAAAAATGGCGTCGTTGTAAACGGTTAACACGCCAAATGGTATTATTTTCATTAATCTATTTAATTGGTCTTGTACCATATGTTTTAACAAGGCTAAATTCTTTATATAACTTTTGGCCATCGATAAATTTACCTTGGTGCATACAAATAGCTGACACATTTACATATGTTCCTTGTTGTTTTTCGTCATTTTTAAGTATATATGCATTTCCAGAAATTTGGACGAATCAAAGAAATCGTCGTCATAAACATCATCATCATCATCTTCACAAAACAAAACGACGACATGAAACAATACCAGTTAGTGCATCTACAATATTAACAGCAATAGAATGAAATTAAATCTAATTGTATGGAAAGTACACTAATAAAAATGAACATAAATAAATAATATTTTTTTTTTATAAAATAAAGAAAGCCAAAAAAAAATGCTTTTCATAATTTTCCGTTCATTATCAAAACCAACGTCTAGTGCGATCCCAAACATAGAGTGATATTGCATTAAGTAAAAATGCTCGCGCAGCTATTGCAGTCCAACCACAATAAAAGCCATGAATACCGTTTTCTATTCGGTAAATTTCCACAAATGATTGATATAAATTTTTATTTGAAAAGCCCGCTTGTTGTTTACTTTTACATATATCAGCTGGACAAGCTAATGTCCAACTGATAACACCAACGGTTCCACCTGATATTAAACAGCTGATTAATTCACTATGTGTTGATGCATGTATAAAGGTCTTTAATGGATCGTATATCATCATATAAACGCCTACGTTAAAAACAGGTTTCTTATACAGTGAAAATTGCCAATATTATCTTGTAAACTATAGATAATAACTATTCAAAGTTTGATGAGTATATTTTTTGATGTAATCTTTCAAAATTTTGTTGCGAACACTAAAATTATGCGACATATGAATTCATGTTCACGGAGACATTGTATTCATATTAAGATCTAAAGATTATGTTCTCTTTTTGAGTTATCATAATTAACTATACATAGTTCTACTTTAACATCCTGATATTGATTTGCAACTTTTGTATATTATTTAAAATAATTTCTTGTATTAACTTTAATTCCGTACATGAAATATTCTCATAATATATTTTTCTCTCCAATATTTATTGTTACTTTTCGGACAGTATTATTCTTAAAAGGAATATTTACAATGTTTGACAATAATTTTATTTACTATAATTAAAATGCTCTCATTGATTCCCACACTTAGTAGTACACTATTACTTATTATTTGATAGAAATATTTTTCAAAATAACAATACTATTGTTATGATTCAGATAAAATTATTAACTCAGTAAGTTTGCTGAATTTTTGTTAAATACATTGCAGATATATAGATAGATAGATGAGAATTAAAAACACTTACCATAAGTAGGTGAATCTCGCCAAATAGTTGCGTGCAAACCACGTGTAAGACCTCGAACTCCTTCTGTTTTGATGATATGACGAAACAGTTGATAAACATTTGCTTCTTGTTGATGACCTTGAACAATATTTTTTTTTCTTTCTGAATTTTATCTCGAACTATTTACTTGTTGTTTGTAAACGAATTTTCAGCAGTTCAAGGAAACACGATGGAAATGCTTGTACAAAACCACCAAAAGATCCAGCAATAAAATTGTGCAACAATGATATAGGCTTTCCACTATCAAGATCCGCTCCTAAGAAACGAAGACAACTTGCATATGAACCATAAAATGATGTTTGAGATGCACATTGAAGAAATAATTGAGGTGGTAAGCCACGATAAAAACCTTTTATCTATACTTAATCAATTGTTTAAAACAGTGAAGAAGTAATTTAGTATACTCGCTTACTGAATTTAATTGAATAATTAAGTGAGCTGCTTTATGTATACTATGTGTAGAATGATATTGCATCATGACTTTAATCGTATCAATTGGATGAACTACAACTGAACTTGTAATGCCTTTTGAAACAGAAATTTTGTTTTTCTAGACAAAACTTTACAAGTTTGATTTGAATTGATACTATCTTACCAGCTAACAATCCTGCCGCAAAATCCTTCATTGTCTTTTAGTTACTAAAAATGAAACAAATGATGCAGAGCTCTTTTGTTTTCAGATTGTATATTTCTTTTCAGACGCGCAGTCGTTTTCTATAGCTTATCTACTTTTTTTTGGCAATGCCTATTAAATTATCTATTTACTTATGCGACATTTACGTTGAAGATAAAAATATGTCCTCTTGTATACAACACTAACAAAAACAACCAACACGAAAGAGAAAAACAACAGAATGTGGTTCATTCAACTGTTAAAAGATTGATAAAACTTTTTATGACAATTAATCAAGGCTTATTATTTTTTAATTTTTGCTGAATCATAAAGAGAAAGTTATACTTTACATTCTCATTACAAAGTTTTCTTCAAGGTAAACAAAGCGACAAGCAAATGTCACAATCAAACAGATATACTATCAGGTTGATGCATTGATGCTCGAAGAAAAATACCTCGTTTATCTTTTTCGATTCAACGTGAGAAAGTTAGCTAGAAATAGTGAATGATATCATTTTGAAGCATGTCTTAAATATTTCTATACAACCAAATTTTGAAACACAAAATCTTTTTATCTGTTTTCAAAGATCAAATCAGTCGAGAACTTTTCAACGGTGAGAAGCGTAAAGAGAAAGTATCCTTCATTTTAACATCTGAAAATTTTCACTTGTGAAAAATTCAATCCGACAAATGATCTCATCTATCAATAAAATATTCCTATTGAATTCTAGGAAAATATAATCAAGACGTTATGACAACAAACATTCACTACTGTTGCGAGCAGTTTTATTTCAATAATATGCAATTGAAAAAGACGAACAACACATAGAAGAAACTTTAATACGCATAGTAGACTCTCATATTTATAACTTGTATATTGATTTTTTTTCTAAAGCATAAGTTAAACAGTAAAAAATGAAGGATGGTCATCGTTGTGAAAAATATTAAACATAAAGCAAACGAACACGCGATGTTGAAACTTCCATATCCCCGTCAAAAAATTTAGTTTCAATGATAACATTTCCACTAGAAAAAAATTTAAAAGGATTATTTAAAATAAAGAAGTGAAAACTTTACTTTAGTAAATTAGCAGGAATCATTTGATTTTGTGGTGCAGCTTCAATTAATGATTGCCAAGTATTTGTCGAACCGGGAATAACAAAACCAAATGAAAATTGCCATTCTAAATTATAAATGTATTTTGTAAGGAGTCCTTAGATTCTATTCGTCTTTAATTTTTTAAAGTAAGAGCATGAAATCATGATCTTAGCAAAAATTGATGATGAATCTGTATGCATATTATAAGCAGATCTGTTATAATTATTTTTACTCAATTAGATGTAAATAGAAAAAAAATCATTCTTTATATATTTTATTGATTATTAGTTAGTATTGAAATCTATTGTCATAAAATTCACTAGAGAACACCAAAATATCAAAGATTGAACAATATCTTTATATGAATGGCATTCACTGCGAATCAAGCGTTCTCACCAGAGATTTCTAGATTTATTAAAAGTCATACTTTCATAGATATTCTACTGATAATATTCTATTTTTCTAGAAATAGAAAATCCGTTTTTGCGAAGGAAAAAAATTGAAATTCATGCTTTCAATACCTGTGTAGTGTTTTGACTTCAGTAAATCTATTCATATATTTGTATTGCAGGCAAGATAAACTTCATCGATGACAAAAAAATTGATATAACTAATCAATCAATAAGATATTTGAATTTACCGAACATAAGAAAAATGTTCTTTCTCTGAATGTTAAAAACTGCAACGATTGAATATTTCTAATAGGGAACTCCATGCTATTTTTCACTCGGAAGCGTCTTTCCTGAATGCTTCGCAGATATTACTGTTTATTATTCATACGTGAAAATTTGTTACTATTCTATTCAAGGAACTATTCGCGCAGATAACTCTCACAAAATAAGAATTTCTATTCAAAATCTTGTCTACCTTCAATAACTGCTGTCTTAAAGTAGACACGTTGTTCTAAACGAAAATTTTTCATTTCTTCTTCTGATGTAAAATTGATTTCACGTGAAACAGCTCGACATTTCAGTATACCCTTCGGTACTCGTGCTTCAAGTTCAGCACCAGGTAGAGATCTAAATGAATTCAAATGATATATTAATACCAATATAAAACAGTGGACGTACAAATCTTCTGACGATTGCCAGAGCGTTTTTCCAGACTCAGCATCACGTAGGTTCATCCAATTGAATTGAAAACCTTTTAATATTGCTGTTGCACGTGAAGAAGACGAATTAGCGCTATCCATTGCAGTTTCTTTTCAGACTTTTAATACCAAGATAATGGCTTCTTGCTTTATGTTTTTATAAATAAGACTAGAAGGAAATTAATCTTCCAATAGTAGAACGGAAGAAAGTCTCATCTACTTCCTTACCGAGTTTTACTTGATGTGTCACATTTTTCTCTTCCTTTCTTTGTTTTTTTTTGAAAAAAAAAGCTCAAAGTCTTCTACGTAGAACATAGAAATATGTTACCATGGAGATAACTCTGCAATAAGCGTTACTTTTTTTCTACAAGCGACACCAGTCAATATATGATTGGTTTATTTTATAAACCATTTATATTATTCAATATTTGTTGGTTGTTTATTTTATAATATTTTATTTTATTCATTTAGTTTTCTTTAAAAATGAAATCAATATACTTATTCATTTATTTTATTCATCAATGTTATTCGGCTGGTATTATGGATCATGTTATTTATGCTGTTAATTGTGGCGGTGAAGCACATACAGATGTAAATGGTATGCTGAAAAAGTTTTAGTTTGAAAAGCAGGAAAAAATTGTTTGCTTTGAAGGTATAAGATATCGTAAAGACTATCTTAAAGCTGGTATTAATTCTGATTATGGACGTAATTCATTTATAAGTCGTGTAGCAAAAGAAGACATGATACTTTATCAAACTGAAAGGTATGATTTACAAAGTTTCTCATATGAAATTGATGTTATTGATGATGGAGATTATGTACTTTGGCTGAAATTTGCAGAAGTTTGGTTTAATGCACCAAATATGAAAGTTTGTTCGACTGAACGATAAATTTATATTGATACAATATCATTATTTTTTTTCCATAGGTATTTCAAATATTACTTAATGATGAGCACTCTGTTATCGATGAACTCGATATATTTGCTAAAGCTGGTCGTTCAACAGCTCACGATGAATATATTCCATTTCAAATAAAGAATGGTCGTTTAGTTCTTAAATCTCGTAGTTCATCTTATTCAGGAAAATTGAAAGTTACTTTTGAAAAACTTGACGGCAAAGATAATCCAAAAATTAATGCACTTGTTATATGGAAAGGATCCATTGATCGTATGTGTATACTTTATAGAAATACTCTTTTCATTTGATTCTAGGATTGTTGCTTTTGTTATCTTATAGAAATTCCAAAATTACTGCCAGTTGTGGAACCAGAAACTCCTGAAGTACCAACAGAGTTAGAGGATGAAGATGAGGCACCAGCGAAAGCTGCACAAGTAAAACGTAGTTTGAAACCAAGTGGACCAAAAGTTGTTGATCCATATACAGAAGATCAATCAAGTTCATTGATGCCACTACTTATTGCTATAGCTGCTGTTATTCCTGTCATTTTTTGTTTATGCCGCTTTTAAACTACAATTTATTTGTTCAACAACAAAAAAAAACAAGTAGATCAAAAATTTGTTGACGAAATCCTGAATAATTAATTGACACGCATAGCTTTAGGATATTATCAATTTCTTTCTTTTTCTTGAACAAAACAAAAAAAATGCCTTTTTTAATGATAATAACATTGACCGATGTTGTAGGTGCTCATTCCATCAGCAGTTCTAACGTTCTCATTGTGCTTGTGTTTGTTTGTTAACGATTAGAAATAAAGAAAATTCAGGTACATTTTATTTTGATTATCTTGTTTTGGCGTTAACAACTGCCCAAGGATTCGTAGGTGCAACTGCAGGATGTAGAAGATTTTTATGTACAATAGTAATTGTTCGATCGTCTCCACGTGACTTAGCTATAGCAATTAAAATATTAAGGATATCATTTGTACAATTCGGATTGTCCCATATGTCGAGTTGTTTTAGTTGTTCACATTCAGATACAAGACGTACAATCGTATCACCAGTATAGTTGTGATTGCCAGAAAGTATCAATTGAATAAGATTATTTGAATAGTATTTTATTAAATTATTCAAAGTTCGGTCTGTTAAATGCTTGCAATATGATAAGTCAAGAGATTCAATTAATGGGCATTTCTAAAACAAAAAGAATTGAATGGAATTAATAAAAATTTTGTTTTTCGTCGATTATGAATTTTACGCGTATAATTTGTTCACAATAATGATCATTAAGTACATAGCCACAGCTTTTTAATGAAAGCACTTTTAAATTTGTACATTTGGTATATATGGCTTTGATGCCTGATTCTAAATTTTTTTAAAGTAGAAAATTGCTTCTCAAGTTTCTTTTGAAAGAAAAAACTCTATTCATGCCTGTTAAATAAATTCCATCAAGATCTAAATGTTCCATTGTTGACGAAAGTAAACCTTGCAATTTTTTACTAGTTAATTTACCATTTCTTTTAATACGATGAATTATTTCACTAAATAAAATGACAAAAAGAAAAACTGTTTCTACCTGTGAAAATCTCCTTTCTAAAATTACTTCAGTAAAAATTCATCTGGAAAACCTTCGAAATCATAGTTGTCAACATTTTCACAAATATACTCCAATGCTAAATCTAATAATCGACGTATCTGAGTTTGTCCATGATATGGATTCTAGAAGATTGTTATACATGAACTTAATTTTTTACTGAAAAAAACACATTATTCAACATACTCGTTCAAATCTTCGACCATAGGCTGCTCGAACGTGAACTCCATTAGTACGTCTTTCCCATTGATATCTTGGTGTTTTTCTATAAGAATATGAAGTTTGAATTTCCCCAAGTACTTCATTTTCAGTATATTCTCTGAGAAGTGTAACTTTCATAAGATCCTCTAACAGAATCCAGCCTTTTGAATAAATAAATAAAATTAATGAAATTAATTTTTTTTATTGACAACAACATATACCTTCATCAACTCGACAACCTTCTTTTTCTGCTCCATATCGAAGTATATAAGCAAGTCGTTTACCTAGTTTTAATTGACGTCGTTCATATTGTCTTACTAAACGACAATTATCATCATGTTCATTATGTCTTTCAACTGCATCTGTAATATTGAGCATTATCTTCTATTTCGTTATTTTCTATGGCAAAAACTGTGACTATGTAAGATCAAAAAACGACATTTTCGCTTACATTATAATGTATTTCTATGAGTCATTAAGGAACGATAAAAAAAAATATTAACTGAGAAACAAATGGTGCAATAACCATGTTTCATCCATTGCATGCAATGAAATGAAATTTGCTACGAATTGAGAATAATTTCATAAGCTTATAACCTTTACCAATGATAATTTTTGATGAAATACATATCGGAAGAGCATGTAACATATAATTTAGGGTCCCAAAAATAGGTTTGAGTTGCTGGATTATTATTATTGATAATATCGTTTTTGATGGCATACTGTCATGGAAAATATTTTTCAATGAATCTGACGAGTGCAACATTCTATACATAAATTTTAATCCGTTTGCTATTTCAATAGCGAATAATTCGAAGTTTAATTATATTTCATTAAATAATCGATAGCTATTGTTTATTAGTTCATACCAATTAGTTATTTAGTTGTCGGTGTACTAAATCTAATGCAATTTTCTCTTTTTTAAGCTTCTTAATAATTGAGTAGCTAACCAATGCAAGAACTTAAATCGTTAGTGTGATCAATCATTAAAATAACGTCTATACCACTATTAAAATGATTATATGGAAATTTCAAATGTGATTTCAAATGATGAACATCTAATTAAACTAGAAATATTAGACTACTTAAATGTGTGATAGATTGGCATTTGAATAAAGAGAACATTTATAATCTTTAGTATTTCACTGAAAAAAGTATATCTATACAGTGAACGTCAATAGTCAACTAACAGAGACTTTGCTATTGATCATCGACGATGAGAATCTTGCAAATTATCAAGAAAAAAAAATAGTTTATTACTACTTAAAGTTTGTTATTTTACATCTCTGAATCGATCACTATGCCTCAACATACTTCTATGCCAGTTAATCTAACTTGACAAAAATTTCTGGACAATGTTCATACACCTATCAATAGTAAGTACTAAATTAATATGAAACAGTCGTCATTGAATAAGCGAGTGATCATATTTAAATAATTACGCTACCAAATATATTCGATAAATAAGCATATTAATAATGTATCAAGACAACCATCAATACCAATCCAGAACTTGCCGAAAATCAGCTAAAATTGTTAACTTCTCATGTTGAATTTTACGAGAAATATAATTAATATGAGCATCAAAATTCTTTTTCAGCTTAAACACATGAAAAGCAAAAAAAGTTAAAGTAATCTATATGAATTAAGTACTTTGGAAAATCATATTAATCCAAAATATCATTTTATAAACATATTAAACGTTTTTTTTTGTCTGTATTCTATCCAAAATTAATATTTTACACATGCATTAGTCGATCTATCTGTCACACGATAATCCAGTCGAATAGATTATGATGTAACATGTGAGACAATATATTAAAATCGAATATATTTCTCATTAAAACATTGTATGACAATCGTCAAATAATCCACACAGAGAGATTTTCTTCTCATATTATTGAAAATACGTCGTCTGATACTACATGCATATCAAAAAGTAAAATGTACGTGATTCTAATTAAATATAGCATACAAAACTATTGCGAGTCACTACTTCTTAATACATTCATTTTCATTAGTCATTTGCTAATATTCATTCAAATTTTTTGTACTTATTTGCTATCTTGAATCAAGAAATGTATGTTGCGATGTGTTTCTTGTTTTATTGAATATTTATGTTTTGAAAGAATCGATCAATGATAACAATAAAAACATCAGATAAAATGTTTCAGGTTCAAGTAAATTTCTTTTTCAAATATTATGTATATCACATTTTAATGGATTTCCTTTAGTATGAAAATTTGTTTTCGAGGGATATTTTTTTCTTTTATTCAATTTTAATGAGATTAGCATAACAAGTATCCCATTGATATTTATCGTAGCTGCTGAAATTCTATTCAGCAATATTTCGATCGAGTATCGATATTCAATTAATTTTCTAATTACAAGTCAAATTATTTTAACTAGGATCAAACTAAATACTTGGAATAGCTAAAAATAATCATCGCCAACAAATATTTTCGTTGGATTATTCGCCTATTGGATTATAGATCGATAATTATAGGTCCTATGGGACTTGAACGAAATGTCGATATAAAAAAAAACTTTTTACATCACATATTATGATATTCAGTTAAAATAGAGAATTCTAAACAACATGATGTCATTTAACAAAATGTGTTTCTTGAATACTTGCAAGGAATTGTAGAAAACCTAGCTGTCATTTTCGATCTCAAACAAAGCATATTTGAAAGGTAACCTTTCAAAAAGAAAACATTTTATTTCAATAACATAAATAAACAGCTTTTAATTTTGAAAAATAATCAATTTAAAATTTAAATGAATTTGCTTTTATCTTTTTTGAACTGAGCTTCTTTTTAAGACTATGATCAGCCTTCTAATTATTGATATCGATCAGACAATAGGGAATATCAATACAAAAAAAAATGAAAAAGAAAAGATCAATATTCTGATCAGATCACTAGAAACCTTCATTTACAATACAATTAACAATATTGAATGTTTCATGTCATAAAAAAAGGTGTTTTGACTCAATTGGCAATTGTATATCATACTCTGATAAGATTTCCCTAGTTTACACCTTTTTGGAAAACAGAAGAATATAGAAAGCTGTTACTTTCGACTCGATATTAGTTGAAACAAAAATTTCATACATTTTTCGAATTCAAGTCAAGGATTTTTATTTTCAGTAACTAATTATTATTCGATTTTAATTTTTCGTAGTATATGCTAATTCTATTAGCCAGGGAGCTCATTTATGAAACAAGCTTATTTCATTAATTGATGATTAATTGGCTATTGATTTTCATTATAAAAATAAAGAAAAGAAAAAATATTGAATATGATTGGTTCCGAAAAACATTTTTCTGTTGTTAAACGACGAATGCTCATTTTTCTCTCTCTCTCTTTTTTCTCCTATTAATTGTTTGTTTATATTCAAGTATAGAAAAAGCACAACACTTACATTATTCATTTTGATCTTTGCCTAGTTGTTTGTGTATACAACCGCACAATAATTCTCTCTATTGAAAATGCAATCGATGCCAAATAACTGTAAGTGAAACTCATTGTCATTTCACATAATTTGTTAGTCAACACTCACAGCTTGACTTCATTTCGTATTTATCTATCTTAGTATATTATCAACCAAATTCTGAATACGAACAAATAATGAATAAATATCCGTTTCACGATTCGGGCATTGCTGATGAAGGTCTTTCCGATGAAACTGGTTCAATCGAAGAAGAATATCGTAAACAAGAAAACGATAAAGGTATGTAAAAGTTCAAAAAATAGTTTTATTATTTGAAATCTTTCTATTTCGAGATGATAATGAAATACCAAAGAAACCAAATCCATCGTATTTAGAAATAATTGCTGAAGCAATCTTAAAAGCACCCAATCGTATGATGCAACTATATGAAATTTATAACTATTTTCAGCGCAAGTAAGTTATACTTCCTTATTTTCTTACGAACAACTATACTCTAAATTTAATTCAATTTAGATATCGTTATTTTGCTGAGGATGTGAATAAATCATGGAAAAATAGTGTAAGACATAATTTATCATTAAATGATTGTTTTGTTAAAGCAGGACGAGGATCAAATGGCAAAGGACATTGTAAGTAATTTAATTATATCGATGTATTATTTACAACTACTGATTTTAGTTTGGCGTATACATCATCTGGCAGAGCCAGAGTTCGAGCAAGGTCGTTTTCGACGTCGTCGTTATCGTCAAGAAATGCGTCGATTGAATATGCAAGCATCATCCATGCATGAATCATCTTATGTGCATCAATCAGTACCTCCATTTTATTCACCTTCTACAAATCCATATTATATGTGTTCATCAGCTCCACCTCCGTATCATGCAATTTATTCAACTCCAAATACTTCTACAGAAACTCACGCAATAAGTCCACCGGCGTTACAAAATGGTTGTTTGTCATCATCAACACCAAGTCCCTATCCATTTTATGATCAATATTCCGCACATTACTATCCAACACATTATAATTCAATGGCTTCGTCATATGCAAGCCCTAATGAATCAATGAATTTCGATGCTTAAACTGACTTTCTTGAATGATTTTATTTCTCACATTGTACATTTTTTCTTTGTGAAATAAAATTAGTAGTCTACATTTGATACTCATTAATGAAAGAGATAAAGGATGAGCGTGAATGATAAGCGTAAAAAGCTCAAATCGATTAGTTATGTCAGTATGACAATGAAATGAAAAAAATATTTTTCTTAAATTACTTAAACGAGGATCAAAAAGGAAGGCAATTTCTTCATAGGAAAAGTCAAAATAAAGAGATAGTGTGAAATCGTTGTTTTTCTGTTTAACGACACATTTTGTCCATTGTCGGTATAGAACAAAATGGCTTATCGAAAAAGAGAAACTTAACCCGTAGGCTGTTGTTCTACTTAACACGTAACTCAACGTCATTTCTCAAATTAGATAAACAACAGCAGGAGACATACGTATGTCTCTTTAAATTCACGCTTAAGATTAAACCATTGTTTTTCATATGTAGACAACGTTTGTTTTATGTGCAGCTAAAGTGTTCGTTATGGAGATTTGAAATAATTGAAGCAAATCTACTCAAAAAAAAAATGCATACAAAATCTATTGCAGGGAATTTTCATTTAGACTATCTTATCTATTATGAGAGAAATAATGATTCTAATAGTTATTGATTTGAAGATTTTTATCACAAATAAAATATGCGTATTCTGAGTTCTAGCCCTATGTAGAACGAACCTTTCAAATATTAATGCATTCTCCTTTTCGATATAGTCAATTCACTTTGACCATAATATTGATTAATAGTAAGAAAAAGAATGATTTCTTTTTAAAAATTTTTTGCAGCAGAAAAACATCAGTAAATGATTTTTCATTGAATTTCTTTTGTCTATGTAATTGAGAAGAAACCTTCGGTTGTATTTACTGCTTTGCTAGTTGAACATATGAGAATACTAACATTGAAATATAAATAACGGATATCAACATTCTTTAGAAGAAAAAAGAATCATTGTAAAATCCAACCAATAGTTTTCTCTTATGAAATAAATCATATAGATAGTGAAGTTCATCGTTTGAATAAACTAAGAAATAGTGCATTCATATTGGATATTAATCAAATTTACTTTTCATTTCGATGAAATAATCTTATACACTGCTCCTGTTTCAATGTAACGAATTATGTTGGATTTCAACGATATTTAATATTAAGGTTAACTAATATTTTCGTAGCACATATATAAACTCTTTTTTTTCAATAAATATTGGCTACTTTATTTTATACAATTCTATAGACATTTTATAAATCTGATCAGTGAAAGGAAATATATCTTTATCGAAACGGAAGTTAAAAAATATATGGAACAAACAACTTTTTTATTCAACAACCAACATCAAATGATATTTCTGATAAAAATTTTAAAACTCATATAGGTGAAATGAACAATGGGCGAGAAAGTACGATTGAAAGTTGAGGCTTTCGAATCGCGTTTCTTACAACGTAATCCTTCGTGTTTAAGAGAAATATTAGAATGAGCTCATGTGTAAATTATCTTAATTTTTATTAAATGGAATCATTAGATTATTCTATCTGTCATAGATGAATTAATCTATTATTTATGCTCGTTGTATATTAAGCGTTTATTCGTTACATAAGTTATACATAAGAAAGCTAACACAATCTTGTAAAAGAATACTGTTCTTATAACGAAATGAAAACATATTTCTTTTTTCTATCAATCAACTTTCAAGACTGAAATTCTCTATCATTAGTAACCATTCCATTTTGGTATGTAGAAAGTACGAGAGTGACAATAGTTTTAGTCTATTTTTTTTCGAAAAAATGAATAACTATTATCTAACATATAGTACATTATAGAAAAATCGAGCTATCACATAAAAAAGAGCTGTTAGATATAATAATAGTTGAAGATCTGTCAATGTCTAATAATCAAATAACAATAGAATCATTCGAGCTTTTTTTCTTAAATTTCTTATGAACTTCTGAATGAAGATTCTAGGTTGTAAGTCAACAATACTCCTTTTGACAAAATGATCAATAGTTTATTGAATATTTTTTTAATTTTGATGAGTTACCGTAAAGTAAACGTTAGCTCATAGATACAAAACAGTCTGTTATTCTCATGTTATTGTAGGTCATTTTACATGATTTCTCAAAACTGAATACAGTATTTCAATAAGAAATATTGAAGTACAATTCTTAATGCAAGCAATTAGCCTGAAAGAATCTGAAATTTTAATAACATCTAGCAGAATTAGAATTTCGTTCTCGAGGCCTCTAGTTGTAAAGAATACCTTGTTATAAAAGATACAAACGAAAGTCTAGTAAGGGTAATAAATCAATGAGTGATTTATTTTCTGTTGTCTATCTACAATTTTTCTACTAAAATTTCACGAAAATGTCGATTGAGAAATTAGACTTATTGCTTGTGACAAACAGATCTCAAATTAATTCAATAGGTATAGAAGAGTACTTTTACTAAGATAAACATACTTTTTGGTGAAGGCAATAACAATGACTCTGACCATACGTCGCAGCGCTTGTCTGAATTCCAGCGAAAAACTTATTTGCAAAAGAACGACCTTCTCGAGATTTATCAGGACACTGCGATATATGACTCTGACACATAACAGACAAGCATATGACTAGTGCCAATAGTATATTTCATAGTCCTAGCAATTCATGAAGGTAAATATATATTATCATATCAACTACAATTCGCCTATATAGAAACCAAAGACAAAGATAGCGCGGTATTTCTTCACACCAAGAAATGCTATTATGTGGATGTGGATGGATAATATACTGATATGAAGAGAAAAAGAAGCAAACCTTCGAATACTTTTTGTTTTTCACAATACACATCAAGGAACGAATTCCTTGTATCTATTTATTGTGATATGATGATCGATCAGTTGAAATAATAGTTCTCATGGATATATATGTATGAGTCTTATTAATTGGAAAATTTTATAGTCAATAAAAAGAAATTATATTAAAAAGCATTCGTACAAACATGATGCAGGCAATTATTGGCAACTAAAAGAAAAACAATATTACTTGATGAACTATTCTATTTGGATCGATTATACTGTGATGTCGACCTAAATTACAATGGTAGCTCACGCCATCTTTCAGTCATATTTTGCTGATCAACTGAAAAACCAATGAATCAATAGACTGTTTTTTGTTGGTTCTCATTCGCTTTGTATATATGACCAATCGTATTCCGGTGTCGGTCATCTAAATCTAAAAAAGTAGAGAGATAGTCTGAATCTGAACAAAAATACGTCAATACCAACGGAGTAAGAGAAAGTCTTGATAGTCCAAATGGCAAAACATCATCCAGATTTAATATTTTGTCGTAAACAAGCTGGTGTTGCAATCGGTCGTCTTTGTGAAAAATGTGATGGCCGTTGTGTAATCTGTGATTCATATGTTCGTCCAACCACACTTGTGCGCATTTGTGATGAATGTAATTACGGTTCATATCAAGGTCGTTGCGTTATATGTGGTGGCCCTGGCTGTTCAGATGCTTATTATTGTCGTGAATGTACAATCATGGAAAAAGATCGTGATGGTTGTCCGAAAATTGTCAATTTAGGAAGCGCTAAAACAGATTTGTTTTATGAACGAAAGAAATTTGGATTTAAAAAGCGTTAAACTTATATTTTTGATGTTTTCTGTGTAGTAAATAAAATAAAAAGTTTCTTTTGTGTCTCATTCTAGATAATTATGGAGCGAAAACGTAAAGTAACTTTTAAAACTGATGAAGAATCAGATCAAACGAATAAAAAACAGAAGAAATTTACAAATGAAAGTGGAAATACGCGTCTACACAGTGGAAAATATACATTAGACAGTGATGAAGAAGATGAAGAGGAAAAAGACAATGCTAAAATAATGAATTCCGATGATCTTGATGGTGAGTCAAAGAAAATAAATATTGATGCAGAGTAAAGCAAAATAATAACTAATTTTTTTTTGTTTTAAACAGATATTGGACAAGAACAAGCCACAATTGGTTTCGATAATGATGTTAAAATTACTCCATTCAACATTGACGAAGAAATGGAAGACGGACACTATGATGAAAGTGGATGTTTTCAATGGAAAAAAAAGGATGTAAGTAAAATTTTAATTAGTGTTATATTTCTTTGTTTTATAAACAAGTGATTTTTTAGTTAGTTCTGTGATAGTTTTTGTTTCCACGAAGAGATTATATTTTGTAGAACTAACATTTAAGTTTCAAGAAAAAAACAAGTGTCGTACTGAATATATCAGATGAATAAATTTAATGTGATAATGTTTAAACGTAACCGTAAAGAATTCTAATTGTTATAAATCTCAGAGAGACAAAATAGTTTTCATATTCATTTATTATGTTGAAATGACCGAAATATATTCAAAAAAGGCACTTAATTTCATTTGCTAATCGCCTCCTGTGTGAAGTAGAAGATTCTAGTTTTCGTTTGAATCTGTGTTATTTTTTAAATAGTTAATTACAAAGATTTTTTCGTAAAATCGAAAAACATCTGATAGTTTAAGATTTGCAACGGAAAACTGTGAAAACTTGTCATATATTACTCTGAATATACCAACAAATCTTCTAGTCTTACGAATAATAAATAAAAGTATTTAATATAAGAGAAATTGTGTAATGATATGTTGATCGCTCTATCTATTTATTACGACTACATGACTTGCCTGAATCTGATTCTATTGTGGAATGACAAATTATTGAATTTTTCTTCAATGTAGATCTTTTTTTCTCTTATGAATCAATTATTAACAAATTAAAATTCTAATCTGATGATTATTGTATTTCAGAAAGAAGAAGTTCATGATGCATGGCTTGATGAAGTCGATTGGACTAATGTAAAAAATTACAAGTTAAAAAACGCTCAAGGAACTGACGACAATATTAAAAATTCATCAAATAATGATGATGACGACGATGATGGTGATGAAACAAATGATAATCAATTCAATGAAATCAATGCTTTAAAATCTATTCTTGCACTCATGCAACCTGGTGAAACTGTTGTTCGCGCAATAAAACGATTTGGGGCAGCTGCAACAAGGTAAACTAATTTTTATTTTGCTTTTCTTTGCATCATATGATGTTTTGTGTTTTCCAGTAATAAATCTAAGCAACGCATAAAACAACGAAAGCCACTTCCTGGTGAAATTCCAACTGCATTACCTGCTGAATTAAATCCTGAAGAATTGAAAAAGAATAAACTTTTACTTGAAGAAATGACTGGTCTTGCCGATCAATTTGTCTCAAATGGTCAAATTGATATTTATCAAGAAACCTATGAACAACTTAAAACAAAATTCGATCGTAGACAATCATCTACTTCTAGTTCGACAACGAATCTAGCATTTGATATGTATGGTGACAATGATGTTTCTTCATCAATCACAAATTCAACATCATCAAATAATAAAAATGGTAGATAAATTTTTTACTGTCATTTCATTATCATATATCATTTGTTTCGTGTTTTGTTCTTGAATTTAGAAGCACCGATTACTTATTGGGAGTATACAGCTGATGACAACAGTAGTATTCAAGGTCCATTTACAACTGAACACATGGTTCGTTTAACAAATACTGAAGGAAAATTAGACAAGGATAAAGTTCGTTGTCGTCGTGTTGGCACTGAACAATTCTATACTATAAAACGTATTGATTTTGATCTTTATCTAGATTAAAGAACTAATTTGTATATAAAAATCATTCATTATTATTATTATTGTCTTGTGCATCCATTCGAAGCTGTCTTGTTTTCTCATTGATAAAACTAAATCAAAGTCATATTAAAATATGAAATTATTTTGATAAATATAGATGGATTTTGTTTACAATCATTCAAACATTGCTGAGAAGGAAAGAGAAATAGTAATCATGCTTTTTAATCTTACTTGAACGCCAACACTAGCTAGAAAAAAAAATAGAATAAAAAAATACTCGTATGTGGAACACTGGAAACTTTCACAACAGAAAGAAAGATATAGACAACAACAATGGAAATACATGTTTGAGTGGATGAATGGTTGGAATAGAAGAAAACAGCATAGAAAGACAATAGACTAAACTTGAGAAGAAAAGAAGTAGTACAAGAAAAGTACACACTACCGGTCAAATAAAGTCAGGAGCAAGAATTCCTTTCGTGAACAACGTGATGAAATGCAACAGCATTTGCTAAGCTGATTTAAATAATTACGTATTAACTTTCAGAAAAATAGGTACTGTAAAGAACTAGGCATAATTGATTTGAGCTATACAATTCAATAAAGCAACGCGAAACTTACTTTTCAGTATTAACTAGACTACACAACGCAACCAAGCCAAATACGAGCAGAGAATACTGTTTTCCATAAACATATGTATGTACTACTAGTAAAAGAGACGAGAAATTGTACGTGAAAATCTAAATTAACTAAACTAAACATGAATTGGCCATTGTCGTGTTATATCTGAATCTCTATTTCTGTTAAATGCTGTATTACTGAAAATGTCATGGTGTCTTGAAAACAGACAAGTGAATTCATGTATACATGCAATATAGAGTTAGTTATCATGAATTTATTTATCCTCGCAGAATAATTTTGATCCATCCAATAAATTTCCTATACTTAGTTAAACGATAGTGATTATTTAAATCGTTAGAAATCCAATTTCCATTGAAACTGAAATCTTTATTCTTCAAATAAAAAAAAAACATACGCCTTTAATCGAATTAATACGTGTCGGAAAAAAATTTGAAATAAATGTTTGTATATATTCGTATAAAAGAAAAAGAAAATAAAATAAAATTCTACAAAGTTACGACCAAACACGTAGGGTTCGATCACGACCTGTTGAAATCATATATTGTCCTTTCAGGTCGAATTTAACATATTGAACTTCGTCGTGATGGCTACTTAATGGTATCAACTTAAAAAGAAATGAAAGTTTACAATTTATAATGCAGAAAATAAAACCAATATTATTTTACCTGTTCAGAAGCGATATTATAAAGTTTAATTGTTCGATCACTGGAAGCTGCTGTTAAAAGTTGGCCTTAAAAAATAAGAAAGAAATTCTATGCAATGAAATTATTTTTTTGCTTTTCTTACCAGTTGGATGAAATGAAACGCTATTTGCTGAATAAGGTCCAAAATCCAGTGTAACAATACTTTTTACAGTTCTGACATCCCATAATTTGACTATTCCTTTTGAGTCACAAGATGCAACTGTATCACCCTAAGAAACAAAAAAATATTCTTGTCTAGTGAGCTTTTTATTAATGAAATATACTCGTAAATTAAATGTTGCTTGATTACAAGGATTAACGTGACCAGCAAATGTATGCTCTGCTAGACCCTAGAACATTGATTATTAAATAAATACAAGAAATTTTCGTTTTTTAACAAATTTACTGTTCGAGCATCCCATAACATAAGAGTTTTATCAACTGAACTGGACAAAATTATATTTGAAAACATAAGTAATTCAGCAGAATGAACAGAATCTTGATGTCCACGCATAACTGTTCGACAACGAAGACTGAAATTCAAATTTCACTAGTGTCTTTTTCCTCTTAGTATTATTATTTTTTTTAAGATTTAACAAACCTATTTAAATCCCATAGTCGAACAGTTTTATCTTGAGAAGCTGAGGCAATGAAATCTCCACATGAATGAAAATTGACAGACCAAACTAATAAGTAAAAACAAAAACTTGAAATTGTTTATTTTTACGATAAGGTAATGGAATTTACCTGGTAAGAGATGATTTGTAAATGTATGAACACATTTTTTCTGTGAAAAATCCCAAATTTTAATTGTTGTATCGCCAGAACATGTTGCCATTTTATTTCCACTTGGATGAAAATCGATACCAGATCTTTACAAACCATCAATTTAGATTCAATTATTAAAAAAAAACGAAAACGTTGAAACTTACACCCAATCTGAATGTCCTTCACCTTTCATAATCATGTCACCTAAATTGAAATTACTAGTTCATTTACACTAAAATAATTATGGTTTTTTTTGTAGTTTACCCTCAGGAATAGCCCACATTTTCCATGATCGATCATCACTTACCTAGGCAAAGAACATAAATAATTCAAATCAGTTATCTATACTTCATTGGTACATACTGTCACAGCCACATGCTTACGAGGATGAATAGCAGCACTAAAAAGATATGGATCAGATCAAAATCTAGACAAACTGATTGATATCAAAATAAAAATGAAACAATTCTCTTCTAGGTTCATTTTTCTTTCAGATCTGGAGCGAGATAACTTTACCCCATTCAGTAATATTTGGAATTTCTGACGTTTTTATTTGAGGTGAGCTCGATTTAATTCTGTTCTTTGTCATGATGATGAACTTTAATCAGTGTATAAATATGTGAAGCAATAGGAGTGCAAATAAATATATATGAAGAAATGAGTTCAATATCGTTTAGAATAAGACAAAAACTTGAAAATACATATTAGATAGTTTCAGATACTCGTAGTGAATTCTTAAAAAACAATGTTTAGTAGTTCGGCTTAGAATTCGAAAGACTTGAGTCTATTCCATGTCTCATTTTCATGTACTAAAAATCTATCGATTTAACATTTAATCTACGAGAATTAGTTCTTGATGATACAATTATTTGAGGGACTATAAGTTCAAGATATGATTATAATTGACCAATCAAGGACAACATCAATACTTTCAGAGGTATGAACTCAAGCGATAGTGGTATCTGATGGTACGATTCAAACAAAAAGTATCATGAGTGCATATTTGACTTTTACAGTCTTTTAGAGACGAATTATTTAATTTTTCTTTTTTTTATTATCTCACTGTCTTTTATTAAAAACAATATTTAAATCATGTGATTCAGTTTTCATTATAATATTTTGTTTAATTGCTCATGTCTTCTGCTCATAGTATACAAATCATGAGGTAGAATGCTGTATACTCAAATCGATTTGTCGTCAATAGAATTCTATTTTCTTTCACTCACCAACTTATTGGACCATCATGTGCTTCAATTTCTTTTGCTAATGTTAATGTTGATCGATGAAAAGCATCTTCAGCGAATCGATTTAAATAAGGATTATTTCCTGTATCAATAGGAAAATCGGAATCCTATATATAGATATATATTCATAAATATTAATACAGTTAAATAATAAAAAATTACGAACATGAGGATTTGATTCATGTGTTGAATCAGTTAGTCGTCGTTGTTCGTTTATCATTGCTTGTTTTTTCTTGTCTTCTTTAAGTCTTAATTCACGAAGTTTTATTTGTGTGGGTCCCGATTCTCCTTCGGTACTGTCTTGAGAGAAAAAACGAGAAGAAAATCAACGGTACTATTTTTGTCTCTTCTATATATTTCTATACTTTGAAGTGTAGTTGAACTACCCAGTTTTAATGCATTGAGTTCGTTCTGTAGTTTTTCTTTTTCTAATTTGTAAACCATTTTTTCTCGCATAGCTCCATCATATTTAGACTTCAATTCATCTAATTGTGGTTCAAAGGTCGATAGATGAGATTTTAATCTGATACAATTGAATAAAAACAAAGCTAGTTAAATTCTAAATAAAAAATTGAGTGTCAGTACCGTTTAACGAATGTAACAAGATTATTTTTTTCTTGTGCAATTCGATTATGATGTTGTCGATGATAATCACGTTCTTTTTTCATTTTAACAAATTCTTCTCTAGCTTTCCTACAATATACAAAAAAACAGCAATTAGTACAAATTCACTTTTTGTTATTAGATGTATTTGATGATATACTCAGCAGATTTTCGATATCGATCAACCTCTGATTCGAGTAGTCTCATTTTTTCACTTAATTCTTCATTATGTTTAACTACATCTGGTAAATAACCACATTCATTTGTTTTAATGCGTCCCGCCGATGATAAGTTATGCCATTCAATTTGAAATTGTTGCATTGTTTTTTTCATACCCATACGAACAAGAAAATTTCGAACAAAATCATCTACAGCTTCTGGCTGAGTCGTTAATGAACCGCGAGGAACTGTAGCAGAAGCCTGTAGAATAGAAAAAGAAAACTGAATTTTTCATATGATATTAATAATAATTGACACATACTGATGTTGTTACGACTTGTGATTCACGTTGTTGGTCTTTTACATTGCGAATAAGTGCATCGAGTGTATCTTCTTTATCTAAAATGAGTGTTTATATGAAATAGTTAAATATTATGATAAAGACAAGAAGAAAATACCATCATCGTAAAATTCTTCAACAGGCACTTCTTCATATTGAAATTCATCGCCATTATCAACTGCACGAACGTATCGTTCTACAAATGAATTATTTTAGGAATATATATAATGAATAGAGATCGTTTTACTTTCGACATAATAAGGAACATCAGCAATATTGCCTAAGTCTATTCTTGTTGGTGCATTATTATTAAATGTTTGGATATCTTTTGGGCCGACATCACGTACATTGGTCGCAGTCATTGTAGCCATTGTTAGTGGTAAGAATTATTTTACTACAGGGTAGATAAATTTAGATGTTTTCAAATTTTATTCTTCATCTGCTATTACAGTCAAATTACGTTGCTAAACAAGCACCTCTATTACAATATAATAAGCGCCATCTATACACATAGTCCTAGGCGCGATCATTTATTAACATCTTCGATTTCGTTTCGTGATATCAATGAGGTTAATTACAGAG